TTCGGTCAAAAAAATCTCCCCCCCAACATTTAAAACCCCCAAAATCCAACCAATCATCCATTAAACCATTAAACCAACCCCGTTTTTTTTTTTTTACCCCCCCCCCCCCCCCCCCCACCTCCTTTCTATCAACGCCAAAAAAAAAACCCTCAAGTTTGGGTTTCGAAATGCTTCCAACGCAACCGTCATTAGGATATCTAGCAGGCTAACATGTAATAGGTTGTATCCGGTCTCCCCCTGATTAGAGGCAGATACGGGCAGTTGATTCTACGTGCATTGTTGACATCGGTTGGTCACCGCCACAACCCTACATGTCGCATCCGCCTCGACGAAAATGCAGTCGGACCGACGAATCGAATGGTCCGCTGCTACGCGACAGAGACGCTAGCTAGCTGGCTAGTTAACCTAGCTATACTACTTTATTTCGCCTCGTCGGCCCAGACGTCATAGCCAAACGTGTCCTTCATGTTGACGAAGCGGGTGTGACGGTCCTTAGCAACGCTATTAACAGCCTCGAAGTCGGCATCCGCCAATTGCGGGACTTGGAAGTTGCTTTCGATGCGCGAGGGCGTCGAGCTCTTGGGAAGCACAACGTAGCCGCGGCGGACGCCCCACGCGAGTAGGACCTGTGCCAGCGTGTAGCCGCTGCGGTCGGCGACCTCGATCAAGGTCTTGTTAGTGCGCACCTTCTCGCCTGTGTTCGGTACTTGATCCTGCGAGCCTAGGGGGGAGAAGGCGGCAGGTAAAATATCATTTTGCTGGCAGAACTCAACCAGCTCCTGGCTGGGCAGGAAAGGGTGGATTTCAATCTGGTTGACTGCCGGCTTGACCTTGGCGAGCTGCAGCAGCTTCTTGAGGCCGGGGATTGTCCAATTGGACACACCGATGGCGCGAGCCTTTTTGGCTTCATACAGCTCCTCCATGGCACGCCACGTCGGCTCTGGGTTCTCAGTGAGCTCCTTCTTGATGATGTACTTGCCGTCGGCGCCAATCTTAGGCATGTACTTGTCATCACGCTCGGCAGCAATAGGCCAGTGGACGAGGAACAGATCAACGTAGTCGAGGCCGAAGTTTTGAAGCGAGTTCTCCAGCGACCACTTGACCTCATCCGGCTCGTGAAGATGCTGCCACACCTTAGTGCAGATGAATATGTCTTCACGCTTCACGGACTTGTTCTTTGCGAGAAAGTCACGAAGAGCCTCGCCGACTTCGGCCTCGTTCTTGTAGAACCAGGCGCAGTCCAGATGTCGATAGCCGACTTCTAATGCAGCGGTAACTGCCTTGTATGTCTCACCCTTGGCGCCTTCATTTGCGAAAGTACCAAAACCGATTGCGGGAATCTTCACTCCGTTGTTTAGAGTGAAGGTCTGCTGGTTGGTTGGAGTTGCCATGTTGATGAAGAGTTGGATTTCGACTGAGATGTGATAGAGGGCTACGGAGGGGGTGAAAAGGGGTTGATGAGTAGGTAGATGTGAAACGATTGCGTCAGGGAAGAAATTATTCGAGACGGTAAATACTGTTGGCTATGGTGCCGGCAGCTAGGAATGGAAATATTCGGGTAGGGAGGTAAGATTGTAAGGTTGTAAGGTTGTAAGGTTGTAAGCCCGTAAACGGCCGGCTTGATTCAAACTTAGTATGTCTGTGGGTTGGATTAAGTTGGATTAGATGGATATATGGATGTATGGATGTATGAATATGTGAACGTAGGTATGTAGGTATGGAATGTCTAACCACACGATGCTGCACTATTGCATCATTCCCGGCAACTCGCTTGGCTGGCTGTTACCACCCTTGACTCAGCGGAAGAGAAAAAGTTTTTTGCGTTTGATAGAAACCGGCGGTTTCAATTTTCAGCCTGATCGCTGATCAGCAACTCGGGGATCCAGTTGTTTGCAGCGACAGTTGGCAACTCGTCAGCCAAAGCTACCACTCGGTTTTGACTTTGGTTGCTTTTGATACCTGGATACAAGGAATGTATCCATCAATGACATGTGAAGTGGGTCACAGTAAGAGATAATGGCCTGGTACATCTTACAATGCTTGTGATACTTGTGTTGTGATGCTTGTGATGCTTGTGATAATATGTATAATACGTGATAAAAAGAATGGGTTCGGGTAGCATACAGGAGTTTTACTACAAATGCAGACGGCTCGTCTGCAATTGCCTGTTCCAAATATTTATGCTTTGAACGGCTTTATCGGCCTGGTATGTACATATGTATCGGTTGGATACGTACTGGCAATGTTGCTAATGTAGGAGGGAAGATCCCATGGGTCCCCCCTAATCCCCTAATGCAAGTTGGGATAGGTTAGGGTAGGATAGGAATGCAAGGTGAGGGCGGTCAGGGACGTGGCTTATAAAAAAAGAACCTATGAAAGATTGTGGTTTAGCATTGGTGCACATTATCTGGCGTCTGTGGCGTCACCTATCAAATCGTTAGCTGACACCAATACAAGTATTGAAGCACTACAGATCTGTACCTAAAGCTGCAGGTTGCAGGCTGCAGGCTACAAGCTACAGGCTGCAGGCTGATGTAGGGTGTACATACTAGTGTATGTAGGCTGTAGGGTGTAGGCTTGTTATGTGGGTCGCATCCGAGAATGGCAAAGATGAGGCAAGGCGCTAGAAAACCCTAGAAAACCCTGCAGGTCGCCAACCGTAGTCGTACCCACCTTCCGACTCAAGGGGCTGAGGGGCGGATCTGTAGCGGATACACAGCGGAGCGCAGCGGGCCCGGAATGATGTCAGCGTGAGGCATGACAGCGGGTACCGTACGTGGGCCGTGTGGATCCGGAATCCAGTTCGGCTGGTTCTGCGGCTCCTTTTCGGACTGACATTTGATCTTTACTGGCCTTTAACTGGTCTCTACTGGTTCCTATTGATTCGGTTGGCCGCGTATTTGCTGGACATGCATCACATTGGAAGCACACCGGTAGTAGATTGCCAGCTTGTGATTAGACCCTGAATAAACCCTGAATACATTCATGATAACCTTGATAACAAACAAAACGGCTAAGAATAAACTGCGTTTACCTACGTTTCCCAACGTTAAACTCGAGGAACTCAGCGTTAATAGGTCTGAAAATTATGGAAACTATGGAAACTATGGAAACTCTGAAAACTCTGAAAACATCGTAACTAGTTTACGCGACCGTTTCATCAAGCTGCAATCTATGCAAGGGACCGCTTAGAAGACCGCTTAGGGACAGGCTCCATCGTGGCGGCGGATACCGTAGATAGGTACATACCTAGCAAGACATCATCCATTATCGTTTTCGGCTGCTTCGTTGATAATGCACCGTGCTTTGACAACGTACCTTGACAACATACCTCGAAAATGTACCGGGCAATGTACACCTTGCCTTGTGGTATGAAACGTAGCTACGTTGTGGAGGGTACGGGCAGAGCCGGACTTTGCGCCGTCGTCGAAAAGTGCGAGCTATAATGTGATAGTACGGTGAATGATAAGCATCATGGGTGAGCCGATGACTAGATATAACGCGACCCTCCCGTCATAGATGGCAACCTTCTCTTTGTTCCATAAGCTTAAACCTTCTTCTATTCCCACTTCAACCTACCTGACTATTGTACATTTTTTTTGAAGCAGCGAGCCAGCTGAGACTATATCCAAGATGCCTATGTTCGAAGATTACGATATCGCCCAAGCCACTGAGATGCAGGAGAAAAAGGCTGCTTCTACAGCCAACTCCAATGGCAACTCCAATGGCAACGCCAATGGACACTCTAACGGCAATGCCACAGACTCAAACTCCTTGCCCATTCCTGGAGATGATGGTGATGGACCTATTGAGGTTCCTGCCTCGAGGTCGTCCGTCTCTGAAGCAGCAAAGTACATGCACAACTTAAGCATGTCTCCCTCTATGAAGGAGAGAAGAGGCTCTCGTAACTCCTTCGGCACAGCTCTTCCCATCCCCCGATCGAAGAGACAATCGCGACTATCGTCGGTTCACTACCCCGATGGAGATGAGACCTTCGGCCGCCCGACACGCCCGGGCATGCCACCCATCCAGGCCTCTCGTGCTATCCTAGCTTCCCAAGTTCAGAGCGTCGAAGTCGAGAAGGTCAAGAAGGCCAAGAACATGGCTTTCGCTTTCGACATCGACGGTGTCCTTGTCCACGGTGACCGACTCATTCCCGAGGGACGTCGTGCTCTGGAGATCTTGAATGGTGACAACGAACTGGGCATTAAGATTCCCCACATCTTCTTAACCAACGGATCCGGAAAGCCCGAGAAGGCTCGTTGCGAGCAGCTCTCCAAGATTCTACAGAACCCCGTCGACACAGAACAATTCATTCAATCACACACTCCCATGAGCGCTCTCGCTGAATACTACAACACCGTCCTAGTCGTCGGCGGCGAGGGCTACAAGTGCCGTGAAGTTGCCGAGCAATACGGCTTCAAGGACATCGTCGTCCCCAACGACATTGTTGCCTGGGACCAGTCTATTGCACCTTACCGTGTGTTCACGCCTGAGGAGCGAGCATCTTCTCGGCCACGAGACTTCACCAAGACCAACATCGAGGCTATCTTGGTCTTCTCTGACTCTCGAGACTACGCGACCGACATGCAAATCATCATGGATGTACTACGATCCGAGAATGGTCGTCTAGGTACTATGGCTAAGGACCCCCTCTCTCAACGCGTCCCCATCTACTTCTCGCAGGGTGACATGTTGTGCCCCACAGAGCACTGGACACCTCGCATGTCTCAGGGTGCATTCCGTATCGGTCTCGAGGCCATGTACCGGGCCCTGACCGGAATCGACCTTGAGCGTGTCGTTTACGGCAAGCCCGAGACTGCTACATACAAGTACGCTGATGAGGTTCTCACCTCGTGGATGGAGCAGCTCCACGGCGAGGAGAAGCTTCCGGAAAACATCTACATGATTGGTGACAACCCGGCCTCTGACATCATCGGTGGCAACATGTACGGGTGGAACACATGCCTCGTCCGCACTGGTGTGTTCCAAGGCGGCGAGAACGACGAGAACAACCCAGCCAACTTTGGCGTCTTCCCCAATGTTCTGGAGGCAGTCCAGGCAGCGTTAAGGAAGGAATTGGGAGACGACTTCAAGATGCACTTCGACGACCGGATCAACCCTGTTCTACACGGCGACGGGGCCGACACAGCTGCGATCATTTGATTTGGATGATATCATTTGGGATTTAAGTGGGAATTTCTAGTGGGGGGGGGCGGGGCGTTTTTGGATCGGATCTTGATGACTTTTTCTTTCTTTTTTTGTTGTTGTGATAACTATCTAGAGCTTTACGACACCATCGTATTCAGCAGCATTGACTAACGAACTCAAGACGAACTTGGAAATATTGGAAGACTGACAACTTCTGGAAAGATATTTAGAAATTTCTCGAAATCTTTTAACCAGCCTTCATGCGCGCGGCTTGTGAGAGGAGATATTGGTGCTTGTTTCTAACCCCTCGTTCTCCTCGTTTTCTTATTTTTTTAGCTTCGTGTCGCCGACATTTACTGGGCCTCATCGCCATTTTCAGCATCTGTTAAGCCCACCGATCGCTTGTGCATGACTACGCCATCGCCAAAAAGACTTTCGCCGTGCATGCCTCGAGAACCGAACTATTTCTTCGATCTAACTAAAAACCTATCAACCTTGTATTATCCTGACTGACTATCCTATACTAAACAGAACCTTCCACCTTGCTAAGAGCCATTCAATATTAGATTAGAAATGGTATATTATGAGGAGATCGGATTATAGATGGTGATTATAGATGGTTACACTTGTCTTTATGTTGCAAGTGGATTTGTCGACGTGAAAACGACCTACTAACATGATAGAAACCCATCATTTGCCATAACTAGTAACTAATACAAATATCTTTCATATACCAAGGTATCTATCTACTGTGCTCACTGTAAAAACTCGCAACCTAATACTGAAAATACAAATACAAGAATCTGATCCGTGAAATGAAACGTGATATATCATCTATTAACATATCAACATGATGTAGATACGTTGATTTTTAGAGCCATGCAGTCAGGTTGCATCGATGGACTGCTGATTGTGAGCCTCGTATAGAATAGGAAATGAAATGCGTAGGACTAAGCTGATGTGCTGTGCTTATACATACATAGGTACATCCCTACCCAAGGTACATACATACATGTATGTATGTACGTAGAACGTGGCATAATTAAATGGGACTGTATAAAAGAGTGAATAAGATGTGATAGCAAGCATTAAATAACGACTAAGATAAGACCCTGAGTTTTCAACCAATGACCTTCAACCAGGACCGGAAAAAGGGGTCCTGACCCATAAAACAGGCGTTTTTAATGTAACATCGGGAACTAACCGGATGCGGCATTTCATTTAATGAAAATCTTACGAGAAGCGACGACGAGAACACGGCGGGTTTTAGGCGCTTTTCCGTCCTCACGATATTCTTTCCGCCGATTGCCTTTGCGGCTTGATGTCGGTTTCTTTCTAGAACGTAACTACCCGCCGCAGAAGCGCGCGCGCGTGGTGGCCAGTCACTCATTAAATTACCTTCCTTAATAATATACGTCGTTCTCTTGTTTTATCCAGTCGCTCATTTCATATAATATAACAATGCGCCGCATATTCGCGCTCCTGCTGTCCGTGTGGACGGCATCGCGCGTCGTCGCGCAGGATGGCAGCAGTGGCGCTGTCTGGGTGACGCCTCATGATAGTTATTCGTCCTCGGTTGGAGTGCTGGGGTGCAAAGTAAACACCAATCGCGTAGCCTACTGGCCAAGCGCAGTCGACTGCGACAACATCTGCGTCTCGCTGAGCTACGAGGACCGGTCTGTCAAACTGCTGCGCGTGGACCGGTCCGAGGGCGCGCATGATATTAGCTACGACGCCTGGAATTACCTGTACACCGGCTTCTCGGCGACCGAGAAACCCACGGCAGGCGGCGCCGTCGCTATGAACTTCGCAAATGTGGATGCTTCGGAGTGCGCGGATCTGATCCACACCGGCGGAGGCAAGCTCCCTCTTAGCGCCGCGAACAGCATGAATTTCTTGGCTAGTTGCCTCGCGCGTCCCGATAGCTGGGTCGCGAAGAATTATCTTCTGTATAATATTCTCGACTCCACGTGCGCCTGGGGCCACGACGAGGTGTGCACGCTGGATTGGCCGGCTGCTAATCAGGCGAGCTGCCCGAGCATGCTTGGAGACCCTGCTGCTTTGACGTCGGCGCCGGTCTACAATATCAGATATCCTTCAGGACAAACTGTTGTAGCCTCGTCAGGACAAGTTGTCGATCCCCAAAATGGTAGTAATGGGTGTGTTGGAATGTCGCCCAATTTGTTTGTTTTAATTCTGGTAGGAGTGGTTTCACATTGGCTGGCTCGTGCAGGTGGTGTGCACTTCTAGGAGCCATGTGAGTCGGGCGTGGGATTTGATACTTGATGTCGTCATAACGCCGACTGGATGCCGCGTGCAGGTTGGGGGTCATTGGCAGGTTGGCCGACAAGGGTGTGGCAGCCTTTACGATGCGGTCGGAATTTGTCCTATTCGGCATGATTACGAAGAGATACCCTGTTGATTGTTGACGTCTATTTTCAAATATTCTTATCAATATATTATACACCGAGTTTATTTCAAAAACTCAATCAAAGCTCCTCGAATAGAGAACTTGGAAAGACCACGAACAGGAAGGAGTATCATCATAATTGCGGATGCAAGAGCCAAGCAGAGCCTTGCCGTATATCCTCAACCTAAGCACTAGAGCCTGCTGCTGCTATGCAGGATGGGGTGCAGATGATTGGATGGAGGCAATGATGCATGTGAAAACTAGAATGTCGGTGCCAAAACCTGATTATCAAAGCCTGGATAACGAGACCTAGAGCCTTGTCGTAACGCGCATCATGTAGCATTGACTGACAACCCCGGATCAGGCTGAGCCGTATAGGACGTTCTACTATATTCGTAGGGTAAAAGACACCAATATGGATATCCAACAGCATGATACGGTAGGTATATGCATCCGAATCTACTCTGTTATATAAAGATTAGTATCTCTTCGTTCCCCCCCTTATCCTTAGAAGAAATTCAGTTCAATTCTTCTAGACGAAATATCAACAGCTATCTCATACGCATACTTTTCGTCTCTCAACATGGCTACCAAGACACGCAAGGTTCCCCAAACAGATTGGTACCATCATAAAGAGACAATCCTGAACCTATTTCTGACTTCTGATCTCTCCGTTGATCAATTAGTCCATACAATGAATAGGGATCATGGGTTCTCTGCCACGTATGTCTATGCCTTCTAACATCGTAGCTGAGCTAACCCTCTCCCCAGTGTCTCTCAATATGAGGCTCAATTCAGAGTCTGGAACGCTCGCAAGAACTTGAAAGTCCACGAATGGGAGGCGATATTCGAAATAATCGACCGCCTTTCATCTCAAGATATACAATCAAGAGTTGTCATTTCAGGCCACCCCGTATCAATGAATAGGGTTCTCCGGGCAAGACGCCGCTGTGAAAGAGAAACTCGCCTTGGAAAACATCGCAGAGTGGAAACGGACCTATCTGACGTATCAGATGGCCACAAGACCAGTGATGCTTTTATCGAAGTTCAAAATTCAAGCGGTGAATGGCGTCAATATACAAGTTCAACGCACCAGAGCAGCCCTGGTGGGGCAGTTGAGTTGGTCATCCAGGAGTTGATCGTCGACAACGAGGTCAATCGAGCTAGGTTTGCATACGATAATCCCCAGAACTTGCCGAGTGATTCTTCGTAGTCATTCTCGTTCCATACTCCCGAATTTATGTCCAGCAATCGGTTGACATCTAATGAGGGCGAGAATTCCGCAAATCCCGCGGGTCCTTCAATTGATGGTCCCGAACCTCAGGTCACGCAGGCCTTAATTCAGTACGAATTCAATGAAGATATCATATCTCCAGGTGTCGAGATGGCAACCTCTCCCTTGCGGCTAGATTCCCTAGGCCAGTTTTCTCTCGGGACACTATGCATAAACGACTTGCCGTTTGAGCGGTTTGAACAAGACTTGGCATTAGGACGCCTTGTTCTGGCTTTACACCCGTCTCCATGGCATGACTCCGCGCTATTGTCCGGAACCCAGACATTAGTGACAAAATTTGTCGTTGAAGTTGCTACTGCTATGTCAGAAACCAACAAGAAAACCCCTGCTCAAAATGTTAACCAAGCATGGTTTACGTTGCGAAAGTTACAATCTATTCTACCTAGAACTCAACAGGAATCTAGACATACCAGCTTGGCTCGGCTGTCGCATGATATGCTCGAGGTTGAACTACATCGTATTCTTTTATTCTCAATTGCTAATGGATTTGTTGGTCTAGATGAAATACCTCTCAAACTAGTATTCAGGTTTCTAGACCAACATATCAACGTCAGTTCCCTATTATCTCGCTGGTTCCAAGTTATCCCAAATCACTTTGCAAGAGGGCTGGCAGAGAATTTATTTCGAGCGTCAATAGAAGCCGGAAATCACCATGCCGTTAAATTCTTTCTACAGAAACGTTTAGTAGATGTTAACAATACATTCTGTTTCGTAGGTCACCAAAAGTATACACCTCTACAACGTGCCTCTGGGCTCGAAAGAGCTGAAAGTTATTCGCGAATTACTCCGGTTTAAGCCAGATGTTAACAAGACGTTCCTTGATCCATTCAACCAAAATGATATCGACTGGAGGCGAGCTCTAGGATGTTTGATTTATGTACCTAAATACATATGGGGTCCAGATGGATGCTTTATTGAATACAGGAGCAACCGTATATTCCTTCCCGAGTACATGGAAACCGTGGATGCTTTAATAGATGCTGGAATAAGGATATATCCTTCCTTCATCCGCCTCTCCCTTGAGAGGTATGTTAAAATGGATCTTGCTAAGAAGCTTCTATCTAAAATTGCGGCATCTGATCACTTGGAGGTTATCTCCAAAGGCATCCTGTCTATTATCATCAGGCAGCTTCCAGCTGGGGACGCCTTAGAAATCATTTCTAAGATCATGCCCAGTTACGAGGAAACCAGGTGTAAGTGTCCAAGTTACCAGGATGAGATACATTGGGCAATCATTACTGCCGCCAAGCAAGGCAACATCCAACTTGTTCAACGCCTTTTCCAGCATGCTAAGTCTTCAACCCAAATCCTAAGCGCGGCGATCAGAGGAGGCAACCAAGAACTTATTGAGTTCATCCTAGCTCAAAAGCCCGCTATATGCCAGACACCTGCCGAACTAATTAACAAACCAATCAATTTGGTGAAACCTCGATTTTCGGATTATACAACACCACTGGCTGAAGCAATAGACGGAGAGTATGAGTTACTCGTGAAGAGTCTTGAAAATGAAGGCGCTCTTGAACACCTTAATAATGTGACCTACACCTGTTATCCTAATATACCTTCGCGGCTCGATACCGCGATATGCGCTGCATCCAGAGTGGGAAACATCCTGTATATCAGAAAACTACTATCCATCACTACTGACATCAACGATGAAGCCGCCATCAATGCGTTGTCAGAGGCATCCAAAAATAGACGAGAAGACATAATTCGACTTTTACTCGACTCGGGAGTTCGTATTAATGTCCGTGGCTCATCCGAACATATTAACCTAAGTTCATGGTTGAATTATATAAGTGGAATATGCCGCTCCTATCCGATATAATGTTAACTTTCCCGAGTATTCAATTCGTTTTCGGCGATGCAGAATTTGCTAGTGATGGTTTAAAATCAGAACCTCCGGAGATATTGGATTTCTTTTGCCAGCATAACCTCCTGTCTGGCGATAATTTAATAAGAGGCCTGAGCATAGTAGTCAAACAGTGCTATAACTCAATACTTCGTCATATCCCTAGATTGGGACTAAATATGGCCAATGCTGGCATGCTATTGTATGCTGCAAGAAAACAGCCAAATATGCTACGAACACTTTTGGCATATATTCCATCTACTCAAGAAGCTACCTTTGGGTTTGGAGCATCTTGTGTTGTGGATGTAATTCGGCGCGGCGATCTGGAATCATTGGATATTCTTCTTGCCTGCAAAGCTATTGATTTCAAGCATGTATTCAACTACGGCATGACGCCCCTAGCAGCGGCTATCGAACTCGAGGCAGTAAGCTGTTGTTCCCAATTTCCGTGTACGGCAAGACTTCTTGACGCAGGTTGTGACCCTAACGAACTTGTCGTATTCGATTATCCCGTTAGCCATCACAGACCACCCAGAACAACACAATTTATTATAGCAATTAATACAGGGAATAAGAATCTGGTACAACTTCTTTTAGGTCGTGGCGCTGACGTTAACAAAGGAGCTGCCCATGGGATTAATCAGACCCCATTGCAGGCTGCGGCAGAAGGCGCAGATCTTGACATGACTGAATTATTGCTTCAGAATGGAGCAGATGTCAAGGGAAAGCCCTCAACATGTTATGGTGGTACGGCTCTACAGTTTGCGGCCATAGGCGGGAACTGCAATATTGCAGCACTTCTTATTGATCGGGGTGCTAATGTATATGATCCCCCGTCCACATTCAATGGACGATGGCCTCTGGAGGGCGCCGCCGAATACGACCGGATAGATATGATTCAGTTCCTCTGGAACGTCAGTCTTGGTGGCTTTCCTATTGAGCAATGTCGTAAGGCAATAGAACTTGCGGAGAAGAACGGGCATAGAGCATGTGGGGATTTGATTCGGGAATTGGCAGCTTCGAGTGGGATCATGCTCACACTTGAGAATTAAGAGTAAGGTCGGGTTGTTTTCCGTACTTCTACGCTTTTACCGTTTACATGATAAGATAAAGGGGGTTTGGGAGTCATAGGGGTTTTTTGATTTAGGTAGTTTCTCACGTTGGTAATTGCTGCTATCGAAAAGAACATAACTACCCGAGGAAACTAACGGCTCGTGGTATAATGCTGGACATGATTTTGAGCAGTACAGACGTTTTTGTTGGAAGATGGAACTGCTCTTTGGGCCATAGAAACTTCTTCTCTGGATATGAATTAATTCATTTACGTTTCCTAGGCTACTGGTAGATTGGATAAGTCCCTTACTCTACGCTCTAGTCTCCTGCCCAGTTAAGTATAGTTATAAATGGAATGAAAGGTTCAATCCGTTCTTACTATAGGTAAAACGCACTTCCTTTTGGTAACTTCACTAGGTCACCATGGAACCTATGTTGTCGTATTTTCACTGTGGTTCCCTCCCCCGAAATTTCCCTTGTCCCCAAAAAATGAAATCACAGAAAAGAAATCCCAGAAAAGAAACCCTCGAGAGGAGTAGAAACCATGGACGTGCGATGGCTACTCCTAACCCTACCCCCACTCTCTTCCCCAAAGAAAAAGAACAGCGGCCCTTTCACCGGACATGCCTTGCAAATCCATATTCGGGTTTCGTTTAAAAGATTCCACTGTGTCCCGTTCTTCCACTTAGCTAGCATAGGAGCCATCTTGGTATTGTCGATGTTCATTCCCGCGTATAGGGCTTGTTCTAGCAGTTTCTTGCTCTATTTCATCTGGGTTGGTTTTCCGGGGCCTACCAACCTTTCCCATTTCAGATACATGGTGCTCCTCTAGAGACTTGATACATTCGAACGATGCATTGCATTGGCAAATAAGCTTCCCGTAGGCGATTTTTCTAAGCCAATAGATACCAAGCTATGTTGCCTACTCCTTCTATTTCCGCAGGTTTCTGAGCACATCGAAGGCTGTGTAACTTGCATATGCAATGTTCGGAAATCCCTGTTGCCGGACGAGGGCCAATTTTCGCATCCTCCCACACCTGAAAAATGTTTTTGGCCAATTTCTGGTCCCGGAATATTGGTATTACAAGATAGAACTCACTATATAGCGCGCTAGATGCTCCCCAAGGCCAATTTCTGAGACCTCAGCTATCAGTACCTAGGTTAGCTACTATTCTAGTTTTCACCGACCTACCTTTTGGCCGATTTTAATATCCACCATACCATACATGCATCATTGGGCCAATTTTAAGATCTACTCGTATAGAAAACTCGCCAGAATGATATTACGAGAGCTCGGTATGGACAGGGCGTATGGGCCAGTTTCCCGTGTGTATATAGCAAAATCTACCTAGTCATTCAGACATTATATTATATATAACAACCAAAGTAATATTATAGAAAATAGGAAGCTTCATATCTCTAGAACTAATAGTCTACTCGAATAAGCTATGCAGTAGTTTAATCGACTTTTCATGCTTCCGTTGAATCACTTGTTAATTCGTTTCGCAATATCCACAATCACTTGTTACGTCGGTGACCCTCGAATAGTCCACCGGCTATTTTGATTATTTATTTTGGCCTGGACGGTGTCTACGGTATTCTAAACAAATCTTATTTTGGCAAGTCTATACTAATACCCGACCCGAATAGCATGAGGGCTCCGCACAATATACATCCGAAAATATGACGTCGCCATCTTCTACAAACGATAATGTCAATGACCACTCCCCTACGTCCATAGAACTAAACAAAGACGTCGAGCGTAAAAGCTTCCAGCAGGCTATCTCTCTATCGAAAGAAAATCACGATTTCAATGGTCGTTCCGCACTACGGGAAGATATGAATCCAATGGAACGATGGCTTTTCCAAGGGCCTGAGGAAGACCCTTGGAATCATGTGGCAGCGATTGGGGACACCCGCAAACCAGCTTCAGACCTGGGGGTGAATAAGAAGGAGTCCTCAGAAACAGTACATTGTTAAACTATGGCGCAAGCTGGTAGTAGCTCGAGCCTACCGCGCAAGTGAATGTACACTGGAAGTTTTAGACAACAGGCTTGAGTTTAACGGATAGAGTACAACAAGGTAGATATAATAAAACTGAGGAACTATAGTCGGAGATCCTTTAATATAGTTCCATCTTTATCAGAACGCCTAGAGGGTCTGCATTTCCTCAACCTAGTTTAAATCACTGGGAACTCTTACACTTTATTGTTGAGACCTAGTTAGTAGAATGCTATACTGCGGTAGTACGTGATGCCTTGGTAGGAATTGAGCAAAACGTAATTGTTGGTTACTCCAAAACAATGAACTTATCAATATATTTCTACTATAATTTATGCTAAGTTAATGTATCTCAAGGGTATATAGCAGTGTTAGGTAACCTTAATTACTTGGCCGTTAAAAGACGGAATAAGCTTTATACTGCCCCACAATAGGCCGTCCCGTCCCGCGCATACCCGTAAACTGCGAGTAATTGCCGATCTGATTGATGCATTAAGCATGTCAACGTCATGCGCGGTTTGTCTCTCAACTTAAACAGTTACGACTCTTTCCCCCCTTTTCAATTAGCGGGTGTTCTCATTCGAACCATTGCTTAGCTAGCTGTCTATTCGTTTATAATATCTAGTACTCCGCGGCGGTATATTGAATCAGAATAGCAAACATGGCAGAGTCTTCTCAACCCCTCCGGATCGGCTTCGTGCCGGAGCACTTTTCTACGCCGCTCTACTTCGCCCAGAAGCATTTCGGTCTCACAGCTACACTGATTCCGTTCCCCTCCGGAACGGGTCATATGATTACAGCTATGCGGTCCGGCGAAATCGATGTTGGTATTGGCTTGACGGAAGCTTGGGTTGCGGGTCTTGGCAAGGAAGATACGCCTGGCGACGGCGGCTACCGCATCGTCGGGACTTACGTTGAAACCCCTCTCTGTAAACTACCTGACCACAATAGTGTCTTTTATGAATTACATGAGACTTATTGACATTTACACACAGGCTGGGCGATTTCGACTGGCGCTAAACGGCCTGAGATCACTTCTGTCGACTCACTGAAGGGGTCTAAGATCGGGATCTCACGCTACGGCTCCGGCAGCCAAGTAATGGGCTACGTACTAGCCGACCAGCAAGGCTGGTTGACGCCTGGTGTATCGCCGTACTCAGACTTCGTAGTGCTGCAGAATTTTGCGAACCTCCGGAACGCGGTTAACGACGGCACAGCCGACTTCTTCATGTGGGAGCACTTCACGTCGAAGCGGTACTACGACAGCGGGGAAATCCGGCGCGTCGGCGAGATCTACACGCCGTGGAGCAGCTGGAAGATTGTGGCGTCGACGGCGCTGCTGCCGGAGCAAAACCCGGATAAGCGACTCCTAGACTTGTTTAAGAAGCTAGATGAGGGCATCAACTACTTTTCTTCGCATCATGATGAGGCAGTCAAGTATATCAGCACCGAGCTTGATTATTCAGAGGCGGATGCGAGAGAGTGGCTGCGCACGGTACAGTTTGCTATTAAAACAGAAGGCGTGGACTTGAAGGTCATCCAGAGCTGTGTCAATATCTTGCGTAAAGCTGGAGTTCTGGCTGAGGGCAAGGGTTTACAGCCGGAGAGCATGTTGGTTAAGGGATTAGGTGCGCAATTCCCGCAATAAGTCCTATGGTATTTTCATATAAAATAAGAATACAAAGTCTTTGAAAAGGAGAGACTGCCGCTTATTCTTACTTGCTTATCATCTACCTATGTCTATGTACATGTACCTAGGTACTTACCTTAGGTACATTTTGACATTGCATCGTACTAAGCCTTTAGGATCGCAATTCGACATAAAAGTCGTCATTGCTTTAGCCCCACATTGCCGCTCTCCACATGCAATTCGATATCCAAGATATCTCCAAATCAAGCTTCATCTTTAACAATTTCCAAAGCTACGAAAAGCCGTTTCTCTTCCTACACCCTACGACTGGGCTGCTCTCCCCAGTGGACGCCGATTGAACCTATACGTTTACTTTTGAAGACCTAACCTAGTATTCTTCGAAATCCGCGTTACAATTAAACAGAGAGCGTCTAAAATGCCATCATCCACCATCAACGCCCGCTGGCTGCGACAAGCCCGCCTCCTCTCCACCAATTCCCGACCTTCAAACCCAACCACCGCAATACAAACCATGCACATCCGAACCACCCCTCACCCACGAAGCAGACGCTTCCAATCCACCAAACCACCCTCCCCTCCCAACCCAACCTCCGAGTCCCAAGCCCGCCAAACCCGCCGCTTCGACGCCATCCTCACGCACACAAGCCGCTGGCTCCCCAAGCGTCTTCGGCCATACCTTGAAAAACTGCGCTCGGCGCCGTTCTCGCACATAGCCGCGTTTCTAATACTACACGAAGTCACAGCGGCAGTCCCATTGCTCGGACTAGCATATGGGTTTCACCGCGCAGACTGGGTGCCGACGGCATGGGTGCTAGGGCCGTGGGCGGCGTGGGCGGAGGAGGGGCTGTCGCGGTATATGCGATGGTTTAGGAAGAAAGGCTGGTTTGGGCTGGGGGACGAGGCGGATGGGGGAATAGAGGGTGAGGAGAAGTTGGAGAGGAGGTTAAAGGCGGAGATGGAGAAGGAGAAGGAGAAGGGAAAGAGTGGGGGAAGTTGGTTTGGGTCTTGGATGAGGCGGAAAGGTGAGGATGGTGTTAATGATATATCTATGAGTGAAGAGCATATGCATGAAGCTGGGAAGGGCAAGAGTGCAAAGGCTTGGCGGAAGGTCAAGGATACCGTCACAGTCGAGAATACGGAAAAGGGATACAAGATTGGCATACAAATTGCCGCGGCCTACGCAATAACAAAAGCCTTGCTAATACCTAGGATAGCAATCAGCCTATGGGCGACCCCTTGGTTAGCTAGGGGGTTTGTAACCGCGAGGCGCTCCTTGTGGAAAAGGCGTAGCTAAGAATAAAGCCATTCCCATCCGATTATACAAATGTAATATCACGGATAGAGGCCCTTATTTGTTTATAAATCTTGGTTCATTGCAATGTGCACTTTTTGTCTGATCCGACTATATGGTTTTGTCTGTTTCGCTTGTCCAAGCTAGATCAAACTGCCACCATGTCATGAGGATCTCTACCACTATATTTATTTTTTCCTACTCGTTGTTCTCTTACTCGTAGAGCCACTTAGCCTGGGCGCTCTCCCAGCTGACGACATCACCCTCGCTGAACCACAGAGCAATCTCCTTCTTGGCGTTCTCGACGCTGTCGGAGCCGTGGCAGACGTTGCGGCCGGTCTGGAGAGCGAAGTCACCCTACGATCTGTTAGTTAGGGTTGGAATATGGTGAAAATTATGTTTACTTACGCGGATGGTACCGGGAGCAGAGGCGAGGGGGTTGGTGGCACCGAGAAGAGCTGAAAAGTAACGGTTAGTGCTGACAGGTTTAATGGTATAGGGGGTTTGAACGTACTTCGGCCAGTCTTGACGGCATCAAGACCCTCCCAGACCATGGCAGCAATCGGGCCGCTGTTCATGTCTAAGCTCGGGTTAGCTATGTGAAAAAGCGAAATAGCCGTTGTGATGACATACACTCAATTAGACCAGGGAAGAAGGGCTTGTCCGCAAGGTCGGCATCTGTTACGATCGTGTTAGTTCACAAATGTCGTGCTTCGAGAGGGTGATATTGGCTTACAGTGCTTCTCGAGGTGGGCCTTGCCGGGGGTAACCAGCTTGATGGCAACAAGTTTGAAGCTATTTCATCTTTAGATCGCAACTTGAGAATGTAATGGGGTTATTCTACTCACCCTCGGCTCTCGAAGCGAGAGATGATAGCGCCAACAAGGCCACGCTATAATTAAGGGTTAGGAAGTGTTCTGTTCGGGAGCTTCGTATGGGTGAATTGAAATACCTGGACGCCGTCAGGCTTGATAGCAATGAAACTATAAACATTTTATTAGATTTACTCTATGTCACAGCATTTACTACCATAAAAAAAGGGCGAGAAGTAGGGCAACTCACGTCTGCTCAGTCGACATTTTGGCTTCTGGTACAGCTTCTTGGGTGTATAGCGGGGTAGGCACTGTTTGGTAAAGAGTTGTGGTAGTAGTAACCGTTGAAGTAGAAGGGGAAAAAGATCCCTTGAGGTAGTCTACGTCGTGCTTGATGCTTTGCCTAAATGTCCAACCTTGACGATCTGGTTGAGTCTTCCAGGGAAAAAGGAAGAATAAAAGAAATAGGAGGACGGCGCTTCCAAAGATTGTGAAGAAAAGATGGAGGGTGGGGTGACGGCTATGGTGGGGTATTAGGCCTAAGAATCTCACATTGGGCGGTCGCTGTTGCCCGCGATTGGGTTTGCTATGGCTTTCAACCCTGTGGGTCTCATTTGGGGCTGGAGCTGGAGCTGGAACTGGAACTGGACCTGAGACTGGGGCCTTGTGGCGTCTCGAAACATCCTGTGGCTTGTACATCTTGGATAATAGGGCCAGGTGCTTTTCTGCTTTTCTGCTTTTCCTCAACTATGTATTTCCATCGAATAAGTATTTCAGGGGTTCTCAACGATACTCAGATCGATACACATGTGAGAGCAACCTCCGATATGATTGGTCAACTCTTTCTCATGCGTTTAAATAGGAAATAGGAAATAGGAAATAGGAAATAGGAAATATGAAATAGGGGAGAGGATGGAGAGTGTGCAGAAGCAACCGTTACCTTAGGTATGTATGATCACAATAGGAGGTTTGAGACTTATTAAAAGAACAGCAGTGCACTTGCGTAACTCATAGAGAATGCGATGACAAAATGCGTGAAGGATATGACCGCATCTTTTACGACAAACCACTACTCTGTGAATATTCCAAGTAAACAAATTGAACAATTGGCCAATATTATCCGTAGTGTGGCTAGTAATGAGAAGCCAATATTATTGTGGCTTATCGGGCTAGGTATTAGGTAGAGATCTCAGAGGTGCTTCCAATGAGATAGGTAATATGGACCCAATGAGATAATAGGTACCCAGTAAGAATAGTGGGGAATATCAACCCCAGTGTTTGGTTAAATTCGGGGAAGCTTGTACCTAAGCAGCTAAGCACCTAAGCAAGCACCTAAGGTAGCATTAAGCTGTCTTTTTGAACGGACAACTAGCATTAACTCCTTTGGCCTCCCACAATTAAATCAATTAGATACAATTGCTTGCGATTCTGCGAAGCAATTTCACAGCTAATCTCATGACCTTATATCCATGAGATCCTTTTATTTGGTCCTATATTTTATTTAATACTTATTGCTGGTTCTCTCTACATTCATAACCCTTATAAGGGACGCCGTGCCAAGGGACCAAATATGGCCGGTGACGGTACAAGTCGACTATCCTCAAGATGGCCGGTTTTGTTGTGCCTTCTCACGGTCCTTTGCTCTCTTTTTACACCCGGAGGTAAATTTTTACCCAACTACGGCCTAAACGAATATCCCTAAGTAGCTAATTGTAAATAGTGGCGGTTAAGGAAAACGATTTCAAGAAATGCCACCAGTCGGGCTTCTGCAAGAGAAATAGGGACTACGCTGACAATGCAGCTTCCCTGGGTTCCTCATGGCAAGCACCATATAAGATCTCTCCCGAGCTGGCCTCGTTCAAAGATGGCCAATTCCAAGCTACAATCCTGAAGACCATCGACGAGCAAGGAAACACTGTTCGGCTCCCCCTCACCGTATCTTTCCTGAAGTCGGGTACGGCACGTGTGTCTGTTGACGAGCAGAAGAGGCAAGAGAAAGACATTGAGCTCAGGCACAATAGCAAAGCCAGAAAAGAAAGATACAATGAAGCTGGAAAATGGGCTATCGTCGGTGGCTTGGACGTTGACACGGATGCTAAAGTTTCCCACGAGAGCAAGACTGGAATCAAGATCCAGTACGGCCCTAACTCTGCATTTGAGGCTGACATAACCTATGAGCCGTATTCGATCAATTTTAAACGGGATGGTGTTACTCAAATCAAGTTCAACGACCGAGGATTGATGAACTTGGAGCATTGGCGACCGAAGATCGAAAAGCCAACACCCGAGAAGAAAGAAGGAGAAGAATCACAAGAAGAAAAGAAGGAAGAAACCCCTGAAGTAGCTCCTTCAGAAGACGAGAGCACTTGGTGGGACGAGGCCTTTGGTGGGAACACTGACTCCAAGCCCCGCGGCCCTGAGAGTGTTGCACTTGATATCACCTTTTTTGGTTACGAGCATGTCTATGGAATTCCAGAACACGCCGGTCCCTTGTCGTTGAAAGAGACGCGTGGCGGCGAAGGCAACTATGCGGAGCCCTACAGGCTATACAATGCTGATGTCTTCGAGTACATCTTGGACAGCCCGATGACCTTGTATGGTGCAATCCCTTTCATGCAAGCTCAGCGAAAGGACTCCACAGTTGGCATTTTCTGGCTCAATGCCGCCGAAACCTGGATTGACATCACTAAAGCAAAGGAATCCACGAATCCCCTGGCTCTTGGAATTGGTGCCAAAACAAGTACTCAAACTCATTGGATCTCAGAATCCGGCTTGATGGACGTCTTCGTTTTCCTTGGACCAACTCCTCGCGACATAACTAAGAGCTATGCCGAGCTTACTGGTACTACCGCATTGCCTCAGGAATTCTCCCTCGGGTATCACCAATGCCGGTGGAACTATGTCTCGGACGACGACGTCAAGGAAGTCGACCGTAAGATGGATCGGTACAACATTCCATATGATGTCATTTGGCTGGACATCGAGTATACCGATGACAAGAAGTACTTCACTTGGGATAAAGATATGTTCAAGGATCCGATTTCCATGGGTAAGCACTTGGATGCTCATGGAAGAAAACTGGTCACCATTATTGATCCGCACATCAAGAATGTGGGCGGCTATCATGTGTCTGATGAACTCAAGTCGAAGAGCCTAGCCGTCAAGAATAAGGATGGCAATGACTTTGACGGCTGGTGTTGGCCAGGATCTTCTCACTGGATCGATGCGTTCAATCCTGCAGCCATCAAATGGTGGTCATCCCTTTTCAATTATGATGCGTTCAAGGGTACCATGGAGAATACATTTGTCTGGAATGATATGAATGAACCATCCGTGTTTAATGGACCCGAAGTTACCATGCCGAAAGACAACCTTCATCATGGTGACTGGGAACATCGTGATGTTCATAACCTTAATGGAATGACTTTCCACAATGCAACATACGAAGCTCTCCTTTCCCGAAAGAAGGGTGAGCTACGACGTCCATTCATACTTACCAGATCATTCTATGCTGGTTCTCAGCGTCTTGGAGCTATGTGGACCGGTGACAACCAGGCCAGCTGGGAACACCTTGGAGCCTCTATCCCTATGATCCTTGCTCAAGGAATCTCTGGATTCCCCTTCTCTGGCGCTGATGTCGGCGGTTTCTTCGGCAATCCAGAATTAGAGCTACAAAGTCGTTGGTACCAAGCTGGTGCTTTTTACCCATTCTTCCGAGGACACGCTCATATTGACGCTCGGCGCCGGGAGCCATTCCTACTCGCGGAGCCGCACCGGTCTATCATTACCTCCGCCCTTCGCCTTCGTTATAGTCTACTTCCAGCTTGGTACACTGCATTTTACCATGCCAACCGTGACGGAAGCCCCATCATACGCCCTCTATATTGGACGCATCCGAGTGAGGAAGGCGGCTTCGGGATCGACGACCAGTTCTTTGTTGGATCGACAGGCCTCCTGGTTAAGCCAATCGTGGAGAAGGACAAGACTTCTACTGATATTTATATCCCGGATAGTGAGGTCTACTATGACTATTTCACTTACAAGAAGTTGCCTACGACCAAGGGCAAGCACTTAACCGTGGATGCACCCCTTGAGGCTATCCCTGTCTTGATACAGGGTGGACACATCCTCCCCCGCCGTGACATCCCGCGACGTTCCTCCCAGCTGATGAAGTTCGACGATTATACCCTCGTCGTAGCTGTTAGCAAGAAAGGTGAAGCAGAAGGAGAATTGTATGTTGATGATGGTGACTCTTTCGATTACGAAAAGGGGCAATACATCCACCGCAAGTTCAAGCTCGAAGGCTCGACGCTTGCTTCTACCGATGCAGAAGGTCGTGATGCCAAGAGCATTAAGGAAGGAGACTGGCTAAAACGGATGCGCAACGTTGCCGTCGACAAGATCATCGTCATTGGGGCACCTTCGTCTTGGGCTAGCAAGAAGGAAGTGATTGTTGAATCCGAGGGTAAGAAAGTCTCAGTCCCGCTTATTTACCATAAGGCGGACGGTGATAGGGGCACATTTGCGGTTATAGGACGTGTTGGTGCCAGGATCGGCGCCGATTGGACCATTGCTTTTGCTTAGAGGATTAGATATGAATGTAGGTATTATCTATAGAGACGAATATAATGACCAAAAACCGTTACGGGTGTTCCAAGGATTTGTATGGATACTTCTGATAAGTGATGCTGAAATTTTACAGTTAAAAATTCATATCATATTCTATTAGGTATCACCAAATGCAATGCTTCCCCCCAACCCAGATCCAATTAATCTAACATGTATATTGAGTTAACCCTGCCTCACAGGTCCTACCACGTTCTATTGTGTATCGTTTCACTTCATCCAGCATATTGCTTAAACTTGAGCAGCTCGTCTTCACAATCCACGTTCCCGGAGGGGTTTCTAAATATAACTATCTTAAAAGCCATTCATCTTAGGTTTCTTACCGCCTGCAATGCTGTCGTATTTCCTCCAGATATCATCCAGCGTTGTATGTGCTGGATCGGCGACGTCTTCCTTTGGCAGATCAGAGGTTTCTTGGTCTCTGCCTATTCTATCCATCTTTTGGATCGCGGAAGGGTCGAATTTCTTCGCGAAGTCTCGGATCTGCTGGATGGCGCCGTCGGAAACGGTTGGACCGGTTCGTGCCAACGCGGCGTCGAAGTGCCCCTTGGTGAGCACCCGGGTCTCGCCGGACTTGTCCGACTTGTCGAGCTCGTTTTGGCAGATAAGCGCTGCTTGAGTGCAGATCGTCTTGATGTCGGATCCGGTGAAACCGGCGGTGCGACCGGCTAGATGCGAGAAGTTTACGCTCGAGTCTACCTTCTCGTCTCGGAGGAATATGCCGAGGATTTTCTCGCGGGCAGAGCGGGATGGCAAGCCGATGAATAAACGCGCGGGTACACGGCGCATGACAGCATCGTCGAGGTCATTCGGATGGTTCGTCGCGAGCAGCAAGAACGGCGGTATCTTAGAGGCTTTTAACCCGTCTTGCTGGTTCAGTAGCTCATTGAGATGGCTCCGTTCCCAGCTCCGGTCGTCCGAGCCACGCTTCCGGAACAGGGCATCCGCCTCGTCGATAAATATGATGCTGGGAGCAACCATCGAGCCGAGGTTGAAGAGAGCCTTGATCAGCTTCTCCGAGTCCCCGACCCACTTGCTTTGAAGCTCTGCTGCGGAGACGTGGATCATGACGGCTTTGTACTCGTGCGTCAAGACTCGGGCCAGCTGCGTCTTTCCTGTTCCTGGCGGGCCGTAGAGCAAGGCGCCGCGAATGCGAGATTTGCTTAAGAGGCCGTATTGGGATTTTGGGTCGGAGCTGGCTAGGTCTATGAGTTGTTTGATTGTGCTTTTGGTGTCTTCGTCGACTTCGATGTCTTTCCAGCTCTGTTCGACGGTGTCTAGATGGTTTGTTAGTCGTGGGAGCAAGGTTCTGTATATAGCAAGTAAACTCACCAGAGTTGACAATAGAGTCCAACAATATGTGTTCGTATTCATATTTGATAGAATCACCTTTGATCGTCTCGATTGCTCTCCGTGCATCCTCGTGGAGGCGATCCCATTGTCCTGACGGTGACGTCTCCTCCTTTTCTTGCATCCACTCGTTTAGCATCTTGAGTCTCGCAAATGCCTTTTCGACGTTTTCAATAGTTAAGTTGGCGCCCAAGGCACTTGCGATTAATTCCATTTCACGGTCCTTGAAGTAAGGGTCATTGAGCCGTTTTGTAGCGAAACTCTCGGAAGGGAGTTTCCAATCAACGTGTGGCTCTAAAAGTCCCGAGAAAGACCTGGCTTTTTGTCTTTCTCGAATCCTCTCCTGTATTTTCCGAATATTAACTTTCTGTATTACCTTCTTGCAGTCCTGTTCAAGTAGCCTTTTCTGTAAGTCTGTTTTGATCGGTACTATTACCTGCACCGCACTGACTGGATTAAACCCGAGATCAAAGAGGAACTCTCCATCGTCTGAAGGTGGCGGTGGCCAATAACTACCATATACTGGATCGTTCTGGTTATCTATGGCAATGACTGCAATCTCTTGGCCTTGACTTCTGGCTTCGTTGACAGCACCCCTTAGATGCGTCAAAATATCTCGAGGGCATTTGTAGAAGTCTTCTGCGACTTCAGGTAGTAATATGATTATAGGACGTTCTTGTTTTCCCGCAGTAGCTCTCTGTGAAGAGCCCCTCTTATCCGATGTCGAGGCAAACAATTGTGCAAACGGAAATGGAAGCTTCTTTCTTTCTTGTTTAGGCGAGGGTTTTACGAAATAGAGATCTCGGAATGTCGACATTCCAACAGGAAGAGAATGACCCGATAGTGTAGCAAAATGAGTTGCAAGGTTCTCAATATCGTGTAGTCCTAAGGTGATAATATCGGCTCCAATGTCTCTCGCAAAGCGCTGTACTACCAGATTTAGAAATTGCTGGCCATGTGAGATGTGTGGCATCCGAAGTGCCATAGCATCATGGCGAAACTTTATAGGGAGGTCCATATCCGAATGGTCTTGTTGCCCTTTTGTGTCTTGAGGAAACACAAGGTCAAACAGACTCTCATACATGACTGAATCAATCACATAATTCTCAGGCCTCTCAGTCTCGGGTGCTTGATTGCTTGATGAATCATTGATAGTTAATGGAATATCGCATTCGACCAGTTCTTCGAAAGTTTTAATGCAACTTTTGAACCAGGGAGGTAATTCTGGCTGTGCCACGTCATCCTCTGTAGTGGCAGGCGTCATTATTTCATTTGTCGAGTCTTCTAATGTAGCAGCGGACTCGCTATTATCGTCTTGTATGCCTTCGGAAATTTTGTCGTTTACTGTTGGCATGTCTTGGGCTGTAGGCGCATTTTTTCCCGTAATATCTTCTCCAGTCATCGTAGCAAGCTAATTTTCCTATGGCTTGGGGTACTACTGCTATCGGTCGAGTGTTATGAAGTCGTTGCACAATCGAAGTGGTAACATAGGCCGCTATAAGGATAGAATAAGACTTATATATATATTAAAAGTTTATTAAATAAATAAATTCAGAACTTGTTTGTCACGGTTGGTAGTCACAATGTTATCTGGAGAAGCCAGACAACATCGTGACTTAGGTCCTGAGTCAGGACCTGAGTCACGGCTTTCAGCCTTTGTACATATATATAGACCTCGCAGCTTTGCTGCAAGGGTCTGATGTTCTGGGTTCCCCAGAACATCATCTTCAATCAATGATACCTTTTGGTTTCAGCCTCGTGATATTGTTTAAATTATTATTCTTTATGAATCTTGAATGCCCTTTAATTCTCATCCTTTCGTTATTTTCCTCTCATTTCTACATGGAAGCCTACCCCTATATGAGGCATCCAGCGGGGCTGTGAAAATACAACAACCACCCTAAATTCTTTCATAGTCTAGTCTAAGTTGTCAAGCGTTGTAGCCTAGTAGAATGCCTAATAGAATTCTATTAAATGCTTAGTTCGTAAGCACTATTGAAATCTAAGTCTTTCTTCGTGCATTTACAATTGCCTGGTTTCTTGTTTTCTATTGAATGGAGGCAACTCACCAATTAGCTCCATGCAGCCACTTTATAGCATTAACTCAGCCCCTTCAGCTTTCTAACCTAGCTATTCCAAATGTTGAATATATGCTTTAGAGTCTTGTCTAGATTATTAACTTAGAGTGAGCGCTCTTGATGAGAATTCCGTGTAACAGTAGCTTTCATTCGGCATGGCTACTAAGTACGAGTACGAGACACTACTTTTTTCTCAGCACATCCGCCTATTGAGACACCATGATGGCTAGAAGCTAGAAGATATATCATGTGAATTGGTCAATACCTAGATGGCGCCCCTCCTTTTGAAGCATTGTCGTATGTATGGTGTAATCCGCTTCCTCGTATGCCAGTTCATTGCTCTGGGGAAGCTATAAAAATTGGGTCGAGCTTACATAGTGCACTCTACCATCTTAGACATGAATCGGAAACGAGAATAATGTGTGCATACGTATTATACATCAATAAAGAAGATATCTAAGAACGAAATGTACAAGTGTGCCTCATGGGCGAGTTTTACACAAGGGCTGAGAAAACGCTCATACGGCTCGGTGAAGATCTTGGCGGACGAGCTTGGAAATAATTTCAAGTTTTGGGGGCATTTGATGAGATTCTTCGGGAGAGGAGCACTTCAACATTTTACTTGATAACAGAAGACGATTTGCAATTCAACCCCGAAGTATTTCAACAATTAGTATTAAGCCACACCCTAATGACGACGGTAACGAACCTATTTGAACGTCCATTGTTCAGCCGAAAATGAATCATCCAAGAGCTGACCTAGTTAACTCTTAAGATCCTGTTGTGGTATCAGGAACCAATACCCTACCTTGGCATGTTATTGAAAGTTGAGCATTTCGATTCGAGCAGGGTACAACTCACATAGACCTGGGCGTGGCTTAATAAAGCTCGGTGTAGCTAGAAAGTCCAAGAGTCAGATGTATACACTTCATATTAATTAGAGCCTGTTTGAAACTATCGTCAATCAACTTTCACGACTCGCACCATTAATAAGCATGCCTCTAGTAGAAAGGCGTCAAGAGACATATTGTTTTATTCCATTTTGTCTGACTAGGTTACATTGGCCATTCAAGCAGGTCCGTCAATCTGCTTCTCGGCCTCATCCAAGAGCCCAAGAGCCTCGCGCCGAGTCGGAGCCGCCGGATCAAAGTATGGCTTCTCAGCTAATGAAGTTACGCGGGTTCCGTGCCTAGGATACTTGCCATTGTAGTCCCACGAAGCGTTGTGGATAGTTATGCGATTGTCCCAGAGCGCACTGGTTCCTGCTGTCCAGCGGAATCGCACTTGGATGTCTACGTTCTTCTCGAAGACATCGTAGAGGTAGTTTAGGATGACGTCGCTCTCTGCACGGTCTAGGCCGACGATGCGGTCGGTCATGGCTCTGTTAACCCACAGAGCTTTCCAGCCGGTGGCGGGGTGCACGCGAACGAGTGGGTGCACGCGTTCGATAAACTTGGGGCCTTCTTCAGGGTGGTCCCGGTCTAGGTACGTATGTGCGGACCGGTACACGGCTAGCTTGCCGTCGATAATCTTGCGGAAGTCCGGCGATAGCTTCTCGTAGGCCGAGTATCCGCTTGCCCAGAGCGTGTCGCCACCGACGGGAGGGACAGTGTCGTTGTGGAGATGCGTGATCCCGGCTGGCTGCAGCTCATGTACGAGATCTGTATGCCACCGCGAAGCTCCTCCCGGGTTTCTGAAGTTAGCCACCCGTTCGGTAGCCTGAAGATCGGGCCAGATAACCGTCACGCCCAGGTTACCAGGGACTTGCGCTACTTGGGGCTGTTTCGCAAATAAGCATATACACATCGCTGGCGGTGTTTGTATTAGAATAGCACTTACGTGAACCTCGACCTCTCCATAGTATTTCCCAAGCGCTAGCTGATCTTGAGGCGACAGATCCGTTTGATTCCTGAAGAAGACGACGCTCCTCTCAGCTATGAGAAGGGCCAGTTCGTCTTTCTGTTGGTCTGTAAGGTCCTTCAATTGCAAGCCCTCAATCTCAGTTCCGATATGAGCAGTGAGGTCTGTGACTTTCGTAGCGGCAGAGAGGAGTGCAGACTTTGACTTATCCGCACGCGCTCCGGCATCATCATGCTTCCATTCTTTGTTTCTGATGTTATAGACGTCTTGAAGGTAGAGTGGCCTAGCCGGGCGATAGGGATAACCGTTTGACAGGTCAATGCCCGCCTTCTTTAGACGCTGGAGAGCGGGCTCGGGAAGGCCAAGCGTGTCTTTACGTGGCGCCGCAACGTCCCTGATACGCTCATCAATTGGTGCAGGTGCCATTGTCACAATGTTCAGTCTCGACGGAACTTTGGTTTAATAGTAGTTAACTACTTGAAAGTGTGAATAATAAGTCTGGTAGACTGGTCTTTCTTCTATACTATTACCCCCTCACTACCATCTCGTACGACCTTTGCGAATATATAACATTATAGTCATCGAATTGGAGACTCCCAACCATTGACCTCATTTCCCAATGATCCGATGACAGGTAGTTCTCCATTCCAATAGGCAAGCTGGCCTGTCAGGATGGGGAGATTGGTAAGCCATATCTGCTTTGACACAACATCAGCAGTAATAGCCGTGAAGTTGCAGTATTTACTGAGGAGTAGGCCATTCCCCGCGATTTACCAAAGTCATCATTGGAGTTCCTTATCAATACGTGATCTTGGAGAAGGATGATGCGAGAAACATTGCGTCTCGAGTGCAGGTTATGTACGTAATGCGGTCCTATTCGATTCTTTCTGTGGGGTTATAACATGGCGTCATGCCAGCCATGTTTGAGGTGACGACCACCTTGTCGCCTTAAGCTGTTTCGCTTCTTAGCAACAACAGGACACGACATACTCGACCCCGCACTGTTGCAGCACATACCATCGCATGAGCCATGGAACAGTGTAGTTCTCCAACACGCTGCTCGGAAAGTAAATACGGATATCGCCATATGACGGAAAGTTCGCAACCACGGTCCACGACCGGGTTCTAGATATACAGGGGCTAGGGGGAGCGACCTCATTGATAATCATAAATCAAACCTTTACCTTGCTGGATCGATCTAGGTCGATATAGAACAGGGGAATCTGCATGCGAGATGGCGCACTAGAATCCTTGTTTCTCGAGGCGTGGGATGAACTTTTTCAGCATGGAGAAAACCGGGCTTGACCCCTGTATAACCTCAGATAATCTAAATGCTTTTAAGTCGGAGTGCTCCCGGGCGTTCTGGCTTCTAGTTTTGCATCTTCAAGCTTCGTATGAAGTGCATTCGGGTAATACGAGATGGAAAGCAAGGAGATCTCCTTGACCAAGGCCACAGCCGAAGCCGGCGGCGACGTGACGGCTAAGAGCACGGATCATAGTGATGTTGACTCAACTCATACCCAGTCGCTATCACCAATCGTCGAGAAACCAAAACAGACGTGGCGGTCCTATCTCTGGGATACGTTTGACAAGTCCCCTGAGGAGAGGCGGTTCCTGTTTAAGCTCGACGCTGTGATTCTGACATTCGCTTCACTGGGGTATTTTATCAAGAATCTCGATCAAGTCAACATCAACAGTGCCTTCGTATCCGGTATGAAGGAGGATTTAGGTCTTTACGGTAACCAGCTCAATTACATGGTCACATGTTGGACAGTTGGTTATGTTATTGGCGAAATTCCAAGGTTGGAACCCCTTTTTTTCCGAGCTTCAACTTTGATTTTACTAACGGTAGTAGTAATATGCTCCTAACTAAAGTTCGGCCGTCAATATATATCCCTGCTTGCGAGGTGGTCTGGTCGGTTTTGACGATTTTGCTTTCAAAATGTCAAAACGCAGAACAAATCTACGCCCTACGATTCTTCATCGGGCTTGCAGAAAGCAGCTTTTATCCAGGCATGCAGTATGTTATCGGAAGTTGGTGGTATGTATTACCATGTCTTGACCCCTTTTTGAGATTCCAGATGTTGAACGCGATGCTAACGTATTCCTAGTATGTTAAAATTTTATAAAATATCCATTCACCCCTTTTCTTCTGTAGATTACAACCCGGGAACGAGCACGAATATCTTCACTTTTTCTGCTAGGCGCTAACTTTATAGCAGATCGAAAAGACGAACTCGCGAAGCGAAGCTGTATCTTCCACGCCAGTAGCTCCCTAGGTAGCATGTTCTCTGGCTATCTGATGACGGCTGTGTATCGACTAAATGGTACAAGTGGCTATCATGGATGGCAGTGGCTTTTCATCATCAACACCGTAATATCGCTACCGATCGCCATAGCGGGGTTTTTCTTCTTCCCAGACGTACCGGAAATCACTCGCGCCTGGTGGTTGACAAAGGACGAGATAGCGCTAGCCAATAAGCGCATGCAGTTTGAAGGCCGAGCCAACAGGGGAAAATACACAAAAGCCACGTTCAAGAAGATCTTCACTTCGTGGCACATTTATGCGCTTACCCTGCTTTACATCTTCTTTAACAACGGGACAGGCTATGGTGGCCAGCCAGCTTTCTCGATCTGGCTGAAACAAGAAGGATACAGCATCGCTGCTATAAATTCTTATCCTACGATTGCTGCCGCTATTACTGTGATCTTCACCTATATTTATGCCTGGACATCCGATTCTCTTTTCAAGGGTGCTCGATGGCCGCCTATGATATTCTCAGGGGTTGTCAATATCATCACCAATACGAGTCTCGCCGTGTGGAATATTCCTACGGGTTGGAAGTGGTTTTGCTACATCATTGGGTTGATCGGGGGAGGAATCAGTGGCTTGACCTTCGCGTGGGCACACGAAATCTGCAGTGATGATAATGAAGAGCGAGCTTTTGTGATAGCATCTATGAACGAGATGGCTTACGTAGTTCAGGCGTGGCTGCCACTGATTATTTGGCAGCAAGTTGATGGACCTCAGTATCACAAAGGGTTTGTTACTATGGTCTTCTTTGCCGCCGGCCTTATTGTCACTGCCCTCACGATACGGACGCTACATCATCGAGAACGAGCTAAAAAGACCCAGCTATTGAATACAGGAGCGGCCTAACCTGGAGAACTAGCATAATTACCATCCAAGCCTAGACCGTACTTCTAATATAAACCATGTCAAATATGCGAATCCCTAAACTTGTACCGTGCTAAGCTAAACATAACACGTCGTATCCTTCTGGGTCTTAGTTAGGGGCCTAGCTGAAAATAAGCCGAAATAAGACCATTCACTTACATTTGAGGTTGTTATCTTACTTCCCCTGTCAGGTAGTATGCTCTTCCACATGGTCCACTTGTGCTACTAGCATTTCTCCAAAAAGCACGTAATCGGTACGGCGGATGGTCTCATTTCACCTAACCTAGAGGAATCCCACGATTTATAATCACATCAAAGCATTTTTTGAAATGGGCAGATTATTATCTCAACTAGAAAATGAGGTGATCAACGATACTATGTTCCACAGTTATCCGTAGATTCCGTTTCTATTCATATCTCGGCGCGGCCCCTTACGTCTTATGTCTTTCACCCCTCCCTCTGAGACAATCGCAATGGGCTCCCTAAGTAATGACAGTAAGACTGAGAACGGGCCACTTCTCGGTAACATCAAAGATGTGGCTGTTATTGGTGCCGGCATAAGCGGAGTGGCGTCAACGGCCCACCTCCTCCGGGCCGGGTTCAACGTCACCGCGTTCGAGCGGACCGGCGTAGTCGGCGGCGTATGGGACTACGAACCTCAAGCAGACAGATCACCACCATTCCCTAATGTTACACCCCCTGTTCCGAATTGGTCAGAAGTCGAGAAAGAAGGCTTAAGCTCAGACGAAGTTGCGCTGATACATGCTCCGCCTAACCCATGGTACGTATCAAAACATCATGTTTATAGATCTCCCTTCTACTCATACACAGCACCCAATTCCGAACACATACCAACATTGACTCCTAGCCATCATGAAGTTCTTATGAAATTCAACAACATAATGACTTAGAGAGGTAGTTGTTTGAAATTTCGTTATGTGATATTAACACATTCATAGTTACGCCGGGTTAAAGAATAACATCCCGACCCCTGTTATGCGAAGTAGCCTACTACGTTGGCCAGAAGGTAGCGAGGACTTCGTGGACCAAAAGGTGGTCAGCACATATATCAAAGATATTGCTCGGCTCCACAACGTCAACGATCACGTACAATTTCACACTCGAGTGGAAAGCGTGTCCAAGCCCGAAGGCGACAGCAAGTGGACTGTTAAGACAAGCACACTTGCGAGAACAGATTCTGGCCACACATTGACGAAGAAGACATGGAAGTTCGACGCAGTCGTAGTAGCGAGTGGACACTACCACACTCCGTTCGTCCCAGATATTCCGGGATTAGCAGCATGGAAGCAAAGATTTCCAGATCGAATTACCCACTCGAAGCAATACCGGACCCCCGCTCCTTTCGCCAATCAGACAGTGCTCATAATTGGCGCCGGCGTCTCAGCCGTCGATATTGCAAACGAGACGGCTGCGCTGGGAGCCAAAATAGTTCAAAGCAGACGAGTAAGCAAGTATGATGTACTTGGGCCGCGTCTCCCCGAAGGCGTCACCAGGGTCCCGCTGGTCTCCAAGTTCGTCGTCGACGAGAATGCCGAAGACGATAAAGCCCAGGCATTAAAGTCCGGTCACGCAATACCCGGTAAAGCCATACTCGAGGACGGGCAAGTTATAGAAGGAATCGACCGCGTCGTAATCGCTACGGGGTACATCACTACTTACCCCTTTCTGGGAGACCTAGAACAGCCTCTACTCCCGTGGCAAGACGCCGACGACAAGGTACTCATAACATCTGACGGCTACATTACGCATAACCTACACAAGGACATATTCTATATCCCAGATCCATCGCTAGCATTCATAGGTGTCTCGCACTACGTGTCAACATTTTCACTCTTCGATTTCCAAGCCCAGGTTGCAGCCAAAGTCTTCGCAGGACACGCCAAGCTCCCGCCCAAGTCGGCCATGAGACAAGAACACAAGGAAAGGAAAGCTCGGTTCCAACCCGACGATAAGTTTCACAGTATGTTTGGAATAGAGGACACGTATATAGAAGAGGTCTTAAATTGGGTCAACGAAGACGCGGCGAAAGCTGGAAAAGAGCTGCTGCCGGGCTTGGATGAGGAGTGGCACGGCGGCTACAAGCTCCTCAAGGAAAGACTTAAGAATTCTAGAGGCCCGTAGAAGATTGGACGTATTGCTAGGCATATCAAGTATTATATGGGATCGCAACATGGGACACAATCCAACTTACCTTGATGCATACCATAGATGCAATATTCGTTTACAAGATCCAGGAAACATTGTGAAGATTCACCCCTAGAGATTTCTAGTACATTAGGTATGCATATCACCTCATAAAAAGATGGACTTTGAAAGGTTTTCATAATGAGCAAAGCCATAGTCAAGGCTTGTTTCATAGTTCCTAGTTACAGATTGTATGGAACTAACAGCGAGAGCTATACCCTAATTAATGCTCTCGGTACATTTCACTCCCTTATACACCCTTTACATTCTCTGCTAACTCGTAAATAGCTATACAGTCAGCCGAAATATATATGTCCGACTTCATCTCTATGCCATGCTAGAGGTATCTTGACTCTGTGATCTGTACGACAAATATTGTGGGTACATAACTGCACCATGAAGATTTTCTGCTTTTCTTGTTATTCGCCTCCAGGCAGCTGGAGGTGGGGTGATAAACCTAGAAATGCCGATTTAACTGGCATCCCTCCGATTACAAAGCCACAACTCAAGTATTAATGAGACTGCCACTTTCACGAACATGTTGTCCTTGGTCTTTACAACCGGTGATACCGGCAGCGACGGCAAGCCATAGTATGACACTGTCGACATTCGTAGATGAATATAGGCATAACGTCGCCACATTCTTCGCATTCGCGAGGCCCTTTCTTAGAAAACCATCGATCATGTTGACACTCGTGGTTATTTCTGAGATCTTCCATGAGTTGCCGAATTCGCGTCCGTTGAGGGAAGTCAAGGAGTGGAAATTCGAACGCAGGCTGTTCCCGTGCCTGTTGGACTACTGGTTGCGCCGCTACTTCAGCCTCCTCTTCACTCTCATGTTCACTCTCATCCTCAATTGGATATATTATATTCTGTTGACGACGTTCTTGATTCAAGGCCTGCTGTTGAGCCTGCTGTTGGGCCTGTTGCTGAGCCTGTTGCTGATGAGCCGGGAGCCGAAAGGGTAGCTGACCATTTGCATGTAGTTGAAGAGGTATCGGATTTCCACGAGGTATCACATCGCCCGGAGCATCCTCAACTTGGCCACGGGCATCAATCTGTACAGCACGTGCGTACAGACGATGTTCATCCCAGTGCTCGCATTGGCAAGTCTTCCAGCGACTACCACAGACATAGCAAAATCCGAAACCGCATCGACAGCTATCGAAGGTTAAGTATGCATCGTACAAATTTAATACTAAAAGTTCTCTGAAACTTACGTCATGTGATTGCATCCGGTGTTCAACTCAACCATCGCCCAGCAGTTTTGGCAACGTTGCCAGTGTTGTTCGGTAGCTAGTTGAAATACTTGTTGAAGCTGTTCGTCATTTGGGCAATCGCCATCATGGCTAACACCTTTGCATGTCATACAGGTTTGATACCCGCACTCGCCACATGTCGCTACATCGTTTAGATAATTGGTTGCTGGAATAAATCGGGCGCAATCCTGGTTATGGCAGTATGTTCGACGAGGCGTAGAAAACTCAAGGGCCTTTTGGCGGAAGTGCCGGACTACGTCACTGTCAATAAATACCTGATTCCTAATTAAGGGGATGTTTTGTCTGCAGCATCGCGGAGGAAAGAGGGATTCATCGTTTGAAGCATCTCGGAAGAGACGCGTGAGACACTCGCGACAATATTCATGGCGGCAGGGAGCGCGAGCCAGCTCTGCGAAGTGCTTTTGATATCCACAAGCGTCGCAAGTCCTTGGTGGTCTACTAGATTGGCGTGAAGCAGCCCATGAAGAACTCTCTGGCTGGTTGATGGTGGCTGTATCATCGTCGTCGTCGTAATCGTTAGTGCCACTGATGGAATGATCAAAACCGGTATTGTAGATGACCGAGAGCTTCTCAAGAAATTCCTCATCGCTGCTCACAGCTTCAGGGGTAGCTCGCTGAGCTACAGCCTCATCTTGACCATTGCTTAAAGCAAGTGACAGTTCATGGTCGGCTTGAGCAACATTTTCTTCGTCGTGAGCCTGGGAAAGGACAGCGCCGTCAGACTGAATTGCTCTCAACATACTTCTAGTCATTCTTTCATCGCTAAGACAGGTCTCTGCAGCTTGCAGTTCTTCAAGAAGAAGGTTAAAGGCTATTTGGGCGTCCGTCTCGGATCCCTCGACTTGTTTTCCCTTCCTAGTCGTAGTAGACATGAATTGCTCGACATCTTCCTGCATTAACCGAAATGCGAGGGCGATATCCTCATCGTCCATACCTGTATAGACTGACATGTCCATGGCCATGATTGGTTAGATGCTGGCGTCAGAAGTGTGTAAGTGTATTTGGTGTTGCATAAAAGTGCAAAAAAAAAGAGACGATTATGGATTTGGTGTGTGCGCGTGTACGAAGTATGCAATTAAGTTTCAAGTGGAAGATAGCACTTTCCGTTCGGCCCAACTCCTTCCAATTTTGAATGTTCTTTCTTAGGCCCAATTGCATGTACCTACACCCATATTTGCATGCCCGAGGAAGGTACATTTCTAGGCATTTCTAGGGGAGTTAACGGGCAGTTGCCATTTGTTAGGTACCTATAAGGTACTTATGTACTTACATTAAGTAGAGGTTAGGTAGGTAGCTTTTCGTGTACCACTACTGCAAAGCGTCTATATGGCAACAGCAGTTGGCTACTGCCTTTGCCGCCACGTCAAACACCTATCAGGGTAGCATAGGTACTGCTGCTTCCATTTATTTTGGGTCGGGTCGAGCATCTGACACTTGGGCCAGGTACCCAAGGCTCTTAGGTCCTACCTTCGTCATAGCATTTGTGATATTTGACAGGTCGCTTTATATTTGGCGCTACGTCTGCTGCTACATTTATGTTAATAATTTTTTGACTCTACTCCACCTTCGCAATATCTACGAACGCCTTCCAAAAAGTGCATGTAAATAGAGGATACAAGCCGACAAGCGGAAGTACCTTCACTAATGGAACGGATGGTGACTAGTTCACTGCTTGGCACCCTTTACCGACACTTCCATCTATACCTCATCTAAGTAAGGTGTCAACGTATGTACTATGGTATGCCTATTTTAGATTTATATACTTTTATTTTACTAAGTTATCCAATGCTAAGGAAGCCTTTACGATAAAAATGGGACTATGCATGTCTCATACTTTTGTGAGACCGTCTTATCGTCGCGAGGTTCCGATGATCGCTGAAAGAAAGCAGGAAAGTGAGGCAGGTCGGCCGGTTCAAAAAGGCCATATATTAATGTAACCAAACTGTGTGAAGTCAAAGAGGTAAGTAATCTTATACTACTTCTTCGAATACCGCTCAACCATTACAACCTGAGTGAAGCACAATTATTCATTTACAAAAGCATTAGGTCCTTACTTCGGCACCTAATTACAATTTCATTTAGTTATGACAGTTATTTCATCCTTGGAATAGAATGAGTAAAGCCATCATGCATGATAGCAACGTTTACAGCTGACAGATTTGACTGCCAGTGGATCTTCAGCTGGCAGAGTACGACGATATGCCTGAGGAGCTCCTCACTTGCCGAATATACAGTTTAGATTCTCTCAACCTCGCTAGGCGACATGATTTTATTAAATTTATAGATACAATTCAATAGCAATACCTAACTACCTAACCTACCTAATATTGATATAGACACTTATTGTTTTATAAGATATAGGATTTTCTCAGGTAATGGGATGAGACGCATGAAATGGCGTATCAAATCTTCCACGGCACCGTGATTCACTCACTCGGTCCATCAGGCCTCATCATACTCGAGAGCGCCTTACTCGTGGTTGGCGCCAACGGCAAGATAGCCAACTTAGTAGAAGATATCCCCAAGGACAAATTACCCTCAATATTATCGTCATTAGACATCCCCTCTTCAGCCCTCGAGAGCGTACGCTACCTAACCCGCGGTCAATTCTTAATCCCAGGATTCGTCGACACGCACAACCACGCGCCACAATGGGCGCAACGCGGTCTAGGGCAAAGCATGCACATCCTCGACTGGCTAGACCAAGTCACTTTTCCCAACGAGGCACGGTTTCGTGACCCGGCGTACGCACGCCGCATCTACTCGAGCTGCGTGGACGGCTTCCTGAAGCAGGGGGTCACCACAGCGTCGTACTATGGCTCGCTCCACGCGGAAGCCACTAAAATCCTCGCAGACATATGTCTAAAAAAGGGCCAGCGCGCCCTCATCGGTAAATGCAATATGGACCGGAACGCACCGGAATATTACCGGGACGCGAACCCGACGACGTCGCTTGCGGATACAGAGGACTGTATCGCGCATGTGCGGCGTATCGATCCAGAGGGCGTGCTGCTCAAGCATGTATTGACGCCGCGTTTTGCCATTTCATGCTCGCCGGAACTGCTTGAGGGGCTTGGTACACTTGCGGCGGCGAACCCGGATCTGCCGATCCAGACGCATTTCAATGAGGCCGAGCAGGAGATGAAGTTTACGCGAGAGCTGTTTCCGCAGTTTGAAGGCAGCGAAGCGGACCTATACGCACACTATGGGCTATTAGGCGAACGCACAATCCTCGCTCACTGCTGTCATATGAGCGAGCATGAGATAAGTCGCGTCGCGGAGCTAGGGTGCGGTGTTGCGCACTGTCCTATCTCCAACATGACGGTCGGCGGGGGGTTTATGGCTGCGCCAGTTCGCGAGTTCCTACGGCGCGGCATCAAGGTGGGACTTGGGACCGACAGCGGGGGTGGGTTCTCAAGCAGCATCCTAGATGCAATGAGGCAAGCACTCGTAGCATCGAATGCGCAGGAGGTCATGAGCGGAGGTGAGCACAGAGGGCTTAATATAGGGGAACTGTTCTATTTAGCCACGTTAGGGGGCGCGAAGGTGTGCAGTCTCGAGAGCAGGATTGGCAACTTCGAGGTTGGGAAGGAGTTCGATGCCCTATTTGTTGACGCGAATGCGCTAGGCGTCATGACAATACTAGAGGATGAAGACTCTATTAGGACGATATTTGACAAGTTTGTCATGACTGGCGATGACCGGAATATCAAGGAAGTGTATATATGTGGGCGATCGGTCAAATCTTAGAACAGAAAAGGAGTCTGAAACGTTTCTCGGAAACACAATCGTAAGGCTTATTCTTAGGCATAATGTAAGAGCAGCGTCTAGAAAATAGGGGTATCTTCTGTTTTATTTTATTCCTTTATGTAATGCGAAGTAGCTAGAGCCAAAGTCTTATCGTATTCCTTTCATGTTTATTCCTGACATATTATCAGATGGCCGTAATATAGTTATTACATATATTTGTACATCGTATAGGGGTATATATATAGGTTACCGCCCTGTCGGCGGAGGAGGGAAGTTGAAATTAATATGCTTAGTCTCTACAGGACTTCCTGTATTACTAGTCCTCCGATTCTTCGCCGCGATACCGGAGGCTACTCTCTCCCAGGCTCCGCCTCCTGTCGGTCGGCTGGAACTACGAGGTGGCAGATCCCATGTTGGTGTACCCCGCTCCCAGGCGCGGCTTATGGGGGGACTAGCAGTAGAGCCAGATATTGGGCTACTGAATACGGTGTTAGGGTTGGTGCCCACCTGTGGTGAGCTATCCGAGTACTCGGCAGGGTTATACGGCCTTAGAGGTAGAAGTTGTGCGGTGCTCTTGGTGCTAGTAGTGCTAGCAGGCTCGTCGGTGGGGGAGAAGAATGCGGCCTTAGGCGAAGTTGAGTAGTGTACATTACTTGGGATCGCGGGGATGGCCGTGGCAATATTGTGTGGTATGACCTTATTGTCTGACCTGGAGAAGGAGTTGAGACCCATATTGTTGTTCAGAGTCTGTCTTGGTGATTCCGGGTAAACAGGGTGAGAAGCAAGGGAAGATAATGGGCCTGCATAAGGATTCTCCTCTTCAATGATACCGTCAGACGGATTTGGGAAGAACGCCGGCGACCTAGGAGTTAAGTGTGTTTGGCACCGGAACGAGAGTGTGGAAACAGTGCGATGGCGGTTTCTCTTCTGTGCCATTGTTGATGCTTTGACGTCTCCAAGTAGAAGACGGCGGTTGCGACGTCTACGACAACGTACGAATAGAAAGCCAGCTATAGCTAAAACAACGACAACAGCTCCGATTGCAATCCCCACTATCTGAGTTACGGATAGGGCAGATTGTTTCTCATCGTCGGATTTTTCGATAGAAGGATCAACAGAACTGATCGTGGTTTTGGTGAAGACCGTATCACTCAAACCGATCAAGGTTCCAGTAGGTGGTCGCTGTTGGCACCCCGCGTCAAGAGCTATGAGGACTGTACCAATGATTAGTATCATCGTATTATGTGAAGATAAAGGTGATTTACAGTTGGCTAAGTAGTCTTGATCATCAGAAACGCTCACGCAAGCCTTGCACTCCGAGACTGTGGCATCGAGCATGCCATCCGAGGTACAATACGAATAGCCGTTCTTCTTAGGATCAAGATTGCCATCTGTCAAAGCCTCTCTAAGCCCCCCGCAAGCTGTAGACGTCGCACATGGAGTGGATGCTACTCCTGTGGCATTAGGAAACCCGAAAATGCAATAGTCAAATGTATATCTGAGGTTATCTATATTTGTATTAGATGAGAATATTAAGTTAGCTACCTGGGTAGTTTTGATATACTTACACAAGAACCAAAGCTGATCACTTTCATCCCCTTGAGCAAAGTTACTATCTTGAAGGCAACTCATGCATTTCTGGAACTTTATTCCTGCAGGAGACGTGGAATATTCGGTATCGTAACACGAAATATCCGAATTGCCCGTGTTTGATGAGTTAGGGTCGGAAAAGTCGAGGCCGGTAGAGTCAACGCAAAGCGAAGCGCATGGCGAATTTGGCGTAACCTGCAAGCTAGCACTATATCGTACAAAGAGGGTAAGGATGAGGGTAAATGCGAGAGGAGCCATCTCTCATAGAGATTAAATATTGGTAAATAGGAGGGTATTTCGTAATGAAGGGACGTCGATAAAGAACGAAGTAGGTATTATTAGAAGTATAGGAAATGATGATATTAAATTTCGTATAGTTAATACCGCCAGCCAGCTGGTCAAGGTCTTGGATAAGCTCACTAGAGAGCGTAGAAATAGAAAAGGTCCTAATATGGAAAAGGAGTGTACAACATTTGATGAGCTACTTGAGAGATTAGAAGATTAGAAGCCCGGGATAGATTGAATAATATATTAAATCCGGCCAGTTAACCTTTAGCTTAGGTTAGGAGACAGACGTTCATGGCGATGTGTCGCGCGCAGCCGATTTTACACTACTACCAGCCTAGTGGTAGTCGGCGCCTATGTAGATGTAAACGTATCGATAACTTGCGCGAATAGGTAACATTGCAGCCATGCCCCCTTGTACTTATGAGAGAATACCCCGGATGATATTTTCCGAAGTAGGCGATTGATGGTTCTTACGCTGTTGAAAAGACCCGATCTTGAATAGTGTGAGATAGACCTACCTCTAAAGGGTATCCTATAAGAGAATGGACCAATAGCACAAGTATATAGTCTATACATTCCGGTTCCTAAGCGCCGTGATTTGTTCGGTAATCTTACCTGGCAGCTCCAGTGGGTCGGTAATGAGGCCGCTGGCGGCAAAAAATCACGATCATTTGGCCCCCATTTAAAGGCCGACAGAACAGGACAGCCCTAACTTCAGCTCAGCTCCGTTTAAAGAGAATCAAAATCGTCTCCCATTCAGCTAGTCAATTAGTTTTCTAATACGCTGTTCGATATATTGAATAGCCATTGACATAAATAAACATATAACTCTCATGGCCGCTTTGGAAGAGTTGTCCTGAAGCGATTCAAAGATCGGCAAGCCAAGAATGTTCCGACTTGCGCACTAGAGGTTAGAGGTTTCGTTATTCAGTGTGTTCTACTGCGCAATGACGAACAATTTGTCGTAGAGTTGCAACAGACAGTTACTGAAGGTTGCGGGGCGCTTCGGAAGGAATATCAAATATTCGGGAGAAAAGACAATTGGATGGAGAGATATAGGCAGCCCTACCGGAGCGGAAGCACATGATATCTTCTACTAGGCGTAGATAATGTGACTGTGACTGTGATAAACGGCATGCAGAGTGCAGGTTGAAGATATTGCGAAGGTTGCAAAGGATAGACAGGCGCTTATGTCGATACATAGGGGAAACACATGTTGTAACTGGCCCGTGCTTATGCCCTGAGTTTACGAGGGTTATTGTCTTGGGGCAGTGACTTTAACCACGCTTTACTATCACCTCGCAGAACCTAGCCGCGAAGTTGAAGCGCACCCAGACAGCATGGAGCACGAGGTGCTTTCTTTCAGGCCACACTACTTGAATATGGCTACACCTTTGTTGGTAAGGGTACAACTTCAGGGAATATAGAACACCTTAAACACGAAGCATTGGTGTATCGTCGACTCATCGCTGCTCGAGGCACTGATGTACCCGTATTCTTGGGCTCGGTTGACCTCCGTAAGATCCCACGCACTTACCATTACGGCATTGGGGTGCAAATTGTGTACATGATATTTTTATCATGGGGCGGTTCGAGTTTGTCTGACTTTGACTCTTCTGCCATCACCTCTACAAATCTCGGCCAGGATGTCATTTGATCTGTGCAAGACCTACATAAAGCAGGGGTGGGTGGTGCATAGAGACGTCCGTACGCCTAATTTCTTGTGGAACCAAAAAAACGGCCGGGTCATGGCGATAGACTTCGAACGGGCAATCTTAATGGATCTGCCACAGCCACCCGCCACCGGGTTGATACCTCGCGAAAGAGAGCGAATACCACAAGCTTCACATTCCATGAATGGGGTCAAGCTAACTTGCCAGGCTATATTTGACCGATTAGTAGCGGAGGATATCATGGCGGCCGGCTTGATGTTCCATTCCCATACAGCAGCAGAAAGGCGTTAGATTGGTGAACTGATCTAGGCAACTTAGGAAAGCTTTACTTTCTCGTTATTACGTGTTTAATTACACACATAATAAGAATACTCACCTGTAGTATCGCATTAGAAACTCCCCCGTAACTCCTGACTAAATAAAAGAATAACCCTTATGGGTAAGCTCGGAGAACTTCTCAACATCAAATTTCACATGTTCTCAAGATTCACTGTAGTTAAATGCAGGATGTGCGTATAGTCCAAAGAAAACCTGTGATATTACTGATATACTGCGCTTATATAGGTCTATCCGCTTTGGTATCATTTACCCTCCAGTTATCCTGAATCCAAAGATATGAATATGAAATATTCCAAGTCTATCCCTAATCTAAAGAGTGTTGTGAGCAGCATCGGCGCGAGAAGCATCGACTGAGCCATATTCCAACCTCTGACCTCGAGCGTCATCTTGTATGACTACTCTCGCTTGGTTATTAAAGAAAAGTTATATCAAGACCTTGCGCCAGTCCAACACAGCCCGTCCTTTTAGTATCGTGTTCGCGGAAATATGGATGATGAATTGTCGAGTTGTCTACATCATAACTCTTACTTCTCGGCCATCGACAACCGTGTGCGATGTGTGCATACATCTCCCTTGTTGGCAGTCTGCATGGAAAGCGATCCCAACTTTATCCCCAACATGCACTGCGGTAGCGCCGCCGGGTGCCTGCAACGTGTACTCCCCTGATTTTATTATCGGGCGCTGTGCTCGTTGAAATGGCCCCTTCAGGCTCGTCGACGTTGCGTAGTTCACGTTGTAGCTTGGCTCTAAGTAGCAACCACTGCTGAAGAACAGGATGTACAACCCATTGTCCGTACGTAACAAGCTTGGTGCTTCCACCAATGGACCATCCTCGTCGCTGCGGTCGAAAATTTGAACAGGCTCGCCAACTTTTGTCACGCCATCCTCTTCGACTTCTTGGAGCATGATAGGCGTTGGTACGATCGGCTGTTTGGTGTTGCTGCAGCTTCCGCCATGGCCGACACTATTTCCATCGATCTTATAGAGGACGTATTGTTTGCCATCCTGATCTTCGAATCCAGACGCATCGATAGAGCCACCGGCTGAGAGGTCGCAAGCAAAAGGCTCCTCCTCGGGTATATAAGGTCCGGTGATAGCGTCTGCTACTGCCGCGCCGATGCAGTGGTGAGCCGAATCGTCGGCTACCTCACCGCTATAATACATGACATATTTCCCGTTGCGTGCGCGACGCACATCAGGGGCCCAGGTGTGTCGTCCAGTAGTCCAGGCAGCCGAGTGAGGAAGGGCGTCGACATCCTTTAATAGATTCCACTGCCCGTCGAAACTCTCTCCCGTAGCTACCTGAACTTGCTTATTCTTTCCAGCCGTCGCAAAAGCATACCAGGTGCCGTCTTCGTCTTGGAATATTGATGGATCGGCGAAATCATCGTCGAACACCGGATCGTCGCTTGCTGTTCGGAGAGATTGTACGGGTATCGCCGACGCGGAAACGAAAAGGAATGACAGCGCGGCGGCTGCAAGTATACTAAGGAGCTTCATCCTTAATAACTTGCATATCGAGCAAACCAGCTAGAAACGAAACTGATGCTAAGGCTGAACCTTAAAAGCAGAGACAGTGTCTGTAGACGAAGCAGATACGTGACTGAGAGGCGATCTATGGACTAAATAACCGGATCGAATCTCGCTTCAGCTTTGGTATGTCGATCCGGAGGGGTTCGGTTGGCGCTCGTCCATTTTATAAAAAAAAAAATAGCAGTATGTGTAGAACATGGCTCCGTAAGTATAATTCTTCTACGCATGTCTGCCATCGTATCCTACCCTTCCCGATCTAAAGCATATATGCAGTATCACAGCAGACAGAAGCAATGAATATAAGCCAATGAGGTAGCCTGAATCCCCGTGTAACTGGCGGTGTCGAACCATTCTACTGAACCACATATCCGTCTAGGCCACTCGGTAGGACGCTATAAAGAAAAGGAAAGCATCCGGCTAGAACGGCCGGCTTGGTCTCTACGGATATGCATCTATGGCTGTCGTGGAGCCTCAAGTCGACCCATCTGCTCAAAACAGATTCAGATGTTCAGGAGGTCGTGACATTGTGTGATTTATGCGTCGTCATAAGTTATATTGCCTATCCCCGAGTGATTAGATTCTCAGTCGGATACGAGACGGGAACAGCGGGTCGCCTGCTTCTAAAGTAACATAAACAGGCATCCAAGTATCAAAACCAATGGAAAGACTGACAATTCTTCCACGTAAATTTTACTCGACATATAGGGGATAATAAGGCAAGTCGTCCAGGTCAACTTACGGACAGCTGCCGACCATTACCGGCGCCAATTTTACCCATGGCGATGACAAACTATTTTAATACATGCCCCTGAAAGTGGCTTCTCTATGCTGGTGGCGTCGTAGTATAAATTTAATATGTAGTTAATGATCTTCACTGAACTTTGTTTCGATCTTCCAACAACCAGCGTTAAGGAATTCTGGATCAATATCAGTGCGGGTCCATGCAACATTGAGGCTGATATATACCCCTGTAAAGACAGCCCTGAACCACCATCCACGCAAGCTGATCTACCTAAGAAACATATGTCTTTTCAGACATGTTTGAACGACATCTCAGTTAGACAATCATCTAGTAGGCATAATTCTGATCTCATAACAGGTACCTTCTAGACTAGTCAGCGAGCTTAAGGAATATAAGTCGCACATATACATACCTAACGTATAAACAAACTTGACTCCGGCCGTCCGGATCTCCGCGAGTTGCACATATTTGTTCTGGAGCAGGCAACACCGTACGAGTCCGTACACGGTTACAATAGACGTGGTTCGTGCACGTCACCTCCCCCTATCTAAAGGACTGTTCAGCAAATACTGTACATATTAAGATATGGCCTTAAGTAAGTGATAATAATGAAGATCATGAGTGGAACTTACTCAAGCCGAGTAGGCATGAATGCCGATCACTTCATAACCACATCTTGGAACATTAATATCACATGCCGATATGTAAACACCAATTGTCCCCGTTAACAACAGGATTATCGTATTGTCAGTCGTACATAGCATAAAAAGCCTATTTGATCTACACTACCATTCAACTTGCACAGTACCACAGCGCCGCCCAGGCGATGTTTAACACATAAGGCACGCGAGAACACAAGCGTATTCAAATGCCCATCAACGCGTGCTCATGTACCACCTACAGTAACACTATCGGGGCAAAAAGATCACGAGCTCGAACGACGTGAAGAAACCAACACTCAACAGACATTTAAGACAAGCACGCTTAAAAGAAGTTATTTTTTTTGGAGCTACCTCCCTACATGGGAAGGCAGATCCTCTTTTCCCACGTGTGCAACTGGCTAAAAGAAAGAAGGGTCTGAGATGCTGTGGCCAGAATCACGAACCCGATCTTAGAAGGGCTGAGTCGGAATAAGAATCTCGTAGGCCCCGCACATGACGAGAATTTAGTATGGCGATCAAATAACATACGGACGTATATAAGCTTCATTGAGAGAACACAATACTAGATTTAGGCGTTGTTATGATTGAAGCCGGGGATATCCCTACTGCTATAAGTCATCCCCCACGGTTTTAGTCGCTGTGCCAACTTATTGGCAGTCTCACTATCGTCAGTTTTCTGTGGTTGAGTCTGACGATTTGACATAGATATCATCCCAGTGCGTGAGCATATGGCTACGTACGTATTATTATGCAGCGGCGCGACGACGAAACGTTGCTTACCAAGAGCCGTGTTGTCGTGCTTATTAGCAGTTTGCCCGAGTAAGCATAACACAAACGCGAGAAACATGTCGAACTTAGAAAGTCAAGAGGGGCAAACATAAATCACCAGGCCACAGCATCTCATCCAAAAGCGACAAAGTTGGATGAAACACTTCATGTTCAACTGGCGATAATCCGTGGTATCTACTGTGTTCCAGAATCCACATTCCGCATTTCATCTGAAATCTCGAGACATCGTAAAAACAAAATAATCAGAGGTCCTAAACGCCATTTTTCCAGACCCTTAAAAACTGTATGTTACAGTAGATAACGCCGCAAGCAAAGGCATACACATGCAACTAGCCACTGACCGACCAAATGGTATCAACCAAATGCAACTCGGGAGAAACCTCACTCAGAACTAGATAGGTTTTCGTTTAATCTGAGTCAGAATCGTCCTTCTTTCCCACCGAGGAGCGCTTTGCTTTAGCTGCCTTCTTCTCTGCCTTGCGTCTCTTGCGCTCAGCCTTCTCTTCGGCGGTCTCGCCATCGTGCTTCTTGCGCTTCTTCTTGTCATCGTCGGCCGTGGCAGGCGTAGGTGAAGAAGGGTTCTCTTTCGAAGGAGTTTGGGCGGGAGCTTCGGTCATGGAAACATCAGCGGCAGCTGGCGTTGCTGCAACGCCATCAGCCGGAGCGCTGTAATCCTTGTATTCCGACGTCCACTTGGCGGGTGTTGCCTCGTTTGCTCGTCCAAACTTGTCCAGCTTTCCAGATGCCTTCAGCTTCTTCTTCTCGGTAGCAGTAGGACCCAGACCCCATCGTCGAGGATACAGGTCTCGCTCCATGATACATCGCTTCACCTTTGCTACTACACCGTGATCACAAGACGACATTTCGACGGTCGACATCATAGCAATACCAAGAGCAATAGCCTCACCCTTCGTTGTCATCAAAACAATTTCCTCGTGAACTTCAATGCCATCCTCTATAATCGAATATTAGTTTCAATCAACTTACCAGAGGAAGGAGATATCTTACCGTATCGTAGCAAGCCAGGGATCATGAGTTTTGCACCGTAGCAAATGGCATTGACAGTGCTGTCCTTGACTACGATTCTCTTGTACGACGTAAGAAGAGTCTCTAGGGGCGCAATAACCTTACGCAGGTAGGATTCATCTCTGGTGTTGTCCATCATCCACTGGGCATCGAGAACATCATGAAGCGTCACAAGGTCCTTCGTCTCGTCCATGGCACCACTTCGCACACGTCGCAGTTCTTGCATATGTGCACCTACACCAAGGAGGAGACCCATATGCACACAGAGAGTTCGGATGTAAGTTCCGGCCTCGCAACTGACCCAGAAAATACCTAGGTGGCGGTCATTGTCGAACTCGATGACTCGGCTCTCGTGGATGGTTCGGATACGAAGCTGTCGCTTGACAGCAGAAATTAGAGGAGGTCGCTGGAAGAGGGCACCGGTCAAGGTCTCGAGAGCTCGTGAGAATTGCGCCTCGCCACCAGGAAGCTTATCGTGTAATCGAATAACGGCAACATATTCCTTTCCGGCACCTTGCTGAGACTTGACCAATCGAGTAGCACGATCAACACAGACAATCAAGCAACCTGTGACCTTGGGATCAAGGGTTCCACTGTGACCTGTCTTCTCAACACTATGTTCGCAGTCAGCTTTTATCGTCTTCCTGCACGAGCCAAAGTACAAATTCATACCGTAAAATTCTCTTCACCCAAGCAACAACCTCGTGACTCGAGGGGTTCGAAGGTTTATCGAGGTTAATTACACCAGAGCTAATGTAGGACTTAAGATCTCGAGTCAAAGGCGAGCTGCCATTGGGAATGGGAGTGAAATGCCCAGTTCGGACAAGAACTATTCATAATTAGGTCAGTGTCGCAAATCAAGGTTGGTCGTGAGTTTATTCACGTACGCTTGTCGTAGTTCTTCAACAACAACGGCCATGTGCTCGTGTCAACAGACGGAGTGACCGTGGTTGGTTTAATAGAGAACTCGTCCTCCTTGGGCTTGATATTGTCCTTGGTCGCCATTTTAACCCGTCTTGATGATTACCTGTTTCAAATGTGTAAACTTGTACGCGACAATGCTGGCGTGCAAGATATTTTCCAATGACAATTGCAAATGGAAGATTTGCCTCGGACGCCGGCTCTGCGAATTGAAAAAAATAAAAAAAAATAAATAGAAAAGCTCCAAAAATTTTCTAGCTATTGGATGTGGGGAAACTGACCAAGACTTGGTCCAATCAATAGCTCCACCCATAACTAGCGCTTAATTGGGCTTATCGATAGCATACTTGGAGCCGGAGCTCGTATATACCTTAGATAAGGTTACTAGGTTAAGGTTCTTTTCCATTAGACCAACATAAACAATTCCCCCTTTAGAAATCACTTAGTATCAGTTCATAGGGTGATGCGCTTTGTCGTATTATCGTAGAGCACATTATTCACGGCTATTCTTACTTCAGTCTCTGCAAGTGATAGCAAGCTCTAAGATGAATAAGGGGTAAAAAACCAGACGTACTCAAGTAATCTAGTTGCTCTAAGCTAGGTAGCTATCTGATCTCGATATGCTCTTCCACAGCCCCTTCGTCCAACCCTATCCACAAACCATATTCCCTTAACTCAACGGTTATTATCCTATCGAGTCAAGGGAAGCCGCTCTGTTGTGAAATTATCTGATCCCATTGTATCCACTCGTTCGAATCCATCTGGAGAGATAGAAGATCTGAGAAATCACAAGGTCCAAAAGCTTCCAAGTCAGTGAAGTGTCCTTCGTACTCCTGAGGTTGCGTCCTGGTGTAGTCAAATGAATTTGACGCAATAGGCTCATAATCCACCGCCGGACCTTTGGGTTTGAATAATGGTTCCGACGACATTTCACGGCAGCGACGGATCCTCTCGATATACCGGGGCATTGGCGGTTCTGGCTGTCCTTCGGCTTTTAAAGCCGCGGCACACTCATTCCAAACATGCAGTGTCCATTTTCCTATCGCCGCGAATACGGGTCCCGCGGATTCCTCAAACATCGGGGGGTAGTGTGAGTAGACTTCTCCGATCAACTGCCACGTCCTATCAACCTCGGGCCCCTTTTTACGATTTCGGGTTTCGATAAGCACGTAGAGCATCGTCCCCCAGAGGTAGCTAGTACCAAATTGCCACATGTATTTCTCCATATTGTTCGGGCCGCCATGTAGCACGGTTAAATATTCCAAAAGTTTCATGCAGTTCGCGAATACTATGTTGCGCTCGCTCTGTGGCATTTTGATCGGCCTGTTGGCGGACGACCGGGGGCTGTGACTAAAGACTCTCATCTTCCCGATTGATGACCTGACCATGATTGATACAAAAGTATGAAGCGAACTCAATGGGTCGCAATACCGTAAATACTTGGTTTCGAGATGATCTTCAATCTGATCTATGATGCGGTCCTTTTCGGCGAGAGGAACGTCTGATCCGCGGAGTGCTTCCCAGTGTAACCCATTAGTAGATACTGACACGAACCTTTCCATAGCTTTTAGTATCTCGCATCGGATCAAGCAGAATGAAATAGAAGTGATGCCGTTACGCTCCGGTGGCAAATCGACCATACTTGGATCGAGATCCTCGTCGTTGACATTTAGCGGTAGCTTAGTATCCTTAGAAACAAGATCTAACGAAGGCCTCGTGCCGAGGATATCAGCCAAGCGAAAGTCCACATGGACAAGGTGCCACCAAAGCCGCCTCCGCATTTCAGCTTCGAATGGAGATAACCCCAGAAGCGAACCGTCACGATGTAATCCCATTTTCCGAGCCAGTCGTATCGCCACTCCTGATAATACGAACAGGGTATCATGTCTGTAATTCTTTCTTACACATATCTTCTTGAGTTAGAATGGGGACGCCAAGATGTTCAATAGTAATAACTTACCATGAAAATTGCATACGCCTGAAGCGTCATTGGACTGGAAGTAGATAGAAATCCAGCATGTACTAAAGCCTGGCGAGTTGCAAGTCTGTAACGGGAATATAGTATCGATTTCTCTATTCCAAACAAGCTTCGGCATTCCTCGTCTGCTAAAGATGTGATGACTACAAAATAGAAGGATGATATTAATGCTTCCAAACTTCTGGAGCGGTTATGAGGATTCCGCAGCGTGTCTGTTAGCGCGGTCCAGAACGTAGGGATATGGAGTATCTTCATCAGAGGATCAACTCGATCAATAAATACTTCCTTCATCTTTTCCAATACCGACAAAGAAGGATGTAGGCTTGCGATATTGTCGAAGGCGTAATTTGGTTCCGACTCGAAGAAAATCCCACTTTCGTGAAAATTTGCCTCATCTGTTGGCTCACCAACCTCTGGATGTTGAAACTGGACAAGATTTAGAGAAGGGTGGCACTTTAAGTAGACAAGAGATAGTATATAAATAGGTACTTACTTCATCTCCTATCGTAGCCCAGGGCGTGCTAAGAAACAAGTATTAGGAACTAGGTAGGTATGTATTTGAGAAGGAGTTAATGAAAAACGTACATATCAAAATATCTCGATGTCCCCTCTTTTGTTATAAGCGTCGGTTTACTATCTTCTAGCTTGAAGAAGGGTTCGCTATGGCTTGGGCTTCGAGACCTAGCGATCTCATCATCTAGGTGAGATATCGACTCCGAGTCGGAGGAGTCGATATCATCGAACAGCTCAGTTTTTGCGCCATACGATTTTAATAACTCCTCAAGCCGTTTCAATTTAGCGTGGAGACTCTCTCTGGGCGCTTTAGTTCTTTTTCTCTTTCCTCGCACTGGGGCGACGAAGCTGCATTGCTTCTCGGCCTTGACGCAATTAGAACAGGGGTTGCGTCGGTCGCATTTGACCTTTCGCTGCCGACAAATCAAGCACGAATAACTTTTAAGATCGTCCTCGGCACCGAGCGGCATCGTTACCGCAGATTGAGACATTTTTCTAGACTCAACAATTCTATGGAGATAAAAGGAGGTAAGTGTTGCAGTTCGCAGAGTTGCACAACGGGTGAGTTGATTGTGGATGTTTCTCGGTGCTCGGAGACGAAAAAGTCGATTTTTGGACCCCGAGCAGCGGATCCGGCCCCTTTACGGCGTGGGCCCCCGTCTTGTAAGACGAATTAACTAGGGGAAAATCTAGCAACATTTCCAGATGTATAAATTGCTGCTTGAGTGCTTGGCCAGGCTTTACTAGATGAATATGTTTATAAGTTGATCGAAACTCTTCTTTCAAAGTCACCATGTCCCAACATACTGCAGATAGTGAAAAGAAGCCTCTCGAGGGCGCCGGGCAGGCGAACCACAAGCCAGAGATTGATGAGTACCCCAGCACTCAAAAAAGAGTCGTCATCATGGTAGCACTTTATTTGGCAGTTTTCTTAGTTACTTTGGTATGTGGTATTTTAATTTTAGGAAGTCATTGTTTCTATCAGCGTTCGTTCAGATCTGTTGCTTACCCTTAGTTCTAATGCAGGACCAAAACATCATATCGACGGCTATTCCCAGTATAACCAACGAGTTCCACTCTTTAGACGACATTGGATGGTATGGATCCGCCTATTTATTGACAATGTGTGGTCTGTCGCTTGTTATGGGCAAGGTTTACAAATTCTACCCTGCCAAACCTCTCTTCTTAGCTGGTTGTTTCCTATTCGAAGTTGGCTCGGCTGTTTGTGGTTCGGCTCCCAACTCTATTGCCTTCATTTTCGGCCGTGCTATTGCAGGAATAGGATCGTCGGGGCTATTTTCGGGAGTCATGGTTATCATGTTCCACACCGTTCCATTACAGCAGCGGCCGATTTACCAAGGCGCTTTCGGGGCCATCTTCGGAATTGCATCAGTTATCGGCCCCCTTATTGGAGGTAGCTTTACCGATAGGGTAACATGGAGATGGTGTTTCTATATAAATATCCCTGTCGGGGCAGTATCGATTATTGTCACTTCATTGATCCTGCACTTACCCAACCAGAGGCTCGACACGAAGGCAACAGGTTGGGTTGAGAAGATCAAACAGCTAGACCCTATCGGCAACCTCATATTCCTCCCGGGAATAGTTTGTTTGATTTTGGCTCTTCAATGGGGAGGGACCGTGTATCCTTGGAACGACGCTCGCGTTATCGTCCTTCTGGTCCTTTGCGGTGTTCTATGTCTCGTCTTTATCGGTGTCCAGGTTTGGAAGAAGGAAGGTGCATCAATCCCACCGCGTATCATAAAGCAACGCAGCATCATCGCCGCCGTCTGGTATGGGTTTTTCAATGGTTCCGGCATGATAGTCCTGACGTACTACCTCCCTATCTGGTTCCAGGTCGTAAAAGGCACCAATGCTATCGGTTCTGGAATCATGATGATTCCCCTGGTCCTCTCAACTGTTGTCAGCTCCATCTTATCCGGCATTATGGTCTCCAAGCTTGGGTACTATGCCCCTTTCTTCTTGGTCAGCTCTATTATAATGCCAATAGGAGCTGGTCTCTTGACAACATTTACTCCATCTATTAGCGAGGGTAAGTGGATTGGATACCAGATACTCTTTGGAGTTGGCCTTGGGGTTGGCATGCAGCAGCCAATGAACATTGTGCAAACTGTCCTGGAGAGGCCAGATATCGCAACAGGGACTGCAATCATGATGTTTTCGCGCTTTCTCGGTTCGGCTATATTCCTACCAGTCGCTGAAAACGTCTTCCTGAATAGCCTCATCTCGAAGCTCTCTAATGTTCCTAGTATTAACCCTAGTTCCGTCACTGGAGGTGGTGCTACTGAGTTGAGGAATATGGTTTCTGGGGTCGAGTTAGAGACACTCCTTTCCGACTATAACGCAGCTATAATTGATGTCTTTTACATGGTGATAGCGACATGCGGTATCACTATCTTCGGCAGCGTTCTGGTGGAGTGGCGCAGTTTGAAAGCTCGCGCTCAAGAGCAGGCGAGCAAAATTAATGCTGGGGAGCCAACTAAAACTCAGGAATCTGTCTAATATCATTCGATCAACCAAATAAACCTCGATGTGTTATAGATTATATCTTTTAGTGTTGGATTGACTCTATATTACGTAATAAGATGAAAAGGGATGCAGGTAACGATTGTGTTCTGATTGGTTGATATTAAGGTAAGAGAAGAGGGGTTCTCCCGAGTAGGGAAAGATATCTATTGTACAAATGCGCGGGCTGTGCGTGGGCGGTGTGTGTGGGCGGTGTGTGTGGGCATAACATGGTCACGTGACGAGTCACATGACCGTTATCCCAACATTTAGAATTCTACTCTTGTATATAACTAGGTACCTAGGTAGCTATTATTATTATACCACCTGAAGCACCCGGACTGCAAACATTGGGCGCCTCCTATCAATCAATAAAAATGCCCCAAGACCATCGTGAGCCTACCCATAACTTGAGTGCATATCTATCTAGGTAACTTACTCTTCTAGCCTATCGCCGACTCTGTATACCTAAAGGCGCGCCCTTCGAACTAAGACCCTCTTCACCTGGGAAAGGGTGGGGTGCCTTCGCTACGAGATTGATCAAGCAAAGAGACCCGATCTTGATAGAGGAACCACTCTTCATTATTCGGAAGCCGTCCCAATACATTACAGATCAAGATGTTTTTGCGGCATTTCAACAGTTGACACCGGCTGCGAAACAGCAATTTTTACTTATTCGTGACAATGCCAGTGGTCCCTTCGGGAGACTGAGCGAACTTCTCGCGGAGAACGCCTTCGCTCTATTAGCCAACGCAGGACATGGCTTGTATCTGCTTCATTCACGTTTCAATCATTCCTGCATACCTAATGCCAAGGTCCCAGAGTCCAGTAGCGAGACCCTTACATTGTTCGCAATAAAGGAAATCGTAGCTGGCGAGGAGATCACCTTCTGTTATAATGCCGATTTTGAGGGCAGGACCAGACGTGAGCGCCACGAAGCACTACGTTTCGCCTGCGACTGCAAAGCCTGTCTACCCGGCACTCCCTTTCAACAGCTTAGCGACGTACGACGAAGATTCGTTCGTGGGTTGCAATACCTTGCACATGGTATTGACATAGATGGGAGGAGACAAGATTCCTCGTCTCCAATAATTGATGATCGTAAACTAAAAGAAGCAGCAGAAAACTTAAGTATTCCCCTCTGTAATAAATTAATCTATCAACTCTTGAGCTCATTTTTGTTGGAAGAGGAAGGATTGCTGGACTATCTCATGAGGGAAAGGATCGAACGCCCAATGGTGATATTATCGTCCTTATTTGAAACGGAGAGCAATGCCAGAATCGTCAAGGTTGCTATGACAGAACAGACTTTGCTGGGAAAGGTTCATATAGCTTTCAGGCTCTATGGGCGAGCAGATGCTGCTGATGAATTACTTCCAGAGATGCTTCGGATGCTACGCCGCATCTGAAGGGAGCTTACTTTCACAGTGTCTAGCGGTCTTTTAAATGCAATGTAATTAAGCGGGGATTGAGTGAAAGTTTGACACTGTAGATTCGTGAAGCCTGACAATCAGAGTTCTCAAGACGAATTAATACCCTCAATCAATTGTGTAAACTGATCATACAGCCAAATCGACTACCATGGTATAAAACTCCCCCTTAATTAAATTAAGGCCGCCACCCCTCAACCCGACATTATAGCATATCTTCCTGGACGATCAAGGAAATTCTAGCATGATTCATCAAACACGACCTTTAGGTATCTCATCGTACACCACAACTCCTCGCTGATATTATAAGAGTAAAAGATTCAAGCCGCACCATATCTAGTGATACCACCTAATAGGCGGTAACTATACCATACCCCTTCTTACTCTCGCGGGCTTTCCTGAGATCCTGTACTGCGCCTCCCGTAGCCGGGATGGTTTAGCAAAGGCGGGTTATAGGCGTGCGAGGGTTGAATCCTGTTTTCGTAACCGCCAGCACTGTTCACGCCCTCTTGCAGCTCGTTACTATCATCCCTCACACTTGCAACCTTTTCCTTGCCTTTCTTATCACTCCATGGCGAGTAGGCCTCACGGTCCGGGCTTATTGCAATACCGATGTTATCGGACTTCTCTATTGGCCATGCCATGTTAGGGCCTTCAACCCCACTGACGGGGCTATTATATTGAGAAGAGTAAGGCGAGAAGTAGGGTGTGAAGGCAGTCTGGGTTGATGCGCTGATGGGCGAGTCTTGCCAGCCACGGAGAGGCTTCTGACTAATAGGTGTCTCGAACACCTCACCACCTCCTTGGGACGAGGGCCAGTTCTTAGTGCTTTGCTCCCGACGGCGGAGATACGCCTTTCTCCGGCGCTTGCCATTGACAATAATCCCACATCCGACAATGGTAAGAATAACGGCAAGGCCACCAACGACAATACCAGCAATAGCACCGGTGTCCAAGGGGCCACTTATCCCTGGGGGAGAGAACGTGGCTGTAGGCGTAGGATCCGTTACATTCACGACGTCCGTAGAAAATATGTTACCCTGCAAGGGAAGGGTAGCTGGCGGCTCAAGTCTTAGTCTGCAGGCGCCATCCAGAATCGATATAACTGTAGTAGGAGATAGAAGTCAGCTTTTGCGGTAGTACGATAATTTACGATATATCATACAGTTGCTAAGATAGTTGTCGTCAGGTGAAGAGTTTAAGCAAGAGTGACATTTATCAAGATTATAGTCGGTCCACTTGTCACAGTAGCCATATATCGAGCTATCAGACGTAAGATTGCCGTACTTGATCGCTTCTTCGATGTTGGCGCAGGCGAAGCTGCGGAGGTTAGCATCAAAGTACAATGAGAAGCGAAAAGACACATACGAAGTGATGCACGGGCTTGTTCCAGACTCGAATAAACATAGGTTGACAGCATATCGCATATTATCTGACAGCATGAATTAGCAAATATGACGCATATAAGAGAGCGAATGAGGCCTTACAGAGCATATACTGTAAGTCGGATTTATTTTGCGCCCCGTTTGGTGTTGTGTAGGAACTCGTCGACTCGCAGCCGATACAGGTTTGGTAGACTTGGCCTGATGATGTGACGCTGTATGCCGAATCTTCGCAGACTATCATATCGTCTGTTGTTGAGCCAAGTACATTACCGCATTGCGTCTCGCATGTTGATCCCTCTGCGACAAGTAACGCAGCCGATGCATGCCAAAGGGCTGCGAACGACAGGACTCGGAACGTCGCCATCATGTTTCCTTGCCTCCTACGCGACATCTGTCTACGGGTCGAGCGTCTACGGTCGAGATGTCGGGTAACGAAGTATTATAGATTTAATAGATATCGTACCTAAGATATCCAGTACTTTCGACAGTCGTCCGGGATTCGAGGTAGATGTTATCTGCAGCCAAGATAATATTATATTCTTGGGGTCCAAGCAGCAATAGTTGCGCCGCAGAAAGACGTTCGTTTATAAAATCTCTGATACCTTTACTCAGAGAGAACCTCCGCTCAACCGTGTAGCAAGGGAACAGGAGCAGTGAGGGCGCTTCGTTAACGTAGTTTCATCCCTCTCTAATTGAAGTCACTCCTGAAGAGAAGACTATAAGCGCGAACGTCTTGATACTATTTGTCTTGTCCGCCTCATCGGATCGACGCACATCACCTCACTAGATCCATTCAGTGGACAAAATAGTCGGCAGAGCTATGCAAATCATGGAGAGGGGGGCCGTGCGGAGGCCATCACACACTCGATCAAGTCGGAGGATCGGGATTTTGCTATGGTTGTATGGTTAGTCCGGGGGGGAGAATCCAGGGGGGGAGAAGGAAAGAGTCCAATAGGATTTTAGAGCACGTGTGTTGGCATTGGTTCGGATACAAGGCCCCCTGCTCATGGCCCTGCTCATGGCACCCTGCCGAGTGGGGATGTAAGTAGATGGCTTCGGCTACGGCCGTTTATTGGAGATCAACATGACTCCGCTAATACATTCGTCCAATAGTTGAGTAAAGGAACGTTGCTCAGCATATCCCCCAAATCATCGATCCACCGAAATAACCTCAATTCGGAAAACGAACGCTTCGTCACACAAGCTGACAGGGCACGCTCACCTAAACACACCCTAATATGTAATTACTATGCAGAAAGCAACCCTCTTGGCCCTCATAGCTTCGGGGCTTTTGGGGGCCGCCTTATGCATGAAATGCTAAAATGGCGACGAGCCGAGAAATTAACCGTATCTATCGACTGTCATGAGGTAGAGGTATTTCTCTGCGATACTACTACGATCCTATCGTGGAGTGTATACCTGATCGTTCGCGTGGCTGTTTTGATCCGCGTATATGATGGGAGTTCACCCTGTGGTAATTCTATAATCGGTTTCGTCTCACGTATCGAATGAGGAGTTTCATACGAGCGAGTCTCCGGGAGAATTTCGGTGTGCTGGGCGACCCAAACTGTCGGGACTTGATGACGAAGCCGTTGGAAGTCTTACCCTCGCAAACGCTCGTACCGCGTAGCCAAGCAAGGACTTGATAGAGAGTGATCAGAGGACATATATTAAAGCAAGGTAGCAACCATAATATATAATTTAGTAGTTTACTGCTCACGGGACGTCTCGATTTTGGCTACGATGTGAGCGGCGCAGCTTAAATATGACCGAGACGGCATGCCGATTAATCGGATAACTCAATTCTCTTCCATTGATAATTCCCCAAGCCGACGAGATCATACCTTTTGCCTAAATGAACAGACATGGTATGAGCTTAAGCGCCAAATAAATATCCAAGAGTACGAAAGTTTGATCAATGAGGTTCACTTTTCAATCTTGCACCAACATACAGACAGCCCCCCTTCATGCTATTGGGCCGTTACCATCAGGTCAGTTACCAGAAAATTGAGGGAATAACATTGGCTCAAAGCACACATGCTATGTAGCATCACATTGAGTCGGCGCGTAGTTGAATTCAATAGGTAGTAAGCCGAGAGGGAATGAAACGAAGAAGGCATGTGAATTCGTTTCGGATGTATTCTAGCCTCAGCCGAACGCTTCGTCCCGAAATCCCAACATAATCGGCAAGCCGAGTATACAAAACTATTAAGCCTTCCGATATGTTTATATGTAAACCCATGTCCTTGCCCGTGAGTCTTGATTCACATTGGGAACATTACCTCGACTTTCAACACTTTCTATTTTTCCTCTCGCTCCCTTCTACGCATAGGGTGTCGTACTGTGTAGGATGAAGAGTCCATATCAACGACACGTCTATTACTACTGAGAAGTACAAGACATGGATAGTTAACATTGACTTTTATCGATCAAATGGCAGTTGCCTATCTACTGTCTACCGGGTGTATCCACCAAAGAAGTGTTGGTTCTATAGGGTAGAACTGATTGCTCTTCGATAGCAACGTCTGCTTCATAAAGCGTAAGACTTCTGCTTCTATATGTATAATATCATACGGAACTGACACGGGGCGTTAGCTCTCCTTAAACCCACAGACTTGCCTCAGTGGCTAGTAATGGTCCACCCCTTTGCTTCTCAAGTGAGATGTGCACTCTGTTCTAACGACACTACTCGACTTGGCATTCGAAGACCAAGGTGGCTATCATGTGCATTTTGTTTACTCGGCCTTTTCTCTTGATAGACATCTATGCTCAAGGTTGCACACAACATGGTCGCCTCTACTAGGATACCTTATGGCTAATAGGAGAGTCGCGCTGAGCCAGTGGACTGCGTCTTCTTATGCTGCGAGCTTCGGTGCTCAAGCTCTGGATGTTAAGGGAAACACTCATATGTCAGAAGCGCCAACGTGTTTTTTATGTCTCTACTTGCGCCTAACCTAGATAACTGACTATGCTAATCTGGGCTAATAGTTTATAGACGTGGAGTTCCAAACAGGATAGCCGAAATGGGTTTTATGTGTCTTGGCGGGCCTATCTGATTTCATAGGCCCAATATTCTAGTCTATAGGATTCTATATCAGCTCCTTGATATGGCATAGTCCCTCGACTCATGGCGACTACTATGAAGCTATTTCGAATAGGAGATATGCACCCTTCCCTATCAATCTCACGAATACCCGAGTAAAGATACTCGGCGACATTGGAGACGCTTCATGTTCTATCTACAAAATACCGTGGAAGATAACGTCCTCTAGGGACTCAGAAAGCTGTCTAATATTGACGCTCTTGATGACTGTAGGAACAATAGATTGACTACCTAGGTAGGTACACAATACGTCAAAGGATCTTCCATTCATCATTAACAATTCGATATTATGGAAGGTATACTTTAAATCATGCTTTCTCACCTCCCATACCCAGATCGTTGTGCGTCTTCGAAATAGCATCTCGGTTATGCCACTGTCAACAGCACTAAGCTAGGTACGTCACATTTCTGCAGGGGCTCAGCCCACTATGTATCCTTTTCATACATACCTACCTACCTAGGTTACCTAGGTAGTCAGGTATCCTCACCATACTTCGATAGTGACACGTGTGGAGAAGAACATGTTTTCTCTGGCGTCTATGTATGTACTATGTACATACGCAATATCGACCTACCCATACATACGCCTGGCCCCTCGTCGGATCCCATCACTCTGGAAGATCGCATGCGGAGCACTACCTTCTCAATCTCACCCACTCACGGGGGCGTATTTAGCGCTTTCGAGGTTGGCAGGGGTTCATCGGCAGACTGTTGGTGGGCTCTGGAGACTTTTCTGGCAGTCTACTGGCCTATCCGTGCCTCTGGGATTCTTCAGCAGCCTTTCCCGCCCCAACGACGTTTTGAGTTACACCACAGCTAGGTTAGAGATGTTCTGCAGCGGATCATTGATTATCGTCCAGCCACACCCTTAAAGCCGATTATTTACTACTACACCACCATTGAAGCTTCACCGGTGGTTCATAATGATTGTCCCAAGTCAATTAACCTAACCTAGGTGATTCATGGTCATCCGGGCCACCCACCAACCAAGTACGGTAAGTTGCCGTTGTTTTTGTAGTCCATACCATACGTTAGGTACTCGTCGAGTCACGAACGAAGTGAGGTTGCGCAAGAATCCAACCTTGAAGTGTTGGAGCAAAACTAATGATGGTTAGCCTTGCTTTACTTTTAAATCTTTATTTCTCCTGATTGAACTGCTCAGTACAGATTCAGCAAGGCCGCGAAGCTAAGAAGGTCAGTCAATAACCCATGAAGCGCTTATATTCGCAGTACTGTTGGCTGTGTGGCTAGACCCTCGTCCGGATACACGCATACTATTCCTAACCAGTCTCCTTTTCTTCGGTTTATTGTCCGATCACCCCTTGTCTTAAACGTGCTATCTCGTAGGCCTCGTAGGTGATAGACGTAGCATCACGATTTGACCCCAGCTATAATTAACACCCAAGCCCAAGCTCAAGCCCACCCTACCCTCCATAATATATGCTAGTGAATATGGTGTTATACATCCGCATTGATCAGCCTCTCCACTCTTGCGCTTTCCTTATCATTCAATCTGGTATTCCTTTTACCATATCCCGAACTTCTGCTTTCACTCGCGGGATCTCGAGTCGTGCGACCGTTGGGTGCGATACGATATCTGTACGCCACTACAAGACGGACGAGAACATTAGGTCAAATCACCTTTTACGTTCTACTTAAAGCGACAAGTCGTATCGGACCTAGAACTACCGATTCCGGCCTCTTCCTAATATCCATAGCTACCTGGGTACAAAATTAAACCTTAGCACTCCTCTTCTCCTCTTCTTCTCCGTCATATTCCTAGAAATCGTCAATACGGCCGCGTCTTAGGTTTCTATGAGACGGTGGGTGGAAAATGAGGATAGGGTGTCTGCAATTCGCCCCGAAGCTCGGGGACGTTAATAATAACCTCAACCGCGCCGACGCAGTCTTGAGTAAAGCGAATCCCGAGAACCTCGACCTGCTTTGTCTACCAGAGTTAGCTTTTTCAGGTATAGCCGTACCTAAAGTGCGTTTGAGTGTATTCAAATCATAACGCTGACTCACTCCATCAAGGTTATAACTTCAAGTCGCTTCAACAAATCAGCCCTTTCCTCGAGCCTCAAGGTTCTGGCGTAACTGCGCTCTGGGCGAGAACGGTCGCACTCAAATACAATTGCGTTACGATAGTCGGATACCCAGAGAGTTGTGATGTAAAGGCGAAATGGCCCACCGGACCCGAGTACTACAACTCGGCCATCGTCGTCAACGGCGAGGGAGAAACAATCGGCAATTATAGAAAGAGTTTCCTGTATTATACGGACGAGACATGGGCTCTGGAAGGCGGGGAAGGGTTCTGGCAAGGAACTATCCCGGGTCTTGGAAACAGAAACACCTCCCTAGGCATCTGTGTGTAGCCTTCACTATGAATCTTGGTATTTTTTCTAGCTAACAATTTGTCTAGGCATGGATATTAAGTGAGCGATATAAATGAACATATAGTTAACCCTACTGACTTTTCCTTTAGTCCATATAAGTTTGAGGCTCCTTTCCACGCTTTCGAATTCGCATTTCATGTCCTAGAGATGGGATCAAATCTCGTCATCCTTACGATGGCCTGGCTCACAAGGGAGGATGGTCGAATGTTCTCGCGCATGCCCAATGACCCGGATTTGGACACATTAACCTATTGGGTAACCAGATTAGAGCCGCTTATCAGAGCAGAAAGCGAAGAGGAAATCATCGTAGTTTTTGCAAATCGCTGTGGTATCGAGGATGACGCGGTTTACGCCGGGACCAGCGCCGTGATTGGAATAAAAGATGGCGAGGTCAGTGTTTATGGGATCCTTGGTAGGGGAGAGAAAGAGCTTCTGGTTGTGGATACAGATGCTGCCCCATATGCCAAGTTGGTATATCGGCCTGATGACAACGCATCAGCGGTTACTTCGACCGATGATGAGTCAAAAGGCGGTTCGTCCAATGCATCAGCTAGACCTGACAAGGAGGACCCTTCAAGGAGGTCGGAACAGCCTAGATCAACGGGAGGAAATGGTTCTACGAACACTCCAACGACCCAGACACCGAAGAACACCGACTCGGCCAGGATGTCTAAGACGCTCGCTCAGCCTATTTCACCATTGAGTGAGTCTACACTCGCTAACTATGAATCGATATCACCCGGTGGAGCCACCAAAGAATACGATTACGTACCCTTAGGCCGTGGTTCCAGAGCTGGAAGTGATAGAAGTACGAAATCTATGCAAGGCTCAATCGGTTCAGGCCGTTCGGGTACATCAAGGAAGTCGAAAGCTTCAAGTCGCACTCGAGCTTCTAAGAAGACCCTTGATTCTAAGGGTTTAGCCTCCCATCGTTTATCGTCTAAGAAAGTCAAGACAGCATCCCCTCGGATACACATCCCACCTACTAAGTCAGCAAATGATTCGATTCCGACTCCAACGGCACCAAGCCCGACTCCCTTGGCCGTCCGGCCTAAGCTTTCTATCCCGAAGGATGCTCATAGGCGCCCGCATATTCCCACACCCCATCCTAATTCGGGACAAAGTCATGTCCCAATGGAACAGCAGAATACAATCTTAACTCCGACCACAGCTTTTGACGATTTGAGCCCGCAATTTCCAGCCAGGTCCTTTTGGGCTCCTTCTGACTCGCGTCTGTGGAGTTCGATGGAACTACACGACGGGCCACCTATATCAGAACACTCATCAAGGTCTCCAAAGTCGATTACTGAAAATAAGTCCAGAGCCGCAGAAGTAGACGTGGAAGGCAGAAAGCCCTCACCACCTAAATCGCGTATTACTAGCCGATCGAGAAAACCTGAACGCCCGAACTCAGCGCTTGGCCAGAGGCCAGATTCGAGCACACTTGCTCAATACCCGGAGTCTTCTGTTGGGCAGAGAGCCGATACATCTTCGCCTTATCCAGATCGCCCCTCTTCGCCGAAATCACGAAATGCAAGTCGAAGTCGGCCTACTAACCCCATTCTCGTGGACGACCCTGTAGAACAACAATACTTCGACGCCGCAGAAGCTTCAGTCCTAATCGGTGCGAGCCCTAGCGTACTTAATAGCTCCGCGGCTAGAGGGCCTTCTGCCATATTCCGTCCAGACACACGCATGAGCAATGTCGAATCGACATATCGTCCTACATCTCAGGCCCCCCGGTCACGCAGTAACAGTTACAAGACCCAAGGTCCACCAGTCCAAGGGGCTGTAGAAAATTCTTGGCAACCTCGCGCCATCAGCCGTGGGCGGCAGCGAATACCGAAGGGTTTTACTGGAGCCTCCGATCATGCAGATATCAGCAGGAGAGGTGGCTCTCCAGAGTGGTCTGTTCAGGGGGACATGGACAGTGAGGATGATGATGAGATTGTGGAAGAGATCATTGTGCGACGCTCACCAAGCTGCGCAATTCATGGGGACAGACATAACCACATTGGCACTCCAGGACAAGAATCCAACCTGTACTCCAAAGATTCTAACGGGGAGAGTTTTGATTCGTCACGAGTTACCCCCGAGTCAAGTGGATCATTGAAGATTAAAAGTGCAACTGAAACCTCAGTTCAGCCTCTCGACAACGAACTTGAGGTACACTCAAACTTTTACGCATCTTCTAGCGAGACTCTTGCCAGCGCAGAAGGATCACTTACCGCACCCTGGTTCTTGTTTGATCCAAAGACACCAAAAGCCATGGTTTTTAAGATGGATGAGAATCATGCTACACCTAACACGCCTCGATCCGCTCCTTTCGCCCAGCCTCTGAAGATCGCGAAGCACATCGGACAAGAGGCGATAGATAAAGTTAGGCCGAAGAGTGCTGTCTGGTAGTAGTGGCACTTTAACGTGTAATGAGCTCGGGAATGGTTTGATGCACCTGGAAAATGTGTCACTATATTAAGCGAGGAGTTGGTTTGGTTAAGGACGGACATTCTTTCGATTCGGGCTCTGAATTCAAGTTATACCAAAACATGTAGATACTTACGTTAGGTAGACATAGCAATAGCAAGTCTCATTGAGGGCTGATTACCGGACTTTGACTGTGTAAAGTGAAAAGTTGGCAATGTCCTCACATTTCAAGGGAAATTCTAACAAAATAGATTAATTTAAGTGCCATATGCATCTTGGCCGTTCGCGGTTCGCGTTTTAAATATAGTCAAGCTATATGACTCTTTTAAACACGATACAAAGGTAATTTCGCAATTAACATTTGCTATTTTATTAGGATTCTCCCATATGGAAAGCTCTGGGAGTAGTAGAGCGCATATCTGGTGTTTGCCTCAGACATGTTGCAAAGCAAGACGGTTCCCGAACAGGATCTTTGCTCTTCTCGTGCAACGACAAACAAATTTCCCGGCGTATGTAGGTAAGCAACGTCCGAATCTGTTGTGAACCCGAAGTATTCGAGTCAAGTAGCTTGTAGTCGTAATCCTAGCGCTATTACATCGTTATCCATGTTACCAAGAGCTACTACACGGATGGTTGTCACACGATAATATGATATTGGCTCCATTTGTATGGTACAGGCCTCCCAGCTTACACGACACGACAAGTCAACTAACAACAATCAAACTAATATACAGAAAGCTATGACGTTTCGTACTGATTAGATCGTCAGAGGCTGAAACCGCGTTTTTGCTTTATCTCTAACCTTTCTAACTAGGACGCCTTGCGTTGACCGTTACCAATGCGACTAGACGCGTGGCTTTCCTAGGCTACCATCTCCAGTTCCAAAGTGGTCAATGGTGATTGATCGTACGGAGTAATCCTAATATCACGTCGGGAGGCTAGAGGATACTTACGTGGAAGCTGGCTTCGCGAGAAAAGGAAAAGGAAAAGGAATTGCGATCGTCAAACTGCCTGTCTATTATCCCGACGCGATTATGGTCTAGGATTGCGGGTGTCTGCATTGGCTGTCAGATCTGTGGGATGTCTCATTTTACGTAGTCCCGCTTCGAGGAGGACAATACAGCGTCATCTAAGGAAGCTGTATAAATACCTATGTAGGCATAGATCTCGAGGATAGTAACTGCCTATGAATATGGACAGTTCATCTTGAATTGACTGTTTTACTTCTCTTTCTAAGGTAAACCTCTGATACCATCGAAACCTCATCTCAAAATGCGGAAATTCGTAGTTCCATTACTTTGCCAACTCTTCGCGCTTCTAACCCACGGACAGAAGCATCCGCAGCCGGTTGGTAACTGGACCCTTTCCAACGCCGCCCGAACTCGCTCTGCTGGTAACGAAACTTGCGACTGGAAGTTCCTGCTCTCTCAGTCCGAAGCACCATCGAACAGCGCTCCTATGCTCTGCCGGTTCACAGTACATGCGGATAATGGACATGATTGCGACACTGCCACTTTCTCTGGTGTAGCCTGCAATGGAACTGAGAGGTATAGCGTTAACGGCGGACATGCCCCGGAAGGATTCATAGTCATGGTTCTACTTGATTTAGAGGAAAATGTCGAGGCATATTTCGGGTTCGACGACAAGGCGCTGAACAATGGCGCACATATTCCCGAGCAAATCATTGCTGCTTACCCACCGAAGACCCCCGGATCACCTCGTACTCGAAGCCTTCTTGAGAGACCCCGATCAGCGCGAGATAACATTACCGCGTGGACTGTTAAAAATATGTATCGGGGTTGGTTACAATTCTATACTGCACTTTAGCAAATGGGATGCTGATATCATGTCCAGCTGTAATCCCATCAGAACATCGTATCCTTATAGACATGCTCATCCTGGACGGTTCCCCTAACGGAGTGGTTTGCCAGCTCAGGTTACAAGCCCCTGAAGATGTGGATCCTAAGACGTGGGGATTCTCAAATGCTAAATGTATTGATAACGACTGGACGGTCCATTGGGGATATCTACCTGCCCAAGATGCAGGTGTGATGACACTCGTCCCGTAAGTCAGCCTACATCTCACATACCCGGAAGAACTATTTAGCTGATAATTGATGTTGTGAACAGGCCGAGCAGGGATAGCAATGCGTTCTTTGGATATAACGACATTAATTCGCATGAGGCACTAGGCACAGCTGGGCCAAGTCAGGTGCTGCCCTGCAATTGTGGTTGAGCTCAGGTAAATCCTACTGCATGGCTTCAACTAACAGATGACAAAGTAGGAGGGTTAGTGATTGAGGACAGCCATAGCAGGGACTTTACGATTTTAGAGACGTTAAGATGTAAAGATTGACAGATACCGAATATGCTAGTTTCTCTGCGCTTAATTACACACAAATTTTGCCTACGATCCAGTATTTCAGGTCTTGCCCCTGAGGCTAGGTATAGTATACTCTGCGTATTATCTTAGTAAACGGTTTCAGCCAAACCACTCTCACATTCACTCTTTGACAATATTCTTGTTTTATGATTGTATCACCAGGTAAGCTGTTTACATTTTACAGACCATCATAAATGGCAAGGCTGGGACACAGATGCTTGAGCTAGCCAACTCCATATGATAGTGCAGTAGTGTAAGCCCATTTCGCTCTAAGACTTCTGATAACGGATTGACTACTTCGAATCTACATTGACGTGGCATAACAAGGATTGGCCTCCCACATTATCATATGCAGACTAAGGGGCTCGATATATCAAGTGCATCGCTCGAGTAGTTTTGTATTTAACGGCTAACCACGCAGGTTGGGACGCCATAAGTATAAGTCAGTGTAGATACCATAGCGGAAATGGGGGGTTTCAGAGAACGGTTCTTTATGGGGAACGGTTCCTTATTAAAGAACGTTCCCTTGATTTCCGGCCTTTTATTGGCTGAAATCTAAGAATAATGGAGCTCGGGTTTTAAAAATTTACTACCGCCGTTTGATACGTATAAAATTGTTCTTTTTAAAAGAACCGTTTTTTTTTTAGGAATTATTCTCGTTAAATTTTTTTTTAAAATTTTTTTTTTAATAAAATGATATTATTAGAGTAAAGGTTATAAGGCTTAAAAACAATTAAATTTTCGAAATAATTTAATAAGATTGGCTATTTTGTTCTATTAATTTAACTGTTAAAATTTTAAACCTTATTATGGGGCTAATGCGGGAGTTTTAAGTTTAAGAACTACGTTTTTAAAATTTTTAAAATTTTTAGCTTTTTTAGCATTTTTCGGACCTATTTTTTAAGGAACGTTTTTTATTAGAGAACCGTTTTCTTTTTGAAAATTATTTTTACGATAGGGAACGGGGTAGCTGTTATAGTTTGAATGAATTATAGGGAACGGTTCTTAAATATAAGACAGTTCTACGTACCCCCCCTACCCCGCTATGGTATATATTTGGCCGCATAAGGAATTTCACATAGGTCTTTCCGATCGGTAGAGCAGCAACCGTGCGGCGTAGTAGAAGAAGCTAAATAAGTGCAGTAGAAGGATTTCATTCTGTTGTATCAAAAGAGATAGCACGCGAGGTAGATAAATGACTCTCGATATCCAATCTTTAGTATAAAATTTCGTACAGCATAGAGTTAATTTATACTTTATAAGTAAGAGTATTCTGGAATTTAGATGGCTACGATCGATTTACATCCGGCAATCTACATGTACGACCAACGTATGCGACTCCCCGGGTCCAGTGGCTTTTAAGTACCTAGTCTGGCAGACAATAAAGGCAACAGGGATGTATTGATATCATTTGCGCGAGAAGTTAACTCCTTCATATTAATTAAGCGCGATTAGGCCATCTTTTTGGGTTAGTTCCCGCGCGCAATCCTTTGCGGAGCTTCAGGTTTAAGCGCCGAAGCAATGGCTCTACTATTTACCCGATAGCAGGGTATTGGGATATTGATGTCAGGCAGAATCTATATGCACACGATGATCCCTACTATGTACTCGGATAAGTGTCGATGAATTGGGAGGGCGTTGAATGCCGATATTTACTCGCCAACATAGCGTAAAAAGGTAGCGATCGACTCTGATGATAGTTATATACTTTGTGTTTCGATATTCGCTCCGTTGAGTAACGGTTACTATTAGACCTATTAGACCATAGCTTATAAATGGAACACACAATCTCGATTTTGATAACAGATATCCAATCCCGTTAATTTAAAGGTGTAAATATGGTTGTTGAAGTCGCGTAGCGGACGTGAGATCAGATATTCCGGAAAAACTGGATCCCGCGCCGAATATTAGTGGAGCTTCGGCGTATCTTAGAAGAGGTAATGCCGGGTCAGAATGCACCTGCAATTCTATCGTAAGCGTAAGCGTACATAAGCGTAATTGAAAAAAAGTGGTGCTTCTTGCATCTGCAATGCAGCCGTTATCACTTTACATAGTACATCATTTATACGCGTTTAGATTCTATTCGTGGCCGTCCTACATTTACACTAAATCTTGCACTAACAAAATAAATAAAGGAGCCGATTAAACGCGATGAGGCAGCGAGGTCGACAAGCCTTGCCGGATTTACATCAAGGCTTTCATCTTCTCGAATTTCTTAACCTAGGTACCTGTTTCTATCCTAAATTCATTTCATTTCAATTATTACCTAGGTTTGAAGAATATGGCTATGGCTCATGAATCTAATGGAGCCATGGCCCCAAGTGGTAATCTAACTTGAGCTTCCCTTTTCTACTCGCTCTACCCGCTATCCCGCGGCCTCGTGCTCATGAGCGTTAACAAAATGTCTTAAACAGGTCATTACAGCTGAGGACCCCGGCCGGCCGCTTCTCTGGCCGGCGTTTACTAGACCCGCTTTACCAGACCCGCTGGATCTGCCTGTCATCGTTGCATGACAGCCTATCATTCCTTATACCCTTGTCTCTTCTTGGGTCAGCCCCAACCTCCCCCGTAGGCACCTGGCCAATCAATACCAACGATTCGACTTGGTTTACATTTCGCGCTTCTACCTCTTCCCGCTCTGTTGTTATTGGTTGCATGTTTTGTCGCCTGTCTATCCCCGGGCCTTGTCATTGCTCAGAGGCTTGCGAAGACCTGCCCAAGTGGACTCCTTGGCCGGCATATTGGCCGCTCTCAAGCTTTCGTCTTAACTTGCCCGCCCAGTCCCGTTGGCTGGGATATTGTTGTCGTTTCATTGGATCGTCTATGGTTGTTTTTTCTGGCCAAAGAAGACCCAGTCCTATTATCAGAAACATTCTCCACAAACGGACATAGACAAGCTTCTAGGCGCACTCTTTACTTAGCACAAGTGTAAAATTACCTGCGAGCTAACAGCATGTTCGACCTCCGTCATCTCCGCGCAGCCGCTTGCCTCGCGATGGGATGCGGGGTGGGCTGAAGTAGACGGTCATATATGAGATGGAGACCCCCCAACACGGCGGGCTTTGAGCCTCATACTCTTTACGGATATTGTTATCCACTAGCAGAGCCTGTTACTGTTGAACTGTTGAACTTCGGAGAGGATCTTGTCTACAGAAGTGGATCGTGGTGCTCGGAGGTTTGCCATGCGTTCTTCACCCCTATAGAACTCCCGTCCTCGTAACATCCTCATCTCTCCGCCTACCCTAGATTTCTTCGACTACAGATCGTCATATCCGTCAAAATGGTCTCTTCAGTCCTGAACCTTTGTGTGCTACTTCTGCTATTCGGTTCTGCCAACTCTCTCCAAGTTACGCCAGGGTCACCGTGTGCTGCAGTGTGCTTAGATCAACAAGATGGCAATGCACAAAACCCGGCAGCATCGTCAACGAACTCGTCAGACATCACTTGTCTCGATAGCGATTATAGTTCCTCGTCAAGTGGTATAAAATTCGAAAACTGTCTCAGCTGCCTAAAGGATAGCAAGGCTGTTAGCGGCTCCGAGAGTGACGTCTCTTGGTTCCTATGTGAGATTACTACCTACCTAAACTATGCTCTTCTGTATATGACCATAGTGACTGACATGAGCTTTGAAAGACAACTTGCGATATGCTGTTGATGTATGCGTTTTTGGTTCTCCAAATGCCCCAAAGGCCATCTCGTCCCCGTGCGATATTGATTATGGGTGTGCCCCTCTGGCCCAATCGCTAAAATATGGCATATCAAACCCGAACAATGCGTCAGAATTCGGATATTGCACAGCGGGAGATGGTGCTTTCAAGAGTGAATCCGTTGAGGCATGCTACCAATGCTTCCAAGCAAGTGATAACCAAGCCTACTTGGCTAACTGTACGATCTACATTAATATACGGGTATTGGAAAATGAGACTGACTAATGGATAATAGTTCTCATTGCTCTACAAGCTGGTTGCGAACAGACTCCTGCGCCGGGTAGCTTAATTGGGATCTCCGGAACACTGTTCTCTGATGTTCCAATCAAAATCACTGCGCCGCCTACTGATGACAGTGGTAACACTGATACGTCGAAGACTGACTCAAATCCGACATCGATGACCACTGGTGCCATAGTGGGTATCGCTATCGGAGGCGCACTACTATTTCTTGGCAGCCTGGGACTTTTTGTAGTTCACCATCGCCGCGAAAAGAAGGCCCGGGAACGCGATGCCATGGATTCGGATTATGATCCCCGAGGAGGAAATGGCTCCACCTCAGCGCCGAGCAAAGGAGCCTATACATCCTATGATGGAAAACCCCCGGTATCAATGATAAGCGACTACGAGCTCAAGGCCCAGAGAGCATACACAAACAATGCTAATTACTACGACCTCCTTGAGAAGGAGATGGCGGCACGGCGGGCAAACTACAACTTAGATCCACGACAGCTTCCTACTCACCCTGCCTACATTCCCGGAAACACGAGTCGGGGTCCTTCCAGAACAGCTTCCCCAGCGCCTCCGGCAACTGTGAAGTATCACGCACCAGACTCTTACGTCATGCAGCAATATCTGAACGCGGTCGAAGACGTTGTTTCGATACATCTCCCACCACCACCGTCATCGCACCCCCCATCTCGATCCTCGAACCGATCACCCTCTCCAGCGGATTCTGCAACGACGAGGCTCTTAAAGAATCCCCAACCCGTGGTTCAAGTCCCACTCCCCCCTCCCCCAGCTCGCCACAATAAGGTTCCGTCGCTGTCCATGCCCACGGTACCGCATATTAGGATACCAAAGAAGTATTCTCCGCCGGTGATCGCTATACAGGACGCGACACCGGTCGACGCACACGAAAATCAGCCTGGAAGTGATGCGCTGATATCAAAGCCGTTGACAATCCACGAGCGGCGGTTTCAAGATCGCGGGCTGTATATTACATCCTCCACGGATATCCTTGAGCAGCAAGTCGCACCGCCACCGCGGCTAGGAGAGGATCTGAAAGTAAGGACGGGGAATAGCTCTTTCTACGGTTAAACCCGTATTATGTACGATTTATGTATGGGTGTATATATCTGCATAGATACCCGAGGGACTTTTGGTAATATTAGGGATGGCGTTCCGGATGCTTCGCTTAGGACGAGGTATTAAAAAACTGGAATGGCATAGCATTCATTGAATGGGAAACGAACGGGAGACGATGCATATAATTACATGGCGCATACAGAAGCCATCTTACAGTTACTCGACGTAACAAGTTGCCCATCGTGCTGGTAATCCGACCTCAGATGGCGTGGAATATTGTACATAGACAGATAGTCATATTATAAGACAAATGAAAGGAAATAAAAATCCAGTAATAAGACTGCAATTAAGTTATTACTTTATATTGACTCATTCCTATGGACAAACTACTCCTAGTCTATTAAATTCGGCGCATCTAACCCAGACGTCGTCCAGGCCCCTGACTCCGCCACGAATCTGGCAGAGGACCTGTCCTTCCTCTACCAGTAGGGGGGGCAACCGCCTGTCCGTAAACAGTATTATGGACCCTAGGCGTACTCATGATCCATGAAATGAACCGCGGCGTGGGAATTAGATTTGGACCATGTCCAAACTCGGGGTATATGCGAGTGAGAAAGTCGTGGAGATGAGCGGCGACTAGACCAGTCAATCCAATCTTCAAATTCTCCCAGCCGTTCGGGAAAAGAAGCTGTACGAGCAAAAGGCAATAAGGCATAAGCTGCGCGGGAATAGTGATAACGTAGAAGTGTGCGTTCATCCCTCGCTGATCCTGTGTCGCTGTGTAGCACAATGCGATAAGTAGCGCTTGTAGTAACATGAAGCCACCCGTGAAGAGCGCATTCAAAGGCTAATGCACTAGTTAGCAAGCTGCTCCTGTCTCGAAGCAATGTCAAGATTGTAGGAACTAAGGCTAAGTATGTAGGGCGCTACAAACCACCCGAGCAAATGTGTCCGAAGACATTGCTCGAGTCATCCAATTAGACATCCCACCATGCCCACACTCCGGACTGACCCTAAATGAGGTATGCGAATGACGGGCCAGCCACAGTGCAGGGGTGATCTTCCTCATCTCCAGGAACCGTCATAGCTGTAGAGGAAATCCACTATGCGGGCAGATATGTGAGGTGTTTGGTGAAAGAGACGATCCATCTCTTAACAGGTGATGGGTTACGGACAGTACAGAGATATGACCTACCAGTATAATGCTAGCGATGAAAAGGAGATACCATATCATGTCCTCCTTCTTCGAGAACTTCGAGTTACCCGTCTCGAGCTGGCTCAGATATGTGAAAACGAAGTAGGTATCAAACAACACACCCAACCCTGCTCCCGTCAAAAGGAAACTCGTTACGATAAGATATAGAGCGGGTGGGAACTTGATGAGCCGCGAATAGTGGAAGATGAAGGGCTCGGCATTTAGCATGCCTGTGTAGACTCCTACAGAACAGAGGAACACCGCCGTCGCGATCGTCCTATTAAGAGACTGTTAGGTTTGTGAGGGTTTCAAAGCAGAGGCGAGAATGCGACTAACCTGGCGATCGGAGGGGTGCTCATGTAGACACTAACCATGTCCGCCATGATTGCGGTGTTTTAAGAATAGGTAGGTATTCAGTCAACTGCTCCAGGTATGAAAATGGTTACGAAATGTTGGCAAGAATAGAGATGTTTTGCAGCTCCTATTGCAGTGAAGAAATAGAAAGCAGCAAAGACACGTATGCTTTCAACACGACTACAAGAGCCTCAGGGTGGCAATGACGAAGATGGTGGCACGGCACACGGGGAGGCAGACAGCGCTGCCGTTTGCATGGTTGGCCAATTGGAAATCTACCTCGGTCGGGAGAGGAACGACAGGAATAGAAGGTGAAAGAAAGAGGATTTTCTGTTGCGTGTCAAATTTGAGCGAGAAAAAAATATTTAGGTAGATATGTACCTTATGTAAGCCTCAGTCTAGCCTCTGAGACCCACTTATCCAGTACGTAGAGGCACGTGATACGGCTAGCATTGGGGACCTTATGTAACCCGTAGTGTCCTTTTATGTAGTTCTCTTATTGAAGCCTGCGAAGAGCTAGGAGAAAAGCGTTGAGTTTAATTGGCTTAGAACAACTTATTGCATTTACCTAGTGTTGTTTCTCATTGTAAGCACTGCTTGATGCTGAAGATAAAGTCTATTTCCGATAACTATCACTAATAGTAAAATCTGACCACTTATGCAATCATCCGTTATAACTCTGTAGAGGTTCCAGATACGACCGTTCGCATAACAAGAATTTCTAAGAAGGACCTGTCAAACTTACAGAACTTACGGAACTTCCAATAGACACGTCAGATCATTACCCGAGTTTCTACCAAACTTAATTTAATATTTTGACGGTCAAAGCAAACTGCCCCTATTAGTGGTATATTAACTACCTACCTCCTAACCTACCTACATAAGTGATGTATAATAAAGTACCTAAGTCATATTTAAAGTTACCTGATAAGTTAGCAAGTTCAGTAATAGACTTTCCTCAAAAAGGGTCCTCGCCATCCGGAGAAACATTTTTTATGTTTATCAAGAAACTCTGAGCTTTCAGGAATATAAACATAACAGTAGATCGACTTTCCAACGCATTCATTCGATCGTTTTATGTGTCCTGGTCAAGTAAACCCTCCATAATCAAGATGCGTTTCTTTATCATAGCTTTCGCTGTCGCCGTTCTTGGGCAGGATGTCCAGCCTTTAGATACCTGGACGCTCTACAACAGCACTATCACATGCGACCTTAAAAGCTGTCAATATAACTTCTTCACGCACAAACACGAGTCGGGAGAGACGGTCCAGTGTTCCCTCAACATGACAGGGACTCCTAGCTTGACTACTCTCTTCGTCGACCAGATCTGTCAGCCAGATCCCCTTCACACACTTACTCTGAGTTGGGCACCCGACCGTTCGGTTATACTATGCATCGCAGACATCCACGAACGCGCGAACGCATTCTATGGACTCGAGAGATGGGAGGTTGCCGATAACAGGGTCGTCCCAAATAAGACGGAATTCGCGTGGAGGGCTGGCGAAGTTCCGCTTCCAAGCACTACCTTCACACGGCCAGTCCCGACATTGCAGGAGTAATATCTAATGGGTACCTCGGAACCAGCCCTAGTATGCTCTGTTACGGTTGTATTAATCTGCTACGACGACCATTCTGTCTCGTCAAAATGGATACCTTGCTCGGAACGCGCTTGATATGTCAAGAATGATAAATGATAAAGCGTCTTGTGTTTGGAAAGGGGGTAGAAAAAGGGGAAATGCATTAGTGATATCTATGTACGATAGGTATGTTATGATAGCGAAATAATCTGCATGCTAGACCTGCAGATGATACATTGCCTACTTGATGTTTTCTGTTAAAGCTTACACTGGGAATTTTCATGTAGATCTCATGAGTTCCTATATACTCTTTAGATCAAACAGAATGTCCACTCATGGAGTATTAGTATGAATAGGAAGGTCTGGTGAAAAGTCAATTCGTAAGATTCAAAAGCAAATTTGAAGGTGAAATCCGTAGTAGGATTATACCATGGTCAATATTCTTGAGGACATTTATGTAAGACACAGCTGCTTCATGTTGTTAGTCTCACTTTTCTTCTCAATTTGGTCGTATCTTCTCGTTCAAACAACATGGATTATGATAGGTTGAGATTACGCTTCAATCCTTTACAGGTGGGGTACCGGATATATATATCCCTAGGTTAGGTCTAACTTGTTTTATCCATCGTTCTTCTGTTTGCGCTTACAGCGTCGTGCGATTATTATAAATCTTCTTCTTTCTCTAGTAACACTGCTCTATGTTATCCTCTGGAAAAAGAACAAGATATCTTCGAATCCCTCTACCCTTGATCAACGTATTCTCTCGAAAAGGGGTAAAAATGTCGGGTCACGTGTCCGACGTTCGCGGCTCTACGGAGAACACCATAGAGTTTGTGTCTATACAAACTGAATATGTCCTTTGTTCTAGATGTCTCATCTAGAATCCTGACAGAGGAGTCTATATCTTCTTCGTTATTGGGGCCTATCTACTCATATACTATGGGCATAGGACCCTTCTTCTCTTTAATGATGCAGTTTAAAACCCCCCGGGCACCCTCTTTGGAAAAGACCTTCCGGGTCGTACTTGTTGCTGACCTCAACAAGATACCCCTTATTGTATTCACCGTAAGATCCAATGGGGTCCTGGTCGACGAATGCATAATTCATATATACGTAAGGTACCAATTTGCCTTTGTTGGATGCTTCTGCTTTCATCTTTTCGAGCGCGCCTTTCATCATCTCTAAAACCCTCGTATCATCCTCCGCATTTTGCCAATAAGAAAGTAGTAAAACTGATACGAGGGGTCCGTCGGCGGCATTCAGACCCAGGGAATTACCCCCATGCTGAGCTGATTTCTCTAGTAGCGAGACGGGATATGGTTGGAGGGTGAAAGAACACCTTAAGCCTTCTACTAGCTTAATGGGTTCGAGTGCTTTCTTGTATATTTGGGAAGCGGTTATCAAGGTAGCAGCATCACTTTTTACGGTGATGTTCATGTATACACACCTATTTCACGATGAGCCTTGGAAAATATATAATGAGTAATGAATGGGGGGTGACCGAACTAACCGTGTTCCTATTGAGACACCTGCAGCTTGATCAGTGGCAGCTTCCTTTAGTGTCAACATCCTCATGGAGCTGAATTGATCAATCCGCGGTTGTACCGATGTGAATGCCTCAAGTTCTGGCGGATTTTCTACACCTTGGGTGTAGTAAACTGTATTAAGGCCTACTGCTTCTTTGCTAAGGGCTCCTGAATATCCGATACTGACCATGATATGGGTTTCATGGGAGGGAGTTGGTTGGTTGAGCTCCTTTGCCAATTTTTCGATCTGGCCAGGGATTCCTGGGAGAAAGTAAAATATGTTACCGCCCCAAATAGGTCCCTGGGGAAAAGTCCTGAAATCGTAACGTGTAACAATACCAAAGTTGTTACCACCACCTCGCAAAGCTTTCCACAAGTCGGAATATTGCTTGGCACTGGCATTGATGATTTCCCCTGAAGCCAATACAATCTCATAGTTGACAACATTGTCGGATATAAATCCTTCGCGGGAAGAGAAGAATGAAAGGCCGCCTATCAATATTCAGCTCTGGCTCTGGGATAGGGATAGTTATATATCAAATTCATAGATGTCTCTTACCTTGGAGCGCAAGCCCACCAATTCCACAGTTATTAGCTCGACCACCAGCGACGCCAAGGCCCTTGCCGTCAAGCTTATCGTAGACGGCGCCCCAGCGCTCACCAGCCCCAATTTGCACTAGGCCTTCGTCCATCTTGATCTCTATCCCTGTAAGAAGGCCTAGGTCAACGGTGATGCCACCTTGGATATTAGCACAGCTAGGCGCTGGTTGTTGGCCTCCCCCACGAACAGCAAATTTGGTGTCTCCTTTCGAGGCAAAATGCTGAATTGTCCTCACGAACGCAACAACATCTTGTTTAGATCGGGGTTGAAATATGCAAGCTGGCTTAAGATCGCTTTCTAGCTGAGAAAGATACGAAGAGTTCAAGTTTTCGTACTCTGCCGTACCCCGAAGAGAGAATTGACCGTCTGGGATAGCCTGCCTTAACGCGTCGATAGCCCGCGATGAATCCATTCTGACTGGTAGTGTAATGATACTAGATATTACATGTCATTTCTCTAAGTCTTATCGCCTGTTTATTTATTTACTAAGTAGCTGTCCATCCTTTTATAGGCATCCAAGAAATAAGGGAATGATGTTATCCTGGAGGTAGAAGGGAAGAATGAGTGGGCGGGGCTTTTCGGCACATCTATGCCTGCCAAGGCGTAAATCCATCTTCTAAGCTCAACTTGATGCTGTATGTAAGGTATCCACAGGGATTTGAATCAAGTCAAGAGAGAAAAAGTAACAAAAAGCTAGTCGTAAACTCTATAAATAGTTTTTATCCCTGTGATGGTCTACATTAGCTAGAAAAATCCGAAGTTATCCAGTGTCTTGAAGAATATGGTCCCTGAACAGAACAAGTTAGCTCCCTGGATTTCCTTCGTTAGGTTCCTAGGTATGTAAAGTAATCCGAGTCTGGAGCTCTTGGTAACCGGGTATGATGCATCACCGGCTTTCTTAGCAGCTTAAGAGGTAGTCAGTCAGATAAATCAGCGTAAAAATGTACCAATCAGAAGTCATTGTGCCACGCCTTAACCTGGTATAGCTTAGTAAAACTAAGCCAATCATAGTATAGCATCATTACTACCTAACGTACCCAGATAGTATCATCCTCAGACTCCTTCAGCACATAGGGATTGCGGGTCAACGGCTTAGAAGGCTTACAGGCCGGTAAGGAGTTGTCAATATCGTATTGAGCACTTCAATAGCTGTATACCCGTAACTGAGAAGACTTCTTCTGATATCCCCCTCATATTAACTAATAAGCCATTGTGGCAAGAGCAGTACCCAAGATGCTGTGCCCCTTATAGACATAGTTAGCGTAAGCGTCCGGATGACTGCCGTGATATTCAAGTCGTGCGATACGACTCCGCACGTAAAGGCTAGTGGGAATGGTTTAGTGTGTTTAACATCCTAACCATACTAGCCGGCTCATTAGCGATACTTTTTGTGCTGTATTTCTTGGCAGCCCTTTAGAAGGAATATAATATTGCCATCTGCTATAACCATTGTCGCCGTTTACTATTTTTTGTGCATTATGACCATCGTTACTATATTATTCTCCTTGTTTACGGACAAGTCAGAGCTCTGGAACATGTGGCAGACATTTGCACAAATAATCACAGGTGCCACTACCCCTATTCTAAAGGGCACCAGCAATCTACAAGATAAAGAAGTAGACACTTCAATACAATTGAAGTTCTCGTACTAGAGGGGGAAGATGGTGTTAAGATGAGGGGGGATAACGCCGAGAGCAAGACAGGTAGATGGTAGATTGTGAAGGGATTTAGGGCGACCAGATCTGCCCAAGTATAAACATGCGTCAAATGTGCGTATTATATTAAGCTACAAACTTATTATAACTAACTAGGTCTAGTATCGAAGTATGGAAAGAGGTAGTATACTGATTTCTATCATATCAATAGTTAACTGAAAAAGTTGTTCTTGTCTTGCCAGAGCTCCTACCCCTATGTTATCTAGTTGAGATTATTGTTATATTATCTTACCAAGGGTTAAGAGAAATACAGTAGTCATATATTAGACATGTCTGAATTATTTACCCGAAGATATATAAGTTAGAAATTGTGAATACCTAGCAAAATATATTAAATAATATATAGTTGCTTAATTCACCATTATCTTCTCTTGTTTTACATAGGTAGGTACCTAGGTATCTATCTATATCGTAGAAATCATACAGTTATTCGAGCTTGTACTTAGTGTCTCTCTGAGGTGATTTTCCTCTCTTTCTTAGAAGGTATTCTACTGCCTGTAATACATTACTACAAAGCATACTGCTGGTGGCATTGCCGGTACCTTAGGAGGTATCTACCTAATGTATACCCCGCGTTCTGACTTTCACCGCGTTGCTATGCAGCACTGCCTTCACGAATATTTCGTTCACGAGCTTCTCTACCTAACTACTGTAGATCTAGGTTCTCTAATTAGGTACCTACCCTAGGTGGGTACTTATCCTCAAGTTAACTTAGGTACCTAAAGTACTAACTTAGCCTATTGTTTGTATGGCTAGGTACTCCTTTTGCTATAGTCTAGGTCGTAGTGGTGGTGGTTGTAGGCAATAGCAGGTACTTGCTTTTGATTTAGGCAGTCGCCGTTTCCGTAGGCAGTTGCGAATTCCTCACGAGCTTCCGGCACTACAGTAACGAGGCCATTCAGATCTCTATTGGATTTTTCGCCGACAAGATCAAAATTTTCTCTTTTCCTTCTACAACCCGCGATAAACACCAATACTTACTCATAGCCAGGGTATAGTCGCCTATATTCAGCAAAAGATCGCTCACAACACCTACATTTGAAGCAATACAAAGTTGGGTGACCAAGTTTAGTTAGCTACCTATGCAAAGATGGCTGCGCGTAAGTTTCCCTGAACTACCTCCCATAACTCCCCTTCTACCAGACAAAACCCATAATATTATATATTCTTTATCACAGACTACATTTAATACTAGATATTTAACCCTATTAACACTTGTTTAATTGTAGAACCCCCCCATATTGCATTGCCGACCGGCGATCCGACCGGCGACGTTCCTGAAAGCGAGCTCTCTTAGCAAGAGAAAGCTCGAAAAAAGGGACGAACGCCACTTCCCAGCCTCTCTCCCAAGAGACTAGCAGAAATAAACCACATTGACCACGCGAGAGTGGAAGCAGACAGCAGCAATGCTCACACGCGTCGCTTGGAACAACCACAACCCAAAGCTACTAAGCGTCGAGAACTTCCATTACTGCAATGCAATATTTGCGGAAAGCTCCTTAAGGGGCCCACCGTCTTAAGGTGTCATAAAAGGACTATTCATATCGGCACGCGTTGCTATTGGGGGGCTTGTATTCGGACGTTCATCAGCACCGAAGCACTCATTGAACACCTGAAAGAACATCAGACTATAGAATCGGCAGGTGACAAGCCTGGCGAGTTAATCTGCCACTGGCCCGGTTGTGGCCATCCCCATTCATACATCCACGAGCTGTACCGACATATTCGAATTCACAACGGTGATATGCATCAAATTTACTAGTCGAAGCGTATTCAAAGCTGCTTTGCGACATTGATATAGTAGCCACCAGCATAGAAACGGCAATATTGATGGCTCTTCTTGAGATCTTCTCGATCTTTTGCATGCAACCTCCAGAGAAATGGTTTTCTGTCTTTCCTCAATCAGGAATATGACTTCAACTTCGCTATAGCTTTCTATTTGCGTTGTTTTCGACCACCGCTTTAATAAAGACTTTCATCTTGCGTATCTGCAGAAAATAAGGAACAGATTAACCGTGGCTAAATCAAGGAACTGGATTAAGGAGTAAAGTACCTAATTATAACTACCTCCTTATGTACCTAGTCCTCAGCTGCTCTTTCATGTGATTCTAAGTGAAGAGGTTCATCCTTCAATACTGTCATCCGTTTTCTTATCAACTCTGCCGTTGATATATGGTGTCTTATCTCTGCCAAATCCAATGGAACCTTGCCGTTTTTATTCTTCACTAATACATCTGCACCGTTGCTAAGTAGCAAATCCACGCATGCAAGATGCCCCCTTTGAGCAGCCAGGTGCAGCGGTGTTTGTCCATCATGATCGTAGCTATTGATAGTAACTCTCGATTCTACTAGAGCCTGGATAACTTTCAAGGAGCCTTGTTCAGCTGCATAATGTAGAGCTGTTCTTTGCTTCTCAAGGTAGTGGCCTTGTGCATTGAACCCTGCTTTTATGAGTCGTACGGTAGAATCAACTAACCCTGCTCGGACAGATCGTACTACTGCTACCTTTTCCATTTGTGCTCCGCGGTATAGTAACAGCTGTGCAATTTCTTCGTCTGCTTGGGATATGGCTGTTATGAGGGCCTTGTTAAGCCCTGCTAGGCCTATTCCCCTGTCAAGGAGTAGCTTTGTAATGTTAGTCCGGCTTTGAGCTACAGCATGAAAGAGAAAATTCTCCCCCCGCTCAGTTGGGACACCGTTTTCAATGAGGTAAGTCGCAATATCAACATGATCTAATTGGCAGGCTTGAAGTAGTGCTGGGCGTACGATTCCTGGATCTCGTAACAGTTGAGCATTGTGATGGACAAGTAACTCCAGGTTGCTTTTATGTCCATTGGAAGCGGCTATTATTGCAGCTCTCCCTTCTATTTCGGATCCGCCGTGCTCCTTCTTCAAGAGAAGGGAGAGCATGTTAGTATCGTTTGCTTTTGCTGCCAAGACCAAAGGCTCTATTTCTTTTCTAGATATTAATTGCTTCATCGGATTTATGGAGCATGAAAGGATGGATTCTACGATGGATACATTGCCATTTCTGATAGCGTGTTCCAAAACGTTGCTCCAAGCTGTAGCATTATCAACTAGATCCCCATAATTGCAATATTCGGGCCGTCCTATATCTAGACGGTGAGCATCATATAGATATTGTATAACATCAAACCAGTTATTGGCGCAAGCAAGCCATATGGGATGAAATGGTCGAGAAACGATGTTGGCATTTTCCCAGAATCGATTTTCGGCGGATAATATATCAGAATCCGGTTCTTTAGATTGCAATATTTCACACCAGAGAACGAAAGCAGGAGTGATCAATAGGAAATGAGGATCTATAAGAAACTCCTTTATAAGCCTCGATAATGGTTCCGATTCCCGGAGGTTGGAACTATTACGCGCATGGGATACCCAAAAATGCGCGGTATAAATAATGGGCTCCGATTGAAGACCTGAAGTAAGGTCACTAACGAATTGGGATATAGAACGTTTTCGTGATTCGTATTCCGCGTTAGTCCCCTGAGTATACCCAACTCCTAGATAGCCTGGGGAAGACTTTTTTACCTCGCTGTTGATGGTTTCGGTGATAATGCCTGGGGTTTGGAGTAGTTGCGTCGTGAGATAGCGAAGGCAAGCAACTGTGATGAAGCTATTGCTCTGGACGGAAAGAAACGTCTGTATGCCGCGCTTTGAAATACCCTCGAAAAACTCTCTCACCGATAAATGAGCGAACTCAAAAGCTTCTCCTCGGATAACGATGAGGTTTGAACAGACGTCGGTAACCTCGGCCCCGCTGAAAGTATTACTCTTTTCAGGAGACAGAGAAGAGGACGCAATAGACGCAAAGGCGTCGATGGAGAGAGGTTTTTTGGCATACATAAGCCACTGGAATGTAAAATTCGCAAGTGCTGCAGCGTGGTCCCCTGACTCTAAGATACTCTGGTAGATTTCCCAATAGGAACCTTCTAGAGTAGAGGGAAGAACACCGAGGCGAGCTTTGACATCTGCCGCCACTTTTAATGGACGAAGGGATTGAATTTGAAGATCTACCCATCGAAACCTGGATGATGAGCTTAGTACGAAGTTTTAAATTATTGGAGGGACGATACGACAACTTACATTCCCCGGGCGCCTTTAACTAACGTCTCGATAATTTCATCTCGTAGAGAATCAGGTAAGTTATTTCGTAGCAGCCTTGCCGAAGCTAACTGATCCTTGCTATTGCAATATTGTTAGTTTTTTATCTTTGCACTGGAACCATATTTCTGGGAAGTAAGACCACTTACATGAACGCCGAGATGTCTCCAGCGTTATCATCCGCATCGATATACACGTTGGGTGATCCCTCCAAGTGTAGCGCGATATCGTAATTGTCTCGGCTAGAAACAAATATTTTGAGTAAATTAGGCGACTCTTGGAGAATTTGACTCAACGCATCCATTAACTCCTGGCGATCCTGTAATTCCACTTCGTCCAGGGCATCAATAACTACCGTCGCTGTCGGATAATGATCCATGAGTGCTGACAAAATTCCTATAGACTCCTCAGTATCCCAATGCTGGTCTTCAAACCCTTCGAAACCGGCGATGGCATCTTCATAATGTTCTACCACAGGTGGAAGAATTGGATTGTCAGTTCCCTGGCTGGCTAATTGACGTACGAGGCTAGCTAGGATCTTGCTGCACTGAGCTCGAAAGGGTTCGGCTGGGTTTCGCATACAGTAAAAGTATGCAAGATTATCGCAATTTCCTAGTTCATCAATCACAATGGATGCCAATTTGGTCTTTCCACAGCCTGGTATCCCGCTACATAGGATATGTTATTAGTAATTGTAGTATCTGATAGATTCTTCCGAGATGCTGAAATTAAGTTACAAGGCTATAAGGGAATGGGAAAATGCCCACTGGATATTACCCCTAGAGCAGGAGTTGAAGTGGAGAGGAATAAGAAATCATCAAAAACTTACTGTAGCCATAGAACCGAAGAGACACTTTCTTCACGCCATATTTTATATTCCTTTTTCTTGAATAACCACTGTCCAGAATTCTTCAAGCGACCTCGCTTAACTGTTTTGTGGTGTGCTGCGTATGGGATAGTGGAGATAGCCCTCAGAACCTGTGCTCTCGTATCTCGCTCGAGATTATCGTTTATTGTTTGAACATGGTGGTCAATCCTCTGGACTGGCTCTTCAAGATTTTGTAGCTCAGTGGAAAAGGACCTGAAGTCGCTGTTTTGAGCTATCTGTGCCGCTGTCACATTCTTAAGGCTTTCAAGTATGGTCTGTGACTTCTCAGATTCCGCAAGTTCAAGGAGGTCCCAAAGATCCTTTTTTGTAGTTGTGATGGTTGAATACTTTGCTTCAAGTTCAGTCTTAGAAACTACCACGCTCTTCATGAACCGAATCACCCAGTTCTTTCCATAATAGTGAAGTATTGAGGAGAGATAATTCAGAATAGAGACGTAAAGCGATACGACGGACTTAGAAAGCTGTTCAAAAACCTTCATCCTAGAAGGAGTTCAATTAGTCCAGGTTAACACTAAGAGATGAACTCGATACTGGAATTCCTAGATGTTACAAGGAAACTGTATCGTGCATACCTGGAATGCTCCGGCTGTAGAAAGTGACGTTCAATAATACTGCAACTAGCAATGATATTGGCTACACTTTCAATAGATTGCAATACGTATCCAAATGCTTCTACGTCGTTCACTGTAGCTTTCATAATCAACCTCACAGCTGCCCATGGAAGTGCAGCACTGACGGGATCATATTGGATAGCGATATCACCAAACATCTGCGAAATAATTTAGCTTCAAAAGTCTCTTTTATAACTATAATAAAACATGAAGTAGTATTATGTATGTAAAATCTTACCAAAAACTTGTCGACCCATACAGCAATCTTCTCAAGCACGTCGCGTAATATAATCGTACGCCCTTTGAGAGTAACCTTCCACCTTTTCTTAATACACTCGTCTTTCTTTTCATTCGTTGCTTTAAGGACATCGTTTAGAGTTGCCAAGGGCTCTTGTTTGGATATACCATCTAATTCAAAGCAGCCGCCTTCCTGTTTCCTAAGCTGTTCGATAGCGAGAGTCCACGTATGGTGATAGAGTTTAGGGCTGATATCTTTTTCAACTAGTGTTTCAATGGTTTTGCTGGTGTTGGTCATTTTAGTGCGATAAATGACCGTGATTTTCCTTTAGATGTTGAGGCTTCAACTGCGAGTTATCATTTCGCCACGGTAGCGTCGTATGCATCGTGTTATAGATATAGCCTGTAAGTGCTTAAGTGCTTATACACGTGACTATGGTACTTTTGTATTAGAAGTAGCAGGCTGGGTGATGAATGATACTAAAGACGTGAACTACACTTGAGTAATTTGTTATAAATAAGATAACTTCGGATTATAAAGCTAGTTAAGTGAAAACTTCTATGTGACCTGATTTACGTATTTTATACTATAGACTTGTATAAACACAAAAACGTTGAATAAGTGTAACCTTTGCACCGAAAGCAGTTGAGATACATATAACAGGTACCTAATGCTTAGAAGGATATAAGTAGCTTAAGGATGGTTCTTCAACAACTGCAGTCACCTGCTGGGCACGTGGCAGCGCCCCTCAGCGGCCCATACCGTTCGGCAGATAAAAAACCGCCAAGTATGAGTCAAAATCGATCCGCTTTCTTAATCCAATTGTCCTATAAGAGTTCATCGTGAGAAACTCGATCCGTCGTTCTTTTATCTGGGCACGGTCGAATGTTTCCCATGGCTCTTCAAAGCTCGTTGTGTCGGGTTTCCAGCCAATTGCGTCAATTAACCATAACCATAACCACCAAAGTCCCGGGTGCTCGTTTCTACTCGGCTCCTGTCAGTGGAAGCATTCCTGCTGCAAAGAGAAAATATGTTCCAACTAGCGGTACTTATCCGCAAGGATTCAAGGTTTCGGGAACGATAGTTGGTGTTAAGCCAAAAAATACAACCAAACCCGACCTTGCTTTCATCACCTCGAGCACACCATGTGCTGCAGCGGCCGTCTTCACCAAGAACAAGTTCCAGGCTGCACCAGTAACTTTCAGCCGGTCGTTGCTCCAGGAGCAGAAAAACTCTGGGATTAGAGGTGTTATTATCAATTCGGGATGTGCAAATGCCGTAACCGGAAAGGGTGGCCTTGAAGATGCTGAAAAGATGGCGAAAGAGGCCGATAAGGCACTGGGAGCTGACAAGGCAACAATCGTGATGAGTACTGGCGTGATTGGCCAAAGGTAATTATACTTAACAAACTATCTAATATCCATAAACTTCTTTTATTCTGATTAATGTTCTAGATTACCGCTTCAGAAAATCTTGGACGGGGTTCCTAAGGCCTACGAAGCGCTTGGCGATACCCATAAACACTGGCTAACATGTGCCACAGCGATCTGCACAACAGATACGTTCCCTAAATTGATCTCGAAAACTTTTAGTCTACCGTCTTCGCCATCAATAGAGTATCGTATTGCTGGAACGACCAAGGGTGCTGGGATGATTCACCCAAATATGGCAACGCTCTTAGGTGTCATCGCCACCGATGCCCCCATTGCACCCTCTATTATCCCTCCCGTTCTTACATATGCTGTAGATCGGTCTTTTAACAGCATCACAATTGACGGAGACACGTCTACAAATGACACGGTTGCTCTACTAGCAAACGGTGCTGCAGGAGGTCAGGGGGTAACTACAGAGGATTCGGCCGATTTTGCCGCATTCCGGGATGTTGTTACTGACTTCGCGACTGACTTGGCTAAGCTCGTCGTGCGGGATGGCGAAGGTGCTACCAAATTCGTTACCATCCGAGTAACTGAGTCTTCAAGCGAAGAAGGTGCTCGAAAGATCGCCAGCACCATCGCGCGATCACCTCTTGTCAAGACAGCGCTCTACGGTAAAGACGCCAACTGGGGCCGAATCCTTTGCGCTACTGGTTACTCACTAATCAGCGAGCCTGGACACGCCGTCAATGACGTGGCGGAAATAATACCCGAAAAGACCAATGTGTCTTTCGTCCCCGCGGATGGGAGCCCGGAGCTGAAGCTCCTCGTCAACGGCGAACCGGAAATTGTCAACGAGACCCGAGCGGCGGAGATTCTTGAGTTTGAGGACCTCGAGATCCTCGTGAGATTGGGAACCGGTAAGAAGGAGGCTACTTACTGGACCTGCGATTATAGTCACGAGTACATGTAAGTGAGGTACAAGCCGGTTCTGAAATATCCCTACTGATGATTTCTACTAGCACTATCAATGGAGATTATCGTACCTAACCGCTGGATGTCTATGATATAATAAAGGATTTCGGTTGGGCGGGAAGGCCTCTTATGCTTCTGCCATGATAGATTTTTCTATGGGCATCTCTTAGACTTAAATTTACTGACAACAGATAATCTAGGACCCTGAATTGGCATGCAGTAAAGAAGTGAAAGAAGTAAAATAGGAATCAATGATGTTGACCCTTCGTTATGTCAGATACCTAAATTAAATACTGTAGACAAATATTGCCCCTTGCATTATTGCATAAGACGTATATATTGCCCCACCAAAGCACCCTTAGCACCCTTAGCACCCTTATCACCGGGCCTTATCACCCTTAGAAGCTTGGGCCATTTTAAAGCTTAGACGCGTCTCTCGGTTTGCAAATACGCGTAAATTGATTTTACATGCCGCTAAATTCCCATCGGCGTCTTTCCGCAATTACACCCGCTTTAACATAACACAGCAACATAACAACACATAACAATGCCAGCAGCAAAGGCGGAAGAGAAAGGCGAGTCTTCGACCTCGGCCGCTAAGAAGGCTTTGACTGGTGCCTCCAACGGAAATGCTACCTATGAGCTGCCATGGTACGTCGCTTTCTTGCCGGCCTATTTACTATTAAGCATGCGTTAACACATTCTGCAGGGTAGAAAAATATAGACCTGTCTTCCTTGACGATGTAGTAGGAAACACAGAGACGATCGAACGGCTTAAGATTATTGCGAAAGACGGGAATATGCCTCACGTTATCATATCTGGAATGCCCGGTATTGGAAAGACGACGAGCGTACTATGTCTGGCCCGCCAACTTCTCGGAGACTCCTACAAGGAGGCGGTGCTAGAACTTAATGCGAGTGATGAGCGAGGTTTGTCCACCTTACCGTTCGCATAAGGTTAACAGGAGCTTGTAACCCTAACTGCAACCATTATAATACCAGGTATCGACGTGGTTCGAAACCGAATCAAAGGCTTCGCTCAGAAGAAAGTCACACTACCAGCAGGTCGACACAAGATCGTAATCCTCGACGAAGCCGACAGCATGACCTCGGGTGCGCAACAGGCGCTGCGGCGTACGATGGAGATCTATTCTAATACGACGCGGTTCGCCTTCGCGTGCAATCAGTCGAACAAGATCATCGAACCGCTACAGTCTCGATGCGCGATCCTACGATACGGGCGATTAACGGACGCACAGGTAGTCAAGCGGTTGCTACAGGTTATCGAGGCGGAGAAAGTACAGTACAGTGACGATGGGCTAGCAGCGCTCGTGTTTAGCGCTGAGGGTGATATGCGACAGGCCATCAACAATCTACAGAGTACACACGCTGGTTTCGGCTTCGTCAGCGGTGACAACGTGTTTAAAGTTGTTGATAGCCCCCACCCTATAAAAGTCCAGGCTATGCTTAAGGCCTGCTATGAGGGCAACGTGGATAGTGCCCTAGATACCCTCCGAGAGCTGTGGGATCTTGGTTACTCTAGCCACGATATCATCTCTACTATGTTCAAGGTCACCAAAACTATACCCACCCTCAGCGAACACTCCAAGCTGGAGTTCATCCGCGAGATCGGCTTTACTCATATGAAGATCCTCGAAGGTGTCCAGACCCTACTACAGCTGAGCGGGTGTGTCGCCCGGCTATGCAAGATTAACATGGACCCGAAGCGTTTTGAGACCAAGGCAAAATAAGCATATGACATATAACTTTATAAAGGGAGGTAGAGAAATGCGTATGTGAAAGAAGATTAGCGAAATGGCTCGAGGTATTTGCATGGCATTGCACTGGCGTTTACGAGGTCATGATTCCCTGATTTCTTTCAGAAAGCTAGGTTAGTTGGTACAGGAGTGTCGACAAAAAAATATCCAAGACATATTTACATGCTTTTAATATAGATGCATGGTCTAATAACACAGAACAACAAGCTTTGCTGTTACTAATTGACTACTGGAAACAGCAGTAAATACCGTTGATATCTCACTTCTTATTCTGCTCGGGGGATGTCCCTTCGTCCTCCAACTCCATCAGCTCCTTCTCATAGTCGGCCCAGATGGCACGGTTCTGAGCCATCCTTCGCTGCATACGTATACGCTGCTCGTACTGCCTCATGCGATAGTCGGCCTCGATCATGCTGCCGACGATCATGCCGGACATTTGAAGATATCTAGTCTGACTTAGTCATTTTTTCTTGTTCTACTTAGGTATTTGCCTATGATATCGTTCAAGATACCAATCGAAGCCCTTGGACTTACACCTTAAACTGCACAGTGAGCCCGCGATATAGTGGTGAGAAGACGTAACTGATACCGCCTAGAACGGCAGATGCGGCGCCCCATTTCACGGCCCCGACGGCGGCGCCGCGCGCAGCTTCCCTTTGTGCTTCCTTTGCGTCGTCGCTCTCTAGGGCATTGTGGGCGCGCATTGTCGCGATGTCATCGCGGGTATCTTTCCCGATCGCAAAAATCACCCCACGACGCAGTTCCACCCAAGATGAGGTTACTTTCGTGCCTCTCTTATTGGAGCTGTCGAATTGAGTGAGTTACCCCCGGTCTCGTGCTAACGTATCCCGAAGGTAGCGTTTTGTATGTCGTGTGAGGAGATACTTAAGATGGATATATTATGTATTTCGAATATTGAATTGAACGAGTCGTCGACATTTCTTTAATTGAGCTTATTTGGCGGGGTCTTAACCTGGCGCCGAGGTATGATTTGTTGACGTTGAGCTGCGAGATGCTGGCGGGGTACGAAGTAGTGGGCGCTGTTAAAGCTGTTAAAGCTGTTAAAGAGCTATTGGCGTCATTATTTTACTGGCTTGTCTTATACACAATGTTAGGTTAGGTTAGGTACTTTATCATATCTTTGAATAGTTAGGACCTATTCCCCGTTCCCCGGAATGTTCTCTCCGCAACCACGTCTCATATGCAATCGCTTTGCTCGATCGAGTTCCATCAGCGTCATCATACGTAGATAGATCTGAAAAGCTTCCGTAGTTTCAAATGCATCGTTAATGGACAGGGCTCTCCAAGCTCTCTGCATTGATCTACCATGCTAGCGTACCTCTTACACGGCACGCAAGTTGGTGTAAGTGACGACTTATATCAATGATGTATATATTTAAACTGTAAATCTTGACCTCACGAGTTTTTAAGCCGCAATACGTATTTTAGTATTTATATATGGCTATAGGTAATACAATAGAACACTGTATCTTCATTACCTGTCCATTTCCGCCAAAGAATGCTCAAATTGCGCGTGTTGCCGAGCAGAACCTGGCGATCTAGTCTTCGACGTCATCATTCACGCTGTGCCAAAACTCCATCTACGCCATCACCATTAATACCCACCACAGCTTATCCAGCACAGTACTCTCGTCTAAAACCATCACCGCTGTCAAAGATAGAGTTTCACTCTACAAGGAAAAACATGGGACAGACCAGATCAGAGACGGAAACCGGGGCTGAGACGGGAGCAGTCCGGGACAGCATCGAGGATTGGAAGTCGAAGCCGCCGTACCGCACTACGCCCGGCAACGAGCACTTCGACAAGAAATGGACGGCGCACTGCCACTGTGGCCGCGTGAAGTACTGGCTATCGCGTGACAAACCTCTCTCCGTCAAATTCTGCCATTGCGTCGACTGCCAGGCCCTGCACGGTGCCCCCTTCCAATGGGCCGCCATCTTCGAGAAGCAGGATTTACACTTCGAGAAGGGTGCCGAGGGCCTCGCTTTCTACCATTCCCCAGACAAGTCCACGGTGCACCGTCTGCCGTGCAAAGTGTCCTGCGCGTACTGCCACTCGCCCATCATGGACGAGGGCCGGAATATGGTGCTCCTGTTCCCCGGCATTATCAAGTTTAGCGACGCCGAGCACAAGAAGTTGTTCGATCCACAGTAGGCATTCCCCCCCTCCAAGGAAACAGCATGCGTTATACTGATGATCAATTTACTCTAGATGTCACATCTTCTACAGCCAGCGCGTGGTGGATATACATGACGGAAAGCCTAAGTGGTCAAAGTTAGATGGGCATAGCGAGCTCATGAAGGAGGTCGAGAGAACGGACTCTAGCGAGCACACTGTACTAGGGGAGGCTAGAAATGAGAATAAAGACGACTGAATTATCCAAGGGTATCTTGTGCATGCGTATTATATAGTGACCATATGCCTTTGTCCTGCCTACGTGTTTGCTCATAATCGTATGGCCTCTATATATCTTTCTATATATCTTATTCTCATGACATTAAGTCTTCTAATATTGCCTCGAGTTCTTCCTTCTGGAAAGGTACGCTTAAGAGCTCCGTACCTAGAACATCCTTGCGACTTGTAATCATCTGATGGTCATGGAATCTAAAGCGAACGTGTTAGAATACCAGTAGTAATATCAAAATAGGCGTGATGTAGACTTACTCTTTTAGTAGTGTTCGGAAGGCCATCTCCGAACTGCATATAAATTCCTCCACCGCCTTGTTATACACCATCCTGTATTCTACGCCGGGGTTCTCCCCGTCAGATCCGCCCTCGTCATCCATAATCGCTAGAACTTCGCCAACGAGGAGTCGGAACAGGTTCTTGGCGTTCTCTGGTAGACTGCGAAGAACGTACGTCACGCCTTCCTTTCCGCCGACGCGCCTGGCCTTTCGGCCTAGGAGCTCATGCACGTCGTCGACAACTTCGAGCTCTGCCGTAAAGGGGGCAAACGTCGTGCAATCGTGGAACACAAAATTGAACGATGACCGCAAGCTACTGTCCCATAGAAGAGAGAAGTCCGACGTGTCGGCAGAGCAGATGAGCCGAATATTCGGGTGTGCTGCTAATTGGGCAAGGACGGGCTGTATTCCAATCCTTCGTAGAGGAACAGCATCAACAGAGTTCAAGATCACTGTGACAACCACCTCATGAGAGGAAAGTAGAGCTTTCACACTATCTAACATAGCTGAAGGATTTCCAGACGGTATTTTGTGGGCAGGGTTCACAGCGCTCGCGACCGTGCCCAGGATTTCTCGCAGAGAACTCGTCCGCACATATCCGTTGATAATAACAATCTTATTAGCAACATGGTCTGGGTATTTGTCATATGCGTGCTTCGCAAATCTATGCAGAAGCGCCCTCTTCGACCCATACCCATATAGACACACACTGAACCCTTGAGACAACTCGAATGTCCACTGCGGGAAAGACTCGAGGTGTATTGATTCGAGGAACTCTATGTCTTCGGCATGCGGGTCCTGATAGTCGCGGAGGATTGAGAAATATTCGTCATGGGTCAGAAGTTTTAAGGATGCTAGAGTATTATTGGATGTCTTCGAGGCGCCAGGTTTGTTTTGAGCAAAATAGAGCTCGTAGGGAGGTAAGTCTCGGGGTGGAGTTGGTGATTTTTTCCTGGCTCGCTTCGTATGCTTTGTCTTCGGTCGACCACGTCGAGGTTTTCCAGATGGGGTTGCGGGTTCGTCAGGAGGGTTTTCTTCGTCGTCTCCTTCTTCCTCCTCGTCCTCATCACTTGACTCGTAGATTTCTCTAGCAATATCTTCATCTGCTTCCTCGTCACTCCCATCTCCACCTATCACCTGTTCGATCAGCGCTCTGGCACTCTTCTTTCTTGCAGAACGATCGTTCCGTTTCCACTTTGGTGTCTGCGCGTTGGTACTGCCATTTGTCTTCGAGGGTGTTACTATATCGACTTCGCTTCTCTTCCGACCTTTTGGAGTGGACAGTCCACCATTCGTTCCAGCCCGCTTCCTTTTGCTCGGTGTCTCTTTTATAGACTGGCCTATTTCATCCTCGTCCGATGGAAAATCATACGCAGAATGGTGATCATCTGTGGTTCCGTTGGGGCGTGTCTTGGGTTTTATCAGAGTGCTTCGCCGTTTGGATGGGGTATCCGGATTTTGGTCTTCATCCTCGCGGTGAACTCGTTTTCGAGACGAACTCCTAGAGCTAGGCACGGGTTCTGCAGCTCCGGGCTGCGTTTTCTTGGTTCGTACCATTATAAATTATCTATAACGGGAAATGCATCTTAATTAAGATCCTTATGACGAGTATATCAGTATATCATAACCCCTGGGTGTTGCAGAAAGTACAATGGGAGGATTTAGAATTTAAAAAAGAGACTAGAATCTAAAAAAGAGACTAGAATCTAAAAAAGAGACGGAGATAAATTGAACTTACATGCCGAATCGATCGCGACAGACGCGTCAGTGGTGCAGTGCTATTTCCTTGCTGTGGAGCTCATGCATGCATAGGCCCCTGGAAAGGTCAGGCCCATATTAATATTCGGGCAGTTTCCCAGCCGCAATATTACATAATACCGAACCGGACCTGAACTACGGGCAAGATTTTGTCAAAATCGGCCATAGCTACTTCCCAAATAATCTACAGTGTCGCATTACATAGCACCTACCAGAATAAAATCCGGAGGCATCCGAAACGGCTAAATACCTAGGTAGCCTTGGGTACCTAATACGGGTACGTTCATGTGTTAACCGCTTTGAATGTGGCTACTGCCGATATATTACGCCCCTCGCTGCCGGGCTACACAGTGTTGCTCTTTGTAAAGCCGGCACAATTCCCCAATTACAGGAATCGTTATCCCAGCTGCAGTTAATATGAATCTCAACTTCTCCGGAACTGTCAACGTCTTTAAGCTACTAACCAAACCCTCATTATGTCTTCCTCACGCAACAGCCTCCACATTCAATGATATACCAACCCCTCTCAGCAAGGCGTTCGAAGGTCAAGGCAAGAAAGTAGATATCAGGGCCGTGGTACTCGACAAAGATGATTGCTTCGCCTATCCTAATTCCAATGAGATATATCCTGCTTATTTGGTGAGCAAATGCCGAAAGTCAACCATCATTTGCATTTTCTTTCACCAGCGGCAGCCGTTGATTTTGAAATAGGAAAGATTCCGGAAACTTCAAGAAGAATACCCTGGTCGTCGTCTTCTCATAGTTTCCAATACGGCCGGTGCGACCACTTATGACCATGACGGACGCCTAGCAAAGGAGCTCGAGACGGCTACTGGAGTTTCTGTACTAGCTCATAAAGTGAAAAAACCTGGCTGCAGCGACGAAATAGTAGCTCACTTCAAAGCCTACCCCGAGGCTGGCGTAACACATCCGAGCCAAATTGCTGTCGTTGGAGATCGTCTAATGACTGACATTATGTTGGCCAATATGATGGGCAGTTGGGGTCTATGGATTAAGGATGGCGTCAAACCATTAGAAAAGAAGAGCATAGTACGTTACTAGGATTCAACATGGCGCTTGAACTCATTTACTAACTTCAGACAGTTCTCTAAATTTGAGCAGCGTCTCAGCCCGTTCTTGGTAGCACGTGGTTGCCGTGCCTCTTATCCTCAATCCCCATTCGAGTAATCTCTCCATCTATTAAGTCAACTATCAGCTTAGATGGACACAGCCGTAGGACTAACAGCGGCTTTCCCCCCTATATTAGGTGATTATTTAGGTAATTATAACCCCGTAGGTTTATAGAAAAGGAACATATCCTTCTAAATAGCAACTAGGGATATTAAGATCCTTGGCTAAGCCTTTCTACAATTTAAAATATTAAGGTGTAGATAATGTGTTGGTAGAAGATGTTCTATATGTAATACCTGTTTTTATTTTTACATGCCTTGTCAATTCAATCTAAAGTATATTAAGCAACGCCTTGTATTTACTTCTATTTGTTATAATTTCTTGCCTTCTTTGTTGGTTGCTATTTGTAATTTTGTAAATTTGCAAAGTATCATCCTCTTACATGGAGTAACAATGCAAAAACCCTATACGTATTTTGAATATATTAATTTGCGTGAATACGGCTTATCTAGATCCTTTTAGGCGATGCGTTTCTCGCACATAAGCGTATTAATAATATAGGGATTTAGGGGAAGTTCGTATTTGTTCATATGATCCTGTCATTAAGACAGCATGTAGGCAAACATTTTAGAATGAGACGACTTCTGGAACCTCTAGTTGGACAATTTAAGTACGTCTTGATATCCTATACAACTGGGTGACCCCCTAGTCTATATACTTAAGGTACCTACACAGGTGCCTCGGCTGTACGATGTCTGTCCCTGTTAGTAAAGGTTTGGGTATCCTGCTGGATGAAAATAGTGAATATCATACGGCCCACACAAGGAGAAATACCTATATTAATGCCTAAAGTATCGAGGAGTACTTTCATCTGAACGAGTCTACTGTACGCTATCATGCATACCATGCAGTTTGATGCCCCTAATTTAAATCTAAGCATGTACCGCCTAGTATGTATTCAGCATTTAGCGCCTCATCAGCCAGTAGCAGTTGGGATAATATGATTATGAACTACACTCATTGCTCTACCGTTAACATGTTAATAATATGCAACCATTCTTATAGGTTGTACCATGATTAGTCATCGAGTCCCTTTTGTTGTAAGTTTGCAGCAGACTACGCTTAAAAATGAGCTGCGTCGTGATAATATTGGATGGTTTACCCACTGAGCGCACTCCGTGATGCATAACATGGTCCAATTCACCATAGGCCCCAACCAAAGTAGCACTGCAACTGCCTCTAACCGTAATCTTTTGCATTGAGCCTCCTGACTCATAGTCCTTTTTTACATATTTGCATTGACCAAATGCTGTCTAATGACGCGGGTAAACCAGTTGCATTTGCCATTGCACTGTAGAAGGTAACCATCTACGTACCTCACTGTCAACCACACAGGTAAGTACCTTACAGACCATATCATTCTTCAAATCTTTTTTTCTCACACTTTCTAAGGCATTATCATTTCTATATAACCCGTCTTATTCCCATACCAATTCACCTTTCCATATCTGACTTTTTCCCCTTATCCGCAACTGACCTCTTAGTTTTCCCGGTCAACCAAAAGCAATTGACACTATCGCGATACACTGCCTGTCTACCTGCACTTTTATTTCACCATGACCGGCAAATTTTGGTCTCCTGCAGAGGAGAAGTACTTCTGGAAGACTGTCGTCGCCCACTCTGTTAAGCGTGCTCCTGTGGACCTTTCTAACGACGAGAAAACGTGGGAAGAGCTTGCGGTCGATATGCAGAAGGCAATGGAGCACCAGGGCACCGCTCGCCGGTGGTACACTGGCTCCGTGTTATGTAAGGATGCCTACTGTTTTAGTGATTACAACGACAAATATTAACCGAGTTCTATCTAGTTGAGCATTACTTCCAGAATGTCGAGGGAGACAGAAGATCTCCAAATGCTACACCATTTGTCGTTGAGTATATGAAAAAGCTCGGTATGTCCTTTATTCTTCCTGATGCCTTTTAGGCTACACTGACGGGAATGCTCAAGGGCTATTCCGTCGCATCATCAACCCTCGTTCAGGCCCTCGTGGTGGTCGCCCTCGCCGCAGAGAGGTGACTACGGCCGAGCCCCAGGGAGTCCAGGCTCCACCTCCAAGTCCAGACGGCTTCACAATTACCCCCCTAGAGGAAGATGATGTCTTCTCACCAGAGTATGCGGCACGCCAAGCTACTCAGTCTCGTCAGTCTCATCAATCGAGCCAATCCAGCCAGTCTCGAGAATCTCGATGTCCTAGTCGTCTTCTGAAACGCCAACGCTTGCAAAAACTTGCCCCAACTCCCCACCCTCGACCAGTCTTAGAGCCTTCATTCGATACTACTTCCCATAATCCCCATCAAACCACTTACGGTTACCAAATGGATGGGCAATCTGTTACAGAAGAATCTGTATCTGGATCATCCTCATCACGGTTTGATGCCCTTCTCGCCGCTGCCCAATTGATGGATACGGCAGACTACTCGACTGAGGGAAGCCCTGTGCGAGACCACTTTACAATACAATCATCTTATGCCTCATCTTCGTTCCAGCCCCAGAATATCCCTGGCTACGGGATGGAGATTCAAACTGCTAATAACACGCCGTCCTCCGAATTTGCTTATAGCGGGATTGATATTCAGGACCTTAGCCAGAATACCTCCGGCATCACTCCGGGTTTCCAGGAAGAGTGTACATTAGGACATCCGACCGGACGACCTTCCATTTCGCGCTTATCGTCTGGGTCATCCCTATCTACTCTGTGTGGCCCTTCTGTTAATGAACACATACCAACTGGCGAAACAACTGAAGAGGAATTAACTACTGAAGATGAAGGAGAGAACAAAGAAAATGAGGGTGATGGAGGTGATGAGTACATTCAGATGCCGGGCTTCAGGTTGATACGAAGCAACCCAGTTCAACAAGACTTCATCATCTACGAAGACGGCCAGATTGTCCAAGGCTTGCAACTTCATAATGTTCGCCAGGTATATGGGAACTTTGACACCTATGATGCTAACAAAGAGAACGAAGGCGCCCAAGGAGCATATGATGCGAGTAGCTTTGGTCTAGCGGGCGGTGTTGTTGGCACCCCGAGTAGTATATTCGACACTATGTACTGAGGGACCAGATCCCGGAATTATCCCTTCTCTTGCCAGCTGGTAAGCTCATGCATGGACTACATGCGCTGTGGAACGTGGTGGCGGTGATGGTAACAGTAAAGGTGGCATTAGCCTTGTTGCATCATTCTAAGGAGAATGACAATGCTTGAACTGTATGAAGAGGTGGGAGCAAGCTGGCTTACACGAAAGCTGTCCTCAACTGCGAATAGTTAATGTGTGGCGTCAAGCCGTGGGAAACCAGGACAAGGATTGCTTTCGCAGACGGGATAATGAAAACATTATCCCCAGTTCTTGTAATGCCTTAAGTCTATGAAAACCTAGACTAATAATATGTTCTGTGTTCTCTGACAGACTCTGAACTTGAATGTCGAGGATTGTTTAGATATAATATGATATGTGATGAGGTAATAATCATACCCCTGAGAATTCCTTCTATCCTGTTTATTAATAACGGGTATTTATTTACCTATACGTTTATACATTTACCCCGTCCATGTCCGTCAAGTTTAAAGGCGCACGGACTCTCTCCCCTTTTCTTCCCAAAACATACAGCCTCAACTGACACTTAACCCACAGCTGGGACTCAAACAGAGTGAAACGACAGCCCTACGATAAAATAAACTTAGAACCGAATAGATTAGCTCCATTGGCACGGCTGATTATGACTATCGGATTTGAAATACCAGTATTTGGTGCGAGTGCTGCTTCCAAAGCCATCGAATTAGGGGCATCACGCATCGAGCTGAATGCTTCAGGATCGTACTCAGATGGAGGCTTGACACCACCGCTCCATGAACTGAAAGGTTCTTCGTCTGTCAGAGTTCCACTACGGGTTATGATCAGGCCCCGTGGTCCTCCGTCAGAACCCCAAGCCCGTGACTTCATCTACTCCGACGAGGAGTTTGAGCGAATGGAGGCTTCTATTCAAATGTTCAAGGAGACAGGCTTACTAAAAAAGGAACATGGCGATGGCTTTGTTTTTGGAATCTTGAAGGAGTCCCAGGATATTGCTGAGGCTAGTACTGGCAGGAGGAAATGCTGGGTTGATAAAGAGAGATGCAACCGTCTAGTTGAAGCTGCTCGCCCATTCAAAACCGTATTTCACCGCGCATTCGACGAAATCGTCAGCTGTGATGATGCTGGGATAGCTATCGATAATCGGCATGCTTGGCGGGTAGGGCTGGATGATCTGGCAGCGTGTGGCTTTGACGCTATACTCACATCCGGCGGACTCGGAAATGCCATCCAGAACATAGATATGCTAGACAGAATCATCACAAGAGCAGAGGTTCTTAGAATTGAGATCATTGTTGGTGGTGGAGTTCGAAAACACAATATTCAGCGATTGTCTCAGCAGTTAAAGCTAAAAGAAAGGGGATCAACGACATATGTCCATTCGGCATGTCTTTCTAGCACTGAGTCCGAGTGTGTTGATGACGATGAAGTTATTGGTATCCTGTCACACTTGGGATAGAATCTGTGCCTCTCTACTTTTAAATGGAATTTTATAGTTATGATTGCTTGGATCTTCCTCTTAATGATAGGGGAGTGATAGATACACTCATGGGTTTTTTCTCTCCTTCTTTTAAAGAAAATTGGAAAGAACAGAAAGAAAAAAGGAAGAATACAAAGTCATAGGTTAACAGGCAGCTATAGTGAAATAACCTTCATACTTTAGTTTCTGGTCTTTCCGTAAATTAAAATTCCTGCGTAAATTCAGAAAGCATGGTCGCGTGTAATGTGTTCCCAGTCCCATATTCGTTCAATATCGCTTTTAGATAGAGCCGCTACCCTGTGGGGCTTTTGGTAGAAGTTCAGACTTTGAAGCGATTGCCCGAGCCAGCTCGAGGAGCGGAACATCCTTTAATATCTCAGGGACGGATACTAAACTCCGAAACTCCCTGAGTGCCCAATTTCTAAGTTCGAAGGCGATCCAAATATCCACGTCGTACGCTTGGATCGACTGGTTGCTGTCGATATCCTGAGGATCCATCGCCAAGTTCTTCGCAAGCCTGGCAATCAAAGCTGAACACACAATACCTTGTATATAATCGAGTCTGGTAGCGGCTCTTTCGTCTTCACGGTTATCTGAGCCAAAGGGGATCTGTGTCTGGGTGCCGTACACACTCAGCGGTCCAAATCTAGCATCTGAGAACCAATAAGGATGTTCATCACCATTGGCCTTGATCGAACCACCTCTAGCGAGACCAATAATTGGCTGTATCCCAGCCTGGTCAGCCATGGCGGCTCCTACTACTGCGATGAATTGATTCACTGTTAGTTGTCGTATACCGGTACGGAATAATTCAGATAACCTCATATTCTCAGCGGCGTATCCCGCGTCGCTTACCCAGCCAAGATCGATACTGGTTGCATTTAACCCTTGGGCTCGACGGTAATATGCCATGGCATCCTGGTAATTGCAGCCTTCCACGTCTTAGCATATCAAAAATATTAAAAATGTCGGTGTCATGAGCTAACCTGCGTTATAGTTGCTTTCAGTTACCAAGCCAACAAGACCCCCCAATGATGATACGCATATGAAGAAGTCGAGATCGTCAGGTAGCATATGATGCATGTTGAACGTAACGTTATACTTGGAGTGTAGCGTTGCTGACCATACATCCAATCCCATATCTTCAAATATCGCGTTCTAAATCATGTTAGGAATATACCTTAGGTACCTAAGGTAGGGAGGTATTAATCAGTATCTGATTCTTCAAAACTTACTTGCAGGACCATTGACATAATAATGACTCCGCGTACTGGTGGGAATTTCTCCTTAGATAGGTCGTTAAGCACATCTTGGCATTGCTCTGCACAGCCAACATCAGCCGCGAATACTTTCATCCTCACACCCATGATGGACAGCTCCTGGAGTAGCTTTTGTGCTCGAGAATCTTTAGCACCAGATCGAGACGTGGTTACTAAATTGCGCGCCCCATTTTTAGCCATCCACATGATCAATGGCCGGCCGAGTCCACCCATGCCGCCTGGAATGATATAGGTAGCATCGGGGCGTAGTTGGAATCCAGTCAGTTCAGTAGGGGTTTCTTGCAACTCTTCCGTAGCTAGGATTCTGCTTAGAGCCTCGTCGGGGAAAATACGCGAAATATAAAGAGCGCCATTTCTTTGGGCGAAGTAATTATCACCGTCGGGTTGCTCTCTTTGGATGCGGAGCATTTGTAGGATGGTGTCGGTTACATCTGGTTGTCCGCAAGGAACATCCGGATCAAGGTCTAAAGTCGTAAACCTCGCCTCTGGAACTTCGAACCTGATTGTCCGTGCCAATCCCACAACTATGTTGAGCTCGGGTATACGTACGTCAACAAGACTCCCACCTTTAGTTAACCAGAGAACGCCCTCGGAGTGCAGCGTTGTGTGCTTAATGGCATCGAACTCTTCATTCCCGAGTGAACTTAGACATGGTCTCTCGACTTCGCAGGAAACTATGCATTGCGTCGCGCTTAGATCCAATGTTCTAACGTCAAGAAGGGTCATCTCCTTAACAGATACTCCATCTTCTACCAGTCGATGTGAGAGCTGTTTGATCATCGACTTCGTTTGGCGGTTTTCTGTAGGGGATGTTATAATTACAACCTTGCTCGGAAACTTATTCTTGGTAGTGTAGGGAATGCTAGATGCCATTATAGATGAGGAATAGCCAGCATTCTGTTGGTCACGAAAGCACCACTCAAGGCCCGAGTAGCCCAGAGAGCGGAGCCTGAGGTCCCATTCCTGTTCGGAGAGCTCTGGACCCCAGTGCCGTCCATCATTCCCACCTAATATAATTGGTAGATGCGCCATTCGAAGAAATATCCCGGGTGAATCTTACCTGGCCACCAAGTAGGGAGAATCCCAAACACGACAGAGCGTCTCGCAATCTTGTTTGTCAAATCGGTGACGATGAGATGCCCGCCCCTATTATCTTGGCATTAGAGCGTAATGGAGAAGATAGGTATAACTACGTACGGTTTTAGTAACTTCTTGCAGTTCGCAAGGGCTGTTGTGATAGATGATGTCGTATGTAGAACGTGGAAGGAGACAACGAGGTCATACGATTCTCCCTCTATGTTTTGCTGCAATGGGTCTTTCTCGATATCTAAGATCTTGTATTCCATCATTGAGCTCCATTCCTTAAGATTCTCCTTGGCCTCCGGAAAGAAAGCCTCACTCGCGTCAGTATACGTATATTTCTGCAGTCGGCCCATAATACCATGTCCTAGGGCAGATAAGATGCTGCACGCAATGCTCGTTGTCCCCGAGCCGATTTCAAGAATGCGAAGTGGCCTCTTGTGTGACAGATGTTTGATGTATTGGCACTGGACAGCTACCGCTTGTTTATACGAGATACCAGTCCGGTATATATTCCCTGAGATGTCGTCCAGGCTCATCACATCTGATGCGTGAACCTTGCCCTCAAGGATGCCAAAAATATTGTCGTTAATGCGAGCCAGCATCTCTCCTTCGAGACCAGCTTTGGCAACACGGGCCAACACCATTTTTTCCGTGCCCTCATTTGCCAATATCCATTCAGCTGACTGGCAAGGTAAATTTCCTTCTTCACCCAATCCACACTGTCTTCTAGCATAACTGCAGTACATCTGATGGTGGAGTGCCATCTTCTCAACGTCTGAATCGTTCAATTGTTGGACAACTCTCTTACAGATAATATAGGCGGCCCACTCGAGTTCGCGAATCTCTGAGTATTTGGTCTGGAGACCATCATAACAGACCTTCTTCAACAATTCTTGTACCGCGTTTGCTGAGTTCTCTACATCTATATCCCATGTCGGATAGCACCCTGGTTTCTCCAAGGCATTTGTCTGAGCCCCATTGTCTAATTGAAGAGCTTCGGGAGCATCTGTCCTTGTGATATGAGACATCGCGTCGTAGTGGAAGGGGGGTAGTCTAAGGATTTGGGGAAACGGTAGCTCAAGGAGGGTTTCCTAGTTTATATACAACACTGTATAGAATACATGCATATCAATATAACTAGGTAGGTACTTACCTGTCACGTCAAAGCTAAGCATGCGAGTACGAATACATGTTCATTGATTATATATAACGCTACTGATAGGCTCGAATATATTGCAAAGAAGTAGTATTACTGTTATTGCATCATACTGCCATCAGTAACGACGTGTATTATCTGAATATTGGTTACCTCACATCTACCTATGCTTATCAATGAGTTATGAGGCGCATATTATGACGTGTTGTTACATACTCCAACAACTATCCTGATCATAAATAATACCTGCATCGTGAATACATAATCTCGAGCGTGGGGTTCTGTTTTATGATATATGATCTATCAATATCTTAACAAGTGTTGCAGAAGTATATTTTTATTGAGCCTTACTCTAATCACGTACTCGTAGGTCCATCCGCCAAGAAGTAGTAGCGCACCATGCTTTAGGAATAGCTATCCGGGCTTCCTAAATAGGATAACCTAGTTGTTTGAAATCCGATAAAGGGGGTTTGGTGAACATGGGGGTCCGTGCCGCCAAATCCGCGCATTTACGATCCATCTTTGATAAGAGACCACTTACGTAGGTGATCTAGATGATTTCAATGCCTCTTTTCATATTTCCTCTTAATTCATAGCTCTATGATGGGTGAAAAAGGAGAGCTTCTACCGCAGTCAATTGTCGCGGCTTCGCGTCCTCATTCGAGATCGATTTGGGTGACGTTAGTTCAAGTCGTGGCCGCCTTGGTACTGTTAAGGAATACTTACGATGTATTCTTTTCTTCACACACAAGACATACCACGCTGGATGAGTTAGCACAATGCCCGCAGGTCGAGCCTCTTTTCCCGCGACATGATAGTCCCGCGCTCTCCAAGTTAGAGGATTATATTACTTCGCCCATCTTTCTTAACGAAACGGTAATTCGCCTAGCCGGAGCAATCAAGATTCCTACGCAGTCTTATGACGACCTTGGACCCGTTGGAGAAGATGGGCGATGGGACGTCTTGTTTGATTTCGCTGCGTATCTGGAAAAAACATTTCCACTCATTCATAAGACATTGACACTTCAAAAGGTCAATACCCATGGGCTGTTATACACCTGGCAGGGATCGGATGAGACCTTGAAACCGACTGTCTTCATGGCCCATCAAGACGTCGTCCCCGTAGCTGAGTCAACTATTGACCAATGGACTCATCCCCCCTTTAGCGGCTATTTCGATGGTTATTTTATCTGGGGTCGGGGGTCTTCCGACTGTAAGAATAACCTCATAGGTATTATGGAGGCTGTCGAGTTGCTCATAGATGCGGACTTCAAACCAAGGAGAACTTTAATCTTATCGTTCGGATTTGACGAAGAGATTTCAGGAGGGCAAGGAGCAGCACAGCTCGCCAAAGCATTATTTTCCCGTTATGGAGAAGATGGTGCTGCAGTCATTGTGGACGAGGGGGCTGGAGCATCAACTGTTTGGGGTTCTACATTTGCTCTCCCCGGCGTTGCTGAAAAGGGCGCCATAGATGTTGAAATCATCATTCGTATGCCCGGTGGCCACTCATCAGTTCCTCCTGCGCATAATGGAATAGGAGTCATGGCAGAACTTATCACTAACATTGAAGGTTAGTAACCTATGTTTTTATGATATTGTAGAGACAGTCCCTGGAGTTCAATGTCCTGATATGACGCTACTCTATTGGACTAAGACCCTAATACAAAACCTTGGAATAACGACTAATCATGGATCACGATTTAGCTAACCCATACGAGCCATATTTACACCCCGATAACCCTTTCCTTAGTCTCTTGCAATGCGGTGCTGTTCATGGTGCAGAATTCCCCTCCAAGCTAAAGAAGCTTCTTCCATCCCATGATGGGAGCGCTAAGAAAGATAAGCTCGCTTTAGAGGTAGCGAAGACGAGCGATATTGTTAAGTACCTGTTCACAACATCGGTAGCGCCCGATATCATCAGCGGAGGCGTCAAGAGCAATGCACTCCCCGAACGTATCCGGGTACTGGTCGACCACCGAGTCAATGTTGGCGAGCATTCATCTGATGTACAAAAGAAGCTAATAAGTCTAGCTGAGCAAGTTGCCGACAAGCATAATCTTACGGTCCACGCCTTCAACGATGAGCCAGAAACGCCTCGATCTATTACACTCAATTTGATGGCAAACACACTGGAACCTGCACCGGTAACGCCAACGTCTGTTGATGGGGTGACGCCATATTCGGTGCTCTCTGGAACTAGCAGAGCTCTTTACGGCGAGAGCCTTCTTGTTTCGCCAGGAATTATGACAGGAAATACCGACACAAGATATTACTGGGACTTAACAAAACATATCTTTCGGTACGGTCCTGGCTGGGATCCCGCACAGGAAGGGCTCGATGGAATACACACAGTTGACGAGAAGCTTAGCATCTTTGCGCATATTAAAAGTGTTCAATGGTACAGCCTTTTTATTAGAAATATGGACGAAGCAGAATTGGCATAAATCAAATCGACATATATTATAAGATTAGGCACATACCAAGCTATTATAACAACTATGTCGACCTCCGAAATACCTGGGTAGTATTAGGTTAAAACAATAAAATAGGTTGGAACTTATGTCTAGAGTGCTTCAATTTAGGGGTTTTAAAGCTGCCAAGGGCAAAACTATATTTTTATCCTGCCTTGTGTGAAGTCTTTGAATCTAGGACAACTGCAATTCAATGGGTTTGTAAACAATGCATCGCTACTAGAGTCAATTCTATTTTGAAGCAAGGTAAATTCTAGCTATAAAATCTACATCGTATCCCTGAATTTCAATCAATTATCAAAGCTCCTGAGAACTAACGTAGTTTCACGATATGACCCCTGGAGGACGATCATATGGACTGTTATGGGCGTGGCTCGTGCCCACGACTCAACCAATATTCTCTTTGCGTAGCATCAGTCATCGTCCCTGATAAAACTGCCTGTACGACTTTAGCTTCGGGGTAGAGGTCTACCTTTTTAAGGAGATTGTAAACGTCGTAACAAGAGGGATTTTCCTCTGCCGTTTTACAGTCAAGAATTATTTTAAAGAAATCTTCATGACTAGCAGTTGCAGCAAACTGGCAGAGACCTACCGCAATTCTTGCATAAGTAACAACTTCAACTGGGTCAACTGTACTAGCAGCCTGGCGGAACTCGATTGTTCTTTTATGCTCTTTCTCGAGCTGAACAAAGTTGTACGCTCCTCTCCTCTGTCCAATATTCATTAGTCTTGCAATAGATCTTCTATCTGCTGATCTTAGAATTTCGGCAACAGCAGTCATCATCGGAATTGGCTTGTACCTTCGGGGGTCCTGCCTCTCCTCGAGGCATGACCCATGATAACTCATGACCAATTCTACCAAATTCCGATTGATATTAAATTTACTTACAGTTGGTCCGGGAAGGAATTGATGCTTTGTAAAGACTTGGCTGTCCTGTGGAGGCTCATCACGACCTACCCAACTTTGGAAAAAGTTTTGTGCAAGCTCCATGAAACCGGCATACGCTGATTTCTCCGTGACCTCTGTAACCTCCTTTGGCTCATCTGGAGGAGCAGGCTGAGCTTGGATAGGTGGGTTCTTGATCCCAACGGAAACATTAGAATAAAGGCGTGGGCTCGGACACCATATATTATCGCGCCTGTGTTCAGGATGAGACTGAGCTAATGTCAGATCTGCTGCATAGAGAAAAGCGGCAATCTGTCTGAGTGAATTTAGAGATAGCCATTCGTTTCCTTTACCTACGTGAACATGAAAGCCAGCTTCAGGAGCAGTGAATATCCAAAAGTTTGCCTGGAGGAACTCACACATTCTACGGGTTTCCTCGAAACCCTCGTCTATAGCCCAGAGGGCTGGTGAAACAACTTCGGCGCCGACCCATCCGAAATCCTCGCCAGTTTTATCTCTCAGCGCGTCGGGTAGCCTTTTTAGGGTAGGATCGAAGGACACCTCCCAACGGCGGAACTGGTAAAGATGATGCCACTCTTGATCTCCGTAATCCGGTACCCCTCCTCCCGACGGAGCAACCGCTGCTGCGGATGATGGGAATGCCTCGTCTACCATAAGAGCTAGAGCACCTACCCTGTCACTTTCTGTCGCCCAGCCCCCCCTAACCACCAGGGGCCTCCCAGTCTTTGACTCGAACCCTGGGGGCGTGGGTACTGTGCCGGTGAAACTCTCAGCGCGCCATGCTAAAAAGAATTCCATTTCTATGCCGAAGCTTAGCTTCTCCTTTTTATTCGGTACTCCGGACACCATTTTTCTATGTTATGCAAGTCGTTTGATTGGTTTAACGTAACAACAGTTCTATTAAAACTTTTTCGCTTGTTTTGTTTGACGTGTCTCTGACCGTTATACCAGTTTCTTTTACCGCTATATTAAGTGGCAACCCAATATTATATATACATAATTTCACTAGAACACCTAAGTAACAGTATCATTGTTTCCATACATAACTAGAGAAATAGAACTGAACCACAACATGGCATGATTTAAAGATAATCGCTGTATTCTAGTCAAATATTTGATTCGGTAAATCGGCAAACAGTTAGCCCGCTGTAACTCATTTCTTGAACACTGGGATGTAAAATACTTGGTCCTTGATCCATCGTACCTGAAGCAATATCATTAGCCCGCTTTGCTATGGTACTTCAGCGCTACCTTTAGGGCTACGTAAGGTATCCTGAATGTTACTAGATAGGTACCTAAATTATGGCGCGTAGTTTCTTCAAGATGACAGTATAACTACAAATACTATAGTAGAAGTTGTGCTTACCTACTAAACGGTTTGAAGCAATATAAGCCCCAAGATAGTTTATTCGGTATATAGGGGGATTACAAATAAAAATGTATCGTGTCCCAGAATAATAAGAAAGAATGAGGAATGATATTTATATTAGTTAAACGCAAACATAAAAACTTAAACAGCTCAGACTACTTTATCATACTGCGTACTGGCTGGTAGTCTATATCCATTACCCCCATTTACTCAAGGTTCCCCTTAACCACGTTCAAGTAGCTTTAGGGGCTTTCCCACCTCCAGGGAAAGGGGGTGGAGGTGGAGGTAAATGTTGCTTATTCCATGCTCGGCAATCGTCTCCATGGGACTCGCGCCTCTCGGTTGTCAAATTTGGACAGAGTGCAGTTCTTGCATAAGAGTTATCGCAAACGGACTGCCAGACGTACTTTAATATTATAAGTTAGCGCTCATTCCCGAACTTACCTAGGTATAAGATAGTTATGTCCGAAGCCAGGGAACAGAAAAAGAAGTTCATTACGTACAATAGGACGGTTGCCCAGTGGACCTCTGCCACAGGTCATGCAATAGAACCACCAAGCTAATGCGTGACACATGGTTAAATGATGTTCTCGAGGATGTCAATGATATATTGTCAGAAACACGTTAAGACGAATATCAAGGGGAAGCTTGATGGTTGGATATATGATTAGGTTTTCGGAGTGAATAAATGGGTGTTAAATATAGGGGAGGGAGATGCATTTTAACAGAGCCTTGAAGGGGGGAATGATCGAACTCTGAACTGGACATCAAATTAAAGCACTCACATATAATGAATCACAATACCGCCGTTTGGTAATGACATGGGTGTACAAGCTTGCTTGTATGCTAATTTTGTAGGTAATGGGTGACACATAAGAAAGAAAGTGTCCGATAATTGAATCTTCGATAGGTATTGCGTGGAACTAGGTTACAGGTGTAATAATGAAGTGACCAAGTGACGTAGGACGTAACATTATAGGTTATAAATTCACATTCACTAACTGAAGTGATTGGCCTGAGCTTGTATATTGCCTTCACTGTAAGCGGCTTCTTTTTTGTGTTACTTTAAGCATTATTGGTTTTTGCCCACTTAATCAGTAGCATGATAGCTTTACTTACAGCCTAGATAACTGATGGATAATGAGAGTCTAAGTACCATGGCTGTAATCACTTGACGAATTGTTTTGTAAAGCTACACAACAATATATTTAAGTTGTTTACCGGAGCTAAATAAGAACAATTGGATGTTCCAATCTATAGTCTTGTTACCATACGTGTATTTTGATATATTCGGGTGTAGTAGTCTTTGAAATAACGGCTTTTCTTAGAATCGTCGTTCAAATTGTAGTAAAAGGATAGAGTTACCAGTAAAATCAAAAAAGAAATATCCAGTTCTAATGCTTTATAAATTACCTATAAGTTGTTATCACTGTCGTAAGATACGACTGAAGTTTAGTGTAAACATGTTAGTAATATAAATATTAACTCATTAGGAAATTTACTGGTAGTTATTGAATCTTTGGGTTACTACGATACTTGGTATAAATGACATTTAACTATATTAGTGGTTTGATCTTAGCTATATTCTTTTTTTTCTTTCAATAGGTTATTGACCCTGGAATAAAAATTGGCAATCCCAACCTTTTTGCTTACCTGGTAATATCGTTGACGATGTCTGAACACTGGGTAGATATGTTATGAGAACAGGGGACCTCTAAGATGCCGGAGCGTGCAGGAGATTCCTAACTTAGATATATACCTAAGGTTAGGTACATTTGAATAATTCAGACTTCATTAGAAAGTGCGTAGGTGCCGTAGGTATATGTCCAAGACATGTGTTTATACTGCACAATTAACAACCGAACCATCAACTGAGAGACGTTTAAAACCAGGTACCCAGGTACCCAGGTACAATACCTAAAGTAAGCGCCTATAAGCTACAGGGGGCCAGCGCGCTAAGGTGCTAGAACATGGCATCTGCAGTTTCCACGCCTGCCACGTTGGTGATGCCCCACTATCAGGTTGTTGTACGAAGTACCGCCCATTCATTCTTATCTTCCTCCACGATTGCCCCGCATCACTGTGGTACCTAAAGAGGTAGACACAATACCTTCCGGTACCTACCTACATGTAGGTAACTTACCAACTCTGAACTTTACCATGTTTCGATGCAAAAATAAAAGTTACCTATCTCCTACCTAACGTCTCGGGGCAATCATTGCGTTACAAGACTCGTCTATTTACCTTACCTTAGGTATGTAACTTTATTAACGTCGTACGCTTTTCGTGATCACCGTTTTGCGCTCCTCAGCTCTTCCTTTGGACCTTGAAACTCAATCACCCTCAGTCACTTTAGGTATTGTACCCCGGCAGCCCTAGGATCTACTTTAGGAGGTACCTTATACACTACCTACATTCAATCACTCGGCTTTAGCGACAAGGGAAGAACTCGAGGAGACAGACAGAACAGAACATCGTTGTCCTTTTTATTATTTCTTTTAAAATTACCGGGGCTTGTTTTCATTTTTAAATCGGGTTTCCTCGACTCTATCCTCGACTCTATCCTCGACATTCCCAAAAAAGCTTACCTAAGGTTAAGAGGTACCTAATCTAGGTATCTAAGATACATACATACCTTAGGTACATACCTACATCCTTAACGTGTATTGTACCTTACCTTATTTTAGGTAGCGTCACAGCAGCTACTGCACAGCTTAACGCTTGTACCACCACCCACTACGACTTCTTCTTATCCACGTGCGCAATTAAAGCCGTGTGGGAATTGGGAATTGACATATTGTTGCGACTTCGCAACCAACTCACGCTCTCGACGGATATCATTCATCTTATCTTACCATAGGTAGGTACCTAACCCGGTACTTTGCATCGTTACATTCAAATCAAAAACAAGAGAATAACCAAACACAGTTATTTTCCGAAGTCAAAATGGCAGGCGCAAATGAAGTCGAAGATGGAATCGAGGACAATCACATGGATAACCACATGGAGAACCACATGGGAAACCACATGGACAATCATGTGGATGGTAAGAAACGTGAATCAGGTTTTGATTTTCAGCCCGACCATCCGCACGACGTTGAGATGACAGATTCACCCATGATGTCGACGCCTGCACATAGCAGTATTCTCCCCTCGTCCCTAGTCGACTCGGGGCCTTATACCCGTCCAGTGACACGATCTATGACCAAATCCCACCTCGCCGATTTAGTTGATGCTATCCCGTATATTACTACTTCACTCAGAGAGAGGCTTCAGAACTCGTCCAAGAAACACATATCCAATCCGAATGTGTCTAAACTTGAAGACTCGAGAGATGTTAGCTCTATTATGGACGACCAGATTGGAGACTCCGACGAAGTTAATGATGATGTGGCTCGAGTGATGAGAAATCAGGATCAACCTCTCGAATCGTTCTCGCTAGAAAAAACATCCCCATCACACCCTTTAACTGGCCAGCTCCGAATACTAACTCGTCGATCTGCTCGCCTCAATAATGGAAGTATTGTGATGCCAGAGGCCGCAAATTCAATCGTCGAACCTCAGGGTAAAGAACGGAAGCCAAAGTCAGCCAAACGGCTTAAAACTAACCATGCTACTGTCAACGGACGTGTTCGCCGCTCTCCGCGCTTTTTTAAGCCTCTCACCAAGTTTTCTAAGTATTCTGACCTTCCGAACGAACTCAAAATGATGATATGGGAGGCTGCCATAGAACCACGTCTGGTATATATCATGAACCGATATTCACTATCACATGCCGAGGCTCAATTTGACGTTCAGAACGAGCAACCTACCTGGTTTAATGCATGCCGCCTGTCGCGATGGGTCGCGCGGCTCCATTACCTGAAGCTCTTTGCCATGTATATTCCAGCCGCAGGTTCTTTCAACAGTAGAACAATCCAGGCTGTTTCTGCTGGCGACATTTTAATATTTGAACCCTGTCATGGAGGTTGCCGTGGATGCTATTGTGCTCGACACCAGTACGATCTACGTGACCGTTCTATGGTACGATGCTTAGCTATACAAGCAGAATCACCCAACTTACCCCCCACAACAGAGCCATGCTGGCAAACCATTACACGATCGTGGCATAATGTCGAGACGCTTTATCTAACGAGAACTGCTGTGAAGGGCGTGGACAAGAGAAATAAGGCAATGATTCGGGTCAAGAAAAATGACCACGAAACCGCTCTCCTAAAACGTTTCGATGAGTGGAAGAAGGGTCCTGGTCTCGACACTAGATTGACAAGTCTAGAGTTCGTCGTAATAGTAGAGAAGGAGGTAGCAACCTCTAATCTGCAGGATCGTTACAGGGCCATCGAAGACCGATTGACCAGTCAATCGGAAGACATAATCCTTGGTTAACCCTGCCTCTTTGAAGCTACCCTCGTTGCGGACTATTCATTTAGAGAATCCTCTCTATCCTTTCATAGACATCATATTCTGAATCTAGATGGCTATCAGTAAATGAGTTTTATTTCGGCTTCCGACTGAAGATAGCAGACTAAGTGGACTTAAGATTGGGTAGCTCATTTCATCACGCAACTCTACTCCAATATATCGCAAGTCCCGCATGATTTCCCAGCTTGATCTCATGATATTTCTGTCCAATTTCTCCCTAACACCATCGCATCAGGTATGTTAAATATTCCCCTCGTCACCTGTCCGCCTTTGCTTGATTTTGGCGCTCATATTCTTTATAATTAAGATATCAATTACTATACAATACTTCGGCACCTTTCCCTGAATATAGAACGATACATTATCCTAACGTTTATTCATTACGTGCTTCTCGATATCCTGATCGGTCGTGTTATGAACCGCCTAACATAACCGTTGTTTAACCTTGACCTTGATACTATCACCGGCCTCAACAACATTATATACTACCATCAATCTTTTGACGCGACACGCAATGTTTTCTTGGGGTTGATAACTTATTCCAATCAAACCTAAATATGCTCATCTACCGCGACCAGCATCATCACACAATCGGATCGTCCGCTTGTATATATTGGGCTTATTATACACAAGTCAAGGTCCCGGATCTAAAATACGACTACGCCTAGTACCTACCCTACCCAATCGTACCAAGTACCGCAATTGAAGCACATGGAAACTACCTAGAATTTCCATGAGATGCTATACTTCAAATCTCGGAGATCTTGCAAATTAGTATAATTTGAAGTATGAGAATGAGAGAAGGCAGAATAATGGACTGGTGACTATGAGAGATATATACCAGACAATCACCCGATCATTTCCCTTCCCCATCGACTACCGATATTTCCAACCCCTCTAAAGCATACTAAAACATATGACGATCATCAATATTTTGATATGAGGCGTTTAGCGAGATACGGTAAGATGTTCTATGGTCTCAGAAATACTTTCGGGATTTTTCCAGAATGTTGAGGCAGCCCGTCACCAAGAAGCACAATCCAGTCAGCACGTATCTTAGCAAACCCACCTCTCAATAACCTCAAAGAAGTTCATCTATGGACCTTCTAAGTTACCAACGGCTACGGACACGGCATATGCATATCCCCTCATTAGATATGGCAAGTGTCGGCGAAGAAAGGGTGACTGGTACAGTACCAGGATGATCGTCATTTAACGGGGTCTTGGTATCAGAACTATATTTTCGTCGTCGACCAGACACCCTTACATATTTACATGGCCCTATGCTGTAGATATCACCACTTGCTAGAGCAGTATCAGACTTACTACGCTACTCAATTTCCAATTTAGTGCTAAAGTATTCATCGTGAATCAATGATGCAAATAATAAATGAAACATGATACTGGCAAATAGGACCATTCATGGTATTTTATACTACATGCTTAGTGACTAGATATATACGAAGTCTTACTTAAAAATACTAGTAGTGTATTACAGTCGCACGCGTTCTGTGTGATGACACCTTGGAGACGGACATAGGCACCTAGGCACCTAGCTGGACGATTCAGGAGTGACCCCTTTGATGACTAAGCACTCATCATGCTACGTACTACTACGCATATTCTTTCTTACTTGTGCAAGCACTTCATTAGAGTTGGTGAATATCTTAAAGTTACTCAATGACTATTAATTGATTCAATCCATCTCCTCCGGACACCTATGGTAGACGAATATTCTCTAGATCTCATCTCTCCTAAGTTATCCCGGTAACCAAATGGCTCTTCAACAAGGTTCATTGCTCCACTGGCATTCTAGGTCGACCTTTCTGTCGTAGTCATCGCCCTGCTGTCCAGACTTCGAACCCAATTCCAGAACATGGGTTATTGACTCCCGAGGGTCAACAGAGACGCTTAATGTCTCCCTTTCCTCAGATTGCTTAGTGACCTTCCTCTGTCTATCGACCTCAACACAATCGCGGATGAAGAGAGCAAAGTGTATTAGACTAGCGGAAAACATTAGTTAACCTGAGAATATATTGATAACTAAATCGGTAACTCGCTAGAACTTACGATAATGATGTAGCAAGACAACTTGCCGAGATAGACATCTGATCCAAAAGTATCCACTGCTAACATACCCTGGGATAAGTCTATCCTGTTTGGCATTGTAGACGAAGTCCTCTATGCGCCAATTATAGGAGATGACCGTACTGTAGATGAGAATACCCGGTCATGCCGTACCGCAGATCCCAAGGACGAGTTCGAAACCAAAAGAAATAGTAGGGGGGATACCGGACTTCCTCTTCCAGGCACACATGACGACGTATTCCGCTATGTCGTATAAGATAGCTGCTAAAGCCTAGATAGTAAGTTGGCTTATCAGTATGTCGTAGTAGTAGTCAATGGTGAGCTCGCTATGCATATCTGACTCAGGTCTAGTATAAACAGATGATGATGCTATTTTAATAGTTAACTTATTTAAACGAGTGAATGATTGATTTATATAGGTAGACTTGATAATAACCAGCTGTGTGTTCTTTTTAACTTAACCTTGGGTACCTAATGTATACAGGTAGACACATCTTAAAGGTCTTTATATCATCCACTATCCTTTCGAACCCAACATTACTTGGCTGGTATATACGCATCCATGAATAACTAAATACGAGGTTCTCAGCGTTGTGATCTGCGGCTTGCGCCATGAAAGGATGTAAAGGTTTGTAACATGTCTTCTCAAGATTCAATATCCACCTGATGATTGTTAAATAGCCATATCGCAGCTACAGTTAAAAACTCGCATATGCCAGATGATGCAAGATACAAACTACCTAAGTAAAGCACATGGTTTTACGTGGCGCGTTGATTACTTCAAATCCGAGCAATTATTTTGATTTTACCTCCATCATGACAATAGAGGCGACAAACATGTTATAATTCAAACTACATAATGGGGATTGATCACGGTCGCTTGTTTTTTAAAAAGGCTACAAGAAAAATAGAGTAAAAAAAAGCAAAAGATGATGTGCCCCCACACCGGATTGAACGATGGACCTCAGCATGGACTTGTAGAAGATCTCCAGAAGAAGAATTACAAGTGCTGCGCTCTACCACTGAGCTATAAGGGCTGGCGTGTTATGCAAAAATGTCGCTTAGTCTGCTCTATAATTCAAATTACGGATCTGTACAGAGTGGGGGCACTACGGGGTTAGCGCTGTCCAACGTTAAGAAAATATGTATTTTTGTCAAGAATGACGTAACTGCAATATTTAGCTACACTTTAGGAAGACTGCAAAATTGATTCCATGCATATGTTAGGTAGACTTAGAAGTATCTAACCTTGCAATGCCTAAATTTTGCGGTTGATAATCCTCAGATACTCAAGCATTTAGCATAGTAATTTATATATCGAATTAGGACATGTAACCACTCCATAAATTATTGCAATTAAGCTACTGTTAACATCTCATGTTTCTATAGTGCCTACCTAGGTGGATCAGGGACTTAGGTGTAGTATTGGAGGTATTGCAAAGAGATGTACTCTTGCTATCCAATACCAAATGGTATCTAAGATATTTGTGTATCAAACTTGTATCAGCTATAAGAAGACTAGGTCTTTGCTTAGACTTTTTTAGAGGGCAAGCTAGGTATACATTTCAGGCCAGATCTGAATATGCCGGGGTTCAGTCAGCTAGCTGTCTGTGATTGTTTGGCCCATTTCCCTTCCTATCTAATCCCGCACATGGTCGATCGAATTAGTTGATCAAAATAGTCGGAATCAGATGATGAATCAGACGAGCTCGTATCGCAGATCAGGCATTCAGGTGTAGTGTTGTAAGGTCATACCGCATTGGACATTAAGCAGTATACTCTCTCTATGAGTACACGGTAAAAGACCTAAACAGATATAGGATATTGTTAAACATGGCACTTGGTATCATCATGTTATGTGGATTATCAACAATACCTTTGCCATGTAGTTAGGCCTATGAGTAAAATATACCCAATATCCAAAGTATTGAGCTTCGGCGTCTTCCGAAGTCGAAATAGAGACGATTCCCATTGCAGAATATTCTTATTTAAATATTCGACGGCCACCTGCTCTTACCGCGAATCTTTCAGCTCCATTTTGCGTTTGCTGGTTCCAAACCATCAAGCTCCCCAAAGAGCCACCATTTTCAGTACCGGCCCTTCGGCGTCTATATGCTTCGCGAAGATGCTCGGGCCGTAAGGGGGCTTGCCGGCGGTGTTTTGATAAGTCGTTCGCAGGCTTAAGATCGTCGTCCGATAAGTCGGTTTGCTTCTCGCCTAATTGTACCCATTCTTGTTGAACCTCACGTGCGGACTCGACAATATCTCCTAGGTACATTTTACATACTACTTGCATCATCTGATGGACATTGGTAGGGCATGACTGCGATGTGACGCTATTGATATGCTATATAAGGATGGGGATGGTTAGTTATGCCATAATCAACTAGGGTAGCTATTAGCATAGGGTATGACGACTTACTCTCTTAACGTCTGCGTTCTTGAGAGTTTGGCGATGCCAGACCTCATACCGATCAAATTGTAAAGCATCCATCTGCGTCTTGAGAAGCGCATTTAGTTCCTTCTCTTCTTCGATCTGCTCCTTAGTTCGAGCAGCAGACATGCTAGCCATATTCTCGGGTATCTCGAACTCCTCTTCTTTCCTAGAGTCTGGGTCGGCGTCCTTCCCAGCATGATTACCGCTCGCATTACTAAGGACGGTAGGTGCGCGACCTCCTACGACGCTTGGAGACCCATCTCGCATGGCTTCAGCAGCCGCTTCGCTTGCGCGCTCCGCTTTTGACTTTCTACCGCGTTTTTTCTTCCCGGGCGCGCCGCTAACTTGACTACCACTAACGAGGCTCATGGTATCGGCACTAGGAGATCGTCGGTAGGACGGAGAGAAGGCTTGTATTTGGGATTCATCGGGCGGAAAGGATGTTTGTCGGAGAGGATGGGCTGAGCCTACGGAGGCTATGGACATGACAGATGCTTTGCGACGTTTGAGGGAGGGCGGCTGAGATGCGAGATCAGCAGTTGCGGAGCCACGCTTCTTCGATGGCAACTGCGCGCTAGCAGAGTACGGCGGAGAACCCGCAGGCGAGTATGCGCGTGGAGGGGACGCCATATTATTGTATATTGTATATTGTATATGTTGTTTAGAAGGCCTTAGGTTAGGTGAGGTGGTTTAGTGAAGCCCACTTGAAGTCTCCAGAGGGCGCGACGGAGCGACGGAGAGACGGAGAGACGGAGCCGAACTCTTAGGCAGGTAACTAGTCAGTTTGGATGCGGAAAGTAGCGAACGGTTCTGTCAAGTAACTTTAATTGGGTATGCTGGGTAAAAACAGCGGATGGCTAATAGATAACAATCAGAGAGTTGTTGTTGCTAAGAAACTTTTGATGTGTGATGAATGAATGATAAATGACGGAGAAGCTTGAGCCACTGACGGATACACAATCAGAGGCATGGAAGCAGGTCCATACCTTAGGCAATTGAGGAAGGTCCATACAAACGCTGTATGTGTACCTAGGTACACCTTAGTACATAATACACCTTAGTACATAAGCCGCCGCTAACCCCAGGCCCCATAAACGGGATAACTCATTGTACTAATGATAAGACGATAAAGCGATAACGGACAATTGAAGAGTCGATTTTCGATACTTGCAAATCCAGTCTACTTTAACAAAAGTCCGTCTCAGCTGCCATAAGCACCAGGGACTTCGCCTCCATGCATCATACATGTGCTTAACCTGATTGAGCTGATTGGAACTTACAGTCAGATTTCCCGGCTCCGTAAGCTCCTACATAACTTCCATTCCTTACGCTAAACCTAGTAACAACCCCTCTTATAACGCTCTTGCGCCAGTTTAATGTCTCGACCGGGGAAAAGCAAAATGGTACAATCCGCTGACCCAAAGCTCAACTATTTAGAAATGGCAACCATAGATCCTTCTGCCAGTTCCGTCACGGGAGTATCCGATGTCGACGATTCTGTTAATGGCAGCGAACTACGAGAACGCGACCAAAGTCGAGACGACAGGAAGGCCAGCAAGAAGAAGAGGAGAAGAAGAGTAAAAGATGGAGGCATATCGGAGATCAATGGACATTCAAAGTCGGCAAAGAGGAGGGACAGCATCAGCAAAGCAGCGCGAGATCCCAGGGATGAGCCCCGAGGGAAGAAGCACGAGAAGGCCGAGGCCGAGGGTATAGAAACCAGGTCGCCCAGTCCTGTTATTGACTTTGACGGCTTGAGCCGGCCGAGTACGTATTTGAGCTTTTTCAATGAGTAACTCCCACCGCTTACACAATCCAGGTCGGGGTACCCGAGAACGGCTTGAGGAGAGTTCCGAGCAAGCAGCCGAGAGATTGGAGAAAATGCGAGGAGCCATTCGGACAATTCTGGAGTGCGTTGGTGAAGACCCAGACAGAGAGGGCGTTCTTGATACACCGAAAAGATATGCGAAAGCGATGCTTTTCTTCACAAAGGGATACCAGCAGAACGTCAGAGACATTGTGAACAATGCTATCTTCCATGAGAACCATAATGAGATGGTTATCGTGAAAGACATAGAAATATTCAGTCTCTGCGAACATCACTTGGTCCCCTTTACTGGGAAGGTCAGTCATCCCAATTCACCATTTTACTTCATATTCTGATTTTCTAGTAGATGCATATCGGATACATTCCGAATAACAATGTCATCGGCATCTCTAAGCTACCGCGTATCGCTGAGATGTTCAGCCGCCGACTGCAAGTCCAAGAAAGACTGACAAGAGAAGTTGCCAATGCGATCATGGAGGTTTTAAAACCTCAGGGTGTGGCAGTTGTGATGGAGTCAAGCCATCTCTGGTACGTAGCATTCCACATTCCACTGCCTCCTCTTCCCACTTCAAGCACTGACCACCATTCTTCTAGCATGGTCATGCGGGGTGTTGAAAAGACGACTACCAGTACAATCACTAGTTGCGTGCTCGGCTGTTTCGAAAGAAAAGAAAAGACTAGGAACGAGTTCCTAAGTCTCGTTGGGCTGAACAGAACATACAGGTAGATTACAAGATAGGATTAAGAGGTACCTACCAAAGGTATGCATGTGCATTTGAGGCGTTTTGGGTTTAGAGCGTGGGATCTCAACATCAAGCTCATCCACGAACATGGTATGAGAAATTCATCTTAGAGTTCAATAGGCTCAACGCCTTCAGGGAAGTTATTGTGTGGCGTTCAGGGCTGTGAAAACATTCTTCAACATTATACTTGTGTATCATCAATTACACCATGTATGCATTCATTGAGACATTTAAATGCTAGTAGCCATGGGATCGAGATTGGTGCTTATGTTTTATGTGTGATAATATGAAGCTCATGCTAAAGTCTCTACATCATAACAGATTAGGTATGGTAGTTACTAGTGACAGAAGAAGATGTTGATGGATAGAGAGGTACTTAATAAATTATGTCTTAGAATCGTAGGTCCGCATAGTCGGTGACCTATCCAGTTCGGCCGAAGAGTTACAGAACTTATATATCCTCGCTTTTATTCGGCCATACATATGGTATTATATCAAGCACGTCAACACCATTTACGTAATAAGTACCTAGGTAGGTAGGTAGGTAGGTAGGTATCTCGCTCTTCAGCGCGGAATTGTTTCCGGTCGATAATTCATAAGAACAGGCTTTGTGACGGTGAGCGGTGCTCAATTCATAAGCGCGGAGATAGGACCTTCGCCAAAAGCCGCAATGTTACCATCATCCTGTCAACTGAGCAATTTAAGATCATACTGGGAATCTCTACTATGTATTATGAACCAAGTAACAAGTATGATTATGAGAAGTATCTACTATCCTTCCCTGCTAATGAAACGATGGCTACTTTTAGAATTACGTATGGCTTGTTTTGATGCCGTAAACACAAGTTCTGCACTTAATCCTAGAAGATGTCATTTTCCACTTATATCTTGCCCACTACGTGTATAGAGAGCCCATGGAATGTGTGCATCGGCTTCGGACTGTGTTGAATACCGATGTGATGGTAATGTATGATGCTCGTTGCTTGTTAGGTAAAACCATATATACCCCTCAGTACCACATTAAATATATTCATACCTTAGTTAGGAGACAGACATCACTAGAACCGAATTTGATCGACAAGATGAGTAGCATTACCAAAGTTACAATCGCAGGGGTAATAATTCACCTAAGTGTCTCACCTAAAATGAGAGAGAACTAGTAGTTAACAATTTAATATAACACAGGCTACTGGCAACGTAGGCCCAACGGTAGTAAAACAGCTCCTCGCAGACGGTTTTGAAGTCACCGTACTTGCCCGCAAAGGAGCCACGAAAACTTTCCCGCCCTCAGTAACTGTTGCTGAAATCGATTACGAGTCACCCGAGTCACTTGAGAAAGCTCTCAGTGGCCAAGACGCGGTTGTATCAACCGTTGGCTTCGAGGGATTGCCATACCAAATCCCTCTAATTCAAGCAGCGGTTAAAGTTGGCATCAAGCGCTTTATCCCCTCGGAATATGGTGGAGATGCGGAGAATGAGAAGACTCTTAGCTTACCTCCATTCCAAGCGAAGAAGGCTGTCACCGAACTCCTGAAGAAGGAGGCAGTGGCTGGTTCTATAACGTACACGCTAATATCCACCGGGCCTTTCTTGGATATGGGGCTCCAGTACGGTTTTCTCATCGACGTCAAGGGCAAGAACATTACACTTTGGAATGGCGGTGACAGGCCTTTCAGCAGCAGCACTATCTCATCTACCGCCAAGGCCGTGTCGGAGGTGCTTAAGCACCTTGAGGAGACCAAGAACCGCAATGTTTATGTGAACAATGTACAAATTTCCTTGAAGAAGCTCCTTGAGCAGGCCAAGAAAGTGGTTGGATCAGACGGATGGAAGTCAGAAGTCAAGTCTACCGATGAGAACCTCAAGCAAGCCTACACAGAGCTCGAGAAGGGCAATAACGACAGAATGGCTTTTATAGCTTCAGCGGTATGGGGAGAAGGATACGGTGGCGACTTCAAGAAAGTAGATAACGATTTGCTCGGCGTGAAGGAATTCAGCGACGCAGAGCTCCAGGATTTTATAAAGGGTTATGCAAATTAGGCTTGGTATGTGTATTTGTATAACCAGCCATAGGCTAGCATGTGGCATGGGTAGGGATTAATGAAAAGGGTCATCATAGGCAAGATTATGTTAGGTAAACGAGGTCTTGAAAACGAATATGTATCCCTAGTAGCCCCTAAAATATCATAAATCATGTACATTCAGTCATGCACAGTTGTCAAGATCCAAGTAAGCATATGTAACAGTATGTTTTACTAATGTTATTAATTCGAACTATCGTACATAGGTAGACTAGATAAATGGCCTTGTATGAACGCCTAGCTAAGTACCTACCTAAGGTAGGTACTACAGTGATCCTATCCCATAGGGCTGGATACGTCAGTAGCTTTGCTTGTCGTGAATCCCACGAGTAAGGGGTACCTAGATCTAGCTTTCTATAGTATGCATACTGCAGTTCCCGGGTCTAGTAACTACTCTGTCCGGGTAAGGAGGCGAACAAGTCGGGGTTGTGGTCGTGTGCACGACCCTAGGTGGGTCATACGCACAACCACAGCCTGCGTATCTGTAAACGTTCCTATAGCACATAATGGAAAGTTCTAGAAAATGGGTAGAATAAAATTAGGAAATGTTGATGGTTTTGGTTGTAGATAGTTGTTAGTTTTGACAGTGATCGATCTGGATGAATACTATGATAACTTTCCATCATAGAGAATAGTTAGTCTTATTTATAGAAGATCTATAGAAAACGATCATGGACAATGTAGTTATGAAATATTTAGACTTTTAGGGCGTCTTTATAACCCCTGAAAGAGACTGTATCCTTAATAATGTGTGCTATATAGGTGCATATCGGAAAATCTTGTTAGAGTTTTGAATGAAACGTTTAGAACAAAGGATTCTTTCAATATGTATAACCCTAAACATCAATCATCAGGTTTGAAGTTCGTTGCGGATCAATAAAGTTGTTTCCGTACCTCTTGCTTCACTATATTCTGTATGAAGTCCGACACGACTTTGAAGTAATGCCAATTCAATTACATATTGATGGTTGTTTCTGAATTGTTTCTTTATCCAGATGTATCTAATGCTGCCCTAAGCTTTTCTTCATCTCTGGGCATGCAGAGTACACGATATGACTTAGGAACCATGATCAAATCTTTTGGATTAACCATATCGATGCTAGGATCACATTGTATATCACCCGAGGCCACAAAGCGAAAGCTACTCAATAGCCTCATAAATATGATATACACCTCACGGGTAGCAAGGATATGCGCTGCGCACATACGGTATCCCAGGCCGAACGTAAATAAAGGGGCTTCCGGTTTCTCTAACCATCTTTCTGGCAGAAAACTGTCGGGGTCAGACCATAGTTCGGGGTCTATAGCCATATATATGTTGTGTAAGTCAACTGTATAATAAAGTTATGGGATCTGATGTGGTGGCTCTCTTACCATGATTACAGGCCCATGCATTCATGTAAACAGTGCTCCCAGATGGTATTACGATGCCATTGTATTCAATATCTCTGATGGATGCTCTTGGTAATGCTAGAGGGATGACAGAGAAGTATCGAAGAGCTTCTTTTACCAGTGCTAGTACATAAGCACATTTCTGATCGTCGGCAGCATCACACAATGGCTCATTGGACCCCTGTAACTGCTGGATTTCTGTATAGGCCTTATCTTGGATCTCCGGATGCAGGGCGAAGTAAGCAATTGACCATTGTACAGTAGTTGACACGGTCTCGAAACCTCCTCCCAGCACAGACAAGCTGAAAGCAACTAATTCAGTGTCACTGAGCTGAACCTCCTTATACTTAATTACGCTCGCCTGGATGCATGGTTTGTTAGTGCCTTTTGATACCTTCTCCGCAAGGTCCTTGTTCAGTTTGGAGAGGTACCGATCTCGGCGCTGGCGCAATTGTCGAGCATTTACAGAAGTCTGGTTCAAGGGGTTAAGGCGTAGGAAAGGAATGTGATCTTGAGTATTGCCGACAGTGGACCTAGCCTTGTTGAGTCCCTCTTCGACGGATACTATCTCTTTAAATAACTCATCTTCAATAGAAGGAATCCGAACACCCCAATTGATGGTTGTCATCAGCGAGAGGCTCACTCGTTGGACAAGGGGAAGTGGATCAACTGCAACCTTCCCGGCTTTTCCATAGTTGAACAGATCCTGAATAAACATCTTTGTCTCTAAATCAAGGTACGGGATATATGTTTTAATAGCGGGACGGTTCAAGGCTACCGCCGCAGCCTTCTTCTTTCGCTTTAAGCTATCATCATAGGGTGACGTGCCAATTGTAAGGCCGGCAGTACTGGAAGCTACCTATTGGGATAGAACGCATCAATGAGAGCTGTATACAGAAGCTGGATTGCGGACATGACATACCTTATGAAATGTATAGGCTATCGGCCGAGAACTTAAAGCTTGAGAATTAGATATGAACAACTCCTTCGCCGTGGCAGCACTATTGACAACAACAACGCTAGTATTCCCCAGTTGGACCTGATAGACATCGCCATACACTTTGGCCCATTCCTGATACTTTAATGCCGCATTAGACCATATGTCAATTAAATTCCCAAAAATCGGGAGACCTCTTGGCCCTTTCAATCCAGAAATTCGCGACTGACTCCGTAGGATTTCATTTCCAACAAGGTAAAGTAGTACTGCGAGAAGACTCCCAATGGTAATGGATCTCAATGTATGCTCGATCAATGTCTTTTGGGAAAGGACGATGAGCGATTCCATGGTAGAATCGATAGGTAATGATGTGTGTTTGAATGGCGAGAATGTACATTAACGTTGTTGCGAGGAAATATTAACATCGCTATTCCCCACCCACCCGGCACATTTGTAAAGTAGATGTGATAGGATTCGTATGACCCGGGATCCCAAAATGCATCAACCCCTCCCAGAACCACATGTTCAAAATCTCAACATGCATTGCAACTGGCCACGTGTGTAGGTGGCTTTTCTTCATGGCTTATAGCCGGTATTACCGACAGCTACTACCGGACGACGACTTCACGTCTACCGCCTTATGCAAATAGAAGCCATTTAATAAGTAATCACTACCTCCTATGCAATGTTTTGGTTTAGCCAAACCAATATTCTATTATAACATTTGGATGTCTGACCTATAACTCTCTATATTCGTTCTCCATTGGTGTTGAATATTGATAAAGCAAAAATGACAGCGAGATTTAAGTGGCAATTGGGTATTTAATTGGCCCTCAAGCGGAACTTCCATTTAGGATGTCCTGTTGGATTCGCTATGAGTTCCTGCATGTTCTTGATAAAAGGACGATCAGGTCCTACAAACAGTAGGCCGTTTTCGATGCACAGAGCAGCATATTTTGTTGCCGTTTCAGCGTCACCAATCCCAATATATTCCATTGCCGCTCGATAATATGCTTCGTTTAACCGGCCTAAGATCCCCTCTTGTTCGTACAGCGATACTAAAAGTTCCGCCTTTTTCGAAGATCCTTTTGATGATGCCGAGTGGTCATCCAACTCTTTCCATAGAGCATGTATTTGAGAAACCCTACGATCCGATTCAGCTATCGCTGTCGCATTAGCATTGCACCTCTGACATGAACATTGGAAACCCCATTCTTTTTGTAATTTCTCTTGTCTCGTCGAGTGCGATTGAAGGGGGCTAAATATTTTAGTAAGTAGATCTCTTCTCTTCTATCATGGCTTCTGACTCACTCATAATAAGCTATTGTGAGCTCCTCACCCTCCATAACATCTCGCACAGCTAATACTTTATGATGAAAATCTCTATGGTCGAAATAGTAGGCGCACGTGGGCCGACAGTCATGGTTGAGTCGCGATACTGCCAGTTTATATATTAGTTGCCGATGACGAGATTATGGACCTACGAAGCCCGACATATGATGCTGTAGTTGTATAAACAAACCTTCAGTGAACAGAGAATAAAACGGGTTGATCCCATCGTGGTAGCCCGTTCGGAATGAATTTGTTTGGAGAATTTTATAAATTTTATCACCAAAGTCACTTGTACTGCTATGCGTCGACAACTTAAGTAGACTTTCCCTGTGGTGAGAAGGGAGATTCTGAACAGCGCGAACAAGGAGTTCCGATACAACTTTCTTTCCTAGAGTATTGATTGCCTTTTCGTTTACCATTATAGCAGGTGTTCGTGCCATTATGAGCTCCCCGGCTCGTATCGCTCTTGTTGCTACTAGTCCGATATCTTTACCCGGTATTTCCACTTCACGGTAGGGGACGACTAGCTTTGATTTTGAATCAATTCCCTGGGGCTCGTCCGTGAGGAAAGCTGGTCGTGTTGAAATGGTCGCAATACTCTTTGAGGTAGTGATCACTGAGACACCTTCACCCCAGTTGAACATTTCGTTGGTGAAGACGCAGAACCTATCACCTCTAGCGCCGCGGCAAAGGCCACCTGATTTCCAGGCCTTTAGTGGCGATGGTAGTTCGCCTAGCGGGTTGTCATTTTCGGTGGGAAAGGCCTCAGAAGATGCACATATCTGAGTGTCAAATATGAATGGTGGGCTGGGTACTGCGCATATCTGCGACTCAAGACGGGGCTGAACAATATTAGCAAAAGTAGCCACGAATTGAAAAAGAAGCAGACATTGGCGCATATTCTTCTGGAACGACATAACTTGGAGGTTTTAAATTATTTTCATGTAAGTGAGAATGAATCATCTAAAACTTTGAGGAATCAAGTTGAATATATCGTTCTTGAGACTTCTTGGCGGAGCCAAGCCTCCGAGTCTAAGGGGATTCCGGGTCGAAAACACTCCACAACGCTACTATGGGCACTGCTATATAGGTCCGGATCGACAGGTAGCCTGTAAGAGATAGAAAGTATCCACCTGTAGAAACCCGGTATTTTTATATACCATGTTGCTACCTTTCGCTTACCGGATAGAAACGTCATGTGTTTAAATTGAAAGAAATGAAAATATTTTGTGCTAATAGTAAATATATCACGAAAGGTTTTATGATTCATGTTGTCACATATGAAGTTAAGATATATCCAGTGCATTCAAAAAGATGCACAGACCACTTTCTATCACCGAGATCATCCCCTATCTTTTGTTGCCCCCTTTAAACCCCTTTACGTTGAAGCCGGCTTTTAAATAGAAAGTCTTCAATTCAGCTGTAGAACACCCGCTATCAGCTACAGAAGCTAGAAAGCCTGCGAACGTACAGAAACGATCAAGACTTGGATATTAGGTTACTGCTTGAATGAATAAAAACACCAACCCTGAGTAAAAGGGGTATATGTGTGTAGTCTCATAACTAACGAGATTGGAAAGTGCTTTGAAAGCAAGAAAAGAGCCATATGATAAGTTCAAGTCGAGTATAAGTACACGCAGTAATTGAGATAATTGACGACAATGCGGGTATAGTGAGTTAGTTTGGTTCGAGTTAATCTTGATCTGCTTACCATACAGAGAATATACGATTTCTTAGACATACCTCTATACCTAGGTAGTTTTAGTTTACATATTCAAAGCCACATGTCTTGCTAGTGTGCTATGATGTTGTATTGCTGCGACCGGGGCCAAATTTACATGGGTTAGGTACATAGGTTAGGTACATAGGTTAGGTACAGATGGCGCTGGTACTCAGTCGAGTCCCATGAGCCAATTGCAGGTTGTGGCTGCGACACACTGCGGGGCTTGACATCCGACTCGTTGAAGTTTATCTATCGGGAAGGAGAAAAGGGCAGGCAATAATAATAACTGAGACACTCAATCGGGTGGGAATTCCGATCATTTCTTGAACTTTACAACGCACACTTTAAAAATATGAATCAGATAGTGACTACGTGCATCGTATGCAACCCTATTTCTCATGCTCGGTCCTCTACCTAGTCCTCTCCCTAGTCAGTGTTCACAGCATGAGCCAAGTACATATTGGACATACCCCCTCGACGGGCGAGCCATTATCCCATTCACATTCTGGTCCCTGGAAGTAAGTATGCTAATAACGACTTATCGCTTTGGTTCACTATGTTTTCCACGGCTTTGGTTATGTTGACGTGTGTAGCGTCGATAGATGCGAAGCCTTTAGCTAAGAGATATGTTAATAGCACAGGTTCCTTGGGTCCTCTCACTTTTAAAAGCGACGGGACGTTCCAGATATCCATCTTCGAAGATTTGCATTTTGGCGAAAGTACGACCTTGTCTAAAATGACCTGATCATGGAATAAAAGCTAAACTATTCGAATTAGACGCCTGGGACCAATGGGGACCCCAACAGGATATCAACTCTGTCAAGGTCATCAATGAAATTCTCGAAGCAGAGTCGCCTGGTCTTGTCGTCTTGAATGGCGACTTGATTACTGGTGAAAACGGATTTCTAGAGAATAGTACAGTTTATGTCGACCAGATCGTCGGTCCTCTCGTAGATCGAGGTCTTACTTGGGCGTCAACGTATGGCAATCACGACTACGACTATAATATATCCGGCAGTACTATTCTCGCCCGCGAAAAGCGGTGGAGTAATAGTCGGACGACACAGATGGTTTTCGGTGAAGAAGCGGGGACGTCAAATTACTATCTCCCAGTTTACGACAGTGATTGCAGCGATGGAGATTGCGCCCCCGAGTTGATACTTTGGTTTTTTGACAGCAGGGGAGGGTTCCGATACCAGCAGAAGGACGGATCCGGCAATCGGGTTGGCCAACCAGACTGGGTTGACTTCAGTGTCGTAAACTGGTTTCTTCAGACGAATAATGAACTTGTTGAGAAGTACAGCAAAACTATCCCTTCGTTGGCGTTTGTCCACATCCCAATTTATGCATCGTATATCCTGCAGAAAGAAGGTATCAATCCGCATGCTGAGCCAGGGATAAACGACGACTATCCGCTGGCTCCCCAGGCCCAGGGATGGTGTGCAGATGGTCGGAACGACGGTACTTGCGACTACGGAGGCCAAGACATCCCGTTCATGCAGGCCATCTCGGCTGTTCCTGGATTAATGGCTGTCTTCTCAGGACATGATCACGGAAATACGTGGTGTTATAAATGGGATAGACTACTTCCTAACATGACAGTTTCGCCTCGCAATGACGTTAATTTATGCTTCAGCCAGCATTCAGGGTACGGTGGTTACGGGAACTGGGAGAGGGGGGCTCGTCAGGTTCTCGCAACGAAGTCAAAACTAGCAAATTTTGAGGTTGATACATGGATCCGTCTTGAGTCTGGAAATGTTGTGGGCAGTATCTCGTTAAACTCTACGTACGGAGAGGATCTGTATCCGGCGACTAATAATTCGAAAACCTACTGCCCTACTTGTGATTACGGCTCGTAGGGGAAGTAGGGAGATGTTTATCGTAATGATAATGTGATAATACGGCTATGGAATAACTATTATAATAACATAATAAATGCATAACTACCTAATATTTTATGAAACATCTATATTATGACATCCGAATTACACCAAGTTACCTAACCTAGTGTAATTCAAACAACGATATAGGGGTGTCTGTACACAACGTCCGTTAATTGGAGCTTGTGTCAGCATCACCTGCATTTGGTATAGCTCATATAGCCAAAATTAAATGGTTGACTATGCTGAGGGGATCGTGCATAGAAATGAAAGTTAACGGCTTTGCTCGGCAAACTATGATTTAACTTGTGTGATTTTATTTATATGACCTTGTGGTCCTTCAACCTTTTTACTTCTCCAATACCACCCATTTTCTTCTTACATTGTGGTCTTGTTGACAGTGCATACCTTCAGAATCTATTATCTAGCACTATCCAACTACTAGACACTCCCATACAATCAGTCACTTACCATGGAGAAGTATGCGACGTACCCAAGCCTGCGGGGAAAGACTGTCTTGATAACTGGAGGGGCAGAAGGCATCGGGGCAGCATCAGTCGAGCTTTTCTGTCGGCAAGGCTCTAATGTCGTCTTTTTGGATTATTCGGATAATTCAGCAAAGAAGCTGCTCGAGAAGGTCAAAGATATTCCCGGTGCTACCCAGCCCACGTTCCTCCACTGCGATGTGACCGACTTGGCTCGCCTCAAGGAATGCGCGGAGAAGGCGCTCGCCGATCACGGCACGGTGGATGTTCTTCTAAACAATGCCGCTCATGCCGGCGCTCAGACGAGAGTTCCGACCACCCAGGTAACGCCCGAGTCGTGGGACCACGATGTCAATGTAAATATCCGCCATCAGTTCTTTCTAACGCAGGCGGTGGTGCCGGCAATGCAGAAGAAGGGATCAGGTAGTATTATCAATATGGGATCGATCACGTGGCGCATCCCAGCCGTCGGGTGTCCTCTCTACACGATGTTCAAAGCAGCAGTCGTTGGTATGACGAGAACGCACGGCAGAGAGTTTGGTCGGTACGGTATCAGGGTGAACAGCGTCGTTCCCGGCGCCATTGCGACGCAGAGGCAGATCGATGAGGTCTTAACGGATGAGTACCGCGCCGAAGTGATGGCCGCGCAAAGTTTGAAGAGAGATCTCATGCCTGACGAGGTAGCGAGACTGATACTCTTTCTTGCTGCAGATGATTCCAGCGCTATCACTGGGAGTAGCTACGTGATTGATGGGGGGTGGGTCAGCGACGTTTAGGGAATTAGTCTCACGAGGAAATGATATACTAGAATCAGAGTGCTTAGGTATATTACTTAAGTTATTTATTTTTCCTTAATTAGTTTAATGTATTCACATATTTCGGGATACATGCCTGGTGGTCAATGTGATAGAAGTTACATTACGCTTCCTGTTTTACCCCAGACGGCCCATTGCATATTCTTCCTCGGTGCATCTTTCACATTGACAAGTGAACCCCCAATTCGACAATACTCTCCGCCTATCATCCAATTTCAGCCTCGAGAGATTGTCATAGGCGACAGTTATCTCTTCACCAGCCGGGATATCACATTCTGTTACCAGCTCTAGTTCATAAGGTCGATCGCCTATATATCTCCAGGTAGTATTTGGTCTGCAGGAATGATTAGAACGGGCGAAAGTACTGTATACCGCGGCTCCGTTATCAGGGGTCCCGCTGGCATTGATCCAAAATATCGAGTAGGCCTTTATAAGTGCCAGTACCGGTTCAGTTCGAGGTACTTCTGGCTCATAAATTCTACTACGTTCCATTAAATCCTTTAGCCACTTATCAAAATGATTATATAGATCCTTATGCTGCTCGTGCTGTTCGGGGTTCCAGGCGTGGTTATCCAGTTGGCCACGTTGTGACACACTAGCTGAGGAGTACGCCTCGCAAAAGACTCTGACCTTTTCTTCGTAGGACCTGGACCGAATCCTCGGTGATCCGTAAATTATTGGTGATTCACGGCTGACGATGGTATTTGCTGGGATATTTGCCTTAGCAAAGAGGCCAAGCCCCTTACCCTCGCTGGCCTTGACCTCCACGCTGTTTAGCATCTCGAACTCCCTTGGGGCCATTTTTAACTTATGATATCGAGTCAGATAACTATCCGTTATTCTTCGTTGCTTTAAGGTTCCAAAATTGTCAAGTGACTAATGATAGGTAACTTACTAGAATACATTACGTAGAGAATTGCTGTAGAACCTCAAGTATATAATGTATCTATTGATAAAAATAACGTATCATCATCGATACTGAACATAGTTGTTGTCAACATATGAAAATAAATCAGAGCAGTTGTAAACGAATGCTATGATTTACATATGAGCAAAAAAAGACCGTGGAATTTCGTTTCGAGTGACGATTCTCTTTGCACAAAGAAATTGTCCTAGATTTGAAAACTTTTGTTCAGGCACGAATATTTATACATATTTACCGCTAACTATTGAGTGAGGATAGTAGAACTACAGGTAGACATAATTATCTCGCTGTTATAAAACATGATTTGATAGTAGGTATAGGTCGGTAATCTCTTTTCCAATTGCCTTACTAGAGTCTAGAGCATGCCAATGGGTCTTGTAACACGGGGATACCTTCCCCCTTTTCATTCCTAATATAAATGTGATAATTATTCCCGTAAGAAGTAAGGTTCACCATACATTGCCTTTTGTCTGCTTCCCTCGTGTTTCTTCCAACTTCACCACATTGATATTCTTCCACACAAGAATGCAGATAATACAGATAGGGATGAATGCTGAGCCAGCAATAACCATTTTCCTCTGCACGTCGCCGAAAGCCTCAATGATTGCTTGGCGGATTGGACTTCCCATTGGATAAGATTTCTGCACGGCAATACTGCCGAAAATATTGGAAACTAGGCCCTTGCTATCCTCTGGTAAGAATTCGTGTAGCTTTTGGGGAAGAACATTGTTCCACAGTGCACCAGCGATAGCGAGGCCAATAGCAGCGCCAATAGATCCGAAAAGGCCAAATATAGCTATGGCTACGGCAATTTCTTGATGCGTAACCGAGGCCATAATCGCAAGCTGTGCTGTAAGAACCCAGGTTCCGCTTGCAACACCGTTAAAGATTTGACACATTACGAGATACCCAACGTAAGTCTCTGGAGTACGGAAGTGGACTAATAGCACAGTACCTAGGACGCAAAAAGGAATTCCAGCGATTGCGGTCCATTTGTAGTCGCCCGTGTGTCGTATGAGACTAGGTTAGTCATATGAAGTTAGAATAAATCTTGCTAACATTGGTCTTTTTATGGGGTTGGGACTTACAGGCCAACAAACGGGCCAATAAAAGACGACGTGAGTGAGAAAGAATTTAGTACGTAGCCCGAGATCGTGATGCTCTCATCGTGTACAACCTGTAGGTATGATCCGTAGTAGCTGTCCCAACAGCTGAGTCCCTATGTCAGCAATGCTGTCAAGAAACCTAAGATGCTGGGCCGATACTTACTAGATAGAGAGGAACATGACACCGTAAAGCATGCAGGCACCGAGAATGGTTCTGTCCTTGAGAAACTTGAAGGGAAAGTACGCAACAGGTGCGAAGAATCTTTCCCATACAACGAAGGCCGCTAACGAGACAGCACCAAGAATAATCATTGCTATGATATATCCAGTCTTCCATCCACGGGGTGCATAACCGACTATGCTAAAAGGTAAGAGAAGTAAAGACCACCCAGCAATAGTTAGAAGCATTCCAATTACTTATTACCTATGTTAGCGTGCAATATATCTTTATTAGATGTAATGTTATATCCTTACCATCAAATTCGATGAAATAATACTTCAGGGATTCCCAAAATGTCCGGGTCTTAACCCTTTCAGGATATACACCTAACTTAACGGCCTTGCGTCTGCTAAGGATGAAGATAATAGCAACTGGAAGACAGAATGCTACTAGAATTATGGAGAATGCGCCGAAAGCCCATCGGAAGTTGACATAAGTGTAAAACAGGTCGGCAATCTTGGGGCCAGCAAACGTAGTAGCGATCGTGGGGGTTGCATTGATACCGTACATGATTATCCGATTCTTGAGAGTCGTAGTATCGGCAAGGATGATATCGACGATATATTGCATACCCAGGTGGCCGACCCAGTAGAGTGTATGAGCAGCGGCATACATTTCAACGTTCACGCACGTCGCTTTCATGATCATACCGATAACGACAAGAATCACCATGACAATGAAACCCTCGCATCGACCCCATATATCGATGACTTTTGCAATGGTCAGTCTACATACTCCGCCAATGATAGTAGCGACTATCCCGGTTGTCGCTAGCAATCCGTGTTTATTGAAGGCGGAGGTGACGAAAGGTACGAGGTTAGATTGGACGGACTGCAATAGCATATCGACGAAGGTCACCATATAGAGCCTGCCCAGTTGTGATATGTGTCAGCATCAATGTATTCCATTGATAGTATTGTAGATTACAAGAGTGAAAACTCACAGGATATACATGACTATCAGCAAGTCCTTCGACCAGACCGTAGTAATGGCCTCGACTCGCTTTACGCCATCTTGCTTATGGCCGGAGCTCGCATCGGACTCGATTCCAGGGACATCTTTGACTTCCTTAATATCGTCGTTGCCCGATATTTTCTTCTCGGTATCCTGTTCCTGGGCAACAGGTAAGGCTTGGGCTTGGGTAGCTGCCATTACCGGAGAAATTGTCGCACAAGTTATAATGCGCCCCCGATATATGCGAATGAGATGTAAGCATGCCAATCGGTACAACAGAGCTGGTGTCGTTAAGAGTTTTATATATTCATCTCTACATTCTGAAGGATCGCTGATCGCTAATACACGCGCCTGTCCAACTAATTACGTGTTTGTTACCCAGGATATCCCCCGTTTTCTTCTCTAGCCTCAAGTAATCAGTCAATGGGTTGTACTGTAGAGTGGTATGTAATTCCTGAAAGGGATAAGATAAACAAAAGATCTTTATAAACAGCTTGTCAAGAATCTTGGCGTCTATTAATGGCCTTGCTAGATCTTGCTTGGAATTAAGCTAGATGTAAACCTGGGCTTGGGGATAGCTGTAGATGGTTATCTGATCCGTCCCGAGTTTTATCAGATCCGCAATGCCAAGTCCGACAGTCGGCATAAAACTAATAGACGCGAAGGAAGAAAATTTCCCCTTATTCTTAGGCTTAGTCCTTGACAGAGATGAGCTTTGAAGGCTTTCACAGAGCTACATGATCAAGAACCCCTATGTATGAGATGTTTGACAATTGATAAGAGTATAAGTATCGGCTTAAGTCGCAGACGCCTCATCTTTTTATGATCTCAGAAAGCAGCCAACCTACCTACCTAATTATGAGGAGTGGCTTTCTCATATCAGGCAATATACTGGCTTTGCTCCGGTACTCCAGCCGTCTCTCACGCCATTTCCGTGTCATGAGTGTTGAGATATAGGCTACCTTAGATAATTTACACACCCACTAGACGTTAGCCAATTCATTATTATCATCGTTATGAGGAGTTATACTAAATTAATCACAATTTAAAGACGACTGTGATGGTATAATTACTATTTACTATATAAGTATTTAACTAAGGTACCTAACCTTTGATATAATATTCCGTATCGCACATCAAGTTCACTGTAACTACGACGGAGATTGATAAGTCAGAACCAGGACCGTTGCCAGACTGGTCAGCCAAGAGTGGCCTGCAGAACTACGTTAGGAGGTGATATCCGCATTTCGCATTCTGCGGGTGCTGAGACCTCACGGATAGACATATTCAAACCAGAAAAAACACAATTCACCACATTGAACTCCAATTTACCAACTGGAAACTCCTCATTAGTGAATGTGTGGTGCGAGGATCTGATTTGGAAGTTTGAATATGAAGATGGCCTTTCTATAGTAGGTACACTATAAAATACAGATCTTATACTGATAAGTAAAGGGAACATCCTCGCTCTTCTTGGATGGGAAGATACATATATTGCCGAGGAAAATATTATTTATTCGACGGATATACGGCTGGTGCTTAAAAATGTATGAGCGCGACTCTTGGCGTTGTTTCGATCTCATCGCTTGGCACCCCTTCCATGATGATGACTAGACTACAAATACAAATCCGTACAGCTGTCAGCCTACCCAGACGCAAGTAGAAAGTTAGATAAGACGATATGGCTCTTTTTATAGGTTTAGGAGAATTACCTATTTAGTATCAAACTTCTTAATAGCGAGGTTTATGATGTCCAAGATACCAAAGCAATGAAAGGGCTAGATCGTGTGGACAGTAGGATCTCCAGCCAATCAAAAGTTTCATATTCGATCCACCTACATAAGAATGCCACGGCTCACAAAGCAGCCCCTGCAGGGAATTGATCAGAGGAATGCCAAGCGAAACCGGAGGGCACTTTGAAACCTAGGCATCTAAAGCTCTCATCAACACCCTTTTTAATATTTTAAGATTAATATGCCTATTTTCTTGAACCTTGAACACGTGCTTTCGCCTCGATTCGGAGCTGATAGCTAGACCGCTACCTTCAATACACAGATTTTGCTTTGGAATCGAATGTCGAGCGCACGAACCTGCTCTTCTCAAATAAAAATAGGACACTATAAAAAATGACTGCTGCTTTTTTCCTGGAGGCGCCAATCAATATATATTTATGATTTATTTCCCGCATTTAGCTTTATAATAAGAGGCATGTGAGGGAGTAAACAATGGGAAACCATAGAGGAAAGCAGAAGAGACTGTATTGAGTCTAGATAAGCTTATATCTTGAGGCCTCACCTATGGGTCCGAATCACTACTTTTATTCGCTTTGAACCCTATGCGTCTATATGTAATCTGTCCTGCACGGGGCCGGAAAACTGGACATCCGAAGTCAACTTCAGATGACAAGGGGCGTTCGGCACGGCGTTTGCCATTTTGACGTACAAGCTGAATACCGCCAAGACGTCCCACTTACCCTTTGTTAGTAAGGCAAATATCAAATTCGCATACTAGATCTTCCCATGGGTAGCCTTCACAACAACAACTATTAGGATCTAAACCAAGGTTCTACCAGATATGTCACTTCATGTAGCCCCTAGCTTAGCATTAGATGACCCTGTGCGGCATCATTCTTGGGTATCTTGTGAATGCAACCGTTGCCTAGGTTAAGGATAGGTAAACTAGGGTATAAGTCTTGGTATTCTACATCTCCTGCCTTCTCCCAGGAAGATCAGGGACCATGCTCTTCCCTTCATTCTCTCTCATCTCAACCTAAACCTCTCTCTTGTGTACTTGCACTTCACTTCTCTTTTCGCGGTCGATCCGTTCCTTTTTCTCTTACGCCCTGCCTATCTTCGATATTCGTTCGTTTCGTTTTAACGGCTGAGCCAGTTTAATTTTATAGTAGTTGAGATTTTTGTACTCTGAGAGTTCTTCTAATCATATTACTCGTTGTTGGATCTACCTAATTAGTTATCGTCACTCTTTCATATCCACAAAGCTATGTATTTCTCTCACGGCTATATACCGGTACTGTTGGCCCTCGTCTCTGTAGTAGTTGCTACGGAAGGGGCAGCTGAGGTTGTTAAGGAGACGATTCACGAGACAGTTCATGTGGTAAGTGACTCGAGAAATTCCTTTCTATACCCCAATAGACTCGCGCCGAATCCAATCCTTCGATTAAGATAAATAGGTACTTACATAGGCTAACACTAAACACTCAGACATTACCACCAGAAACAATTAAGGAGACGATACATATAACTCTACCTCCTGAGACTGTAAAGGAGACTCTAAAGGAGACCGTAAAAGAGACCCTGCATGTAACTTTACCGCCGGAAACAGTGAAGGAGACTATCCATATTACTCTACCTCCACAGACTGTGAAGGAAACTGTCCATATTACCCTACCTCCACAAACAGTGAAGGAAACTGTTCATATTACCCTACCCCCACAAACGGTGAAGGAGACCGTTCATGTTACTCAACCGCCAGAGACGATAAAACAGACGATAAAAGAGACGGTACATGTCACCCTGCCTCCACAGACCGTGAAGGAAACCGTACACATTACTCTACCACCACAAACAGTGAAAGAAACAATACACGTCCCGGTGACAGAAGTTGTTCATGTTACGAAAACCGAGGTCCAAAAGGAATCGATTACACTACCTCCACTGACGGTGAAGGAAACGGTTCATGTCACTATCCCTGTCACGAAGGTAGAAGAGAAGCTCCTCACGAAGACCGAACTGAAGATGGAAACCAAGCACGAAATAAAGACCGAAGTACAAACTGCAATTCAAACTAAACTCGAAACCAAGGTTGAGACCGTCCACATTACGCTTCCTCCTCAGACCGTCAAAGTAACACTGCCTCCTCAGACGGTGAAGGAGACAGTACATATCAGCATTCCTGTCACTAAGGTGGAAACTGTGAAAGAGACCATACACATCAATATTCCAGTGACTACGGTACAGACTGTCAAGGAAACTGTGCATGTGAGCGTTCCCGTAACGCAAATACAAACTGTGAAGGAAACAGTACATGTTACCATCCCCGTCACGAAAATCGAGACGCTGAAGGAGACGTTAAAGGAGACCGTCGCTGTGAGCGTACCCGTCACGAAAGTCGAAACATTAAAGGAGACGTTGAAGGAGACGCTGAAGGAGACCGTCGCTGTAAGCGTACCTGTGACGAAGGTTGAGACGTTGAAAGAAACCATCGCCGTGAGCATACCTGTAACGAAGGTGGAAACTCTCAAGGAAACTCTCAAGGAGAGTATTCCTGTTACTCAAGTGCAGACAGTGAAGGAGACGCTGCAAGTTAGTATTCCGGTAACCAAGGTGGAAACCCAAACTGCCAAGGAGACGGTACACGTAAGCATTCCGGTCACGGTGAAGGAGTCCATAGCCATCGGCGTTCCCGTGACGGTGAAGGAGAGCATTGCTGTTACAGTTCCCATCACCGAAATCAAATCGATCCATGAGACGATAGCTATTACGAAGACCGAAGTATCGCATAAGCTCGAGACAATTGCACTTACAAAGACAGAGGTCTTGAGCCATCTACAGACACAGGTACTCACAGAGACGGTCCATATCTCTCTACCGCCGCAGACGGTTAAGGAGACTATTCACATCACCCAGGCTGTGACAGAAACCGTTCACGTAACCCTTTCGGCATACACCCAGACAGTACACGAGACAGTCCACGTTACTCTGCCACCGCATGTGTTGACGGTGTCTGAAGTGATCCACGTCACTGTTACAGAAATTGCAGAGGCCTGCCGTCAAACGGAGGTATTCATACCAATCATTCACGAAACCATTCCCTCGTTAGTTCATGAGACTATAGCAGTCCCGCCCATGGTCCATATAACATCCGTGGCTCCGCCTATGGTTCACATAACATCCACAGCCATGCACCATATTAACGCCACGTCGGTTGCTCCTCCCATGGTCCATGAGACCATTGCAGTTTCTCAAGCGACGGGCCATGTGGCACCATCCGGCACGGGTGTAGCAGCAGCCCCGCCGCCCGCATCATCTCTATCATTAGGATACATGATGCCCCATGTTGCCCGGCGATGGCAGGCGTGAGCTCCCCGGTTCGTAGCTTAATACACTACAATAGGGGTATGGATATTGATGGGTTCAGCGGAGTGTGATTTTGATATACGGGGTTATTTTTGGGTCTTAGAAGAGTTTGGCAAATGTAGGAATTTCATAATGCTCAAGTGCGGTCTACTTTTCTCTGCGTTTCGGTCTCTTTAGCCTATGCTTGCATGGATTTCACGCAAATAGGACAAAAACAATAAGGTACATTTTGATATTTTAAACTGTATATTTGACTAAAAATACCCCGTATATCTTCGTAAAGACCTCGGGCTGCTGTAAATACTCATAGTCTATCTATTCTCTTGTTAAACCCCTTGAATCCGGATCGATGGCCTTATTATATCAACCACACTGTACCAATCCCCTAAAGAATAGCTAGTAGTAACTAGTCTATCTTAGCTAGGTACGTATGTTCTCACGATTCAGATCGGTAAAATCGGAATAATGATATCGGCGTGAGATGGGGACGAGTACGCGGTTGACCGTCTCTACTACGAGGTTTTCCTGCACAATAGGTAGTAAATTTGGAGGCACCAGGTGATGGTATCACTAAACCGGTTATTACTGAGTGCAATGTGAAAAATGATACTTTTTATATTCAAGTCTTGGACGAAATGCTACAGACCTGGATTTTCTGACCCCTATTCATTGATTAACAGGTACCAACCTAGGTTAAGAGGTAGGTAAAATGGCAAGGTGCTCAAAAGCTCATGTTCTCCTGGCTAGAAATATATGAATGGCACTGCAATAGTTCAATGCGACCGTAGAAACTCAGACCAAAATAGTGTACAAGCAAAGTATAGCACAATAGCTTCCATCACAACAATATCGTAGGGCATTGAGCATCCTAGAATTCGAACCACCTCACTCGAAGAGAGGTCAACTGACCCTACACATATTCAACCTTTCCGTGCATCTTAATTTCCAATCGATCCTTCATAGGCATCTAATGTCCTTTCCCTCGGAGCTCTTTATGCAGGTTGCTTGCCATTGCCGACAGGACATCCACCATTCTTCAAGCAATGGCTACTGATTCGTAGGTCTTTGCAGTGTCCGCATCGTCTTGGAGTTTTGGTGTTGCTCTGGTGAGAGCTTTCGCCGCCATCATCTCCGTTGGCTGCTTGGTTGCCTAGGTCCGCGTAGTACTGTCGAAGGCGACGGCGGTGTAGCTCGTACTGGGCTCGTCCTGTCTTTCCTTCGCGGCGGAACTCTTTGACTTTCTCGACCAGCTCGCAAATAAGAAGGAGGTCCAGTTCCTTCTGCTGTTCGGTTACCAGTTGATAAGGCATCTTGTCGATGAATGGATTCGGTCTTAGATGAGGGTGTAGGTAGAGTTAGCAAAAACGAGGGCTGCGTTTTGGCTTATTCGAGAGTAGAAGTTTATATGATGGAATTTCCTGTGGGCTTTTCTCTCCGAGTACGAGTAATAATATGCGTTCTCCTCAAAAGCTATGCTGATTGCAGATTAATCTTGAGAGTTATGCAATTCCTGTGGAAGAGCTTAGACTCACCAGCGCAGCCTGGTCTTAGGTTAGACAGGTTTCCGTCTAACCCCGGCTGTCAAATTCAACTGCTTCGTCTACTTCCAAGTTCCCCAGTTCTCTGTTGTAATGTGTGCAGATGTATCAGAATAAGTACTCAGTAGTCTTATTGCTTTGGATAAAACTTGCGTAATGAAATAGTTGCTAGGCCACTGGTATTCATAATGGGTACATCGCCATGGCGAACAAGTATTCAGGAGAAGTGAATCACCAGGACGATTTGTGACTAAGCCTCTAACCTCGGACACATAATTGAAGGAACAAACAAAAGTTCATTAATGCATCCACAATCAATCTAGAAGACTATTCTGAAGTAAAGCCGCTCATTTGTACCCTTCTGTCCTTCATCACAACCTTAAACTTCCATAGGAAAGCTAGGGGTAACCATCTAAATTTACAAGTGACAATCGATGTTCAAAGCTGTCTCAGGATACGAAGCGTGATTACAACCTTTGATCATAGAGCCCATTACAACCCTTATTCATAATGGAAGTTAACTAAGAAAAGATCATGAAAAGAAAATGGTTATTGAGCATATGAAAAGAGGGTGAACTTCGAGACGACCAACTATGATATTTTTAACAGTGAAGAAGCTGATTCTTGTCCTAGTTTCGATCAGTCATTATTTACTTTTGAATCGTATCATTCTCTATTACACAGATAGCTTTTACTGGACATATTCGTGGTAGTATAGTTATTTCTAGACCACAATTAGCGGTCATGATCCACTCAGCACAACTATTGCCTTGAAGATCAGGTGGCCATTCTAACCGTTACGTAGCGAATGGTTCAAAAAAGGAGTTAGGATGTCTCTTTTACTAATAGCAAAAAATGTTGTCGTATTTCTATTGATGGACCAGGTAGTATATTATGACAACAGGATAATCTAAAATTCTGTATTCACACTAGATGGCCTTTGGGTGGGAAATTTATTTGCCTGCCAGTGTGAACGGTATGAGTAAACCCAAAGAGAGGAGCTGATGTAACAAGAAGCATTTAACGATGTTACGCCACGCCGTATAGTCGTTCTAAGAGGAACCAGATCCTACGAAGAGGCTCACTTCGAGACCGTACTACCACATATCGAAAGGAAGGTGATACATACGACAACCGTAGCCTAGGCTAGTTATTCTAAGCTGCAAGAAGGCTATGTTTCTTTCCCACTGTAGAGCCGCATCGTGACAGATGCCCATCCTGTACCCCCAATTACCCTAATAGTCGTGGTCTTGCCCTAACACATGTATTGTTGTACATTTTCACATTTTCACGATACATTTTCACTAGCTGATCCCAGTTGATGCGGGAACCACCACCCTCTAGGTACACCCTCTAGGTACACAATTATCTGCTCACTTGGCAAGAACAGAGGGTTACAACTAACAACAATCTAAACCCAGATTCCTCAGGCGTATTCTCTTCTGAAAAATCCTATTACATGCGTAAATGGGGCAGCGAATCTCAAAGCCAGTCACCTCGCACCAGGCCAACTTTCCTCACGAGGAAAAGTCGCAACAACAAAGACTGTATCACCCCATCCACCCCAGTTCCACTAGAAAAGACAAGATGGACCTCTCTATAGCAGAAGTCATCCATAAAGATGACAAAACTCAAGGCAAAGTCACCACCGAAATCGAGAGTGATGAAGAGCCGCAGTACGAGTGGCTTCTGGCTACGCTAGCAAAGAAACAGCCTCCCTCCGAGACGACCACAGCCAACTCGTCGAGCAGTGGATTGTACCAACGCGAGTATGCCATGTACTTGGAGATTTTCAAGGCGAACATCGCGAAGAAGGGTATCAACGTTCTACAAGTAGAGGATGTCTTCCAAACACCCATCTGGCACGACGGCAATATCCTCTTCTTGGACTACAATTCTAGTTCATCCTCCTCCGTACTATCCACCCACGATACTACACACGATACTATACAAGATGCTACACAAGCTGCTACACAAGATAGTCCCGAAGATAGCGAGCTTCATATTTACCAAGGTTTCAATACTGAAAAGTATTTCTTCGAGCTCAACTTTCACTACTACCGCTACAAGGACTGGTTCCGCTGCATGGTGGACTCGTTCTGGGGCCCGCAAGTTGCATCGGTCTTCGAGATAATCCATGCCAATCGTCCCTTCATCCAGGTTGCCTTCAAGAAGGGTTGGAACTCCGCAGATGAGCGAGAGCAATACTACGAAAACGTGATGATGTTCTTGCATATTGTTGCCCGCATGCGCCCATTGGAGGGACTCGGCCCCCTTACGGACATCTTCGGCTTCAGCCTCGTTACCTTCTCAGCCAAGATCATCACTCAGTTCGAGACGGTTGAGCGTCTCGGAATCAACAGACCGGAGGGTGTGGTAAACCAGCCCATGAAGTTCGTTGTCCGCCATCGTTTTGAGGCATGGCGAAGCGTAGTCGTCACCATTAAGGATTAAAAAAGTGAGATCCCTTGCGACTCGGAATGATACTAGTCTGGTCAAATTAGGGGGGAAGGTATTGCTTGGCTGGATAGGGGAAATACTTCGAGAGCGTCGCGAGACGATAGCAAAAAAGGGGCCTAGGTACCATAGCGGAAATGGGGGGTTTCAGAAAACTGTTCTTTATAGGAAACGGTTCCCTATTAAGGAACGTTCCCTTAATTCCCGGCATTTTATTAGCTAAAATCTAAGAATAGTGGGTTTTGGTTTTTAAAATTTTACTACTACCGTTTAATACGTATAAAATTGTTTCCCCTAAAAAAACCGTTTTTTTTTTAGAAATTATTTTTATTAATTTTGATTAGATTTTATTTAAAAAAAAAAAAATTTTTTTAAGTAAAATTTTTATAATAAAATATTATTATTAAAATAAAAGTTATAAAGTTTAAAAATAATTAAATTTTTAAAAATAATTTTAATTTAATAAAATTAGCTACTTTGTTCTATTAATTTAATTATTAAAACTTTAAATTTTTATTAAAAGATTAAATGTTATATAAATATAAAAATTATAGGTTCGAGGATTATACTTTTTAACTTTTTTGACTTTTTTGACTTTTTTAGCCTTTTTAGCGCTTTTTAGACTTACTTTTCAAAGAATGCCTTTAATTTTGAAAACGTTCTCTTTTTAAGAATTATTTTCATATAAGGAACGGGGTAGTTATTAGGGTATGCATGGATTATAGGGAACGCTTTTCAATTATGGAATAGTTCTTTGTATCCACCCTACCCCGCTATGGTATTTATGTGTACTAGCAATGAGCTTGAGTGGCTTCACTCAGATAATTACGTTTGCATTACCCCCAAGAGAGGGATCCAAAAGGAATGAATTATTATTTTCACTAATTCACCCCTTCGTAATAGTTTGCAAAATTGATCTAATAGCAAGACTTTGACCTACCGATCCAAGGACGTTACTAGTAAGCTGAGTAGTAAGCTGAGCTTCGTCTGCTTGATACATTATTCAAAAAGGTAGACTATAAACCTGTATCGGTCTACACACAAGCTTAATTAGACACCAAAACTTCAGCATTTTGATCATATCAAAATGATACTGAATATAGACGCTATACAAGTTTAGTCAGAGTAGGAAGCTTGTCCTTGACGCTACCAATACCGTTACCGACACGGTAAAGACCTATGTTATGCATGCATCTACAGCATCCGGCGGTACCGTGAGTTTCCTAGCATACGTTATAAAATAGGTATTCTATAAGCGACACGTCACAATATCGATAGTGATACAGGAAAACGTACTGTAGAGTGTCCCAACCCTCCCAACCAAGCCTGAAATCTAATTCGCGCATAGTTAAAGCTAGCCCCTCGCCGATGCACCTCCTACTCTTCAGCTCAAAGGGGCGCTACGCGTTCTTGATCAGATGTAGCGGATGACCCTTCAGCAACCAGGAGGCGCTCGGGTAGAAACCCCATAGCCCGCAGCCACACATCGGAACGCAGATGCATGGCGACCAGGCTTGTCCAGATGACGGAGTCGTCGGTGAGATAAGTGGTCCCTTCGCATACGAAGCTGAACCCCGATTTCCTCGGCGGTGTGTCGATCCTAATGGGTAAAGACGAAGAGACCACTTGATAGCTGCCGTCATGTATCTCAGGCTGTTGAGCTTGTGGGTTTCCAGAGAAAGTACCTGCGCCGCGAGCTTCACGTCGGAGCCAAGGACTTTGTCATGCTCTACTCGGACCTGTTTCAGAACATCAGGAGACTTGTTTATCTCGTACGAGACTCAGCATCTAAATGAAGTGATAGGGGAAGGTTTAAACCAATCTATTAAGGCAATACGCGTACAGCGCTTGAGCAGTTGTGTCATGACCAGCGAACATAAAAAGCGTGAGCTGGGATACAACCCGTGTCGATGAATTTTGGACTTGGCTGCCGGTTTTCATTCCTATATTCGTTCTTATATTCTTTAATAACAAGGTCTATCACAGGCTTCTCACTTCTGGCATCTGGCTGCAAGCGCGGCTTTATCTGAGGCAGCAGACTATTTTGGAGTTTAAGGCAACATCTTGGCGGTACGATGGTGTCCACCGCTCAAGCTTAGACCAGATTGTTGGTTCTTTAGCTTGGCTGCATTACAAGTTGGACTACAGTGTGCATTATACTGTGTGCTTTGTGCTTTGACGCTTTGGCGGTTTTTGGTTCCTCGGGCATCGCAAGTCCGTCCGGAAATAGAGCACACGAAAGCATAGAATGCCTTGGTTGGGCCATCTATTAGGTAGGTTGAAAACAGGTATCCAGACTCATAAAATATACGAATGGTTGAGAGGCAAGAGGTCAGAGGTCTAGGTTAAGTAGATGACTGAGGGACAGTTCTTTTGATGAGGGAAATACTTGGGCTAGTCCATTGTGAGTTTTCTATGAACGTATGAATAGGAAGTTTGCAGATGATATGCCTTATGAAAAAATTGGGCTATACATGCAAATTCAACGTTCTATAGAGTACTAAATGCAGAATTATATCTTAGGTACACTCGTAAATTCTCAAACTCCAGTTCCGACATCCCTATTCTCAATGCCGACTCCTGTCGAAAGATAAGGGGTTAGTGTGCCGATTTGTGAGATCCCCTCCATGATTTAAACAGGTACCTACTATAAAAACCTACGGCTATACGCACTGGAGGCATCCTTTCTCCTAGGTGTCTCTGTGAAAAATGTGATATAACGTACGTTTTCCCAAAAGCTATCCCTGAACTCAATCCCACATCAATGCGTATGGTATTTAATGATAGTATGAGAAATTTGTTATGCCATGCTACCTAATTCCACAGATAAATGCAAAACAGCCAAGTTCTTATCTTCGTAAATGTGCAGCTTGGTATATAATGCGACAAAGGAAAATCAAACAATATCTAAAATGCAAATGCATCCAACAGAAATTGGTTGTTATTTCCATTGAAACCAATGTTTTTTACGTGATTTCATAATGGACTTCAAGGCAGGCTTAGGCTTGGCCGCTGGTTTCCCCGATGTAAAAGCAGGACATTGAGGCTGAAGTGGTTCCACATCATATCCTTTCTCAGCAAACAGACTCAGAAGCCTACCCCAAGACAGATCTGACCATGGAGGTGGCTTCCCGCCTCCATTAAGCAGCATGCAAGCCACCTGATAGGAGTCCGGCACACTTCTGGCGTGATTTCCATGGAGATAAATTTGCATTCTCGTAAGGGGGGAGACATTGCAGCAGAGCCTCTCTAGAGGCGTTTTCCCTTCGGAGTCTTTGGCGTTGGGGTCGGCACCGTGGACAAGCAGCGACGGTACGATCTCTGGAGGCGCGAGATGTAACGTCGTGCACGTCAAAGCAGTGCGCCTATCACCCCTTTCCGACAATTCATAGATGGTCAAAGGCATATTTGGATCGTGGCCGGTCTCGAGGAAATGAATGACGATATCGATGGACTGACGCCGACTTCTGTCGTTAGAACGAGACATGGCTAAGAAGGATATTAATCTACTAAACGCCTCCGGATCTTTATACCCGTTATCTAGCAGTAATCGAGAAACCTCTAAACCTTCTGCTATAGTGAGGTGTCTACTCGCGACGTGATCGTTATCTATAAGCGAAAGGCCAAGTGCAAGCGTAAGTAGCGATTTGTGTGTATCTTGATTGCATTTCTGCACAAATTCTGGATCCAGTTGTAATGTCTCCCGAAAGTAAAGACTGAATCCTGCCAACGAGGCAAACTCTATAGGAGTGCTTATCTCGATCCTGTCGGTAGCCTGCGTGAGCTGAGAGTATCTCTTCGCCGGGATACTATCAAGGAATTCCTTTATGCTGCAGCCCGTAGAGTCTTCTGCCATTCTCCCATATATTGCTGCCTGCTTCGTCTTTTCGTGCATAATCGTATAATCGTCACCAATTGGCATGTTATCCAATTCAGTTTCGTCAGAAGAATAACCCTCATAATCCGAACTATCTTCATCCATAGCGTCATAATACGTTTCAGATTCAAGCCGTCTAACTGGTCTGCTTTTGTCACCTTCCGTAATACTTTCGCTAGATTCTTGAAAAGCTTGGTGGTCAAGTAAAAACCACTTCGCCAAGAATGAGTATCCATTCTCGAATGTTACCTTTGCTTCAGTGTCAAGAATGAGAGCATTAAACTTCGGCTGGTTAACGAATTCCTTGACAGTCTGGTGTAAAAGCTCAACCGAAGTCAAGCGTAGTTCCATAAGACCTTGAGAATGTATCTTGATCTGGTATGATGCGTAAGCTTCGCGCCCCTCTGCTTTTAGCCGTAGAAATCGCTCTGATATTAATAGCGCCTCCTTGTAATGCGATGATTGCGAGCACTCAACAGCACCGATGAGATCTGACCCTCTTACGGGATCTAAAGCCTGAGAAGTAATTTTTAGCATGGCGAAAAGTGTCCAGCGAGATGATATTGGCGTCCTTTGAACTATTTCCGCGTAGTATTCATCAAGTTCCGCTGGTAAAGACTGCAGTAGCTGCTCTAATTCTTCCTTACTTGATCCCGAATTGGCAGCTCGGGCAAGATCGGCTGCTACCAATTTAACCCATAAGAAAACGCCTTTTGAACGATCGACAACTTGTGGTACCAGGATTACCATCGGGATACACACATTAGAGGACAGCTCGGAATCCATAACACCTAGGCAGTAGCGGCGTATATCCTGCTTAGTAAAGTCCTGCATTGTGAGGCCGGGGTAATCTTTGAAGCATGTAGTAAATGTAGCCCATGGTCGACTTGAAAAACATACTTTAACTCGAGTTAAGGATGCTGTTTCTCGTTTTACGAGGCTCTCGATAAACCTAGCGATAAACTCGGGTCGTCCTTGGTATTCATCTAATGCATCCAGAAATAGGAATATGTCTAAATTGAATAGTTGTTGGTTTAAGATTAAAGTAAAGGCCTCCTCTAATGTTGCAGAGGTCCAACCTTCGGTGGGAAGCTCTGCTGAAGACAGGTCTTTTAAGAGCGGAAGGAGGATATGGCTGACCTTGGGCTTTTGTTCCAGAACTTGGCTAAGGACACCTCGCAAGAGCCCATCAAAAGACTTCTGTATTAGTGATCCACGGTAGTGAAAGAAAAATCCCGCATAAACCTCGTCGTATGAGTTGCGGATATCGTGAAGAAGTTCGCGAGTCCTACTGTCTTCAAAAATATATTTCATTACAGTGGACTTCCCTAAATTATAACCGATTAGTAACTGTGATGAATTTAATAACGCCAGTGGTAATAGAACAATGAATAATGGGTAGCAAGGCTATCATTGCCGTAAGGTGGATATTGCTTTCTTTCCTTACCTGAACCAGGACTGCCATTGATCCAAAATGCCCCTTTTCCATGCTGTAACCAGTCGACAAATTTACATCCTGGGTGATTAAATATCCAATCAAACGTGTTTCGGAAGTTTGATGCGATACCCTCCAGTCGCCGATCCCTCTCAGGTGCTCGGAGGGATTTGAGCAATTCTAGTATGGAGTTAGAAAAACACGCAGTGACTTCAACATTCTCTACTTACTCTTAAGAGTCCTCTTTTGGTCTTGCTCGTTTAAGAGACATTCTTTAGCTTTAGACTTTTCGGATGTCATGAAGGAGTCACGGCCCTGCACTCGAGACCTAATCAATTCAGGGGCTGCATTCTTTGAATGATTCCCATCCACATCCATTAAGATAGTACCGGCAGGTTCAATGTTACAAATTCGAGCAAGCCTCCCTACAACAACGCTATAGTCTTCGTGACCTGGACGAAACTTGACTATGTTTGAATGGTTTTCATTGAGAGGAAATGTTAAGCTTTCATCAGACTCGAGCAAACCTCTGGTAGCCGATTGGGGGGTTACAAGAACAACGTGAGGGCCGTCTGATAGCTGCCCACTGTCGTTTACCTATTCGGTGTAAGTACTATACTTTGAGAGCACTTGATATGGTTGACTCACGACCAACGTTGGGGATGTGCAAGTTTCATACCCCCAAAAGGCGTCTATCTTTCTCAAATATGAGATGCCGTTAAATTCCGATTCTAGGCGTCTTAGCCAAGGCGAATCTGGAGATAAGTCTTCTACGAGAGGTTCATTGGGGTTTCCACTAGCAATCGATCGAAATGACGACTGATCCATCCCAAAATTTGGTACTCCGAAAAAGACCGCTCCGGCGATCCGAATAGCGTCTTCGTCATAGCCACTATTTGCCAAGGCTACAATAGCGCGCTTCAGTACAAGCCCACCTAGGCTATGGGCAAGGAATACTATAGGCTTTGCGCTCAAAGCGGTCCATCCATTTGATACCAGTTGGTTGATCAACTGAGAAGCCAGATCAGTAATCGTCTGAAATGATCTGCTCCCAGGTAGAATTGTCTCGTAACCGTAGATGATCGGCCTAAGCTGGGGAAGATCAAGGGGCAATTCATCTCTAATCCACATAAATGTCTTGTCACTCTTCTTAGGTTGCCATGAACCAAAAGGATGGCTTGAAAGCCCCGAAAGGGAAATGCAACTATTCGAGTCATTAATGGCAATCAAGATCTAGACGAGATGGACTCACTCATAACTATGCTCTGGAGTGGGATCACGGAGTGGAGTAAGTCCACGAAAATGGGTATCTAGTATTAAAGGTGCTTGGAGCCCATTCACCCTGATCTGCCATTCATCTCTCCCCTGGTCTTGTTGGAGCAAGGCAGGAAGCGGGTTAAACATAAGCGTAGCTGTCTTGGTTGGACGCCAGGGGCTTAAACTTATTGCTAGAGAGAATATCCGGATGTTGTCGACTGGTATACTACCAAGACCAATGCTGAGATAGACAAGTGCTTGAGATTCGTTGGCATCGCTGGGGAGTTGCCGCAATCTGAACACTTTGGGCTTCCGTGCGGAATCCATGGCGTTGATTCGTTGGTTAAGTATCGACAAGATTTATTGAACCCCTCAATGCTCTTACACCTGAAAATAGTGTACCATGCACCATGGTTCCAATAGACGACTTGTTGGCCTAGATACCTGCCTAAGGTAGGTAGTTTAAGTTGGATTGATGTCCTTGATTGATGCCAGGCAAATGGAGTAATCTGACGAGGTCACATGACCTTGAAGCTGACGAACTAATTGCATTGCGATATCGTTTTACGCGCTTAGCTTATTTTTAAATACCTACCTAGGTTATAGTATGATAATCGAGGCTTTATTGGGGAAGGCTTAGAAGAAGTCTTGAAGCACAGCTGAAGGCCGCAGCTGAAGAGTTACACCTCCAAATGTGAGATTACATAATACATAGGTACATAGGTACCTATTTTAAGAAAATATATGTACCTCTTTGTATTCCGTATTTCTCCTGCTAGATAAATAACCCCACTACTAGCCTAGCTTGACATCTAGATTAGGAAAATGCCGCGGCTATGGCCCCACCGGCGTCATCTTCCGACAAACAATAAACGAATACAATTCCCTTTCACAAGCCCAGAATAAAAAGAAATAATAAGCATCAAAGCTTCTAAAAAAGTAGAGAAACCTCACCCTCCCTTGAGAAAGTGCATATTAAATTATATCCAAGCATGACGTCGAACGAGCTATTTAAAATTCCCATCCCGGCAATCAAATCGCATCCGGGAGGCAACATCGTCTGTACATCTCCAAAGCCTCAAGTCTATGTTCTCACATGGACCTCCCCTCCAGACAACAGGTTTACACCCGCCTTCAATACGGCGCTGATGACGGCGCTCGATACTATTGAATTCAGCCATCCACCAGGTGTTGTTATAACCACTTCATCCATTTCTAAGTTCTACTCCAATGGCCTCGATTTCAAGCTTGCTATATCGTTACCGGGATTCTGGGAGAACAGCCTGTATCCATTATTTCGAAGATTCTTAACTTTTCCCATGCCCACGGTCGCCTTGATCAATGGCCACGCCTTCGCCGGCGGGTTCATGCTAGCTATGCATCACGACTACCGAGTCTTCACAGGCGCAAAGGGCTACCTGTGCATCAACGAACTCGAGTTCGGCGCACCGTTACTACCACCCATGAGTTCCATTTTCAGGATGAAAACTACTCCTAATGTGTATCGCAACATGGTTCTTGAAGCGCGACGCTTTGATGCCAAGGCTGCCCTAGAAGCCGGCTTGGTGGATGCCATTGGCGAGATGGACGCAGCTCTGAGCTTAATTCAGGAACGATCGCTAATCAAGAAAGGATCCACCGGCGTCTACGGGCTGCTGAAGGCTGAGATGTATCGCGAGAGCGTGGCACTGTTAAGCGCCACGGGCAAAGAGGCGGCCAAAACTATGGACATACAAGAAGCTGAGAAGAAAAGAAAAGAAGACGGCGCAAAACAATTCAAGGAAGCACAAGGTAATAAGGCAAAATTATAAAGTCCCGATAACTTTACTTGTGTTTTTTCAATTTCTTAGGTTGGGTAGTTTAGCACTTTGAGTATGTACTATAGCATAAATGCGGCGTCGCATTTGAGGTTGTCGTTCACATGTTAAGGAGGTTCCTCGACATATGCATATATTAGGTACCTCCTATTTATTTAGGCGATAGACGACTGCCGTCACTAGTACGTGGGGAATTCGAGGTCCTTCAACTTATACGTGTATCTTTAAACAAACTTTATGTATTTTATTTATTATTTATATCCTATTAAATAATCCATTGATGTTGTTAGTAATAAGTTTCTCCTAAACTAGTAGCCTTTAGACTACCCCTTCTTTTTTTTTTGGTAGGAGACGAGTTATGACTTTAACCCCTGAACTCGAAACCACTCTGCAGCATCCACTCTTTCGGTACAAATATCGCATCCTTATTGGGACCTATCTTGCTACTACAAATTTTTTCTTATACCGTGTTTACCGTCAATCATTCTCATGGGTAATCAGGTCTGGGCAGTACGAGACTATCTTCAAGGGTACAGCGCTGGCCGCCGTCATAGGAGGGGTAGTTATGAGTAGTGCTGGGAGGGCAAAGTATCGGCAGTATAAGGAAGAGAGCCTGTCGCTCAAATATTCAAATGTTCAAATGTTCGGGAACCTCCAGTTTATAGACATATGATGTACATATAAAGATTCTACCTCTCAAATACTCTTATATCCCCAGATGTTCAGTAGACCGGGCGAGAATTCTTCTATAGAAATTGTCCTCTAGTAATATTTCTTTCGTCGTAGTCGTGTTATTTTCCAAAGAACTTATAGTCGCCCTTTTTACGATATGGGCCTTCACTCTTGCGGGTAAGTGCAAAGAGATTAGCCTATGCGCTTCCCATTCTAATCCTCCTACTCCCTGAAAACTTCGAAGCGGATCTAAAACGCGACAACCCTTGTTGATAGCATCATCGAAAGTCGCAGCAGCAGCTCTAAGGAGTGATGTTGTGGGAGAGGCATCAGGCCTGCGATTCGTAGTGTCCGCTTTCTGGCGTTCGTCTTTCTGACTAACTTCATGCGATTGTACATCATGTACAACCGCTTCATTCCGTACGGGTTGTTTGCCACGTTTGATAGTTTCCCTATGTGTTGAAATTGCCGTTGAGGGTTGATGATGGTAGTGGTAAATGGTAGTCCTATCCAAAATCGATTGCTGTAAACTAATAATTTTCGCAAATTCAGTGGTCTCTCTCTGAGATATATTATATGCTGCGTTGATAAACTTCTCTGCTTTAACTAGATTTCCCGTTTCGTAATGTGAGACTGCCAGACAATAATACAATCGTAAAATACCGCCAGAGAAACTATCATGGGTTGCAGATATAAAGGGATAGTAACCGAGAGCACAGGAGAGAAACACCCGGGCTTCCTCGTACCGTGAATTGCAAAAATATATATACCCAAAGTTGCATGCTATATTTGCGTATTCGGCCACAAAAATTCCATGGGGGGGTTCAATGGTGAAGGAATCAATGGAGTCTCTGATTAAGAAATCGATACGGTCGATCCAAGACAGGCATATTCTTGAAATATACGAATCCGAAGTCGTCCCACCCATTGGCCTGCATGGATATTAGTTTCATGATATCGGGAGTAGAAAATTTGACAACTAAAACAAACCAGTCAAGGCTCCCTTCCCCACGACAAAGAACATTACCCAATCCTAGGGCAACAAATATAATCCATCGGGGCTCGCATTCAGACGGCGATTTTGTAATCCACTGGCAGACAGCTTGGTGCAATAGTACTGACTCTAGGTACTCTCTAGAGGCGGGCTTAATTTTGACCAGGCAAAGATCCTCAAGAAGAGTCATGTGAAGACGAAAGGTGGTAATTGACTTGGAAGAGTTTTGTATAGACCGAAGCTCTATGTTAGCAGTAGTGATTTCGGAGTCGAATTGGAATACGTTTAAAAATATAGATATGGGGACTTGTGTAGGTCCTATGACAGCCAAAAGTCGAAGTATTGTTGCAGCGATAGGTGATTCCGTCTTGACGTTAGAGTAAAGTATACTAAGAATGGTATACATAGAGCGTGCTTTATCATGTTGGACTTCTCCGGCTCTGGGAAGATGGCCCATAAGTTCCTTGTACTGTGTGTGATACTCTTTGATGAAGTTTTCTAGACCGACAACCCTTCTTCGCAGTAGAATTCCTGCCTGCTCAATAGCTAGTGGTAGACCTCCTAACTCTCTAACTATTGCTATGGCATCACTGGATCCGTGCAACGGGACTGGTATCCGAGCTCTATCCAAAAGCAACTTTGTTCCATCAGCGTCACCCAGCTTGTCAAGTTCGAGACCTTCGAATCCATATGGCTCGAGGATATCCCATGCGTCTCTTCGCGTACTTGTTACAATAATTGCGCCGTAATTACAATCGGGGAGTAGTTGGGTTAGGTTGAGGTTGTTGGGATCGTCGGCACTATCAATAACTAGAAGCCATTTCCGCTTTAGAGTCGATCTTAGTCTAGTCAACACGAAGTCTCTCTTATTCTCCCCTAAGTACGGATTCGACCTATCTTTATGCGTCCACGAGTTGGAAATCATATCGAAGGCATCGGTAAACGATTGTGTAAGCTGCTCAGATGTAGATGCGTTGATCCAGATCACAGCACTATACAGCTGTTTCTTATCTTTGATGTATTTGAGAATAAGTTGTGTCTTTCCTGAGCCTCCGATGCCGAAGATAACGGCCCCATTCCTTCCTGGTATAGTGGGATCGAGTACATCAAATAGCGCTTCAAGTTCTGTATTTCTACCATAGAACGTCGGTGTAGAGATAGGAAGTTCAGATATTATAGGAAGCTCTGGTTCTGAGCCTGTGAACGAATAGTCAATTACCCTACCATAGCACATCATTATGCAACATAAGTACTAACGCGTAATTAGTACCGCTTGAGCCAATTCAGTTATAGCAAGGCTAATCGGGGTGAACCGTTCGTTTTCATAGTCGCCGAACTTGCAAATGGTCCGATGATTAGATCCAGGCATAGGGAATACCCGCTCGTTAGGCACGTTGTTTCGTACTGATGCCTCATCAACAACCTATTAAAGTTAGTAACTAAAATAGAACGATCGAAGGCAACATCTCACGACACTTCTTCCCATCTTCTCCGTCTCATATGCACTCCTAAATACCATGTTCTTTCCCCTTTGGACGAAATCTCTTGAAATTTTCATCCAGTCTTTCGAATTCCTTTCCAAAGCGCTTGGTATTCCCGAGTTTCCAGCCATGCCTAAAGACAGAGCGCTGGCTATACGGGAACCTAAGACGGCCCAAGAGGCAGCATCAGCACCATGGAATGGAACTGCCAGGAATAAGCAACCGGCTGTCTTCCTAAGAATATCTTGATAATATTCATTATCCGTATGTGCTATGTTGATAGCCTGTAAGACGCGATTAGATTTACGTTGTAAACACATTAATACGCCCCACCAGCCTTGTGAGACAGTTGTTCATAAATTCTAACAAAACCTTTACAGTACTATGATGTACACTTACCAGTTTCACTATAAGTCCACCTAAGCTATGCGCAATAAATATTATAGGGGCCTGCATTTCATCTTCCGTCTGTCTTGTTATACGTATTCTAGTGAGTAGGTCTTGTGCGCGAGAGTCAAGGTCGGACGTGGAAGACGTAAATACAAAAGAGGCGTCATAGCCGAAAGCTCGTATACGGGGCCGCACATTAATACGGGCTAGGACCTCCGGTAGACGGTCACGTAACCATATAGCAGGGTCTTCACCATTGCCAGAACTCCATGTCGACCGCCAACTACCCCCAAGGCCGTGGACGGCAATGATACTACCAGCTGATTAGTACTTCAGGTTCATATTAATACAGCTTCTAATAACGAACTCAACGAGTTTGGCATCCGGAGAGAACGAAGTGAATCTAGGTTGCCCTGACCGAGGAGGGAACTCAAAGAGACCATAGGACTCCATATCGCGCAGGTCATTTTGTATAACCGAAGCGGGCTCACTAGATTCCAGAGGTCCTACTACCACATTAATTAGGATATATATATAACTTTGCCATCAAATAGTCAGGAGACATTTTACCTGTGCTTGGGCTTCCTACGCTTTCTCGAGGTTCGACTCTCTTCCTGAGTCTATTAAAAAATGTGCGCACCCTCCTCCCCTGTTCCGACATTCTAGTAAAGACGTACCGCTACCAAAAGTCATTGGGACTCTAGGCCGAGGGTCTTGAATTGACTGACTAGTATGAAGGATTGGAGAAGTGGGGTGGGAAAGAGTCATCTACATTAGGTATTCAAGCTTTTTTTGCCCGGCAATCATGTCGGTCTTCACTGATAGGTGGCCTTGCGAATTAAGGATGAGAGAAATTTGATTGGATGTTGAAGGATACCTTCATCTATCCCCAATCTACTCAAAGTACCATGTTTAATATTAAGCCTTGTCATATTATTCATTGTCTCATTGAAGTGAAGCGTCGGATATACTTTTCTTACCTAGAACATGAGGTTACTTTATATACTTTCAAAATGAAGACTATCGCATGATCATTAAAAGAATAATTAGGGATTTGGAAGTACTTTCATCCGTAGCATTTGGAGTTGATATGAAATTGGCTCAACTGCCTTGGGTTAGGTAGGTAGCTATCCTATAACGTGGCAACGAAGTTGAGACTATAGCCTGACCAGAGGGAGAAGCTATAGATAGGTAGGTACCTAGTGTTTCTACTAGTTGTACGACACTTGATATTATAGTTGGTATTAATACAAATTCATATAGATTAGGTGTTGGATTGACTATGTATTACGTAATAATATGAAAGGGAATGCAAATAACGATTGTGTTCTGATTGGTTGTATTAAGGTAAGAGAGGAGGGGTTCCCCCGAATGGGGAAAGATATCTATTGTACAGATGCGTAGGCTGTGCGTGGGCGGTGTGTGTGGGCATAACCCTGGTCATGTGACGAGATCACATGACCGTTATCCCAACATTAGGTACCTATGTTAATATTACCTTAGGTAAATAGGTAGGTATAATATATGTATCTTTTGGTGGCAAAAAAAGAATTTTAAAAAATCGTTAGGCCGCTTCGTATGTTGCCTACGTGTTGTACTACATATTTTATTTCTATGCATGAAACAAACACATGTACCGTGACCTGGTAAGCCCGACTTAAGGTGATAACTGGCTGTTTTCTTATTATTGGCCAATGACCATGCTGCCCAAGTTATCTTACCACCATTAACGATTGTAATATTCCTTGATGAATAGGCCGAAGATGTTCCTGAAAGGACGTCATAGAATCCTCAAAGGAACACATTATCTACCACGTAAGGTAAAGTAAATAGACTAGGCACTACGTCAAGTGTTAATTGGAATATAAATGTACCTAATTAACTGTGGACTACGAAATACTGTAGAAGCTTTAGCAACAGACGCCACGCGCTTCAAATATTGAAAGCCCACAGGCTACAGGCTGATCGTGCTGAAGATGGCTGATGTAAACAGCCACATGATGTTACAATATTGTATCTTGTGCAGAGGTAGAGAGATCTTAGTGGGGGCATCGGATATGTAGATGCTATGGAATATGCTGATTGGCAGGATTGACCGGAGCGGCTTCGGGAACTCTATCACTACCTAGGTACCTAGGTACCTACCTAAACCTTAGGTACCTAATCATCATTAGCTGTAAGCTCCAAGTTCTAAGTTCCAAGTTCAAAGCCGGACTAGCAACCCCACTAATCCCACCTTAAACCAACTCTATGCCGCCTAAACAAGCTCAAAGCAAGCCAAGTACGAGGGACCCACCGAAAAAGCAATCGAAGCTGCCAAGAAAGCCTAGCCGTGTAATACATACTGCTACTGTACCGAAGTACATAAGTACCTAGGTACCTAACCTACTTAAAAGTAATAGCATTGTTTATTGTCTCAGCCCCTCGCTCCATAACTAAACGCTTTGGTTGCTATGGCACTTTTTGAACCAAACGAAACACAACTTTCTCATCTTTCCCTCACTTCACATCCTGGTTTTCCAGCGCACACAGTACCTTACTCTCATAACTTAGTCTCATTGTGCAATACATTATTCGCGATTCTCATACTACATGTAGACATTGCATTGTCACAGACAGACACCTGGCGTGCTCTATTATGTTACGGCGTAAACGGAAATGCCACTTCAGATTTGTGCAGTTTGTTGTCGCATTATAATCTATCATACCTTATAACCTTTCTTCTTTCTTTTTTCTTCTTTCTTCTTACTAGATTCGACTCTTGCATGCAAGCTGCTTACGTCGTATGGTATCTCAACGTCAGCATGAAGCCCGGGCCAGGCCCTGATCAATTTAGGTGAGAATTCATTTAATTGAATACTTTTAGGAGTTCAATGAGGTGCAAATGCGGTGTGCGGTGTGCGGTGTGATGTGTATTGCGTGGTGGACATTGCTTTGCTGTGTGCTGTACTGTGCTTTAGCATGCAGCCAGCTTCTTGAGCATTGGCCTGTTAGCACGACCGTCAGCCCACACACTCTAGGCGTCTCGTGGCTCATATGTATTCTCATGATACCAGGGTTTATCGAGTATATAAAGTACTGTAATGGTATTGAGACTGACAATATTTTGTCTGGCAGATCATGACTGCCGTCAAATCTAGCGATGAAGATGATCCGGCGGATCCTCACCCTCCCCAAACTCCTCAACCCGGTTCTGATGCTAGCAAATCTACCCCCGATATCCCTTCAGGAACAACATCGACACCTAAAGCCTCATCACCTGTCAAAGATGCCACAACTCCCAAGGCTAAACCGGCCTCTGGCCGTCCACGGTCTGTTACAACGAAACCGGCCCCTACGCTCCTCGGTGATTTCTTACTGGGCCGACCATCTCCAGCTCGAGTCGCAGCAGATAGACAAGCAGCAAAGGAAGCAGCACATGCGAGGCGGAAGAGTTTGGAGCTAGTAAAGCAAGAGATGCGTCAAGCGACTATAATGCGAATCCAGGTTCCCGGAGGTGTGCATGAACGCGTTAAGAAATGGCAAAAGGCAAATGCTGCAGCAATGGCCGATGCCGATCCCTTAGCTGCTCCGACAGAACCAAGCGAGGTGAATATCCAAGTAGAGGAAGAAAGTGTGACCGAGGAAGACCGGGTGAGGATCAAGTCAGGACAGAAGAAGGCGACAGCGAAAGGAGTCATCACTCATAAAACAGATGGCAATGAACCCAGGAAAAGTAACATAGAGGAATTAAAGCTTTCAAATGCGCCTAAGAAACGAGTTGTTAGCGATACCAATTGGGTGAAGGATAAGCAGAAGGCAGCGTCAAGGAGCCAGTCACCAAAGACAAAACCGAACGAGACCATTGGGTTACCAATACCGAAGGACTTCTTGAAACGCCCGGCCTCTAATCCCTCTGTATCCAAAAAAGTTAAAGATTGGGCTAGTAAGGTTGAGATTCCGGACGAACCGTTTGTCAACCACCATAGAGCACCAAGGTCGGTGAAATCAACTGGCAGTGGGGATGGGATCCGAGTTAAACCCATTCGATACGAGAGCGACAATGTGAGCGGGAGATCAGAGCCTACTCGCGTCACGGCCAAGACTGGTAGCTCGCGGAATTCGAAAGAGCCAGAAGGAGATGGCATTCGGGTTAAACCCATCCCAAGCGAAAAGGACACAACAAGTGGGATATCAGGATCTTATCTATCAGGATCTTATTTATCGGGATCCTATGTATCGGGGTCCTATCTCACGGGTTCCCATCTTACGGGCTCTCATCTTACCGCGGAATCTTCGAAGTCCGGGAAGTCTGGTAGCTATGAGGGCGATGGTATTCGCGTCAGGCCCGTCGCAAGTGAAAGTGACGCTACAAGCGGGTTATCTAGTTCTATTTCAATAGATACACCTACACCACGAAAGCCACAGGGACGAGAAAACCGTAACGTCCGGAGCAGGTCAACAAAGAAGCAAGCATACCAAGCCATGCGCTCGAAAGCCAACATACGACCAGCCCCCTCCGACTTACAAGGATCAGACGATGCTACTACAGTTCGAGCTTCTTCAAGGCACTCTTCAAAAGGACCAAGTACCCGTGGAGCGAGTTCTCATAGGGACCCGTCACCATCAGAACACGAAGAAGCGGCGGAAAATCCTGTGTCTGAAAAACGTCGAACGTCTCCACGAAGAAGCTCGAAAATGTCTCCCAAGAAGCAGCAAAAACACGCCCAAACCCCTATCAAGAAGGACCATGCAGACGCAGAAACTATAGCGACAGAAGAGGTATCCGATAGTGAGTCTTGGTCAAGCGACTCAGTATCAGACATGCCATTTAGTACGCTAGCACAATCATTAGCAGAAATTCCTGTTGGATATTCTGCATTTAGCGAGCTTGACTTAGCTACAGGCTCCAGACGACGAAAAACGAGGCCAAAAACCAAGAGGCAATCTAGTTTCAAGGGCGCCACTAACGTCCTGAAAAAAGCATTGACCGAGGGCAAGAAGATTCTCGCGGAGAAGGTTGACCCTCCAAAACCTGTTGTCAACCGCCCTCCAAACATTGAGACTTGGCTAAAGGACACTGTTGACCCTTTCATCGATTCTTCAATATCCAAACCCGAGCAAAACAAGAAAGCAGACGAAGATTTACCAGATGAAAGCACGGAACGACAATCCCCATCCTCAAAGCATAAATCTGTCGAGGTCAACAGTTTATCCGACGTTAGCATGAGTGAAGAATCGACAGAGCCAAAAGAGATTACAAAGCCAGACCACCATGAGCCTAGCAGAAGCGAAACTACAACTCCTGTTTCAGCCGGACTGAAAAGAAGTAGAGCTACTAGGCTCTCTTCAACCCCCTCGAAAAGTAGTATGAAGAAAGGTTTCAAGGAGAAGCTTATGGACGCATTTCGCGGTGAATCTACAGGCCATAGTCCCCCGCCTTTAGAATATCCAAGTTGTCCCGAAGTGGTGGACCTCGACAGAGAACGTGAAGATGAGCACCACGAAAGGCGGCGTTCTTCCGGTACAAAAAGAAGTCCATCCCCAGAAGATTGTAGTTCATCGGTGTCTTCCGAAGCAACTCACCCAGAGCCGCTGGCTTATAACAAACGCAAACCACCAACTAATGGCTTTCATGAACTATCGACGATTATATCCGAGATGGAATCACAATATGGACTTCAATCAGATCTCTCGTCCGAAATATCGCAAACTACTATAACTAAGAATCCTAGTTTGACAAGAAGTACGGCAGTGTCCCGTAGGAGAAGCCATAAATCTGGCCTTAAGAGACGACTTACAAAGCACTCAGATTTAGTGTCGGCCTTGTCTCTGCCAGACGACAATTCGGTACCCAACAGAAGGATCAGCCGTCGCTCCGCACGCAGTATAAGAAGACCGTCTAGTCACCTTGGCGACGCTACTTTGGACGAACTTCTGCTTGAATTTGAAGACGATGAGGACCTTTACCAGCGAGAGTTGAAAACTCTTGTAGATGGAGTAATTCCAGTCCTTCTAACACAATTTGTAAATAATACGAGCAGTGCACGCAAAGATTTGTTTGGATCCCCTCCTACTAAATACAAGGAGGATACATTAGATAAAGCTGTCATTAATATGGGTATTGCCCTTGACAACCTCAGAAATCTGCACTGCCAGTGCCCCCCACTTTCTGACATTTATAGGCTTCCACAGTGGTTTGAGGCAGTTCATCCTGTCTACAACAATTACCTTGACGTATGGCGCCTTGGCTTCCAAGGCATCATCGTCAACTTGGCGCCTCGGTCGCCCGATGATGCCGACTCTCTTATCAATGCGATGCCTCGAAACGAGCAAGGAGATATTCTCAATGAGGATGGGGACCGCATAGATGTGGCTCATCTACTAAAACGCCCTCTAGTTCGTGTCAAATGGATTACTAAATTCATCAAGGTATGTTTATTGATCGTTCCTAGAGCGCTGAAGCTAAAGTGAATTAGGGCTATCGAGCAATTGCTGGTACAAGAGAATTCGAATCCCTCGTTTCCAAGTGGGAAACGCTGCAGGAAAAGGCGAGGCGACGACACAAAGAAGAAAACGCAAGAGTTATCGATGATGATGCCAGAAACAGCGACACATCCCGGACCCGAGATCTTAAAACACTAGAAGCTCTCGACAATGTCAAAATCGATCGCTTTCGTCAGGTTTTCGCTAAAGATACCTTCACCTTGGACTTGCGACACTCGAATGGACAACGACTCGGGTGCCAAGTCGAGCTCATAATTCGAGACAATCAGACATTCAAATCAGATCCGGGTGACCTCTTAATCAGAGAGACTGGCAGTGCAGGACGTTCATGGCTTCTATTTGCCCCCATTGTCGGTGGCCGTTTTTCTGCTCGAAGGGGAGATGATATGTGCGAATTAGTGGTTATGATCAGGGGTTACAGGGAAGAATGGTTTGAACTGCTATCGTTGACGGCAGACAGCCAAGAACAAGTGCTGGAATGGTTGGATATGCTAGGATCTACCCCCATCCCCCCTCCAATTGAAGGACCAATGCCTTCAACGGCACAATCACTAGCTCCGGCACCAAGATTAGCCGCCGGCGAGACCCCCATGGGCGAGAGAATGTTACGTCAGACCTCTAGAGTCTCTTCAGCGTCAACTGGATCTAAGAATTATCCCGGAACTGAACCAACAACCCCCGAGCGTACTCGCAAGGAAACTGGTAGTCCCCATATTACACCGACTTCTCCTAGAACTGAGGGTTCAGCTTCTTCTCCCGAAGGAACTCCAACCCAGGATTCCTTTTCAAGGTCCAAACATGCGAACGAAGCCCATTCAAGCTCGTTCGATAATCACGACATTCTACCGTCGAAAAGATCTTCAGCAAATAACAATCCCTATCGTGAAGATGGTGCGCCTCCTCCCCCAGTCCATCGGACATTCAGCTCCAAAAAGGCACCGGTACTTTCACCTCCAGCTGAACAATCTGCATCACGCCTCAAGCGCCGCACTTCTTCACCCCTCAAGCATGAATACCACCCATCAGATATATCTTCCGAAGGCTCCACATCACCAATGTCTGTATCAGAAGATGGCACCATCTCCGAGGAGTCATCCGATGATGAGCTTGAGGCGGTTGACATGCCGGATACCACACCCGCTATTAGTATCCGGAAAAACAACAACGTTCCCACGGATTCTATAGTCTCAGAAAGTACTGTCAGCCTTGCCCCTCCTATCTCACTCTCACAAACCGGGTTGCCCAAATCAGTAAACAAGCAGCCGGAATACGCCGTCAAGTCCATCGCTTCTATTTCTTATTGGGATAATAAGCATGGACGCTGGCAAGATCTTTGGCCTGATCTCTGCTCTATTGTCACGACTCCAGGTCTTATTGAGGCATACCCTTATCAAAGAGCACATCAATCTTCCAGTAGCCCGGCGCAGGAGCGACCCCTGATTGCTCTAGACCTCACACCTCTGGTCATGCTACGAAACAGCACAGTTGTCGACTTGGAAATACGATCTCCCGTTCTCAGCTATTCCAGGCTCTACGCCAAAGTGCTCAAAATCGATACGTCATTCTTCCGCTTCCGAGTTCAGACCACTGCAGAGTGTGAGTCCCTGTACATGGCAGTTCACCGAGCCCGCATGGACAACGCGAAATACAAGGCGCTCGAGGAGGAAACACGTGTTAGGTCCTTCGGTCAATATCAAAACCCAGACGTAGAGAACGACGGAAATAGTCAGCGCCGAAGCTGGTTCGGGCGAAAGAATAGTTATCGCGCGTCGACCCGAGCCCCGTCACAATCTGCGGGTAGCATATCTCAATCTTCGGGCGTCTCTACCACTTCCTTTTTAAGAAAGCTGATGGGTGGTAACAATCAGTCATTCAATATCGCAATGTCCTCCGTCGACAGGCCAAACCGCTTTAGCGGTGGAGACGCATCATTATATACCTCATCATCATCGAGCACACCACCCCGCTCCCCGTCTGTCAGCATCGCGAATAGTGGCAATACCAAGGTGGATCTCACAACAAACAACCTCAAGATTCGCCTCCATCTATTAGTATCAGCCAGCAAGTGGGAAGATCATGGCAACTGTCTCCTCGAAGTAACAAGACCTGACCGAGGCACCAGGCAGAACTTGAGGAAGTACCAAGGAATGGAGAAGCGAATCGTAGTCACAACAATCCCTAAGAAGGATGCGGATAAGCCGGTGATAGTTCTAGACGTCATACTAGGCAGCCAGTGCTTTAGCCAGCTGGGTAGCAGAGGCGTCCTCATTAATGTCTGGGAGGAAGTAAAGGACGAGAGTGGACAGGCGGGAGTTGCACCTCAAGGGGGAAACAGTGGAGGAAATGTACGGAAGTGGTGTTTCCAGTGTTCGTCGGTTTCGCAAGCGAGGTGGATTTTCGGACTCGTTACGCAAGAAGTGGTAATTGGTTGATTATTAGTTGATACCCCTTTCATATGTGTGAGGCTATAACGCCGTTCCCTGCACACTTTTTCTTTTTCAGATCTTACCAGCAAACCTTTTCAGTCAACATAAATGTTCAACTTTACGAGGGACAAGGCGAGGCGTCGGAGACATTGCATTAGATGTCTGGGGGGCAGACAGGGCGGACAGAGCATTAAGGTGAGGACGATGTTATGGCCATATGCATGGACGGTGTGGATGGTTTGTTGCATTTGTTGTGTCCCTTCCCGTCACATTTTACCCTTTGGTCGGATACATTGTGTAGGATAGGCTATGTACACAACGCTCTAAGATACCTAATACTGAAGTCATTCAATTGTATCTCATGCCTCTTTACTTAATAGGAAGCGTCATGTATTTTTGATGCCCATGAGTAGTCTAACGTTTTCTCGGTTTTGTCGCAGTAGGGGGTCCCATAAATAGTGAATTTTAGTCAGTCCATTCAGTACCACTATAACATGTCAGGTTAACAGATATCGTACAGAAATAAAACCTGCTAAGATGAATATAATAAATAAACATACCACGATTCCATTATCTGGCCCGTCAGGCTTCTCTCCATTTTCAAGCTTCCCGAGACAAGCACGGATGCGTTGGACAAGCTGGGCGGCGTACTCAGGGGATGGCGGCTTCGGGGTAGGTATGCTGGTGTCGTTACGCAACAGCACGGGGGCAGGGACGGCGGAGTCGGGTGGCATGTTCCCGTCGATGGCGGCCTTGACGTCGGCTACGTCGTCGGCGCTCCAGGCCGCACCCATAATCACCGCGTAGGGGGTTGCGGAGTACGAGCCGGTTCCGATGGTGCTACTTTGAGTTGGGGGCGCGGTGCCGCGGAGGACTGGAGGTGGGTGTTAGTTAACAAATAGAAAGTCGGGATCATGGATGTTACCTACTGAAAGGCAGCTCGGCGGCTGTTGGCTTACTGCCGAGGCAGAAGAGGATTACTATATAAGAGTATACGCGTTAGCATATATATATATATATTATATCTTTGCAACTCACTCACCTTCATACTCGGGCTTCAGACCCTCGACGACCATTTTCCCAACTACTTCCGCCTTGCCGCAGACAACAATAGGAATCGGTCTTAATAAACCAGCCATGGTGCAGAGATATAAGTGAGAAAGGGTAAAGGCTATAGTCAAAACGATGGAGCTCTTGATAGAAACGGGACGACCCTCATCATTATATCCAACAAGTCACGTTTACAACAGGGGTTATATCTTGGGAATTGGCGGATGCTAAGATCTTAGACAGCTTAGCTCCCGTGTCTGTGTCGGTCCCGAGCGAGCCAAAGTCCAACCAACGTTGAAGGCAAAGGAATGCAATGCAAGTTATTGGTAGAATCGCAGGCTTGGGTTACAGTCCCGTAAAACAAGGATGTCGCAAAAGATCCCTTAAGATTTCCTAGATCCGAAGTATGCAAGCATTATCTATTGGTCGTTGTCGTGGGTCTGCGGCTGTGGAACCGGGGTCCCGATGACAAGCTGCAATTCATGTACGGATTACCTAGTCGTCGCTACTTGGCGAGGATATTCACCGCCGCTCGCTACTCCGATTTTGAGTCGAGACATACATGTGCGCTATTCAATGCAAGTTTCAGGAGTTACTTGGTTATATTAGGTTACGTACCATTATGAATTTGATGCTTTAATCCTCCTACATATGTAAGATAACCTATCTATCTAAGCATCTTAGCTACATGCATGTCTCACTTACACGCACCTCCAAAAAGAAACATACTAATTATCGCCAACTATCGGTGAAAAGAACCGCGAAGCAAGGACTCTATCAATATCGTCATACTTGGTGAAGAAAAAAACCAAAGATTCCCTTGGCCCCTTGGTTATTCACTACCTAATATACGAGCTCGTAGTGGCCTTGTATTTGAGACCCAGCTATATGGTTTTCGAGTAGGATTTTAGCCTCTACGTATAATAAAAGGAGGCGTCTATTATCCACAACTGGGTACAGATTTCTACGCCCGTCTAATACATTCAAGTTCGATAACCCTTTCTATTACTTATGTTAAATTATTATTTAGGTACTCAGGCATAATTCTGTCAAGGCTAGAGGTTCGCGCATTCTTTCACTTTGCCATATAATTAGGTGCGAAAAAACCTTGCACAAGAACCCGTCAATATCATACCTGTATAAGCTACCTAAGGTATAATAATAATAATAATAAAACGATCCACACACTAAAAGCTTTCGTTAAAAAATATTGCTACCGTCCTTACCTGAGCAGTGGCTGTTGTCATGACGAAATATCTTATCACTGATAATGATACGGAATACAGCGAAATTGGAACAGAATCAGTGATAAGATAAGGTCTTGGCGTACCTTACGTAGCTTCCACGTTGTAGTGGTCAGTGCGTACAAAGCACATCTCGAGCTACATAGGTAGGTAGGTACCTAAGGTATCCATGTAGCCCATTGTTTTCCTGGCGAACGCGTCCTGCCATTCAATGCAGGGTAAGTTCCAAGATACAAAGCTAAAAGGTACTTAACTTTACGTACCTTTTTTTGAGTACCCGCGCTGCGACCGATTGCTCATTCTCAATTCTTTACATTCTATCTTTCTCTCATCCATCTTACTATAATTTCCACAAAGCCAAACTACAAGATCGCCGTTGCATCAGCAATACCACTTTCTACATCTTAATTCAAGGTTACAACTCACTCGGTCCTTTATTACTTCACCCGTGACGACTCTTGCCACTCCCGTCGCGTCGCGCATCCCTCACGATGTCCGACTACGCCTCCCTAAAGGTTCCAGAGTTGAAGAAACTCCTTCAGGAGAAATCCCTACCTGTAACAGGTAACAAGGCCGACCTAATCACTCGTCTGCAAGATCATGACAAGTCTCAGAACCGTCAGTATTTATTTTAAATGTCGCGTTTAATGTGCACATACTGATATCCAATAGCCGCTCCCGTTCGCGAAAACGAGGACGAGATTGATTATAGCGATGATGAAGTCCCGACCACATCAAAGCCTTCAGAAACTACGACAGCCGCTGAGCCCGTTGAACCGACACTAGCTCCAGTTGAAGAGAAGTCTGCCGAGCCTATTGAGCCTGTGGAGAGTGCTCCAGACTCTGTTCCGGCCACAGATAAGCCGGTTGAGGATGAAGCTGAAGAAACCGCCAAGACAGAAGCTCCAAAAGAAGACTTTTCTGCGCACCTTCCCGCGTCTAATGCAGATGAAGAGGCACGTAAGCGTGCCGCGCGAGCCAAGCGATTTGGCGTAGTTGAGAATGACGAGGACAAAAAGAAAACTGAGCGTGCCGAGCGTTTCCGTGTAGGTGTAGATGAATCCTCATTGGTGAAGGGTCTCGACGCCGCGCTGCCCGAGAAGAGGCCATCAAAGCGAGGCCGGGAAGGTGGTAATGCCGAAGGTGAACGAGGCGCGAAACGACAAAACCCCAGTGGTCAACAAAGAGGCAAGGGTCGTTTTCGCCAAGTTAGAGGCGGTAGGCCGAATGGCGCTCCTCGAAAAGAGGGCAGGCCGACTAGCGCAAAGGGGAAGCCTGGTATTCAAATCGACCCATCTGAAAAGGCAAAGGCCGAGGCGCGGGCAAAGCGCTTTGCTGGTGGTTCTTGAGCAAATTTGAGAAGACGTCTCACCGATTCAGTAGAACGGATCTAGGCCAACTCTAGCAACACATTTCAGAGAACCCTACTTGAGGGATGCTGCTATGGTACCTTATTTTCCTACCACCGCAAATGCGAGGTTACCGGGCAACTTTGCTTCGAGTCGAGAGGGATATTACGCCGCTACTATGCACGATTATCTTCAGTTGCCGCTGTACACTAGTTCGTCTCCTTCGTTAGGCTATCGCGAATAATGACCTTTCGACATTTCTTGTTCCAGGCCTACGCTTAATTATATCATGAAATACCATGCAGCCGTTCCTGTGCTACTATGTAGGCGGATGGCATTAGATAAAGTCAGAAAATCACACGCCTATCCTTGAATAAACGATTCACGTGAACGAATATTAGTCTGCAAAGTGAACCCATCAAGATCAACGCCTGGCGAAAGAACGCATCCTGCCCACTCACAACTGCGTACGACCTGATTTCGCTAGGCCCTTCGATGTTCAACACCTGGGTGTCTCATTTCAGCTACAACCCGCCCCCCCCTCCCCTCCCCCACAATCAAGTAGGGTGTAAGGGAACGTTTCAGCGGAGTGTTGGGCTCACCAGGTAGCCGTACGAGATATTAGCGATACTTAGTCATGGTTAGCTAAATGTTGCCAAGACAATCTCAATGTCTTGCTCGCATTGCACTTAGTTTCGAAATTGCATTTTTTGCACAATTCATATCTTACAATACTAAGTTAAATTAACATAACTATTACTTTTAATTTCCCTGGGATTCGCAACTATTAACCAGATGAATAGCCTTATTCTCGATATATCAACTTTACTGGTTTGTTTTCAGTTAGTTACTTAGACTAGGTACCTGGTTATGAGCAACATAGCTTTGCCGTGTCGAGTTGTACTGCATTATCACTGCTCTAAGGTTTGAGATTTACTTTGGGTGGAATATTATGAAATTATATCATTGCGTGAACGAGGGACTATATGTAGGTTAAGACACATGTTAAATACCTGGGCTAAGCACTTAAGTTGTTTGGGCCAATACTTCATAACTACCCCTTTTATCGTAAACTCGTTAGCTTACCTTAGGTAGGTAGGTACCTATGTAGGTAGTCCTAACACCTAAACTCTTATCACGGGTAAAACAACTGCTAATGAGGTGCTTTTAAGCAGTACTCTGGTTGAATAAGGGTTATCGTTGAGTTGTTCAAATAGCATACCCATAGTTATAAATTATGAACGATGAATACATAAACTTTCCTTAAACAAACATTGCCAGCTATAATTCTAGAAACTCGTGATACATCGATTCGAAGACAAAGGATATTGCCCATAGGGTCCTAAACATCAAAATATTGTGGCTAGTCACTGTATATAAGGAAAAATAGTCACAGCTAAGGTATTTATCAGGTATACGTATAAGCATAGTAATTATTATATACTATGCTCGAGCTATGTATGCTTCCTGTACCCATGAATTTCCGTTCGTTCACTCAAGCATCACTCAAGTATTGTCGAAATACCAACTAAACCTACAGCTAATCCTCTTCGATATAGGAATTCTCATCCCGTTTTGAAAGAGCCACGATATCAGCTAAGGATGACTTTAGGGGATGCTCCAATTTCTTTTATAAAATAGAGAAAAAATAGAAATATAACACCGCCTTTACAATATACAGGTAGGGATTGCAGCGTATAGATTACAAAGAGAATCTGATTTTATTCCGGATCCATATTCCTTTGTCCCTTCCCAGACGTTTCCGTAGCCGCCTGGGGCGTTATTGTCTCGATATTAATGTCCAATATAATCCTATAACTAATAGACAATAGAATCTTACAAACAATGTGTTTAAGTACAAAAGTCACCTAATTCTATTCTGGAGTCGAGGCGAATTCTAGCTGAGTATTCCTAATTAATGGTCCCCCAACGTAGTTCCGGATTACTTCAACTAAGCTAAACTCACAATGGCAGAGCCACAGGAAGGTGTTCCAAAAACCTACAACGATGTCAATAAGCCGCGTTACCGAAATTACCGTCCCGAGGCGACGGTGAATCGGAGGGATCGTGCGAGCGTCATAATTTACATACAGGATATTCCAGTTAACGCGGCCTTCCCACGCGCTGGAGCAATAAGCCAGTTACCTGAGCCATATCGCCATTACATAAATTATGAACCAATTGCATTGGAATATCAGGATGGCGGTGTTACAACGAATGTTTATGGTAACAACGCAGCTCGGGAGCTGCTAGGTGAATTTGACTCGGTTATTGAATTTGGGAATAGCAGGTCGCAATGGATCCACGATACACTTACAGAGGCTTTCGGTCATGATACCTTCCGTGGCTTGACCCTCCCGGAAATGATGTCTCTGGTTATCGTGTGGTGTCGGGCATGGTTTACAGCCCGGAATCGATTTTTGGAATATGCAATGAATCATACCCCCAACATTTGGGAACGTCGTGACGTATATAGAGCACATGTGAGAAGAACAAATGCCGCCAACTACAATCTTCACACTGCAGATATAGAGATGGACGCCGTGTGGGTGTGTGTCCCGCATTTGTACACCGAGAACTCAACGGGCGTCGACACTAGGGGTCTGACAAACGCATCTTTCCGAGCCCTATACCGTTTGAATAGGGTTGAGGCTATTGCAATTCGTATGTGTACCGATTCCTTGTACTAGAGCCTACTACTACAATAAAATACAAAGCTAATCTATTGGTGTAGTGCGAATAGCAAAACAAAAACAACCCAGTGGCCAGAGAACCAGATACGGTCGAATTTTCAGGTGGATCGTTTATTTTATCAATCAATACACGAGGTGGAAGGTCACGGTTTTCGAAGAATACAGAAAGATGCTCCCAGATGATCACGCTGAAATGGACCATCTTGCGATAAAGACTGAACAAACCAATCGGTGGGAAAATGATGGTGGTAGGCAGATTGAAGGTACGTATAAACGTGTACGCTTGTTAGACTTGGGTTCCTGGAGCCATCTTCAATGATATTTAACAGGCAATATTATGTATACAATGGCTAACTTTGAGTAGTAAGTATTGCAACTAAGTAACTTCGATTCACGCCCGTGAATATTTTCTTTTCCTTGGATCTCTAGAAGGGTAAGATGAAGAAGCTGACTAGATATGGTTTTGTATAATAGGTTGGCTTCGAGTCCTTGATGCACTGGGTTCTCGAAATGGTTCGATATATCCAAGCTGGCATAGATATACCAGGGCCAGTGATAGACGAATTTCACCGCTGCAGAAATTGGATTTACAACACGATACGCCATGCGCACTTACCTCCAAATGGATTTACACCAACTCACGGGCCAGTTGGCAGGGTAGAAGATAGGAACTTCGGGACCAACACTATAATGAATTTGGACGCTGGCCACTTGAGATACGAAGTCACCATGACCTTACCGACCGTAAACCCTATCGGTCGAAGGGGTCCTTTAGCAGCAGTCGAAACATATTGCCACGAGGTCAAGAGAATTGACCCGTCTCCGAGGGTATTAACGGTCCCGGCGGCTCCGACGACTCATTTTAGCGATGATCCAGATCCATCGGATACCCAACCTCCTGCACTGATGGCACGAGTAGTCGCAGAGTCGGACGAGGAGATATCTTCTGAAGACTACGACGAAGAAGAGGAGCCCCCCTACACCATCGAAGTCCAGGACGGAGTCGCGCGGAAGTGCAGCTTGACCGCGCCCAAGGGCCGGGCTGCACGCTTGACTACCTCCGCCCTGCTGCGAGACGCGCTCTGGAGCGCTGGATCTCTAAAGCGCCCGGCCAGGACGCCGCTGCGCTCGGTGTTTTCTGGGCGCGTAACCAAGAGGCGAAAGACCGACGAGGCTACCGCGCCCGACGTCGAGGAAGAGGAAGAGGAAGAGGAAGAGGAAGAGGAAGAGGAAGAGGAAGAATAGCCGTTGAAACGCAGCAATAACGTGCGTTTTTCAAGATTGTTCCAGAGGTCGTAAAATCCTCAAGGAGAATACCCCCTTTTCCGCCCCATGGGTAGGACTACCATCACGGTGCTGTTGCCCGCTCAGTACGACAATGGAATATCCGAGGTTTACCTGGGGATGTTCAGGAGGATGATACTGTGTTAGGCTATAAAGGGTTTCCGTAACCGGAAGATTTCCGTAACCGGAAGATTTCCGTAACCGGAAGATTTCCGTAACCGGAAGATTTCCGATTTTCCTTTTCTATTGTTATTTCATTTCACATTGGTTTGCGTTGTACGGATGTTACTAAAGTAGAATTAACTATCAGGAAAAAAACACGGGTTGTTCGAGGTCTACTCGGGATGTAGTGTAAATCCCTCAACATCTACTCGAGTAACCCAGCACCTCGCTTTGGTGGATACGGAATGCACTTCTTAGCGGGTGTATCATGTTAGAAGCTTGAAGTTCGGGGTGCAGGCGAGAATGCAATGGGAACGCAGTAGGTTGGATATAAAATCCCCTCTTTTGCGCTGCTTGAAGGGTGGCCTGTTGTACGAGAGTTATACTAGAGTCGAATAGGTGTTAGGACAGTTTGATTGTATTAACCTCATTTCTTCGTTTTTCTATATTGTCTTGAATAAAGATAAGACCATAGTAACGAGTGGAAACTGCATTGCCATCGAGTTCTGAAATCCGGTCTCTTGGTTCATATGATACACGTGCCGCTCCTTAAAAGGCAAAAGGTCCCCATCTGATTTGACCGTAACTGGAAAGTGGGAAAATTACGACTTCACATGATTTTATGGGTCGTCGGCGTGGGGGAAGAAATTAACTGTGAGCTATTTCAAGATCATTAAGTAGGTATATATATAAGTGATATTCAATCATCCTGCCTGTCACATCTACTCAGTGGTGCAGGTGGTGCAGCAAGCGAGCCCACTTTGATAAACCATGCCCGCCGACTTCGAGAAGCAGAGTTATTGGCACGAGAGATTCTCGTCTGAGACATCTTTCGAGTGGCTAGCGTCGTCAGAATCTTTCATGTCCATCATAGAACCTTACCTCTCGACACCCTCGCATACTTACGAGAACGCGCCCCGAATCCTCCATCTAGGCTCAGGCACAAGTGACTTGCAGAACTGTTTCCGTTCGAGAGGCTACTTAGACGTGACAAATGTCGACTACGAACCATTAGCTATCGAGCGTGGGCGCCAGCTAGAGAAGGTCGCCTTTGGTGACATAAGGATGAAATACATCGTCGCAGATGTAACACAACTTGCCTGCGACTTCTTGCAAGATAAGAGATTCGACATAGTCGTGGACAAAAGCACCGTCGACGCGGTCTCCTGCGGTGGGAATACGGCCCTTTCAAGGATGGCCTCTTTCGTGAGGAAATACCTTGCTGATAATGGGATCTGGATCTCCCTTAGCTATTCTTCAGCTCGCTTTGATATTGAGCAGCTACCATTCGGCGTCGAAGTCATAGCTAAGATCCCATTACCCAAACTTAAGGAGAGTGATCCGGAGATATACCATCATTGCTACCTTCTTCGGCCCAAAGACCCAAATGAATCGAAAATGGGCACATAATGATCACCAGAGGTTAGTACCTAATTATGAAGTCATGAAAGGTAAAATTGTATTGACTTGTCCTGTTTGCTATTGCCCAGAGTTGTGACACAAATTACGTGTCGGAGGAGAGGAGAATGAAGTGTTAGTTGGAAACGGACGAAATCCATGTGATGAAAGGTGGAGGAGAAAAAATATATGGCTTACCTAATATAATAATAGAGCACGTACCTACGGATTACATTGGTACCTTTTAGCACTAATCTAAAAGTTGCCTAAAGCTAACGTGCCGCACTGCCGCTGTGGAGAAGCTAACCTAACTGCTGTTAAGGCCGGAGCTTTTTCAGACACCTTAAACTCGCTTGGTTTTAGCTGCGTCACTTGGACTCCACTATAAATGGTGTATTTGGTATAGGTATACAATACATATAACACCACAAGGCGATGACCTCATAATACAGCACTATCCAACTATCCAACATACGCACATCCAATGGCATATTCAATGTACATATCTTTTGCGCCTCTTAAGTCTTGGCTGGTATATCACTGGACTATAATATTCTCGTATGAGCATCATTAGCCGCACGCGCATTCTTAATATCTTAATGTATCCTTCTCTATCTTCTCTATCTTCTCTACGTAAACCATCATTTCTGATCTCTATCTTTTACCACATAAATACATCCCCAAAGCACTTCCTGGGTCCTACTGACTCTTGTTACTCATGAATAATATCTAACATCCGCGCAAGCACACTATGACGAACCAGACGGATTTTGAGAAAGATGCGTCAGGAAGAGAGTACGGCAAACCTCACAACGCCAAACATCCAATCCCTACCGTCCAGAATTACAGGCAGCACAGGAAAGAATTGGAAGGACAGATAGAAGACGAGGAGCAAGCGCAACAAGGACCAGAGGACGATTCGAGACCAAAGCGGGCGTTCCAATCTGCGAAAGCCGTCATCCAAGGCGAAGATACTCCCAAGTCTCGACATTATCCATACCCATCTACGAACCATAACTATGCCGATAACACCCCGCATGCCCCCGAAGAAGAGGAAGAGGAAGAAGAAGGCAGTCGATCCAAAGAGACACAGCAAGATTCTACCAATAATACTAGAAGGCAAGAGGAGCCTGATGATCATCGGGAAGATGGCGGCAAGAAGGGAGGTGAACAAGGAAAGTCGGCAACTGAAGCTGTAGTAAGCGCTGTTGACCCGAAAGAAAAGCGCAAGGCGATGAAGAAAACTAAGAGGCATGGTGAAGGACGCGAAGTCACCGATCCCGTTACCCATTTACCGATTATCATACACGATCAGACTGAGAAGGATCTCACGTCGGCGCCTCAAAATATCCCAGCGCCAGGATTACATCATTATACTGCCACTGGACCACAAGGTGCTTCCAAGTCAGACCAAGAGTTGACCTCTGAGCGTGACGAGTCGCAACAGGCTTATAATGGGATGCAGAGGGTATTTCCGCCGCCAGATTTCGAGCACACAAAACAAGGACTCGCCGCTGTTTACGAGCAGACAGTATATGCTGGCCTGGCTATAATGGGCATTCTGGCTATCGTTCTACTGTTTGTCCCGACAGTTTTCATTGGGCCGGGTTGGTCCGTCCTTTTCAGCACAACTCTGTTTGTTTTGCTAGGAACGATAACTATTATCGGTATGGGAAAATGGATAAGTAAGAAAACTAGCGAGCTATTTGAAGACGAGACTTGGGATGCTGCGCGACGAGCAGAGCAGGCTATCTTGAGTAACGACGAGGAGCTTCCTGAATCGACTCAATGGTTGAATAGCTTGCTCTCGTCCATCTGGCCGCTTGTTAACCCAGACCTCTTCGCTTCCCTCGTCGATCAAATCGAGGATATTATGCAAGCATCCCTCCCCAAGGTTATTAAGATGGTCAGCGTCGACGATATGGGACAGGGTAGCGAGGCTATTCGGATATTGGGCGTGCGATGGCTGCCGACTGGTGCGGCTAGTCGAACAGTGGGTTCCGATAATCAACTTCAGGGGGACGACAAGGAGACCGGAAACGATCGAACAGACCCGCAAAATCCCCAAGAAAGCGCCAATGACCAGGAAAATAATGCTGAGGGGAAGGGTAAAGATCCGAAGCAAGAGGAACAGGAGCAAGTGGCCATGCGGGAGGGGATGGAGGCGGAAGAAGGCGACTTCGTGAACCTGGAGCTTGCGCTCGCCTATCGAGGCCGCTCGTCCGGCAAGTCGGTCAAGGCCAAAGCTAAGAATGCTCACCTTTACCTAAAGTTTTACCTTCCAGGGGAGGTCGCTATCCCCGTATGGGTTGAGCTTAAGGGCCTTATCATGACTATTCGACTCCGGCTTCAGCTGACACCGGACCCGCCATTCATATCTTTATGTACTATGACCTTCCTCGGACAGCCAAAGGCTAGTCTCTCGTGTGTCCCCCTTTCAAAGCATAGCTTTAGCTTGACGGATGTTCCATTGATATCTTCTTTCGTTAACTCGGCAATCGATGCTGCTCTCGCGGAATATGTGGCTCCTAAGAGCTTAACTTTGAACCTAAAGGACATGCTTGTAGGAGAAGATTTTAAGAAGGACACGACTAGCTTAGGTATCGTCTGGATTTTCATTAAGCAGGCGCGCGGCTTTAAACAAGGTGACGGCGGGATCGGGCCTATGAAAGGCTCAAGCGATTCATATGTTACTGTATCGTGGGGTAAATTCGGTAAACCTGTTGCCTCGACTCGTATCATTACAGGTGACGATGAGCCAAATTGGTATGAATGGGCAAGCATTTTAGTGACTCCAGAGGAGGTGAACGCCGAGGAAAAGCTGCGGCTCCAATTATGGGATTCAGATAAATGGTCGGCAGACGACGATCTAGGCCAAGTAGAGGTAGACCTCAAGTCTCTTATGAAACGTCCGAACAACTTTCGAGACCGCGAGGATAGATTTACTGGCCAAGATCCCGACGAGACGATGCCAGGATCGTTACTATGGTCTGTCGGATATTTTTCGAAGCTAAGAATCACGCCTAAAGAACTTGAACAACAAACCGTCGACGGAGAAATAAGAACTCACGATCAACTTAGACAGCACGTCTCGGAATTATCTGAGCATAAGCTGCGGGAAGCCGGCAAGCCATCGGATGATGACGAAGTGAAGCAACAGAAAGCTCAAGACTACAGGGAACTTGAAGAAGCCATGATTATCTCAGCCCCGCCACCTGATGACTTCGTCTCGGGTATTCTCAGCATCCAGATCCACAATATTACGGGGCTCGAAGTACAGAGGCTTCAAAAGGAAGATAAAGGAGACGGCGGCGATAACGAGGATGAAGCTGAGCAGAACGACGATATGCCCGACAGCTACTGTACCGTCATATTCAACCACAAAAAGATCTACAGGACAAGAACGAAGCCGAAGAACTCAAAACCTTTCTTCAATGCTGGAACCGAGCGATTTGTTCGGGACTGGAGGGATAGCGAGGTTATCATTAGTGTATGGGACTCTCGCGAGCGGGAAGACGACCCGCTGATAGGGATTGTTTATCTTCCCCTGGCGAAGGTGCTTGCTAAAAAGAGCCAGGTGATGGAGAATTACCCTTGTAAGTTGGGATCGAAGACAATTTTCGCATTTGGTTATCGGGACACTATGTCATTGAAAGATTCAACCCTGATAATTGTCTCATGTCGTTATGAATAGATACTAACATGGCATTATAGTAGTTGGAGGCATTGGATACGGTCGGGCTCGTATTAGCATGGTTTGGCGAAGCGTGGAGCTTAAACTGCCACCAAATCTCAGGGGATGGGACTATGGGACCCTAGAGATACGCGGATTCATTCAGGCGAAACCCGATTTACCTCGGTCGTTGACAGAGCATCGCATCAAGATACGCACGAACTTGGGAAAGGCGAAGATGTATCCGGAAAATGGGCAGTGGGTGTCTAAGGGCGGAAAGGAGCACGAGGCTGTGTTCTTGGCAGTGCGTAAGCGATATGCTTCGGCCGTGGTGATCGAATTCCGCGAGTCCATGCTTGGACCGGATAAAACAGCCGCCTTTGCGGTCATGTGGCTCCATGAGATCGCCGATGAGGAGAGCGAAATACGAACCTTAAAAGTGTGGAAAGGATCGAAGGATGGCCTCCGCAAAGCCCAGTCATGCTACGACTACAATGGCATGATCGATGGTGAACAACCTCTAGGCGAAGTCGAGCTGTCATTAAAATTTTGGCGTGGTCTATCTGGCTATCACAAGAACTATGCCTCTCAAGCTAAGAATAATGACCTGCGGAATGTTATGGAATGCCTAGATACAATCACAGACGAGAAGCTCGACGACGACGAAGACGAATCTGAACACGAAGACGATGTGACGAGTGGTGACGATTCAGAAGATGAGACACGCAAGAAGAAGCTCCGTGTCCACACTAACGATGATTCGTCACGCTCTAGTTCCGACGACGAGGGCGAAGGCGCCGGATCTGGAACGTCGAGCTCCTCTCACTTATCTTTTTCAGATATCAAGAAAGTCAAAAAAATTAAGAACATCTTTCGCAACCCCGTAGATGGGGTTAGCGAAGCAGCTACGTCGGTGTTGGCGCCGGGACATAACAACCCAGACGATGGATCTAGAGGAGTCCGAAACCAGCTGCGCGACTACAAAGACCACCACAAACAGCTTCACCGCAAACATCGTGGCATCATGCAGTGGAGGCCAGCAAGAGAGGCTAACCACGTCGGGGAGAAGCTAAGCAGGCTCAAAGGAAATATCAGCGGAATGTTTCATCACGGGGAAAAAGACACCGGCGTCGAAACCGAGGTATGAGACCACATGGGACCACATGTAGGTGCCTAAATGGAGTTTAGCTCCCGTATGCCGAATCCCGCGGTCCGCGGCAGTGTGGGGTTCCGGAAGCGGAAAGGGGTTACAAGGAGTTTAGAAAGTGTTGATGCGCAGACATGTTTTGCCTACCCGTTTTTTACTCCTAGAGCAGGCCACTTAATGATGCCAAGACATATTAAGAAATGAAGGTTTCTATTCTTTGCTTCTCTGAGGCGATGTTTGGGGCTATAAAAAGGGTTTATATTTGGATCGGTGCATTTCGTACGAATAGTCGTAAATTATAGCCAATCAGACTCTAACCGCTTACATACGCCGCATATGTGCTTTAGTGGATATTAATCAAGCTTAAATATACCCTGTCTAAAGTTGAGTTACATACAGTCTGTACTTCGGTATCGTTTCGTAGCATTGAACCTTTTCTAGAATTATACTTGGATCATTTCCCACGTGCCCGGACAATTCCGTTTGCTTGTACGAAGTACATTATGTAGGTTAGGTAGGTAGGTAGGTAGGTAGGTATGTACCTAACCTAGGTATACTCAGGTATTTAGTACGAGGTGTACTTGGTAACATTTATGTGTAACCGTTTTCTATCCAATATTGTTAACTTGTTACCGATTACCGTATTACATAGGTAGGTACATATAATAAATAGGATTTTACGCCTTATATGTACTAACTAGGGGTGTATCTTGAAAACGCGTTTGTGCGAGAGGGTACCGTAGAACATAGAATAGGGAATTAGTAATACATAGTAATTCTGTCTAGGTTGATATCGAATTAGATATTTTCTCTCCGAACCACATCGGCGATTAAGACGTTCCATTGGTGGTAACTAGGTAATATTGAAACGTCATGTTACGTATGTACAAAAAGGAGGTATGTATCTAAGAAGAGCGCATTGATACATGTGATTAAGATAGCATTAGTATGTACCTACATATGGACATGGTCCACTTACACGTACAAGGGCAATAATACCCCTGATGCCGTACCGCATATGTATGCGGTAGAAAACACTACTATGATTTGGTACTAGTTACCTATCAGTTACCTAGGTTAGGTATGTATCAATTCCCCTCAACTCTAGCTTAGGTAGTTAGAGCTTTATCTCAACAAAATACCAGATATGTATGATACGACCTTTACTCTCAACAACTTGGACATTATTCGGGAATTACGTGCCAAGGTAAGAACTGAACCTCCAACGAACACGATACCACGCCAATCAGAAGTTACACATCAGCTTCGAATAAAGAGCAAAAAGAGAATTGGTTTCATATCTTGCATCCTTCATATCGATAGAGCTGTTCCGGACTTGCCTTCTATGGGTACCGCACAGTGAAAAAGTCCTGCCGATCTAGACATCGGCCGGGGAAAGGATTGGTACCCGGAATACCATTAGGTATCTCCGCCGCCATGGTAGACATTGAAGGTTGCGACTTTTCGGGTCTCACATAAGCTTGACCGACCCAAACAAACTGCCAAGCTAGGACGGTGGACGACTCCTATTCTAATGCGTCCGGGGTCGACCAATGAATGGTCCCCTTTTTTAGGGCTGAGATGGCTACATAGGTAAGTATATACATCCAAAACCACGATATCATGTAGTACGAGCTAACCCGCCGGCATCTCAGCCCAAAGATGGGGGCGAGCAGCAAGTCACCCGGGCCGCTGATAACCTTAAGACAGACGATCGGTATTCAGGATTAGATTATCCGCAGAAGTGCCGGCAGCTAATCTTCTTCTCGGATCCCTCAGATGTGCTCGTAGGCTGACGAAGACGACACCATCAAGGCCACCGCCATCTCCAAAGAGAGAATGTCGGTGCCTATCGTGACTTGTGACGATCTCATAATCATACGTAGCAGCGGGCAAGCCGCTGGTATTAGAGAGAATAGATGGTCTTTTTTATCTTCATGCGCATCTGAGGCACAGACACAAGGTAACCCAGGCCATTGGTCTGAGCCTCTCGCCGACTACTATGTAGGCATGTCATGTTCTTGTTGTTCCTATTATGGTCATATATAACGTTTCATGGTCCGAGACTATGTAATAATACAGTTGCTTGTTAACCATGGGAACTTGCCATTTGTACAAGCCCCTGTTATGAGGTATGTAGCTGTATTTCCACGGAGATCGATTTACGCAACGCTTGTTTCCTTATCCCCGAGTATGATTTGCTAGAATACTACTATGTATGGGACTACTGTACTATGCATTGTCTTGCTGGTCCTTTCTGGGCCATGCCGCCATGATGCCATGATGCTATTACTGATGCCCACATGTTATCCACATGCCACCAAACTGCTATGTAGCCGTGCCTGTTAACATATATAGAATCAGCCTTGACCGATGGAACTTCATCTTACCACATTGCGGGGCTAGTGACACCAGTCCGAGTTCTCCACCAGTCCGAATGCCGCAATTCCATCATGTCCTAACCTTACATAATTAATAATACGAAATAACATCTCCAGCTGCCCCCTATTACGACGTTACCATCCAGACGGATTCGCTATAGCTCTCGGACTAGAATCTGGGCAATATACTTTATTTATGTATACGATCTCCATCACTATCGCCAGCGGCTAGGTATCCCAGTTTTTGGAGCCGAACCCCTGCACCGGCCTGGCTTACCAGACACCCATGCCCACTGGCCTACATATTTATTATTTGACGGATAAGTAATCAGTCGACTACGTCCGCCGGTCGGCTCATCATCGCGCTTCGAATCAGGTTCGCGACGCAAAGTAACGATAAAACAAGATCACAGCTACTATCCCACACGGAAATACAGCTGTATTAGATTAAGACAACAGTTGGATATAGAAAACCCATAATTCGAGGCAGAAAACGCATTTCCCGTCAGCCGATATGAGACAGACTCGTCGGAACAGCCCCAGCAGCCTCAGTCAACAGTCGGCACAGACTTCCGATTCGTCGGAAAAGAGTAGTCGACGATGCGACGGATTAAAACCCACAAGGAAGAGGGCGAGTAAACCCAAAGTCCGAACAGGTAAACTATCTATCCCCGATGAGGTCAAGACGGGGCCAGTTAGCTAACGTCTTCTCCGCCGTATAATAGGCTGTATTAGCTGTAAAAGAAGACATGTCAGTTCATCTTGAAACTTCCAGTTCCTCTGTTATTCGACTTGTCTGGAGGAAGTTATCAAGTCGCAAATTAGCGCCCATGACAGTCACAATTACTCCTTGTTGACAGGCTGTTGGCTACTATGCATCGCAGCTACTAACTTAATTGTCTATAGGTCAAATGTGACGAGGGCAAGCCGTCTTGCGCAGAGTGTGAGCGTCTTGGACTTATGTGCGAGGGCTACGCTCCGCCTAAAGTCAAGACCACCTCCTGTCGGTCTGAAAGATTACTATTGCCAAAGCCGAAGCTTGCCTCGGTGCAGCCAGCTAAGCTTGCTGCTTTGTCTCAGGCGGTGGACTATCGATCGCCAACTCCATTAATGCCCACCTTTGGCTTTGAACTGAACGACGACGACAAATGGTACTTTGTTCTGTTTAGGGATCAAATATCTCGAGAACTTTCGCCTTACTTTCGGTCGAGCTTCTGGTCCCAGACGTCTCTTCGAGATAGCATGGTCAACAGATGCATTCATCATTCTATTCTCAGTATAGGTGCCTATGGCCGTGCTCTTATGGACCTCCGCGAGGGGTACGCGGCCAATGGCAAGGTGTGTCGGACATGGTGGCCTCCGTCGGTACTGAATCGACATCACCAAGCGGCTCTTATGCATCACGCCAAAGCGCTTTCTCATCTACGATCTAACATCAGGACATTTGGGATCGACGGACGTTTAACAATGGCGGCAACCCTCTTATTTATAGTGTTCGAGAATATGCAAGGGAACTATCTCAGCTCTGGGAATCTTATACGCAGCGGCATCAAAGTTTTGAAGAATATACGGGGAGGAGATTCCAAGTCTATTTTACGGCGTCAATGGTATCGATGTCTATCAGCTCCGCGAGACGAGGTGGACGAGATGACCATTATGTTTGCACGCCATAGCGTCGCAACCGCGTGTGTCCCGTTCGCGCACGGGAAATTCGCATACCACATCTTACTTACCGAGGACGAAGACGAAGACGGCGACACCGGATTAGACGGCCCATTCACGTTTTCGGCCCCGCAGACCCTCGAGCAGGCGAGGCAAATATGGGATCATCTGATGGTGCAGATCGCAAGTTTCCAGAGCAAAATTACCTGGCACAATTCGAATCCCGAATACGACTTCGACGAGTCCGCGGCCTTCCGTGACCAAGCCATGTACCTGGCTCAACTAAACGACTTGGGCGTCGCGCTAGATTCGCTGCTGTTCAGTACCGTAGACAGCCGCGATCGCCAAGGTCTCGAGCTGTTGCGGATGCATCACACGATAGCCTTCGTATCTACATCGTGTTGTTTCGATACGACAGAGACGATGTACGATCAATACATACCCCAGTTCGAAGACATAGTTCAACGATGCAAGGAATTCACGGATTTCCCATCGGAAGTAGCCACGAAGATAGGGTTCATCAACGAGGCCGGTCGATTACCTTTGCTAGCTTTCACAGGGTTGAAGTGTCGGAAGGCGAGTGTTCGACAGGAGGCAGTGCAGTTGCTACTGCATTGCGACTGGCGCGAAGCAACCTGGGATAGCGAGAACCTCGCAAACGTCGTGACCGGCATCATGAAGCTCGAAGGGCAACTGGATCCGATAGATCCCGATTGCTTGGTCCCGGCCAAGGACCGCTACACGTGGACGAATATATTCTGGGACTTTGAAAAGCGGCAGATGCTCCTCGAGTATACCAAGGCGCTGCCCGACGAACTTGGCGAGTTCCACAAGGTTAGCTATGTGATGGATGTCTAGGACTTGGTCGTCTGGGCGTATCTTGGGAATATCATAATAGGTTAATCTAGGGGGTTGCAGCACGTATATCGACTAAAGACACTCGAAATGATATACATCACTCCAACATCATGTTTTAGTTTAACTTGTATCTACCATCTAATTATTTAGGTCACGTCGAGTTTAGCAGCCTTAGCCATCGTTTGGTTTTTAATGATAGTCTCAAGACGCAAGTCAAGAATATGTATTACTACAGCTAGTTCGTAGCAAGAAATGTGGACTGTACTCAATACATGGCAGGAGAAGTAACAAAACAATACCTCGAAGCCTTTCAACGCTTCGCCTTCCTCGCCGTGTGCAACGCGGAGAGCAAATCTCCCAGAAGGCCCTCGTCGTCGTCCTCCCTCTTGCGCTTTCCTCCCTTGTCTGATATGTCCCGCTCAGCCAGAGCCATACTGGCCCCACCACCCCCAGTAGGTCGAGGGACATCTTCAAGACGCCGAGGGACTGTTCCAGGACCTAGAGATACCTCTCCAGGTTGGTTAGGGACTTCCCATGGCTGAATGAATTTGATTCCCTCAGCACCAAGATCCGAGTCGTAGAACTCATGACTATCGCAATCGTATAAGTTAGTACCCACTTGTATAAGTAGGGGGTGGGTTCGGGAAGAGATCTCAAAGACCATGACTCCTTAATTACTCCAACTAAGGTAAGGAGTCTTAACTCTTGAGAGGGATATAGAAGAGGCAGTGGTGCTCTTTATTACGTACATTCTGACTGGGTATCTGCCCCTCCGGTCCCATCCACCAGGATGAAAGAACTTTGGGGCGTGAAATTCTACCAAATATTAGTTGAAGTTCCTACTTTTCATTTTTGAATATCGACAAAACACTTACTCTTAGATATATTCTTAGCATAGATTGGGCCGTCTTGTGGTATATCATGTACTCCCTTTGGGAAAAACTGCCGGTACTGTGGCGGGCGATCCAAATCTTCGAGAGGTCGAAGCTTTGGCGTAATTCGCCTACCGTGTTGTTGATAGCCCTCTGGGTTTGTAGTCATAGATATTTGATACCTATGAGAGTAGTTTTAGTATTGCCATTATGGTAGATCTGGACCTTTACATACGTAGGTTGGGCTGTCGTCTCATCTGGGCGATCATCAGATTTCGTTCCACATCCTTTCCAATTACAACTAAAGCCTGTTTTACAATGAGGACAGGAATGCGGGTTTGTACATATGGCACATGAATACTTCCAGCCGCAAGAAGTACACCTGATCCATGGGCGATGATCGAGGCAATACCAGCCTTTTGTCCACAATTCCATCAACATGTTTTTCCCTTCATTTGTAACTTCGTTTATCCCTGGTGGTGGTACATGCCTACACCATCGGCCTATGCCAATATATGTAGGGGCCCTCATAGTATCCATATGCCGTACGAGCCGGTTGCGTGCATCGTAAACGTTGGTCGGTTGTGTTCGGTATTTTTGCCAAAGTACACCATTGGTCTGTGGATATTTGGTGAGAAGATCATCCAACCGTCTTACATACGGTCTAAAGTATTCTCTTTGAAGATCAGCAATTTCTTCACGCCTCCCCGGCTCTGTAGACTCTACAGTACTCTTGTAGGACAAGAAGCTGTCGATTACGTCTACATCTTCGGCGAATCCTGCATCGGCGACTAAAAGAGGTCAGTTTCAGGAGTTAGAATGGGGACGATCAGTGCTATTACATACGTAATCTAACCGCATTTTCGTATTTGATTGTATAAACAGTCTCGAAAAGGCCGATTATTGTATCAGTATGTAACTGAATGGTGGGAAGCTCTCTATTGTGGCGGCCAGGAAAATGTACTGCCCAATTACTAAACCATTCAACCGCTCGAACGTCATCAGACAAAGATGCCGAATGGACGGCAGCGCTGAAATATCGCGTTGAAAGGGTTAGACTCGTTTCGTCTAAAAAGTCTGGACCGGTCCTGTCGGAACCTCTCGCCTTGCGATAATGATCTCTCATGAACCGCAGTCGTCCCATCATCGTAGACCCTACATAAGTCATAATCTCTTGGTGGAACCCTGTCTTCCTAAGCTCGTCGACATTCCAATCATACGCCTCAGCTATCGATGTGAATAAGCGATCAGCCGCGTTACCCCGGTTGGAAGCTTCTAATTCCATTTGGAGTTTATTTAATTCTGCCATAATAAGGTCAAAATCCTCTAGGAATGCCCAGCCCGTTGTGTTCGTGTGCAGTCGTCTAACAGTTTTCTGCGCGGTGGCCGGATTGTCGACGGCACCTCTATCCCGTGAATACTCTCCCACATTTGACAGCTCGCGCAATACGGCATCCACAAAATCCTCCGGTTCTTGTAGTTTATGGGCATCTCTAAGGACTATCATGAGGTCATAAGGTTCGTGTTCTTCACCTTGCGACACCGGCTGCCTCTCGGCCGGGTCCCTAACATAGTAGCGACTTGTGGTTTCGAATGACTGCATCCACCATTTGCCACGCGCCTGTATTCTGTTCTTGGTCTCTTCTTCTACTCTTTGCATACGCGGCCTCAAGGTAATCGGAACTGCAATAGTAGGCTGACGATTTGAATTCCCCCCCCGTTCTATCCGACCCATTTCATTAATCTCATCCTGGGTGCGACGCCAACGAGGATACCCCGGAGTCGACCGCCCATGCTGAATCAACCTCGAAGTAGGCTGTGGCTGTGGCTGCTCGTCACCTGTATTTTGCGATGGTCCGGCAGTAGTTTCCTCTTGGGGTTCAGCCCCCTGAGTCGTATCTTCCTGTCCTGATCGTCTCCATACACCACCTAAATCTCTCGGTTGCTGTTTATATCCCCGGGATAGATTGTCTTTTACACGTTGTCTCCATTGGTTACCGAAATCTCTCTGTGGTGGTTGAGGCGGAGATGTATCTTCCTGTACGGGTCGTCTCCACGAACCGCTTAGATCTCTCGGTTCCTGTTTGCCCTGGGATGAATTGTCTTGTGAGGATTGTCTCCATTGTCTACCAAAATCTCTTGTCCGTGGTTGAGGCGGAGGTGGATGATCCTGTGTGGGTTGTCTCCACGGTCTGTCCAAATCTCTCCTCTGGGACGTGCCTCTATTTTGCAAGTTTAGTTGATTAAAAGCATTGTATACCTCTTCGTCGTTGACATCGCTACCATCGCTAACGCCGTATATATCATCGTCATCGGGATATCTGTTGTAAGCCATGGTTGAACTTGCAAATGATTAACCGCTAGCGCTGGGAGGTACTGGGTTAACGACTATTGTTTCTCCTGGCTAGCTCTTAAGAGGGTGCTACATGCGTCGGAAAAGGGTGTAAAAAGGACCTCAAGTTAGATTGGGTATATATTTACAGTGAACGGTTGGTTCGAAGCCCTACATTTACCCGTATACCGCATTCGGCAGTTCTTTTGTTAGATAATACCGAGTTGGGAGACGAGAGCAGTTTTCTCAAAGGGCTAATTACACCCATTGTTTTCGAGGAATGCAGGCTGGCCTCTATCTGTTAGTAGAATTGGAACCGCTCTGGCTAGATCGGAAAGTTGTACTTGATCTCAGGTTCATAAAAGGATGATGAGTGTGGCTTTGGTATTAAGTTCGCCAACATAATAAGCTACAATAATATCGATTGACGGATTATATTGGTTTAGCACACGGTGACTTGTTTCTAATGGCGTTTAAAATATTAACAGTCAACACTATATATTAATAAGGCACGAAGGCAACTTGAGCGATTGCGTAGTAATAATCGGATACGAAATGCCGCACAGGACTTGGACAATGATAAATACAGATTTGTGATTGAATTAATATGGCAGTAATGGAGCCTTTAACTGGAGAAACCATAATATCTATCTTGGTTTGATGATGTTCTGATAAACAGGGTATAATTCGACGTGTTGTAAACTCAAATACAGAGCAAATGAGGTTTATCAATACTAACAAAACAATAAGACACCTTCTAATACAATATGCTTCTTAATATCGTAACCCTTTTTCTATGTAGGGTGCTGACTCCCCTAAATTCACTTTGATAAACGTACTGCTAGGTAGTTAAATATACGTTCACTTGACACATTTCAAAATAACGCAAATCAAGTACCATTCCTTCCTAAACCATCTTTTCAGGCCCATCGCTACTCTTAGAGGAGCCTGCACGACCGGCGTTAGGGGTCGACACCTCAGCTGGGCCTGCGAGGACGTCGCTGGTATGGCGTTGCAGCTCGACGTAGTCGTACGCGAACTCGCCCAACTGGTCGTCGTCAATGCCGACCTCCTCATTCTCGGCCGAAACGCGCAGGCTCAGGCCTGGAATCAGGTTCAGGATGAACAAGATCACGCACGTTAGAACGAAAGAGTAGGAGAACCCCGCCACGCAGTCCGCAATCTGGTAACCCAATTGTACGTAGTTGTGGTTGATCCAACCGCCTGGGATCACTGTGAAACCGTCGAGAGCTGCGATATAGTCGCTGTAATGTGGTGTCTTGTTAGTATCTAGCCGGGTTCAAATAAAGGGAGGCTATAACCTACGCTGCAAAAAGACCAGTTAGAAGGTTTCCGATAATACCCCCTATTCCGTGGACAGCAAAAATATCAAGCGCCTCGTCTACGCCCATGACAAACTTGAGCTTAGTGGCAAAGTTGCAGCCTATGCCTCCTACGATACCGAAGATGACGGCAGCCCAGGGGGTAACGAAACCGGCAGCGGGCGTGATGGCTACGAGACCTGCGATTGCTCCAGAGCAGAACCCCACGACTGACCACTTCTTCTCAAGGCGGTAGTCAAGAAGGGTCCACGTGATACCCCCAACGGATGCGGCCAGGTGCGTGACGATGCAGGCCATGACGGCGCGCATATTAGCAGCGAGAGCGGAGCCGCCGTTGAAGCCGAACCAACCGACCCAGAGGAAGACGGTACCGAGGACGATGTGAGTGACGTTATGCGGGCGATAGGGTAGACCGGCGGACTTTGCGTATCCAGTCCGCTTGCCGATCATGACGGAAAACGCAAGGGCGGCTGCGCCAGACGAGATGTGGACCGGAGTACCACCAGCAAAGTCCAGGCCACCCATCTTGAAGGACCAGCCGTTGGCGTTCCACGTCCAGTATGCGATAGGATCATACACGATGGTGGCCCATATGAACATGAAGACAATGCATGGGAGTACACGTGCGCGGTCGACTGCGGCACCGATCGCAAGGGCTGGTCTGAATCGTATGCGGTTCTGCGTTAGAAACTTGATGCGGGAAAGGACTTCTCAGGTTACGACACCACCTAATCCACGGAGAACTCACGTAATAGCGGCGAACATGCCCTGGTACAGACAGAATAAGAGATCGGGAACCTTGGTGCTACCGACCGAGGGTTGCGCGAGGGTCTTCATGAGGCCGAAGTTGGAGAGATCGCCAATGAAGCTGCTGCCGGTATGGGAAAAGGTCAAGCTATATCCCCAGAAGAACCACTGGAAGTCGACGACGGCGATGGATAGCATGGACAGCATAATTAGCGACAGCGCAGATTTGCGTCGCGCAAGACCTGAATAGAAGAAGCCGACACCGGGAACCATAAGAAGGACGAGGGCAGCGCAGGTCATGATCCAGGCAAAGTCGCCGCTCTAGAATAGAAGAACATTTAGCACTTTTCTTCTTCGTATACTTTACTCCTACCAATTCATCCTTTTTCATCTTCTTTTTCTTTTCGAAATTTTTTTTTTTTCATGATCGTACCTCGTAGAATTGATTGAGATCTGTGACGCCGGCAGTATACCCGGCGTCAGCTTCTCCGGTAGTGCCATTGTACGGCGTAACGTACAAGCTGGCAGACATGCTGATATCGCTGCGAATAAGGAAGCCAGCCACTGCGTGGAACAGAAAACGCAGGTTCGAATATTCTCCCTCGATGAGACACACGTCTCGGATACGGGTGTCGCGATATTGCTTTTGACGACGGAATAAGACACAACGAAGGGAGAAGAGAAGAAATAAAGTCTTGCTACCAGAGGATGCCAGTGGCGGGTGCCAGTGTCTAAATACGGCTCAGCTCATTTAGGTACTCGCTGTTCGGGGAGCCTCCCTCGGTTGGGAAAGACATTGTTTATTGATGTATATGCTATGTACAACTACATGCGTCACTTCAGTTGTTATGTGTTATCTGTACTCCGTACATGTAACAGGAGGGGGACGGATACAAGGGAGTCAGTCCATTTGCGCAACTTGTACATACGGCCCATGCGACATGAAAGGACAAGGACGTTCCCAATACCAAGGTTCTTTGTTCTTACCCTGCCTAGACAGGCACCTGCGATATCGTAGGTAGTTCAGCTCTAAACGAAGAGATATCAACCACCCCCCTGGCTGATGTCTTTAATAGTCATTTTAAAATGGTTATTGATAGGTGTAGGTAGTGGAGTTGCTGATAAGAACCCGAGAAGAACGGTGGGCTCTCATTGTTAACCTTGCTATTCTTGGCATGGTGACTAGGAGGGGGCCAAGGGGGCCACGGGGGCGGAGGACCTTACAGATAGGCGACCGAATACACTGTTTGGCTGCGTGGCCGGAGTATCACCACTAAAATGAGAAGACAAGTAGCAGTAGGATTCTTCCATGTAGTCTTTAAAGAAGTCATGGGTCTGTGGCGTTCTTGGACTTTAAATTGCCAAGATGTGAGAAACGGCAACTTGTATCGTGTCCAAGAATGCAAATGCAGCCGTATTTAATGCGAAATTGATCATCTTACTGTAGCTCGGCTACTAACCGTCTTAACGGTAAGATGCCATTACTAGGTTACCTATTACTGAGGAGTGCTTCTAGCTCAATAGGGGCTACCTACCTAGGTGTATATTGTAGGTTAGGTACCTACTTGAACAAAAAAGCATAAACACACCGACAACATCATTGATGCTTTATTCGGTTCGGTACTACGAGGGGACTTTCCGTTCAGGGCTATGCTGTATGTCTTAGAATCGGGGAACACGGCAACAGTACCAATGCAGATGCGCATGAGATGTGTACCTTAGGTAGGTATACATCAAAGATGGCACATTGTACCAGCTACCACGTGGTTTTGTAACGAAGGAAGCCTCGGCGAAAATCTACAGTTGTCTAAGACATCTAAAAGGCGACGAGCATTTGATCTGTCTTTGAATACATACGTGAATACGTGAATACGTGGATTAAGGTGTGGCAATAGAAGAAGGGATAAAGACGGTCTGCGACTCGTGGCGGCTGGGCCGTTGGCGGTTGGCGATCTTATTGGGCGCGCTTTCAAGTTGGTGAATGAAAATAACTTAGAACTCGAAAGGCCATTTGTTAAATCCCTGAAATTGAAGCAAACAATTATAATAAGCGAGAACGTTGTCGGATCCGAGCAACATATTCTCATTGACCCATCACGCTTTATACCTGCTTAGCCCTGAAATCTTTCGCTATTGAATATTGAATGGCATCTATATCGGGATCATGTTGGGCGGTCAAGACGTGACGTTGGTCGCACAGCTCGAACATCAAGGGTCGATCATTCCTTGGCTTCGTAAGGGTGTAAAAGAAGATCCGTTGGAGAGCAGAACTAAAAGGCCATCTGTGAAGTGAAAACAGTTCTAAAGATAGTTGAATCATCCCTTACCTGGTTTTGCTAGCAATCTGGTCGGACTAAGGTACTTACACCTACTTACACCTAACCTAGGTAGTTAATTCACTTAATATCAAAGCTTCTTCTAGAAGCAAAACAGATGATTGTTTTCTTCAGCCGTATCTGCCAGTTCACAGTTCAGCCGGTAACAAACGTAATAATCAGCCTAGACAGCAGGCAAGATACCACAGGAACAAGATGGGACCTTGGATCGGGCCAAGACCTGCCAAGCATGGTGCCCAGAGATAAGGAAATGCGCTGTCCAATAGCAACGTTCCATTTTCTCCAAAACGGATGCTCGGTCCCCTGTCGACAATATCTGAAGCTAACGGCAGGGCTGCTAATCAGCGCTCAAGCTGGAGTTCCCCGATCCACTTGTATCATCTCCCCGTCCTCGTCGCGTTTGTCGACTCTCTATGTATTCTATGCAGTACGCGTGGGTACAGCATGTCTACGAAGACTTGTATATGAAGGTACCTTATAAATGTTCATTAGGTGCATTCATAAGAATCCCGAGGTTATATCAAAGTGGAAGCTGTTGCTGTTGCTGACGAAAGTCGAGCGTTTAATCAGAGTGTGAAACGATAACGGGAATAGACATGCCGTGAGCTGTTTGTTATACTATGTATAACATAAACATATTGTGTAACGAATTGGTGGTTTATCTGCCCAACCTGTCAAACCCACTCCAGCTTTTGATCTTGCATGCCCCATGCATACAAGCGCCGCCGCTTCGGGTTGACCTAGTTGCATAGGTAGTAACAGTTCCGAGAGTTTAAGCCCCATCTATTGAAATCTTGAAATCACTAACATCCCGACAGCTGTGGGCTGTAGCGCTGACTTCGGATGGTTCTTACCACGAGGCGAACTACCTAGCTAGTGGCGTAATACAATCGTGGGGCGATATTGCATAGCTATGGGATACCATGCAACAGGATGCTAGGATGGTACGACTACAATCGTTTTGAGGCTTATACTCTATTTGCTTTCGTGTATGTTAACCCTTGTAGGTTCCTCACACCACCCAATCGGCTGAGCGTTTATATAAGGTGATCTCTACTGTACGTATTGTTATAATTTTAATGAAAACACTGTAACACAATTAGATCTACGACACTGATATATGACTGATCATGTCCTGTACGTAGTATGATACCTGTATAGTATAATATGTTATATTCTAGTTCCTACCACGACAGTACTGATATAACAGGTCCAGATTACCGTGTACGAGAAAATGTCCCATATAAGAGGACGCGGCCGAGCAGACTCGCCATCCTTGACTTACCACTCTTCCTCGACTTTCCCTTCACTTCTTGCATCACTTGCTTCTCGGACTTCCACATCAACGGCAGCCACGAAGGGTATTTAAATAGCTTCAGCCAGAAACGAGGCTCAACGATAATATGCATGTGAAGATGGTGGATGGAGACAACATCAGGCCAGTAAATATCTCTGAAGAGAACACGGCGACCACGGTGGAATCCGATATGTACGTTGGCGGGTGGAACGGTAGGACAGTTCCGTTCCAGGAGATATTCTCCTAGTTCCACCATGGAGTCGACTAGACACAACTTGGTTAAAAATACTCCTTCTATAATATGTTGGTTACTGACCTAACGGCACATCCTCGAATTCTAGCTTCTCAACGTCGCGCCAGCTATGCAACTTGGGCATTATCAGCCAGTGATAGCGCCCCGCTTTGCGGATGTTATTTATCGCAAGAAGATCGTCATCCTGAGTAGCAGCATTAGTATGATGCAGCATCGTTTATTTTTGATGTTTGTCAAGATGCACCTCATAGATAATGTTCTCCTCAAATCTACTTCGGTCACAAAAGATGCAGTATGTTTGCACCTTTTCCTTCCACTCTAAATGGGTTAGGTAATAAATGAAAGACCATATCCTCTTCATCACGACGATGGAACGTAAGGTAGTAAGGTATGGTACCTAAATGGAAGGTTAGAAAAAGAGAGAGGCATGGTCTTTCATGATAGTATTGAAAGTATTAAATCGGATAATAATGTTTGACAAGGATCCGGGTAATTCCCGGCTGTCTTTCTGTTAGCCATTTTATGCCTATCAAGTAGTTTAGGACTATTACGAGATGGTACTGGTTGCCTCAAGGTATAATAAGACTGAAAGGGGTGCAAGTAGAAATTTCATCTCTCATGTTTTACTTGATACTGTTAGATGTATTTGCATAGTTTGATGAGAATGGTAAGCGCTTACTTATGGTCTCTGTTGTTAGGCATCGCCGAAGCTACCTTGCTCCGCCCCATGAGTGCAATCATGCTGGCTGGTTGGTTACTAGTCGGGGCTGTGGGAATGTATATATTTCCAATTACCTCGAAAAAACAAACATCTTTTCTTGTCTCCCTTGAATCAATTCAATCGGCACGGGCACTAGCCCAATTTACCTCGTCACGTTCTTTAGTCAGTGCTCTTTATTTGGGGCAGAGTACAGAGTAATCCCGAGTGGACATATGTAGTATAACTAGGCTCTAATAGTTAGAGGAACTCCTCGAGTTGTGCAATATTTTACATGCGGTAAGCCTGTCTTATCACTTTCGTACCCTTCATACACATCATCACCTAGTGATATAAGTTACTATGGACTCTAAAATAGCACATAAGTCCTAGGATACAAAGGGACAGGATCCGGGCAAATATACAGACCTTTTCAATGAGTCCTCTTAGCTTTGGTTAGGGTGTGTTCACAGGGTCATTTTCTGACATACATGTACCTATTTGATACCTTAACTGTCGTATTGAAATCTAAGTAATTTAAAGCCCTTATTAAGTGTAAAGCTATCTGATCTTGTTATAAAGATTGAGGAAAGTTTGATACCACGGGAATATAACTTTCCACATACATATGACAATACTTACTTTACTCGTCACTGGAAGCTCAATCAGGTAAGTTAATAATTACCTATTTACTATATTTTCGGAGGTTCGCTCCAAACTATTAGTTATTAAGTCCGTCCGAGGAGTTTGTCTCCGTTGGTGATATTACTCCGGGATGATATGATACCGTATGTCGGGAGGATGACGTAGTTACATCAAACTGAACGTGTTAACCCGGAGGTCATATGAAATAAAATATTGCGGGCTATGTCTATTGGGATAGCTGACACTACGTTGGACGTTGCAGAGGCATATCAGGGGCATATACATATCGTAGCATATAGGAATATCCAGCGCTCACGTACGGTATGATCTCTACCCCGAAGCCTCATAGTAACAATTTCGCAATCCGTTGCGGGGTTTTAGAACGGAGCTCTTTGTCTCCACATACCGATCCAACGTAGGGGACTTAGATGATGAGGAGGTATACGAAGTAGGACTTGTGTCAAATAAGCGTCATCCGAATTACTGATGTAAGCCGTAAGCGATACTTAGCCGCAAATGACCTGGAGAGTAAACGTAATGATATTTCGGGTATATACCCAACAAGATGTAGTTGACTACCTATTAGGACGTTGTCCCGATCCATTTATTGGTCCGGAATCTGGATGGTGTAATTGATGCAGGCAAGCAACGAACTGAACATTTACATCATTCGGGAACCAATACGTACCTAGGTTACCTTATTGTGCCTTCGGCAATAACATCAATGTGATCGGTGATTAGGATCTAATCGGTGATAAACTAGGTTAATGGATTAATTTATAGCATTTATCGAAAAATATATATATATATATGTATAGAAAAATCCGAGGTTTATATGGTAAGTATTTCGTAGAAACTATTTTAATATTAGTTATAATTTATAGGGTTTTAATATAGATTTGTATTGTATTACTTTTAAATTTCCGGCGTATTGAACATAGGAAGGACGCACGAGCTGTTTCTGCTCCGGCCGCTCGCATATATTAAGCCCTCCCCGCTCCCTTCTGGTCTCCTTCAACAAAGTAGTCTTCTATTCAATCTTCACGTTATTCTCCACGTCTTATTTTACTTCATCATGGCTATCATTGAGCTTGTCTTCCCTAAGGTGAAGAATGACCCCGAATCCATCAAGGGTGCACAAGGGACCATCCCTCTCGCTTTCAAGGCTCTAAAAGATGGAGGTGTGCTACGAGGAGCAGCAGGTGCTATTATCTCGGAAAACGGGAAAGATACCACCGGCGAATTTAGAGAATTCATTGCTCTCGGTACGCGGGCTGGTTGGCCCATATCTTGTTGTTGAGTCTCTAACAACTGCTAGAATGGCCTGAATTATCCTACTTCTACAAGTTCGTTGAATCCCCTGGCTACGCAGAGTATAAAGCCGCGGCACAACCCTTTTCATCCGGACCACCGGACTTGAATGTCTTTGAGACGAACCCCGGCGCGCATCTATTTGATGGCCGTCCTATCCTGGATATACTGCTCATTAGCCCTAAGAATGCGTCTGACGATGAAGCGGCGGCTGTCTTGAAGAAGGTACAGTCGACGCTAGAGAAGATCAGTGACACTGAGGGTGTGTATGGAAGCTCCTTGAACCTTCCTCAGAAGAAGATCACTATCGTGAGAGCAATTGCAGACAAGGCGGTTAGTATTCAAAGTCCTCTTTAGGTGCATATGAGAGCTCAAGTTACTGATATTAATACACTTACAAGGAATTGGATGCCGCGAAGAACGCCTCGGCGCGCCAAGAGATCTTGAAGGAGATCGGTGGCTTGGCCGAAGTGACCCAATTGGTTGCCGATGTTAAAGTGATGCCCTTCTAGAATGATCAAAGAGATCAACGACATCAGAAGTAGTTAGATTAGGTACTTCTACTATTATTTCTGATATTGATTGTAGAAAACAAGATCATAAATGAAGTAATATTTTATTTGGCTTAACGGTATTCGAAGAACATGTGAAGTATTAAATTAAACCAAGCTTGTTTGTTAGGTATATTAACCTCGATAAATCCTTCCATTAACTTTCCCGTCTTGCTCTCTAAACCGCTCAAACTAAATAAGATGGAATCAAAAGAACTCATGATCCACGATTTGGACTGCCAGATCTTTGGTCCCCTAGTTGATATCCTCGAAGAGTCACTTCTGCTTCTCGCTTCGGGGATCTGTATACCTACCACTGATTGGGGTTCTGGAGAGACTGAAGTAGCAGCAAGTGCCATGGAATCCCAAGTTGCCACAATGCGTCTCATCGCGAATCGAATATCAATCCCGATCCCCAATGTTTATGATTTCGATGTAACTGACAATAATGTAATCGGCGCCCCCAAATTTTAAGACAAATTCAATTAACCAGTTGATGCACCAGATTTCTTTAAGACATAGTCCGTTAATGGTTTCAACATGGAAACGTAGTAACCGGCGTAGCGTAACTAAGAATCCTCCTTCTAAATTGCATATCCTATAATCGCCGAGTAAGTACTTCCACCAAAAATTCCTAGGGTACAGAAAATGACCCATACTCTGAACAACTTAGATTCATACATTCGATCTGAGATATCTGATTCAGCCTTGAGCCCAGTCATCACACCAATAGGCAACAATTCAATCCCAACCCCCATGGCCTGTCGTTGGGAATCATCATGTTCTTGTGGTTGGAAGAGGGGGTGAACAGACGATGCAGCTGATTCGTTATGGATAATACGTTCACTATAGTCTGAAACATCGTGACTATAGGAATTTCTAATTCCCCCCTGATCTCTGCTGTGTTGCGTTTCTATAAAGAAAGTCAGCATATATCTAGATAAGTACCAAATTAGCTTTTCTGCTTCCAACTAGTACTAACCTCAGAATACTTCCCATGTTGACATCACTGGGAGAACTAAAAGTAATAGCGGAAGTATCTGGCCGAAACCCCATTTATTTTCGCTGCCATTTATGACTTCAGAAGAGACTGCATCCTGTTTGATAGATATGACTTCAATTATCAACGCTAAGGTCACTGTGTAAGCTCTCCAAATATCAATGAAATGTGACCTTATAATTTCCTGGAAGGTAAAGACCAGAATAAATATGACCCAAAAGATTGGCCGGACTATAATGGTCACGATAGTATACATGGCCCAATGATAAGAAAGAGTAACGAATGCCTTTATGGATTGGGTTTCCGTATATAATTGATATGTCGAATTAGCAGTTTGCACATATTGCGATGATTTTTTATCGATCCAATGTAACATCCCCTCAAAGCACGTTAATATAAAATTTGAAATGCGTGGAATCCTTCGGAAGATAGTTGGATATAGACATCTCATGCTCTCGATATAGGCCCAAACAGTGACAATTAAGTTGAAGCTGAGTAGAACGTCCGAAGTCGTGTCATGGTGAGAATCAATTAGATTGTCCCAAATACACTGGGTAGACGCTCCATACAGCTCCAGGAAGTTGACATTGAACACTGCAAAAATGCTTGGGATGATCATACCAAATAGGATCGTCATCAGAATCGTTCTGCATAGCTTCATTTGAGGATCTCTGTTGGTGTATCCATCAAGAGCATACAGAGCAGGTTGGTAGACGTTGAACGCAATACCACCCAAGGAGGCGACTATATCGAAATGGTACTGCGTAATAGTACAATGTTGAATGTAGCCTGCTGCCATTATCGCCAAGCCTGTGACTAATTGCTGGTCACTGGCCGCTAACACAACTGGTTGTATAGATTGAAGAGTCCACGGTTTCTTTATGGGCCTTGTAAACCGTCTAATATAACTCCTCAATAGATCATCTAGTCGCACGGCATATCCTGAATATGGGCTGAAAACGTCCGCGTGTCGAGATGAATATTCGACACTCGTAATCAAAAGACTAGACCATGCGGAAATTAAAAAGGCCGCAATTACCTACAGCATATTGAGTATTAGAAACGAGGTATATTGGAGAATACGTACTCCAATTCCAGCCTATACGATGGTTAGCCTAGTGAGACCTACGATAATAGAGTATGAATACCTCTTACAATATCTGGATCGGCATCAAATGTCTCCGAGGAGCAATCTGGTTCGACAAGGCAGGCTAACATTTCTGTTTTCTTTGAGTTCGTAGATAACAACTTGCGAGTTTCTTGAAATAATGATCGGATTTAGATTCACTACTTTCGGTCAAAGATACATGAAAATTCAAGAGTTGGTAGTATACAAGACCCGTGGTCAGTGACTACCATTACTAAAAATGATATTAAAAAGCTAAGTGGAGTATAGTAGTTATTAATTAACCCTTCATAACGTAACTTGCTACCTTTTAGCTAGTATTTAGATTACGAGGTGGCTTGCTTTAAATCGACAGCCTACATATTAGTGGCGGCTAATCCGGAGAATAGTCTGCTGGATTCGTGTATTTTAGGTCTAAATCATTATTCTAATTCTGTTACACATGAAACATGATTTGTTAAAGAGCTAAATTGGTATTGGGCCTTACAACCGATCGATCGCATATTATTTCCATCTAGGACGTTTTTGCGATAGTTCCCTCACCGAAAGACTAGCGAAATATGGTCTCGCCGGTGTAGAGTTAGAAATACTCTAGGCAAATTTCCTTTTGTTACAATAAGGCATTGAAAGTGTAGGAAATTGGGTCTCCTGTGACGATACCTAGGTTTAGATTAATTTATACCCCGATTTACACCCTAGAATACGTCCAGCGCAATCAATATGGCAGTTTGAGGCGTGTCACTACTACCATACCATACCCCTGTATGAGGGTATCCCAGAGATTATGCTCTTTCTACAGGTCAGTGCCCCCGTTTTGGGAAAGCTTTGGGAGCTCCGCGTGGAATACAACTGCTCAGTGGTGAAAGACGCCTTGGAATTCACCATCTTAACCAGAAATCGGTGTCGTCGTATAGTTCTGGGTATTATACGGTCGGAGGTCAAGACCAACTGGCATGGATTCATGTTCAAATCCCATCTCCTCAGCAACACATCTGCATAAGCAACATTTCATCAAACAAATTTCATGTCAATAATTGGTGGGGATATGCCAAAATAGGGGTTATTCTCAACTCAACCGAGGGTGAGGCCGATCCATCTACCGGAACTGAACCTACCTCTTCTAGTTGGGATGGAACTTCCAAAGTACCTAGGCATCCTTGAGTACTCCATGGAAAGTTACTCTTAGAGGTGAATATTACTACTACTCAGACTTCGACAGCGCGATCTACCCTATCATTAAAAGAATGGGTCAGTCCCTTAGGTGCCTAATGCAAATTCCAAACGGGACCTTTTCAAGGAAAAGCCCCTTATTTTTAAAGTAACAAGTCTGAACTTAACATTGGCCCTCTCATTAACTAAATTATGCTAGACGGAGAAAGATTTTGTTACTGAGCTCTTCAACATTTAGTCAAGTCGAACGATACGATATATGGTCGTGTTCCTCCGAAACCCATGTTACTGCTGTGACGAACTTATACTCAGGTATGTTGAAGTATAGTGTCGGTTGGTTTTTGATTTTAGGTAAACAGTAACAATACAAGTCAAGGTGGTAAAATAACCAATACTGAAGTGTTCGTCAGGAAGGCTTGGAGTACTTCCCCTGAGTATGTGTTAGATATTAGGCTTAGATTGATAGCTGTAGAATGAATGACTAAATACACAAGGAGATCCCCCCTTTTATATTCATTCTACCTTCTATATGGTCTGTTGGATAGTCCGGATCGCCAACTGTCCAAGATATCCAGGATAGCTCCAAGAGCTGGCTACCCAGCTATTGAGATTCTTCTCTCCGGGGTTTACTTGTGATAGGTCGTCCGGGGTCCTTAGACCCGGTTGGTCACACTCTGGGTCGTAACAACTGCTACTATTTTAGGTCTGCTATCTTCCACCCTCCAGGGCAAAGCTTTTGAAAGACCTGATCAGGATCATATTTTGCCGCTGCTTGCTTCATTTTATTGACGTTTTCAGCGCCGTAACTCCCAAGAACGTCTTGTGTTTTGTCCGCATAGTTCATGTACAGCCAATCCATCAGTCCGTTCTCTATGCCAGATGCGAAATCCTTTATAATTTGAAATCCTGCTCGAAGCTTAGGATAGACGATCGCCGCATGCTCAGCTGTATTCATCATGGCTGCGTACTGGAAAAGGATGGCGTTGTCGGTGTTTCGCTCAATACCCATCACATTCCCACCCCCTGCAGCTGAGTGTTTCGACACAATTGTAGGTAGGGGTTGGAAGATACACTGGGTGATAAAGTTGCCATCCGAGACAAGTGATTTGAGCTCTTCGACGAGTACTTCATGCACCTCCGCGGCTTTTTGCATGATGCGTTTGTCATTCTTGAAGCAGAGAGTAAACCATCCGTCACTTCAAATCGATGAGATTCTGTTAGCCATCAATGTCCCATGAGGAAGGAGGCCAACCCGTGGATTTTACTTACTGGTAGTTAGGGGGGAGTGCGATATCGAAGGATAAGCTATGTATCGTTGTCTCCTTTGTTGTATCTACGAGTTTAGGGAGTTCATACCACCCTTTAAACTCTGGGCCGCTAGAATCATTGTTTCCTTCAAAGAGAGCGGTTGATGCCACGTTAACCCCAAAGTTGGGGAAATAACCGATAACAGCCATAAGGTAGCTGTCCGGATACTTAGCTTGCTCTTCCGTATACTTCCACATCACATCGATAACCTCGGGAATAGCCGTTTGCGGAGAGGCGGCTATACCCCCCCAGATCCTATCTGACGGCATGGTCGGCATAGTAAACCTAGTGACAATTCCAAAATTGTTCGAGCCGCCCTTCAATACGCGGAATAGATCCACATTCCTATCTCGGTCCGCCGTGATGATTTGGCCATCCGCTAAGACGATTTCATATGACAGTACATTATCACACTTGGATGGTCTGATTAGCTTTGTGTGTTATAGTGATACTCGTAGTGGTGAGGATGAATAAATGAGGTCTCCGTTAGGCGATTCTAATGTTAAGATGACTTACAGCCCAGCCATTTTTTGCTGACATCCATGTACTACCACCACCCAGGAGCAGACCCGAGACGCCAACGTCACCACCCCTCCCTCCGGCCACAGTCCGCTTGTACTTGCTTAACTCTTCGTATACGCCCTTCCACCTTGCTCCCGCGCCAAAGCTCACCGTCTCAGAGTCAGTATCAAATATAACCTTATTCAAGAAGCCGAGATCAATGGTGACAGCGTTTGCTATATTATTAGTTCCCGGAACTGGCGAATGACCTCCACTTCGGATAGCGAACTGTCGCTTTAGAGCCACCAGCGCTTTAAGTATCTCCGAGACCTGTTGAGAAGACTCAGGAAGAACAAAACAAGATGGGTTGAGCCGACTATTAACAGCCCAGTACGAGTCCTGACGAGAAACATAGAAAGGATCCCCAGGAAGCAGAACTTGAAGTTTCAGATGGGGGTCAAAAAGGTTGGTTTCTTGGGAGTCGGAGGTAGTGGGGTTAATTAAAGCCATCGTTGAGCAATAGTCGAAACCAAATTTGTGTTAGCAGTAATACCGTGCCAGAGTAGATGAAGGGGAGAACTGGGAGGTTATATGGTAGGTTGAAGGGGGTAAGATTAAATCAGAATACTCAAGTTATGAAATAACAGATGGGATTTTCGGCTCCTGTGGTTGGTGTGTATTTTATAGGGGTTAACTACGCAACCAACAATACATGGTCGTAACAATCCATGTTGGTTTCTTGCTTATACGTGCTTTCATATATAAAGTCTTGCATATACGAAGGCCTTCCCTTACATCGTACGGCCCAATCCTCAGGCGACCTTTAAATTCCCCAAAGATTATTTTGTAGCTACCTTAGTAGGTTAGATACTTAACCTAGGCAAGAGTCTAGCTTTATTTTTGATAAATATAATATAAGCCATGACATCTGCACTCCTTGATATCCCTTGTTACGAAAAGGACTCAACTCCAAATAGTCATTAGTTTCCAACGTCACTCAACGGCTCGAAGATACATAAAACACGTCCCGGTTGCGCAGTTACCTGATTTTTCATATCTCGCCACATTGTCTGGGGATCGTACTCCGGCGCAAAATAGATCTTATAGCGACGGAGCAGAGTTGAGATGGTAAGACAGAGCTCTGTGTGAGCGAGGGATTTACCTGTACACATGCGATTGCCTATATTTCATTGTAAGCTTAAATCAGATAACCTACCTAGGTATACGGGAAGGAATTCGTGTCGACACGTACCGAAACCAAATGGCGCAAAAGCGCGTTCGTCACGGACGAGCTCCGGCCTTGAGTACCAGCGCTCAGGAATAAATTCGTTCGGAAATTCAAACGCGGCTTCCACTGCATTTTTATTAATAAGATTAACATATGTACCTAATGTAGCAAGGCAATAGATATCACGTCTTACTCCTCATTATGACATATTTAGGTGCTATTATAGTAGTAAACGGTGGAATGAATGTGCCATCAAATACAAGACCATTGGGCCCTGTGGTCCTGGCCAATCCTGTCATAGCTGGTGGTACTAGACGTAATACTTCATTTATTACCCCATTTAGATGCGGAAGGGTTAGTAAAGCATCTATGTCGTATGGATTTAAAACTTGAAGCTCAGATCGAATCTTGTCAGCATGGATGGGGTATTCCGACAAGAACCAGAAAGCTGCAATCAAGGCGGCTCTGCTCGTATCGCTATATAAAGTGAGTATTCCTACTTGGTGTCTGTATCAGGGGCTGCGATAGAGAACAAGACGAACCTTCCAGTGACAACTGCCGAAAGCACTGTTCCGCTTAGTAAAAGACTCCGATCTTTGTCGTTCATCGTTTCAGCGTTTTTATTATATTCTTCAAGGAAGAAGGAGGCCATATCCAGTTTTAAGGACTCGGTTGGGCGCTAATTTGACGATATCAGTAGCATTACGGCATAGGTGGAATATGGCTGTACCTGTATCCTTCTCCTTAATTGATCATCGCAAAAGGAGACCAGTTTAAACCAGTCTTTAACTTTTCCTAAGAAAGGTGTAAATGAAAACCCAAAACGAGCTATCCATATAGCTCCCTCAAGAGGCCCGAGAACAGATAATGCTCGATCACGATGAACGATTCCAGGATGTATAGACTTGGAACGGGTAAGACCAAAGTCCTCTCCGAATAAAATATCGCCCATTGCATCAAACGAGAACCAAGTCATGACTTCATCAATGTCTACGGGGGTGCCTTCATAGTCTGATATGCTTTGAGAAAGCGTTTTAGTTAGTTCTGCTATTCGTGAACGATAAGCTTCCATGCCTAATATGGCAATGTCAGCTACTTAACTCAATATTGTCCTCTTGGATATTGATGGACAATACGGGGACAACGCTGACATTTCTTAGAAAAGGACTGTGTCCAAGATCTACGCCATTCTCTATGCAGGTCGTCGTCCCGCGCAAAAATAGCTGATTTATAGGGCTTCAGGAGATCATACCAAACATCTTTGGTTGTTTGGTTTTTTGAAATTTCTATCTCTTGAATAGCCGCAGGGTGGAAAATAGTAATCTCATTTGGCCCTAGACGCAATTTTCTTTTCAGTTGTGAGGCAACCAATGTTGTCTAGAGGTGGAATACGCTTACCTGTACGGACAAACTGGCCATATTCCATATGTAACTTTTGGAGAAATTCATGGTTTTTCGAATCGAGAATATGAAATACGTGCCATAGCTTCGTCACGGCGGCCATTTTTGGACCTGGGAAATGCGAGGTAGCGTGAAAGAAAAGTCTATATATCGTCATACTAATGAACAAGGAGGAGAAGTAGCAAGAGATTATTGTTCCCAAGGCAATTGTTGCGATCCTTAGGGAGCTATAATAACCTGCCAGGGTATAAAATATGACACCCATAATAATTAAATGACTTGCAATGACTTGCGCAATTCTCATATGCCACTCTCCCCGAATGAAGATTCCATAGTGCGCTGCCACACCTGCGACAAGGCCGGTGGTAGCTATAGGCAGCATTGTAACAAGTGAATACCAGGAAATGAGATATTCGATATTCACGGTAGGTCAAAAGAGGATGGGGCTACAAGCTACATGGAGGTATCAAGCTCCTTACCTCATATATTTATATACGTCCTATCCGCATTGTAGACTGATGTAACATAGAGTCACGGTATTATATGAAGTTCTTACCAAAAGCCCGAAGACAAGTTACATCCAGGCGAGTATGGCATATCATTCATCTGCATGTATACATGTACGCGCTTGCGAAAAGAGATAAGGCTCTTCTATCTGAATTACGAGGGAGCATATCTATACCACGCCATGGTGTGTATGGATATAAACATCACCTACTGTAATTGTGCAGCATATTTATATTTACAATGTTACATTCGGCGTAATCCTTTCAGTAAACTGCAAGGACTTTCCAATTCCTAACAACATAGGACCGCCTTTTCATGGCATAATGCACAACGAGAGTGGCGGAGTCAAAATTCGAGGGCACCAAAATAGCAGGTTATACAAATATGAAGTCTACCATTATCTCGGCTAAACACTCGTTCCCCATGGTAAGTCATCAAGATGCAATATTATCCACCACTACAGTTAGGCGAATTCAACTCCAAATATAAATAACCGATAATAATTCGAGCTATTATATTTCCATGTTGACACTTGTCAAGACCATCGAACCGTTTGCTCGGGAATCTAGACAGTCTTCTTTGCCTCAAGTAATAATAATCTGTCACACAATTAATACGTACTGAATAGGCGTTATATAAGGTTTAATTCATTATATTTTTGATAATCTGATTGATTGAGGTAAAATCGTGGAAACGCGTATTATACCGCTATTTTATATAAGACTAGGGATTTTTAAGTTACCTAACATAATATTACATAACTAATATATATTAAATAAGCGTTATATAAAATTTAATTTATTATATTTCTAATAATTTAATTAATTGAGGTAAAATTGTAAGAATGTATATTATACCGTTATTTTATATAAGATTAAAGATTTTTAAGTTATTTAATATAATTAATTAATTTAATATATTTTTTTAAATGCAATCAATAAGTTAATTTAATTTAAAATATTTTAATATTTTTTTATTATTTAAGTTATTAACGATTTAATTTTAGTTCGGAAAAGGTTTTTAATTGTTTTTAATTGTTATTAATATGTATTTTTTATTTTATAATTATTTTGTTATTTAATTTTTATAATTGCTTTGTTTATAATAGATCTTTAATATTTTTTAAGGTTAATTAAATCTTAAATTGTTTATGTAAATTTTTCATAAAGGTTTTAATAAGTTTATTTACGATTATATCTTTTAAAATAATATAATGAACTAGTGTGGTGTTACATCGCCAAGAGCAAGGGTATTATTATGTAATCTTAAGTTATAAGCCATATAAAGGTTTAATATTCGTTATATTCTTTTGATCAAATAGCCACAATTATTACCATTCAGTTATACATTCAATATAGATACATTCGTTATTTTCCTATATTTATAACTTATAACCTTATTTTATATATTTATTATATATATCCTATCCGATTAATAGATCCTTACAGTTCTTCCAGAGTATAATGTTATTATCAGTTATTTAGGGCTTTTTACGAAGATCTAAACATTGAAATGATATGCCATACTTTACAGGAGATACTGAACTGGTGCTAGTGTATCAGGTGATCTTAACCCTGATCATATAATTATATTCTTAGTATAAATACTATTTATAATCGCATATACCTATTTTATATAATATTATCTACTTTTAATATAAATTATTTTTTTTTATTTATTAATTTTATTATTTAAAAATCTTTGATATTAAGTTTAATAAAATTTAATCTAAAATTAAAACGTTTAAATTTTATTTAATAATAATTTTTAATAACTTAAACCTGCAATATTAATTTTAAAAAAACTATTATTATCAAAAATACCTTATTGTAGTTTAATCGGATAATTTTTTACAATTAATAAAACTTATAATATATTAGTTAATAGTTAATTTTACAATAATTTTATTAATATTTTTAATTAATAGCTTAAATATAAATTAAATAATTTAATTAAACAATTTAAACCTTATATTAATTATATTAACCTATTTAAAAATATTTACTTATTAATTAATTTAGTTATATTTTAATATATTAATTAATATATATAATATAATATAATTTTATTAATAGTTTTAACAATTACATTACTTATTAATTAAATTAATACAATTTTTAATATTGATATTTTTATATTAAAATTTAATTATTAGTTTTAAGATATATAAAAATTATAGCATATTTTAACTAATTAAATATTAAAAAATAAAAAATAACCTTATTAAATACATAAAAGGATTATAAAAATAAAGTTGGCAAAAATATTAGTAATTACTACGTTTAAAATTATATTTTAAATTATTTAAAAATAATATATAATATTTTTTAGGTTATATTATACTTAATATATAAAATAATTAATTATAAAAAATTAATAATAAAAAAGATAAATTAGTTAATTAATTAATAAATTATTAAATTTATTATAAAGAAAATAAAAACCCAATTAATATTAAAACCTATTGAACTGGTGCTGGTGTATCAGGTGACCTTGACCCTGATCATGTGATCATATTCTTAGTATAAGTACCATTTATGGTCGCACACACCCATTTTACATAGTATCATCCACTTTTAATACAAGTCATTCTCTTCTTTCATCATTTTCATCATCTAAATGTCCTTGATATCAGGTCTAATAGGGCTTGATCCAAGGCCAAGACGTCTAAGTCTTGTTCACTATTTAAGTTAATATTAAAATATTAAAAAAAATAAATAGCTTAATTACAAAAATTATATAATATTAAAATAAAAAAGGAAATAAAATTAACCAAATTTATTATAAAAGAGGTAAAACTATATAATAATCTTTTTATATAATCTTTATATTACAATTTTTATATATATTTAATTTAATAATAAATATTATAATCAAACCTATTATTATACAATTTTATATAATTAAAAAATATAATTTAATAATATTAAATATTTAATTAATAAATCTTAATTAAATTAATTAAATTATACAATATATAAATTTATTTAAAATACAATTTAAAACCTAATAATATTTAGGATATTAAAAAAACTATACTATAAAATTAATAATTAAAAGTTTTAATAATCCTAATAATTTAAGTAGTACAAAATTTTTTTTTTAAAGCTTAAAATTTAATCCTTACTTATATTATTTTATTTTTTTTTTTTTAAATCCCAACTCCTATTTTATAAGTCAAATTTAATTTCTTAACCTTAATAAAATTCAAAAAAAAGTTATAAACTAATACTAATATATTAAATAATTTTAACCCTAATTATATAATTATATTTTTAATATAAATACTATTTATAATTACATATACCCATTTTATATAATATTATCTATTTTTAATATAAATTATTCTTTTTTATTTATTAATTTTATTATTTAAAAATCTTTAATATTAAATTTAATAAGGTTTAATTTAAAATTAAAACGTTTAAATTTTATTTAATACCAACTTTTATTTAATAATTTATTTTAATATAATTTTATTAAATCTTTTAGTATAGTTAATAATTATATATATTTATATACTTTAATTTAATTTTTAATTTTTTAATATTTTTATTAATTAATTTAATTATTTATTTATTATTATAATTAATTTTAATAATAAATTAATTTAAATTAATTTTAAAAGTGTAAATTAATTTTATAATAAATATAATTTTTTTTATTATTTATAATAAAGTTAGTAATTTAGTTTTTATAGTAAATATAATTATTATATTTTATTTATTAATTTTTTAATTTATTATATTTTTAAATAATTTTATTATATATATTTAAAAATTTTTTTAATTATAGATATTATTGATAAATAAGGTATTGTTTATAATTTTAAAAATATTACTTTTTTTTAATTATAATATATATTTTTATATATATTTAAAATATAAAATTATTTAATTTAATATATTATAATATTTTAAGTTAAGGTTATAATTAAATTATAAAAATTATAAAGTTATAAAAATTATATTTAAATGTGTAATTATTATAATATATAAGATAAATTTTATATATTATTAATAACGATAAATATTTTTAAGTAAAGTTATTTTTTTATAAGAAAATAGTTTTTTTTTAATTATTAAAATATTTAAAATTTAATTTAAAGGTTTTGTAAGGTTAGTTATTTTATTAATATATACGGATTGATTTAGTTAAATAAATTGCTTTTTTTGATTTTTTATTATTTTAATATTTAAAAATTATTATAAATTATTATTTTTAATAAGTTGGTAATATTGTTTAAAGTTTTAATAAGGTATATTATTTTTTTTTTAATTTTAAGGTATATTATAATAATATTATTAATGTAAATAAATAATAAAATTTTTTTTTTAATAAATATATAAAATTTTTTAGGAATAGGTTTAAAACTTAAAATTTTTAAGGTTTTAATTAATTTTTTTTACCATAATAAAAAAGATTTTTATAATTTATATAATATTTTAAATAATTTAAAAATATTATTTTTTTTTAATAATTTAATAATATTTTTATAAATATATTTTTTTTAAATTTTATATTTATAAATATATTTATGGTATTATATTAGATTAATTTAAGGTTAAATTTTATAACTATTGCTATTAAAGTTTTAAAAAATCTTTTGGCTAACGTTAAAACGTATATTTTTTTAATTTTTAAAATTTATTAATTTTTTTAAATTATTAACCTTATTTTAACCTTTTATAAATAGTTATATTTATTAATTTTATATATATATATTTATATATAATTAAGGATTTATTTTTTAAAATATTTAAAATTAAATCGTAAAATTTTTTCCTAAATTTTTATTTAATAATAATTTTTTAAATATATTTTTTCGGTTTTTTTAAATAATACTTTATAAAGGTAATTTTTAATATTATTATACCTTTTAAAAGGTTTTAAAAGGTTTTTTTAATATATTTTTTTAAGTTTATTTATTTATTAAAAATTAATTTTAAAATATATTATTAAAATAATTAGATTATATTAAAAAAATTTGCAAAATAATTTTATTTTTTTTATTTTATTAATTATTTATTTTTAATAAATTTTTATTTAATTTTTTAATTTATTTATATTAAATATAATTTATTAAATTTTAATTTGTAGGTATTTTTTATTAAATAAAATATTAAAATAATTTAACGTTTTAAAACGTATTATAGTTGTAAATAAAGTTATTAATAATAATAGATTTAAGGTTGATATAAGGGTAAATTTAATATTTATATAAAAATAATTAATTTTTATTATAATATTTATTATTTTAAATTTATTTAATATATTATTTATTAATAGTATTAAATTTAATTTTAATATGTTTATATTTTTAATATATTTAAATTTATTATTTACTATATTATTATTAATAATTTAAGTAATGATTGGTTAGAAATTTTAAATAAATTAAAATATATGATTATATTTTTTAATGTTTATATAAAGTAAATTATTATATAATTTTTTTTTTAATTTTGTAAGGTTTTTATTAAATAACTTATTTTTATTAAAAATTATATTATAGGTTTTTATTACTTTATTTATATGGGAATTTTAAATTTTATATATATTAATTGATATATAATTTATTAAAAAACCTATTTAAGTTTTTAAGTTTAATTGATATTTTTTATTAATTTTTTTTAAAATATTTATTATTAATGTGTAGGTTTTATAGTTATATATTTGCAAATAAGCTTATTAAGGTTTTTTTTTTTAGGTTATAATACTGTTATTTACTGTTATGAATATATAAAAATAATTATATAGAAATTATTAATTGTATTTATATTACGGTGTATAATTGTATAAATATATTATAATTTTATATATTTTTAGTTATAATAAATGTAATAATTTTATATTTATTTTTATTATTTTAGTTTTATTTTTAATTATATTTTTTAAATATTTAATAATATTATTTTATATTTATATATAATTAGTTAAAGATTTTAACTTTATATAAAAATTTTTAAGATAATTTTTTACTATTAATTTTAGTTAAATAATTTTACGATTTAATTTTTAGATTTATAAAGTAATATTATATTAATTTTTTAATAATTTAATAAAGTTTTTTAAGGTTATAATTATTATTTCTAATTTTTAATTATATAAATAATAATTAAAAATTATATTAATTTATTTATTAATAATTAGTATAAGGTTTATAATTTTATAATTATTTACTTTTATTGAATAAAAATTAAAAATTAGTTTTATATTAAAAAGTTTATTAATATAATGCGGTATATGTTTTATTTGGCGTTTTGTTTTAAATATATTATATGTTTTATATTTAATTATTATAAATTTTTTAATTTTTACCTTTTTATTAACGTTAATTAAGTGTTTTAAGGTTTAAGGTTTTAAATATTTTAATTTTAGGTATTAGTAAAAAATAATTATAATATTTAAGATTTTTATAAATTTTAAATTTAAAATATTGTAATAAATATAAAAAATAGTTTTTAAAATTTTATAAAAGATATTTTTAAGTATAAATTAATTATAATAATTAATAAATAAAACTTAAACGTTTTAGTTTTAGATCAAACCTTATTAAACCTAATATTAAGGACTTTTAAATGATAAAAATGATAAAAAAAAGAAATAACTTATATTAAAAGTGAATAATATTATATAAAATGAGTATGTGTAACTATAAATGGTATTTATACTAAGAATATAATTATATGATTAGGGTTAAAGTTACTTGATACACTAGCACCAGTTTAATAATTACAGATAGGTTTATTAAAGTTTTTATAAAAAATTTATATAAATAATTTAAAATTTAATTAACTTTAATAAATATTAAAGACTTTTTATAAATAAAGCGGTTATAAGAATTAAATGGCAAAATAATTATAAAATAAAAAATATATATTAAATAATAATTAAAAACAATTAAAAGTTTTTTCCGGGTTAAAATTAAATTATTAATAATTTAAATAATAAAAGAATATTAAAATATTTTAAATTAAATTAATTTATTAATTATATTTAAAAAAGTATATTAAATTAATTAATTATGTTAAGTAATTTAAAAATCTTTAATTTTATATAAAATAACGGTGTAATATGCGTTTTTATAATTTTATTTCAATTAATTAAATTATTAAAAATATAATGAATTAAACTTTATATAACGCTTATTTAATACGTATTAATTATGTGACAGGTGCTTTGATTTATTAGTTGATTTCAACATTTTATTACCTCCAGTAATCTTGCACAATACCTGATAATTACTATGTAAGCACCTATAGGATTACTTATGAGTTTGTATACTGTTTTCTACACTTATAAATACTTCCCTATTGATATGTCTTGGGGTTTCATGCAAGTTCAAAGTTCTTTTTCCCGCTGTTTACTTACAGCTCTACATTTGTATCACATAAGCGATTCAACAGGCGTTAAAACGCGATCTGATATTTATGTAGAGTTACCATCCTTATTAAGTCGGATGTAACAAAAGTTTGTGCAACAAGGTTAAAATCCTTCAGATTCCATACCAAGTATGAAATGCATGATATCCTGCTTTTCCATTTATTTAATCGACCCTGGTGACGATATCATATCATACATGTTATGATAAACTGTTGGTAGCACCATTTTCTGTGTGGTGTATGCCTCTACGTTAGGTAGGTCGCATCATATTAGGTTAAAAGTTAGATCCTCTTTATTTGTTATAATACGCGTTTGATACCTGCATGTGAGTAAGGTATCAATGCCTTACACACGACACTGATTCATCTACACAGTTCCTAACTTCATTGCGCCCAGCCGGTTGCGAGTATAAAGACATCCAATACTTAACAAAAGTATGATGTACAACAAACACAACTGAGGTTAAGCCCAAGTCTAGGTTTTAGTACCGGAGTGTCTAAAAGGCCTCAATGTTATATTTGAATTCTTACACATTTGCTATAACTATCATCAAATCTATTAGTCCCCATGGCTCATATTGTCGAAAGCAAGCCTGAGCAAATTTCCCCAAGCACCGATATTCTCCCTCGTCTAGTATGTCTCACAAGCAAGAAAGTCCAGAAGGCTCTCGTACTCTTCTGGCTATTCACTGTGGACGACGCTGGTACCTTTGTTGTCCCTAACGTGGTGTTTGGTCTCTGCAGCGCTCTGTCGGCTCCAGTACTATCCACACCTCAAAATGACGCCGCAAGCATACTAATGCAACTCCCCCTGGTTATATTTTTCAACTGGTCCAACCTTCTCATATTTGACCTAGCAAACCAGCGGCTCCCGGAGTCAGCTCGAGAGGATGCGTTAAACAAACCCTGGAGGCCAGTTCCTGGAGGGTTGGTTACACCAGTCCAGATTAGACGAGCTATGCTTGTTTGGATTCCGGTAGTTCTTATCACGAATCATATCTTTGGAGTCGGGACCGAAACATCTTTACTATATGTGCTTACGTGGCTATACAACGACCTCATGGGCGGTGATGAGAACTGGATCTGTCGAAACATCATTATTGCAGCTGCGTTCTGGCTGTATAACACCGGATCTGCCAAGTTAGCCGTCGGTGGCCATTCGGCACATATTACTGAAAAGGGGGAGGTGTGGACGATCGTTGTAAGTGGGGTTATCTTAACGACTATGCATGTTCAAGACCTTAAAGATCAAGAGCGGGACCGTGCACGCGGTCGTCGATTGGCACCATATGTGCTTGGAGATAGAGTTGCTCGGTGGACGATATCTATCCCGGTTTTCTTTTGGTCGTATTATTGCACATGGTTTTGGGGAGTAGGAATGGCGGGCATTGGTAGCGTTGTGCTTGGTATGACTGTGGCTGTGCGCTGTCTGGTTTGCTCAGGGAAACATGCTGATAGAAGGACCTGGGAACTCTGGGCTCTATGGACTGCAACCCTCTATATGTTGCCTCCTTTATGCCGATTCATACAAGCCTAGAAGTCAGATACAACCCAATGGTGGTATTGTAGGGCACACCCACCTTGCCGAACTATGAATTATTCGTTTTTGATAACTATTGTTAGATGTCTACCTATATAACAACTATCGAATGTTAGACGTGTAAATGGAACACAATGTCCCTGTCATGCCGTTGTCACGCATGTGATTGGAATACCGAATGGGGGCTACTGTGCAGCCCGAAATTCCCCCACTTTCACTACCCAACAAACAATCGGATATTCTTGTCCGTTATATAGGTAGGTACCTAGGTAGGTAGTTGGATACCTACTAAAGGCTTTGTATATGTTCTTACACTCCAGTGACTGATGGTGATATATCTACATGAAGACGCGAGGTAGTCTGGTGGAATACCGAGTAAGCTCCATAATAGTTCCCAAGGCTAAGAGGTAGTGGGTGGTCTCTAATGTGTATGTGTGAATAGGAAAACTGAGGTTGGGGGCACAATGGACATCTGAGTTGCGCGATGCCTCCTGACCGTGGTGGCCCATATTTCGATCGCCAGTGTGATGGAACCGCATTTATCCTTTACTCCAACGCTCAAAATTGTACTTCAAAGTGTCGTTATTAGTTTAGCGAATTGACGCAACGATGAACTCTTCGTGGTTCATAATAATAAGGGTAAAACTTTACCCTGCGTTAACGAAATACCAATTAAATCGGCACCAGACAGTTGTTGTAGGCATTAGGTGTAAAACGCATAATATGGGAGTAAATCTTTTAGGCATTTTCTCTCTCTATATAACACTCTCCTATTGTTATTTCGCACCCAATAACCTGTCTATTAGTAGAGGCTCATCCCTGTACGCCATCCGGGCGGAGGAAAACCTCGACAGATCCCTTCATTTTATCCTCAAGAGCCTTTCTCTCTTTCGGATTGGCTGGCATTGGTGCTCTGCATATTGCTACGCCAAAAATCTCAGAAGCTTTCCTTTCCCATGCCGACCTTCGTTGTATCGCAGCTACATCAATAGTCCCTAATCCAGTACTTCGACGAAAGCTGAGGCTGCGCCTCCCTATGGTAGGTTTGAGAGAATTTAAGACCCCGAACTCTTCCTTATTGAGTGGTACTAGGTCATTTGCGACCCGTGTCAACATAGACATGAGGAATACGAAGGAAATGTTATAATAAGGTGCCGTTGACAGTATATCGAGGATGCCGGTCTTGGCTGCTTCGACATCAGCAAGGGTCTTCCCGCTCCCTATATTAGGTAGAGCCTGTTCTATCTTAGCCCATAAGGCTGTAGTGATGATCCCATCTGGCATGCTGCGAAGGAACAGTAGGAGTACCTCGCTCACAATTTCGAGGCGTTTTAATGTCGGCACATCAGCTCGGATAGTGTCTAACACAGACCTATCCTCCTCTAAAGCTTCAACAATGGCTGCTCGTAGTTCGTCATGATCCTCGGCATGAGACGCTTGCCACGCACCTCCGTCGAATGGCCAACCAGGCTGGTCGCGTGGTACCCTTGCTTCTTCTAACATGTTTTCGTCGGCTATTAACCGTTCTACCAAGGTTTGAACGGCTTCTGTAAGCTTAAAAAGCTCACCGGGTGATGATTTATGTACTTCCAATGTATAAGGTATCGACCCTCCTTTTTGTCGCCCCTTCACTAGTGCTCTGATGCCACCACCGCGCGGAACTCTAATAAGTTCTTCAAGTGAACGCCCGAAGCAACTTGGTATCCAAGTGGCCTTGATCGGGATAAAATGATCCCTCCCATCAGTGACACGTAATATTAGCACATCCTCTAGTTGCGCTGTTTCTTCGTTTAATGCTTGTATGTGAACAAGGTCGTAAATATAGGCCTGTATAACAGCATTGACTGTTTCCCCCGGCTCCAAAGTGATTTCATCGCCAAGGGCATCTTCTATCTCTCCATTGTGGCTGACCTCCGAGCGGACGAATTTGAATTCCAACCAATTCGGATATTCGCTTGCATCGACTGTGTTCGGCTTTTCGACAAAAGAGAAATTCGCCGGAACACGTCCGGTATTAGCAATTGTCAGAGACCGAGATTCTCTTCGCAGGAACCCGATCTCACCGAAGTCAACTCCTTCGCTCCCATCTGCCGCGTGCTTATTACTGTTATCCTTGTTGATTGAGTCTTTTCCGTCAACAATAACAGTAATTCCTGGTCGCCCTTCATTCTCCGCTCGATCAAGTTCTCTTGCCACTTCGGCGTGGACTTTCGCCTTTAGCTCGGGAACTACAGCATCGAAATCCAACGTAAACATAGAAACTACTGGTTTGTGATCTGATGACATGATCCGCTGATGGCTGGTATATATATCCAAGGTGATTTTATCAACAAAGCCTTCCTTCGTTACAACATGTCCTGTATCCTCATCCCCCTCGTCATATTCATCGTATTCGTAAGAATTGGCGTCGCTGTATCCCTGGTTGTCGGCGCTTGAATCAGTAGCAGGATCATAGTCAAATAAAACGTTCTCGTCATCCGCAGCCTGGTCAATGCCTCTTTTTTGCATATCTTCGTCCTTCTTTTTAGCGTCAATTTCGTCTTGGCACTTCTTTTCATATTGACCTATATCCGTGCGCGTGCGATACAAGATGCGATCGCACCAACTTGGGGATCGCTGCTTTTCAGAAGAGTCAAAGAGTCCTACAGTACCAACATCATATTTATAGGTTGGTAGAAACGTGATAGGGCCTTCATGCCAACCTTCGTGAAACGCTTTGCGCTCTTTGATCATACGTTTGAGCTGGTCATGTGGGAGTAAGGAATCCAGTGTGGCTTGTAAAGATGCCGGATCGTCGCGTGGGTCAGGGACGAAGTCATCTGGATCTGGGAGCTCAGTACTTTCCTCGCTAGAATCTTTATCGAAAGATGCTTCACGCGAAATCATTCCAGGGGTATTTATGCCATCTTCATCGTCATTGTTGCGTAACACAATGACTCCGTCGTCGCTGAACATCTCCCCGGTATGCTTCTTATTCACATCATACTCGCCGCGAGTATGTAGCATCAGTAAGCGCCGGATATCTTCTCCAGGTAAATCATCGAGGCGAAAGTTTAGATCTCCGAACCAGAAAGAAAAGTCCTCGTCCCCTAATTTTTCACCCTCGTCCTCGAGTACGCCGCCGTGATTAATAGGAGTAAATTTGGTCTGTGTCATGACTCTATTATAGTCCCAACATCGTCGGTCAAGACTGGTCTGATCATGACCGGAAGCGAGATGGCAATTAGTGAAAACGAGTCGGGTGGTTTCGCCTAGGAGGATGCGAGATGAAATTGCTCCTTTATTACCCCAATAGCCCAATAAGCCATATATACCGGTTCCAACGCTAATAGTAGACTCGTTTGAAACGGTCTCAGCTACTTCGGGAGACGCGTATATAAGTAGAAGAAGGCCGACAAGTTGCTCACAGGCAACAAGTGTGTAGCCCTTTGGTAGGGCAGCTTCGAGCGCATCTTTCCATTTCGCAATAGCAGCCGGGTCGGAATAGAAGGTTTGGGCGACAATGTTCAAATTGACGATTTCCTGCAGTCCAAGAACATAAAGCCCTATTTTATCACCACCTAGTAGGCGAACGGTTGGTTCTTCATTTCCATCTTGGGTAGTCTCGTCGTCCAATTCCAAACTCTCTTGAACCCTTGGATTAATACTGTGCCTCCCACTCGTCTGTGATCTAGCATCTTCGAACTCATCTGTTTCTAGTTCCGCACTCTCCTCGGAAAAGTTCATCCGAGCCAGCTTCGAATCCAGCTGTGGCTCAACCCCTTTGCCGTCAACGAACCAACTCGCCAAGTCTTTGTCGGTGCCAGGGCAACCAGCAACATTCCAGGACCCAACCTTTATCCGTATTCGATGGGATCTGACATATTCGGACTTTCTCGCACGCACGGCGCGGGAGAGAGAATATTGGTTCGAAGCTTCTTCCTCGACTGGTTCCGTGTTCGACACAACGGAAGGGTCGCGATTAGGGGATGACATTATTGGTTATATATAGTCGAGCTGTTGAAACAATTCCCCGCGGCGAGGAAATATGAAATTGAGTAAAACGAAAATGCGGTATAGGATAGAGGAATAAATGCCTATATCAACTCTTTGTCGCGTGCGCTGAACTCGGTGTAGAGCATCGTGAGTTGTAACGTATCGAGGGGCCGTGTCTAGTTTAAACACTTGAAAAATATAAGAGGGCGGATAAATACAATAAAAAGGACGTTCACGAACTATATTCAAACGAAAACCGGTGTCGGAAAGAAAGTGATATTAAATCAGAATTCCACCGAAACAACAAGATGATTAAGGGAAATACGAGGAAGTCCATATAAATGGAATGAAGGACTTTGGGCTATTACCTCACATGCATGTTTGAGCTGTACAAACTAAAGGTGAACTGTGCTTGTATGATTGTATGTAGGTACCTACCTAGGTTAGGTACGTAGGTAGGTACGTAAGGTATCGATTAGATAAGCCCATAGAAGCTCCATTAGGCGGGGGCGGGGTCGGGGTCTTGGAGCTAGCATGTACCGACATGTACATACAATACCTAATTGTGTTAGCCATCGACACCAATTTTAGAACCCAACAACAAAGCAATTCATACTTCTAAGTTCTTACACAATTAACCTCACGCCTCATACCCAACATAGGACCCAACATAGGAGGTAGCTAACACAAACGGCCACAAAGAACCTCTCGACTCCGCTCAAACTCAAGCGCAGAATGTCTCAAACAACAACACCCCGCAAGTACCAAAGCCGGGGCCAGCAACAACACCAACAGCAATACCACCACCCCCAAACCATCCCATCCTTCTCGCGCTCGCCGCATTCGCACCCGCATCCACACCCGCATCTCCAGCAACAGCACCCTCAACTACAGCATGGTCATGCGCGGAACAGGTCCCAGCAGCTTCGTGCCCAGGCAGCAGAGTTACAATCCGGCGACGCCACAACCGCGGTTGCTTCCGACTACGAATCAGATACCGCATACTACATGGCTTCGCACCCACCGCCTACCGCCGCCGCCGCCCTCGCCGCGCGCACCAACACCGAGCTTAACTTGAGCGTCCTCCGTCGTTACCGGCCCAGCATCACCAGCATCCTGTCCATCGCCGCCCACGCCGTACTCTACGTCTTCACGCCCCCGACCAAATGGGACAAGTCCTCTATGGAAGGCACATTGTTCATCTGCGCGCAGGACGAGGACGGAGAGGCCGCCGCCGCAGACGGGTGTCTGTTCATATTGAACCGCAAAGGCCTGCAGAATCTGATTTTAGACCTAAACACCGTCAGCGACTTCGAGCTGGCTACCGACTTGCTCAGTTTCAAGCTTGACCAGGAGGGTCCCCAGATACCGATGGAAAACGGAGAGTCCGTGCGGCCTAAGGTCATCGGGATGTGGATCTACGCCGACGACGACCAGGACCGACGCACCAACTCTGCTCTCATCCACGAGATGTGGTCAAAAGCCCGTTCTACCCAAGACGAGGCGGGAGGAGCTTTAGCTAGTCCCCCCACGAGTGGATCATCAGGTGACGACGTGGAGGATGTGTCCGTAGCACAGGGGCCTGGCCGCCAGGTCAGTTTGAACGAGCTGTTTGGTAGGAATCAGAACGGTATTGGAGGACCTTGAAAAGACGAGAGGCAATTATCCTTGAATGAGTGAATCGAAACTAGGGTTCTAGGCCGATTTTGCAACGGCATTGGGATGGGCAGTTACAAAAAACAGTCGCATTTGGCGTTCAAGGGATACCCGGGATAGGCGTTGATCTGCGGATAGAAAAATACATTTCATCTTAAATTATCAAACGAGGGTATTATGACTCCCATCAGTCACGTTGATATTTACCTAATTATCCCATTATTGTTTATCTAACACTCGTATATATCTCATTCAACTATGCCTATCACGTTAATAAGAGATCCCATCCTTAATTCCGATGTTTCGATATTTCGATATTCTTCAACAAGCTACCTCGCTAGGGACACGATACAGCCCAATATCATGTGCCAAGCATATAAACAAACATAACATACCAACCCGGATACATAAATTAAATGGTGAGGCTAGGCGATACCACCTTTAAGCATACCTACCTGTCGTAATTATCACTTCTCTTATACCCCAAGCACCCGACACCCAGCCCCTTTTTAGAAGTCATACGCACAATTTAACTGAAGGGGTGTAACGTAATATCCCCTTGAACGAGACGAGCGTTAGGACTTGATTGCCAAAATTGTAAATGTCGATGCTATTGTTAGGTAACTCGAATTGAAGTCTCATTTTTCTCTCCATGTATCCCTTATAATACAGAGTGCCAAAACCGCTCTTAGAAACACCGTTGCTAGTGACTATATTCCGAGCTCGTCTCGCGCAGCAGCGTCTATCTTTTGCTCGTATGTAAGCCATTGAAACACCTAAAAGCATAGTCTGGAATCATCCCCAATAATCAGTTGAAAAGCTCTCCAGGGTCCATTTTCGCCACAGCATTACCAGCCGTGAGCCAGACCTCCCAAAATTGAGCCCAAGAAATTGTGAAAACCGTATACACCAAAAGGTGTACGTTTCTAAGCGAAAGTACGCCTAGTAAGCTCTAGCCAGTGTCATGATACCTCTTCTCCTTCCTCTTCTTCTCTAAACTTTAGACCACCTTCGACTTGGATTCCGTCGCGAACCCATTCGTGCTTGACCACTTTCTCCATCGGCCAGCGACTTCTAGCTCGCTTAAGAAGACCTTCGGTAATTTCCATAGCGCCCTTCAGGCCTTCACTTTCAAATTTGGCCTCGCTCGCGTCATGATCGCCGTCATCGCCCTGGTACTTAATCCATCTCCATTCAACACGCGCGATCCTGTGACTCGTCCTACTTCGCATTCTTTGCGCATCGCTAGCACCAGGAGGGGGATCAAAAGGAAGTCGTGATTCGACAAGAGCATATAGTAAAACACCAAGTGACCAGGCATCGACAGCACGCCCATCATACGGCTGTCCTAATATGACTTCGGGTGCAGCGTAGTCGTCCGATCCACATCGAGTTTCGAGCTTCTCATCATCGGCCACGCGTCGCGACAGGCCCAAATCCGTAACCGTAGTCACGGAATATGGATATACAGCCCAATCTTGGTCTCGTTTTGTAAGCTCGGATGGCGGGATATTCACTAAGACGTCTATCAACCTCGTTAGCAAACGAGAGCTTATTATACAATGATTATAATTCACAATGTTACTTACTTTCAAGCTTGATATCCCGATGAACAATTCGGCGTTCGTGAAGGTATCCCACTGCACCCACTATCTCGGCAAATATCCTTCTCAACAGTGGGGGCGTTAAGGCATCTCGATAGGTCGTCGCGACGTCGAATAGGTCGCCCCCAGGACAATAACTTAATATTAACAATGCCCTTGTCGGTTCTATGCTCCAGGCTTTCAAATGAACCAATGACGGATGGCTTATCGATCGCATTATATCGAGCTCTCGTTTGAGGCTCATTTCAATCCGATCTTCTGAGGCCCCACCCCGAGGCCCATGTTCACAAACTTTGACGGCCACCAAAGTCTTACGATCTGGTTGGGTACCATTCATGGGGGCTAGTAGCCCATTCGTCCCATTTTGGGTCGTGTCAATGGCTTCGTCGTCGGCAGCCACCTGGCTTGTAGCTAACATCACTCGGCTAAAGGTTCCCTGTCCTAGCTCCTTAATAGCACGCCATCGCCTAAGTCTTCCATCATATCGACCACGAGCCTCGAAATATTCGTAACGTGATCTTTTAGAGCTGGCGTTATCACTGCTCTGTGACGACTCGCTGGGGGGGGGCGACGGCGGTTTTGTTACTGGTATAATGCCTCGCGCAGCTGACATATGCGGTTCTCGGCGTAAATGAGGGTCGGAGGTGCCATCCATGTCATTCTCATGAACTTTTCCAGATACAGTGTTAAGTCGTTTGGGTATGCCCTTCGGATCTGGTATGTATTCACTAATACTCCTGTTCCGGCCATGTTCAACCTTGCCGCTGCTGATTTCAGCTGCGTGGCTGACATTGAGTCCTGCATATACCCTCCGCTTGGTTTGATGAGCCAGTGCAGAAGCAACAGATTCACCGGCTGTGGTTATAAGGACTGAATCAGGCATAACTGGAGGTAAAACCTCCCGCGCTTGCGACGAGCGGCGGGATCCAAATCGCCTCCAAGGACCGGGTGACTCATTACCTAGCAATGGCGATGGTAGAGGCGTAACGTCGCCCATAGCAGATATCATAGGACTTGGATAGGTTGAACTTGCCGCAGAGCTGATGCTTTTCGAGTAGTGTTGCTTGAAGCTAGGGGTTCTCGAAACCGGTCTCAGACTCGGCGAGGAAGTCTTTCGTTGCAGATTCAAAGTTGAGCGGTACGATGAGAAAGTGCTAGGGTTGCTATTAAGGCTGTCGGATCGTACCGGAGAGGCAGGCGGTACATCAGTCGCGACATACAGAGGATTACTGCCCCTACCCAGTGGTGATGGGAAGTATGACGGCTCTTCAGGAGATGAAATTGGTTCGTCTGTCTGGCGTTGTGGTAGAGGCGGAGAAGGGGCTATCGTATGCGATTGGAACTGGATTTGACCGTGGGGGACTGGTAGTATCGAACTCATCGGCTCTTCGCATAGGTAATTGGAGGAATGTGTGGATTCGCCATTATAGGATTGTGCTATGTTGTTTTCCTGTACATGACATCGATTTAATGCGTCAGCAGCTGTTAAGAAGGTATGCGTTCCGGCGGTAGGTAATCCGTTAAGAGGATGTGTTTGCGACACAGATCGGCGGTCGTGGTCTGCGAGAATGCCTTCCTGCAGAAACTGAGACTGAGACTGGGACTGGGGTTGAGTTTGTCCGCTAGACATATTTAATTGCTGGCTGAGCCAGTACGAGTTGACAGCGGCTTGCTTGACAACTTTGGGAACGGTGTGAAACGATGGACGGGATCTTGTGTGTGTGAATGACTCGAGTCTCAAGTCTCGAGTGAGATGTAGGAGGGAATTAACTAGCAAGGATTAGGAAAGCGTTTGTGTCAAGGGTTGACAGTGGTCTTTTTTTCTTCTTACAGGGAGCCACTTGGTACTGGGTCGGAAGTCTAGTGAAGCAAGTACTGAGTACTGAGTGCTGAGTACTGAGTGCTGAGTACTGAGTACTGAGTGCTGAGTACTGTAGCACGTTGCACGTAGCAAATGTAGCCAAATACTTGGGCTAGCGACGGCAGTCGGACGGAACAGACTCCACTATTCAGAGGAGGAAGTTGAAGATTCACGTTCTCGATACGGCGCCGTGTCCGGCAGCTACGCTTCGTAGTTGATAAATAGGTAACAACCTTGTTTCTAACGATGGGGTTCCGGAGAAAGGTATACGTTAGAATGTAGTTGAAGGTGGCGTTTAACGTACGCGGCTAGTACTGAGATGAGACGAGACCGGTGCTGTGCATCCAGTCTTATTGGTCCTAGGTCCTAGGTCCTAGGTTCTAGGTTCTAGGTCCTAAAGCGATGCGAATAATAACAGGGCGCAGCCAAGATAGCGAAGGTTAGAAACAGAGGAGTCGAGTCGATTAGAAACTCGGCGGCGACAGCGGCGGTACAGTATACACCCAAAGTATTGTACAATATCACACTCCGGAAGCTGTGAGTTGTAACGTTGACCTCAATCTGCATTAGCTTAGGCCGTGGGCGAGGTATAATACAGTGCAGTGCAGCGCGGGAAACCTGGTTGCGACCAGGGTACGATGCGCGTCGCCTCGTGGTCGAATGAGATAACTGCTATACAGTAGTGCGGTGCAGTAACTCGCAGTTTATAACACGGACTTTAGATGTGCCGCGTATTGCAGCACAACGAGTTTGAATCAACAGATATTAGGAAGTATGCAGTTAGAAAGGTTTTGTTTGAGATACGAGTAGCGACCAGTTAACCATTGACCACCGGCCGAGAAGGACGGATAGCGAAGGATCGATATTAGAACGTGGGGGGAATAGGTATCTAATAATTGTAAGATTAATCAATTAAATGTAAGGGTAGGTAGGTAAAAGATAAGAATGTCAATAAATACTGGAGTAAGTGAACGTATCGGGCGAGAACAAAGGTGTCTAGGAGGTAGGCATCGATCACCTATTCAAAAGATTGTTGTATCGAACAGTCTATCGAACAGTCTATCGAACAGTCCTTTACCTCGATACCAGTGCATGTATGTAGAGGGAAGAAGATTTAGTTGTAAACGGTACGAAGAACCGGAGGACTCCCGTTGGATGTGTAGGTAGGTACATTAGATAGGTGGTAGGTATGCTGGGTGGACCCAAATTTGGGGTACCTAACGAGATCAATGCTTTAGGTAATTTTGATTTACATTAGGTCAGGTGGTCGCCAGACGGCGGTACTCGAACAACAGGTATGGCCTGACCAAGTTTAAATATTTAACTTCGCTAGTACCTCACTAAGAATCCCAAGTGATAGACTGACAACCTTAGATATAGTGTACGCACGCTAAAAATCGTAATGTCCTAACCTGGTAGTCCGTAATGGATGGCGGATGTCAGCACCGAACGGGTAAGGTGGAGAGAGATTCCGATGTGTAGGTATACTTTATCTGCAAGCTGGGTATTGCCTATCGCCTGTATGTATATAGGTACATGTACAATACAATATTGCTTCAATGTTTCAGTTCCCCAAAATCTGCATTGAATTTCCCAGGTTCTTTCCAGTGCCGTCCGTTATCTTTAAAAAAAAAAAAAAAATTTGTTCGTCCCCCAAATCTTATTTAAATGATATCACTTCTCAACTTTTCAATCTCGTCTATCAAAATATTATAGACGCTCGTTATCTTTCCTAATTGAAGATACTATTTATAGATCGTTAGGCAAATTCTAATCCTAGGTAGATACCTAGGTACCTCTTACAAGTACCGCATCATTGCTTATGGTTTGATAAGCCAATTCGTCTTCCAGAATGCACGTCATCCAGATATCGCCATTACTGTATGTACATCAATATGCTTGCCCAGGCTGCCCAGACTGCTTGAGGGGTCCGTTCGCTCTGATCTTGAAGAAAGGGCACAGTGAGACGTTTTAGTACGTTGAACCGCCCCAATTCAAAATACGTATTGTACCTCCTTTTATTTTATTTTGCGATGCGATCCGACATTCGTCAATTACTTTTACTTAGGTACCTCCTAAAGCTAGATCGACTTCGATTTCCGGTCTAGGTGGTCTAGGTGATATGTGCGGCGCTGATGTCATCTACGCATAGGTACAGATCATACATGCTACCTAACGTACAAATACTAAAGTACGCCCAACTGGAGACACACGTGTACGCCAAAACGACTAGGTCATTAATATTAGCAGCTAGGTATGCGCTGACGATCCTCGGTGCCTACATGCATATGTACCTATGTACCTACTACATAGAGCCATTAAATCGAGTTTGTAGAACACGGTCCAATACTGTGCAATTTCATTGGCTCATTCCTTTTGTCTAACCGTCTCCGGCCATTTGCTGGGGTTTGCTTACCCACCACTGGCTCGATTTATCGATATGCTGAACATGTTAGTTAGCATCATTGGTATTCCGTACGTGCAAGATACAAGAGTATCCAAATGCTTCAACCTTTAAAACACGACGTGAATTATTTTACTTCGATTAAGTTATTAATGTTACACCGGCTATTATTAAAATCTCGAACTGGGATAGAAACTTATTTGGCCTCCACGGGTAACTGTTAAGTTATAAAAAATAACTATAAGGTTAAACTATTTTATTCTTTGGCATTATTCTATCGTGCCAAGGTGTATTAACCCGAAAAATAAAGGTTATAATCAAAGCACATGAGACGTAACACGTATAAGCATTAAGAAGTTTAATTTAGTAGTCGGTCCACATAGTTGAGTTTAACACAATATCTCACTTCTTTTCTTAAACTAATATTTTAACCCTTTTTAATTAACTTTTCACCCTTTTTTTTTCCTTCCCAATAAATTCAGATATTTTTTTTGCCCGGAGATAGTGTTCAGGTTGAAGTTTTACTCGACTAGTTATGTTGCCCGATAGTACAGAAGAAACTAATTAATAACTATGTATAAAAATATGAAATAGTGCGGATGGGACATGAGACCTCGGAAATATATCTCAACTTTATCTTTCTAGATCTCTAGCCAAAACACCTACCAAATGAGTTTGTTCTAGAAAATGTGTTTAGATCATTACCAAATGCTAGTATCCCTAATATCACAACCTCTATACTATTTCGCAAGGTTCCCGGTAAAACAATTCGGATGCTGGAAGACTGTATGGGAAAGTTTATATAGACATATATCTTGAAATCACACCATTAAGGTTGGTCATTGACGGTATATACATAGGAGAAAGTCTATCTATCTAGCATGACTCAATATACGGAGGACATAAAAATATATAGAAATAGATGTCAACAGGGAGATATAAATATACAAGGCATCTAAATACTATTAGCTAAACTACATTGCCCTAGTATGCATATACCAAAAACCTTGATGCCGAAATACCCCTTCATCCTAACTATTGGCATTACATACCTAGATAATATTGTCTAAAAGTTAGGTAAGGATAGAGGCTGCATATTCTAATTAGCAATCCACGTAAAGATGTTTTAACGGTGAAAATGAAAATTTCCCGAGAACTCTGTTGGTACTTAAGAAAGGGAGGTGGCGATGGTTCTCTACAAAATATTATTCCCACCGATCCTCCGACGAGCAATCCCCCATCGCACTTCTCAGTACTGATTAGCCTCAAACATCTCGGATTCCCTAGCCTGTGAACTACTCAGATATACCAATTAGAGTATTGATCGAGGCTCGGCTTGAGCGCTATTAGAAGCTAACGAGGCGAGAATGCGCTGGACAAATTGTACATGCCAGGTAGTGGTTTAATATAAACGTATTAGCCATAAGCACTTACTTTCTTTGAATCTATATTTAGATATTACCTAGGTGGTTGTTAATGAATAATTGTGTTGACTTGCCCATTGGAATATCATCAAGTTATAAATTAAGAGCTATCTCTTGAGTTTAACTAACTAGGTCCTTAAGGCACCTAGTTAACTACACGTAATGTAAACATTACGAGTTGTTTGCCAAACAAATCTTAAACAAACCCTCAACGAGACAATTGACCACTCTTGCTTCGCTAAACATCGTGGAATTAGTTGCCCAGGTATTTATTTTCATCTCCTGACATTATTGCCGATGCTGCGAGGGGCGGGCCTTTAATTCTCCAACTGAGCCGCATAAATGCCGACGTGGTCTCATGTTGGTAAATATGACACGAGAAGGAAGACAATTGATCAACTAGCGTCCGAATATTATAGTATAGTCGGATTCCGAAAGAATTAACCGATCTGTCTTTGCTTTACAATACCACATACGTACCGAACTCGCTAAACAACTAAACATCCCCGTCTATTGGAGCAATACTCCCCTTTACTCCTCCGAATGGCTTACAAATGCCGGGGTATTGGATGTAGTCTCAAACCTGGAGTGCGGGGAAGCGATGAACTACCATCTACGACTACCGAGATGATCAACCAATTGAGATGTGCTCGTTATAAGAAGAGATATATCTCCAACATGGCCTGTTTGTTCTCAATAAATTTTGTTCTTCTCATTTTAAGTACATGAGTTTTTTTGCCATGATGGGTTCTGTTAAGTATTCAACACAATTTGAAATCAAAGAGGCGCCTATAGATGGCCACCGGCCCATGAAAGTTCGGGTAATAGGGGCTGGCTACTCCGGAATTTACATGGGTATTCGCATACCACAACGTTTACGCAATATCGACTTCCAAATATACGAAAGAAACGAATCAGTGGGTGGTACCTGGTGGGCGAATAAGTATCCAGGTAAGAATCAGTGTTATTCGTCTTGGTCATTGCTCGTATAGTTCGCTCACATACTATAGGATGTGCATGCGACATCCCAGCACATTCTTACCAGTACTCATTCAATCCGAACCCTGACTGGTCTGCTTTCTACGCACCTCAAAAAGAGATATGTTCATATCTCCAAGGGACAGCTGAGAAATATGGAGTCCTCAGATACGTCAAGCTATCACATAGCGTAGAGTCCTGTCGGTGGGATGATAACAGGAAGAAATGGTCTAAACATAACTCTCCAGATTAACTTTTCCGTGCTTACGTAGAAACAGGACCTTAATGATTAAGCGGACTGATACCAACGAGACTTTTGAAGACGAAGCTGATGTGCTGGTTTCTGCTAGAGGAAGTCTCAGCGACCCTGCTTGGCCGAATATCCCTGGTTTAAAATCCTTCAAGGGGGAAACCATGCATTCAGCATTATGGAAGGAAGGGTGTGTTTAATACTGGCAATATGATGCGATGGCTTAATCAACTAACAAGTAATAGTTACGACTTCAAGAATAAGAGAATTGGAGTTATAGGGAACGGATCTAGCGCTATACAGATCGTCCCAAAATTACAGAAGATTGAAGGGACGAAGCTCTCATGTTTTGTCAGAAGCAAGACGTGGATCACGAATCCTTTTGGTGATAGTACGTCCCTCCTTTCATAAAAATAATCTTCTTTATATATTGACAACCGCAGGCGTGATGGAAAAGCTTGGATTGGACCCGACCAAATTTGAATGTGAGTTCTTACGATTCTTGTCCTTGATTTCAGATTTGATCTAAACCATTTCTGCGAAGTTACGTCGGAACAACGTCAAGAATTTGCCAAGGATCCTGAGAAATTCTTAAACTTTCGCAGGATTATCGAAGTAGACGGCAATATATCCCACCCTATTTCGTTGAGGGAATCGGAGATGCAGAGAGAAGCGATTGGGTTATTAGGCGAAGCAATGAGACAGAGACTATCAAAGAAGCCCGAAATCGCTGAATTCTTGATTCCCGCCTTCGGAATTGGTTGCCGGCGCAATACGCCAGGGCCGGGTTACCTCGAGGCACTCGTTGAGGACAACGTAGACTTCATCACTGACCCCATAGAAACGATAACGGAAGGAGGAATAACTCTGAAGTCAGGTCGCTTAGTTCCCCTTGATGTTCTTGTCTGCGCTACAGGATTCAATACCTCGTCGGCGCCACCATTCCCAGTTTACGGACGTACTGGCCAATCGCTACAGTCACGCTTCACACCATACCCCACGGCATATCTAGCACTTACAGTAGATTCATTTCCCAATTTCTTCATGATGCTCGGCCCGAATGCAGCCATTGGAGCCGGATCTCTAACTGTTATGCTAGAAAACCAAGGCGACTACATTATAAAAAGTATCCGAAAACTACAGAAAGAAGACTACGCTAGTATGACGATTAAGCCCGAGCGTATGCGTGACTGGGATGAGTACTGCGATGAATATTTCAAGCGTACTGTCTATACGGACGCGTGTCATAGTTGGTATAAGAGCCAGGGAGGTTTGGGCGAGCGTATCGTGGGCTTATGGCCGGGGAGTGCACTCCATGCGCTTGAGGCTCTACGAGCACCCAGGTGGGAAGATTATGACTGGGAAAGCATTGATGGCAAGGGGTCGAACAAGCTGAGGTGGCTGGGGAACGGGTGGAGCATTACGCACTCCAAGGGCGAAGGAGATAATGAATGGGGTGGTAACCCTGCTTGGTATATCGAGCCTAACTTTCTGGATATTCCTATTCCAGGGAACCCGGAGGACGACAAGGACCTAAAGATGCGACCGTTCTCACATTAGTTGTTATCGGAATAATGTTCATTGTACTTAACTTTCGGTATTGCAGCTTAATCGAAATCACGACTTTGTTACATTGACATATGATATTTGACCGGGTTGGGATTATGTCTGGGGTATTCAGAACCTAAGAATCATGTCAAGTTACATCAATGAAAAATATCCGTAGCTTTTTTCTATTATGGCAACTGGAGGTCATTTACCTGTTACGCTACTTTGACGAACTACCGAATATGGCGAATTCCACAAACCTGATTGGTGGATAAGCCGTAGCAGGGGCGGAAGACATTGATGTATGATGCGGGGGAGAACAAGGATGTGTAAGTGATATCATAAGGTAGGTACTTGCCTACATATATAATCTATATATACCTATGTAACAGCCGAGAACTTATATTTGACAAGTATCCGACTGGTACTTCATTTCAGATGGCCCCTGGAGCTCTCCACGTAAAAATCAGTGTCCTATGCTTCGACGACACAGACTCAGGGGTAAAAGGATATCAGACTTAGAGCATCTCCCTGAAGGCAAATATTAGGTAACCGGAGATTCGGATGTGGCGGAACAAGCTTATATGGTAAGAAACACAAAGTTATTTTAAGATAAGTCGCGCAAGATCAGTCCCGTTCTTGGCAGTGATGACCATACTGTCCTAGAAGCTGAACTACATCTTATAACAGTGACGACTACGCGTTGCTTATTAACTTAAATCCGATTTCACGTCTATTCCCATGATTTTCAATACTCAAACCGACCAACAAGTGAAATTAGCTTGCACTGGGTTACGCGTTCACACAAGGGGCTTGGCTGCTGTGAATCATTGAATTACGTAGCGCTCATACAACTGCAAAGGTTTAGGGGCAACTTGAAATTGTCTATAAATGTATCGAGCGACTCGAATAAAGGAGGGAATAAAATTAGCTTAGCGACTTATCTATTACGACTGCTTTATCGGTAGACATGGAATGATTGTCAGATACTGATTTACAAACCCTCTATTAGCCTTGACTGAAGTCTGGAAGAGTTGAGGTGAGATCGAGTATTGGGACCACAGGCCAGGAATTTATGTACATGTCGAGATAGTGGTTCTACTTAAATACCAAGGCTGAAACCCGAATCGTGAAGCTGGCTGGGAGTAATTCGCAATTTCTCAGCAGATATATTCCAACCTTAGATATCTATATCTCTATTAATTGATTGGCTTCTATTAACTATGAGGGAAGCACAGCATTAGCGCCTCGTAAGCGTAAGGTTTTAATCAGAAGGGCTAAAGCCTGACAAGGCTCGGTGAGATTTATCCATGATTCTACGGGTAAAAATGAGTTTGCAATTTCTAACGAAGATCGTCTATCGGTGTCAGAGATATCCCTTGATTGATGTCATACGTAGAGTGAATGTTAGAAGCAGCAGCGAAACTGCTGTATAGTAGTCGCGTAGTAGTAGTATAAATCTATTAACGCTTGACCCTCTATCCTCTTACAAGGGCGCTGTGCACCCCTTATATATATATATTCTACGTAGATCTATACCTGCCTAACTCATACTAGCTTCACTTGTCCCCTGACATTCGGCTTGAGTAAACTATACGTATTATATATTGGGAACCTCATGACGCTGCCTATGCCTGCTTGAGCATTAAAACAACTAAATTCCATATGGATAAAAGATAAAACCCCAGGGGATATAATATCCCGTAGTATAGTATCGCCATGTAATCTACTAATGACGTTAATAAGCCTCATAACAATCTTCTAAAGAATATTAAGTACATGATAAATGTCGTATCATACATTTTTGAGATTTCGTGTATTCCGAACCAATCGGTGACTATCCGTCAATCTGTAGTCTTCTTAAAGTACCCTATAATATTATTTAAAGAAAAAACAACTTTAAGATCTACATAAAGTCTTCTGGAGCAACTCCTATTGGTTCGGATTCTTAGATCTTTAAAGTAGGCGTATGTGACCCACGTGAGATCTACCTACCTACATGCAGGGCCCGGAGTTCTGAGACATTGGGCTCAGGTCGAAATTTGCCGCAAGGGTAAGCTTATGTGATTATTCAGCTATCATAACAATGATTTGGTTAATGTCCCGGCCTGTTGGTACAGATACTGTAGTATTTCTAAGCAAAATAAATCTGAGATCTCAGTACCGCGCCTAAACTCCATGTTTAACACCGAAAGATATGTGGGATCTACGTACTTATTTTTATACTTTATTAAAGAGTTGATCCGCGCATTCTTACTAGTGGAGAAGATCTATCGCCGTCAGTGATATCGTAATTCTTGGGGTTTACAGTAGCACTAATCATTGCGTATACCTCGACGAGGAGACTGATATGGCCTATCTATTCCCGTTCTTATTTGTTGAGCTGACTGGGTCGTTATCTCACCGATATGTGGTGGAATGTCCGGGGATTTTTTCGGCCACTGAAAAGGCATTCAGCCGTTCCAGTTATCAATGGCTCACCCATCAGTACTGTAAGAGTACATGCCGCGATATATGTGCTAATAGTGTATTCCTAATGATATCAATTGGCCCGGAGGGTTGACATATCCGTCGTGGAACTCGAGATTGGTATAAATTAGGGAACCCGGCCGGCATAACGCCCATGTTATATTTAATGTCATGGCCGATTGGTGGTTAAGAATGGTGCGCCGGCCTCAACATACTTCGTACTTACACCTCCATCGATTTGAGTTCTAACCTAATCCCTTGCTTAACAATCAACCCTTTCTCTGTTACGGCCGCCGTTCGACCTAGCGCTAAATTTACCAATAATCACCATTTTTATTATCTCCAGTGAAAACAGTGGGATTTTTAGTGAATTCTTTCAAATCTCGAAAGCTTATAACTACCTATTTTAAACTTACACGGCCTTCATACTACCCCTGAAAGGCTTCTCAGATTCGGCCAAGAGACGGATATCGTGTTTCATCATTTGTTTAAGCTGTTCCAAGATACTCGCGCCCGTGGGCAACGCCTGCCTGACAAACTTTACCTGCGTGGCTAATATACTAGGGCCATGTGGTCTAGCGGCTTGGGTGGCGATACCTCTCATCGTAGGGAGCTTGGGGTGCCTGTAAATCTGTGGCACCGTGAAGATGCTCATCTCGATAGAGGAAGATCGACCGGAACTGCGCAGGACTTGGAAAGTCATAATGAACACGATGATTCTGAATCAGCCGGTAATGGGGAAGGCACATGGGGTGAAAGGGACGTTGGTCACTTTGATGAACACGAAGCTATGGAGGAGCTAGAGGTATTAAGACACAACCTCTCACGGCTACAGGGGACAAGGACGAGGGACTCACAAGCTAGCAGACACTTCGACTTGACTCAAGTTCGAAGTCGTCGTAGTGAAGCAGCCGATGCGCTTTCAGCACAGGCTCGAGTTGAACTCGGGGACGACGAAAAAGCCGTAACAGAAGAGGAGGAAGAATTTGAGCTGGGGAAATTCATGCGTGATGGTCACTTTGAAAAGCATACGGAGCACGGTTCCGAGAAGCGAGTCGGTGTCATATATAAGAATCTCAGAGTGAAGGGTGTAGAGAGTGCTTCTTCCTTTGTTCGTACACTCCCAGATGCCATAATTGGAACTTTCGGTCCCGACCTATACCATATTGTTTCACGTTTCTTCCCCTTCTTGCGGTTCGGAAGAAATCGGTCGACTCGTACGTTAATCAACGACTTTACAGGATGTGTGCGCGACGGCGAGATGATGCTTGTTCTTGGCCGCCCCGGTTCCGGATGTAGCACATTTCTTAAAGCCGTCAGCAACGATGTCGATTCATTTGCGGCCGTCGAAGGAGAAATATCATACGGCGGTATTCCATCTAAGAAGCAGAAGCAGATGTATCGAGGTGAAGTGAACTACAACCCTGAGGACGACATTCACTTCTCTTCCCTTAATGTCTGGCAGACTTTCACGTTTGCGCTCATGAATAAGACGAAGAAGGGTGCTAAAGAGGAAATACCAATTATCGCTAACGCCTTGTTAAAAATATTCGGTATCAGTCATACTAAGGTAAGTAATAACAATAGCCCCAAACATGTCTCGGTAAGTCAGTTACTGACAAAATTAGTATACGCTCGTTGGCGATGACTACACTCGAGGAGTGTCCGGCGGCGAGCGTAAGCGAGTGTCCATTGCTGAGACGCTAGCATCAAAATCCACCGTGATGGCATGGGATAACTCAACTCGTGGTTTAGATGCCTCGACAGCTCTCGACTACGCCAAGTCACTAAGGATTATGACCGATATTAGCAATCGGACAACGCTCGTGACACTATACCAAGCCGGTGAAGGTATTTACGAACTCATGGACAAGGTTCTAGTCATTGACCAAGGCCGGCAAGTATTCTCAGGGCCCGCCAAGGATGCAAAACAATATTTTATAGACCTTGGATTTGAATGTCCCGAAAGACAAACCACGGCAGATTTCTTAACCGCAGTTACCGATCCAAATGAGAGGCGTTTCAGACCTGGGTTCGAGGACCGAGCGCCTAAAACGGCCGAGGAGCTGGAGACGGCCTTCCGCAGCTCGTCGAACTACCAAAAGCTGTTGGAAGATGTCCAAGACTACGAGGAGCATCTTCAGCGCACGGATTTTGCAGACGCGAGGAAATTTGAAGGCGCTGTGCAGGAGGCCAAGTCGAGGCATGTAAGCAAGAAGTCACCCTACACGGTGTCGTTCACTCGCCAGGTATGGGCGTGTACCAAACGAGAATTCTGGCTCTTAATCGGGGATAAGTTGACTCTCGGAACGAGATTCTTCATTACGATCTCTAGCGGTTTTATAATCGGCTCCATCTACTACAAGGAACCCTTCTCAACTGCGGGGACTTTCACCCGCGGTGGCGCCTTGTTTTTCTCTGTGGTCTTCCTTGGCTGGCTTCAATTAGCAGAGCTCGGGAAGGCCGTCGGTGGCCGTGCGATCGTCGCTCGCCATCGAGATTACGCCTTCTACCGCCCTTCGGCCGTGTCACTTGCTCGTCTTATTCTGGACTTCCCAGTCATTTTTGCTCAGGTGTGTATATTTGGGGTAACCATGTATTTCATGACGAACTTGGATGTCGATGTAAGCAAGTTCTGGATATACTTGCTATTTGTTTATACCACGACGATAATGATTACGGCCCTCTACCGGATGTTTGCTAGTTTGTCGCCGGAAATCGATACCGCTTTACGCTTCTCTACCCTTGCTCTCAACTTGCTTGTTATCTTCACGGGGTATGCCATACCCAAGACACAACTTTTAGACAAGTATATCTGGTTCGGATGGCTATATTGGATCAATCCTTTATCTTACAGCTTCGAGGCTGTCTTAACAAATGAGCTCTCAGATCAACTGATGGATTGCGCCCCTGAACAGCTCGTCCCTCGAGGCCCTAACATCCTACCGGAGTATCAAGGATGCGCTCTTACTGGCTCTAAACCAAATTCTCGAGTAGTTGCGGGCAGTGACTACTTACAAACTGCTCTTGGATATAGTCGTTCGAACCTGTGGCGCAACTTTGGTGTTGTGATTGCTTTCGCGATTCTCTATCTCCTCATCACAGTTTTCGCGACGGAGATGTTCGATTTCTCATCTGATGGCGGCGGCGCTCTAATCTTCAAGAAGAGTCGAAGAGCGAAAAAGCAAGCCCAGAAGGCTGCTACACCATCTGACATTGAGAACGAAGGTGCCGATAGCAGTGGGTCTTCCGCCACTAGGATTGAGGACTCCCAAGCTACTAGCGAGGAACAGAGCGAGGCCTTGGGGCAACTAACAAAGAGTGAATCAATATTCACCTGGCGAGATGTGGGGTACACCGTACCCTACCTCGGCGGCGAGCGTAAGCTTCTAAATAAAGTCAACGGCTATGCGAAGCCTGGTATCATGGTCGCACTCATGGGTGCTTCCGGCGCTGGCAAGTCGACCTTGCTAAATACTCTGGCGCAGCGACAGCGAACTGGTGTGGTAACAGGTGAGATGTTCGTTGACGGAAAGCCGCTGGGGTCCGAGTTCCAACGAAATACGGGATTCTGCCTCCAAGGGGATCTTCACGACGAAACTCAAACCATTCGAGAAGCCATCGAGTTCTCTGCTCTGTTACGACAAGAAGCGTCTGTTCCCCGAGCCGAGAAACTCGCATATGTAGATAAGATTATCGACTTGCTCGAACTCAATGATCTTCAGGATGCTATCATCAGCTCGCTCGGCGTTGAATTACGCAAACGACTTACCATTGGTGTGGAGCTCGCTGCCAAGCCGTCCCTACTTCTGTTCTTAGACGAGCCAACATCTGGTCTTGATTCCCAATCGGCCTACTCGATCGTCACTTTCCTTAAGAAGCTCTGCGCCGCTGGCCAAGCTATTGTCTGTACTATCCACCAACCGAGCTCAGTCTTGATCCAACAATTCGACATGGTACTTGCTCTTAACCCTGGAGGAAACACCTTCTACTTCGGCCCTATCGGAGAGAATGGCAGGGATGTCATCGACTACTTTGCTCAGCGTGGGGCTACATGCCCCCCTGAGAAAAACGTTGCCGAGTTCATTCTCGAAACTGCTGCGCGACCTCATAAGCGACCCGATGGTACCAAGGTTGATTGGAACGAGGAATGGAGGAATAGCGAGCAGGCGCAAAAGGTTATCGAAGAGATTGATGGCCTCAAGAGAATCCGCAGCGCGGTGCCACACGACAATGAAGTCTCAAACGAACGACAAAAGGAGTTCGCCGCATCAACTTGGGTACAGACAGCCGAGTTGACGAAGCGTATGTTCAGGCAATATTGGCGCAAGTCGTCATACCTATACGGAAGGCTATTCGTCGCGGTACTTATCGGTATCTTCAACGGATTCACCTTCTGGAAACTTGGGAACAGTGTCCAAGACATGCAGAACCGCATGTTCACCGTATTCTTGATCATCATCATTCCAGCCACCATCGTCAACGCTGTCGTACCTAGGTTCGACCAAAATCTAGGCCTATGGCAAGCCCGCGAGTACCCTTCTCGGATTTATGGCTGGGTGGCCTTCAGTACTGCTAACATCGTTGCTGAAATCCCCGCGGCCATAGTTTCTGGCATTATATATTGGGCTCTATGGTGTTGGCCTAGCGGTATCGCTGGTAATAGCTTATCTGCTGGCTACTCGTTCATAATGACGATACTTATGTTCCTGTTCATGACCAGCTGGGGCCAGTGGATCTGCGCGTTTGCACCTAGCCTGAGAGTCATTGACAACGTAAGTTCTAGGATTTGACACCTTGATAGACTCGCCGATACTAACTACCAGGTGTAGGTATTGCCATTCTTCTTCGTTATGTTCAGTTTATTCAACGGTGTGGTACGATCTTATTCAACACTCCCTGTGTTTTGGAGGTATTGGATGTACTGGGCCAACCCCTCTACATACTGGATCGGCGGCGTGCTGGCCGCGTCGATCGATGGGGTTCCTGTTCGCTGCGACCCGTCAGAGACTGCTCAGTTTGACGTGCCTCCGAATCAAACTTGCCAGTCCTACGCTGGTGAGTTCACACAGAGTTACGGAGGCTACCTGCTCAACCCCGAGGCCACAACTGGGTGCCAGTATTGCCCGTACAGCGTTGGCAATGAATACCTTGCCACACTAAATATCAATGCTAGCGAAATATGGCGAAGTAAGTTGAAATACATATCTTAGATAAATCCCTATAAAATATGCATACCTACCTACCTATGTACGGAGGTGTATGCTAACGTTAAATGTTAGACTTCGGCATCTTCCTGGCTTTCTGCATTTCTAATTGGGCTCTTGTATACTTCTTCATCTACACGGTGCGAATTCGCAATTGGAGCTTCGGACTTGGTTATATCTTCGGTGCTCTGGGTAAGGCTGTCGATGTGCTGAAACAGCAATTCAAGAGTCTCAATCGAAAGAGCGACTAAGGGCCGCTACCGCATCGGTCCAATCGCACACCCTTTTGTTTAAGACCACTAAAGGGGATACTCAACACTTCTGGTTGCATGATGTTTTCATGGGTACGTGCTAAAAGTGGGACCAAAATAGGAGTAATAGGGGCAATAGGTCTCTGGGTTAGACGTGGAGGTAATGATGATTCGATAGTGAAACAATGCGCTAGTCGAACTATTCTACTCGTATTTGATATTTGTTGATATTATATGGGTTCCTTCACCGTTTGGAGACATATAGAAAGGGACTTATAGTGGGTTGACGTGAAGACGAGGAATAGACTAGACTTCACCCCAACATAGAGCTCATTACGTAGAATAAAGAATGACGATCACAAAATTAGATGGTAAACGATAACGAGCTTATTATAAGGATAAATTCAGTTGAGCCAGATACTATTTGCCTTAGGTAGTTCGTATTCATAATTTTAGTTCTCTTCCGGACGTATATAACCAAACTTCTCAATCACACTCTTCGCAGGATTAATACCATCCTTTTTACACTGATCTATCTTATTCACAGCCTGCCTAGCGAACTCTCGAACCTCAGTGCTAGATTCATTACTCTCTGCGAAAACTTTAAATTTAACGCTCCATACATACCACAAAGCTCGACTATATGTCAAACTCCCGACCTCGACGAGTATGCGCTTCTCACATAGCTCGAACAGTACATCTCCAGCATAGAGAATCCACTGGGCCGCTGCAGCTGCGTAAGGTTCATAGCGAGGCAAGTCTCGTACGATATGATCTTGATGGCTTGTTGCGAAGGGCGAAGGTCGCCGTAGTGCGCTCAGAGTATTCGTGTCCGCTACACCGGACGCTAATAGGCGTGCCAAAAAAGCAGAGAAGTTGATATAGGCAGTAGCAGCATTTGGGTCACTCTCTACCTGGCGCGGCGCACCGTTAAAGTTGCCTAGGTTAAATATATATATGAGTTGAAGGATCTAGATTAGAAAGCTTTGAGGAAATACCTTGGTCAAGATCCCAAAGCCACTGGGTAAGGCCCTCGTACCGAGTCTCTTTCGTGATATTCCAGAGTAGGGTCTCCCTCATCTCTCCAGCAACGAACTCGGGGACAGGACTCTTAGGTAGTTGCTGGAGTTCTTGGAGCAGATCTACAAGTCTGTCTTGACCTTTATGGTCAGCAGGCACTCTCATGGCTGCTCTTCCTAGGCAGTCCCAAAGGTATTCCATCCATCCACCGGGTTTAGGGGTACGGACAGTACTGGACTCTATCTGTTCTGCTGTCAGATTTGATACCGAATTGTAAGAAGTGTAAGCATCACGGCAGTCGTCAATAATCACCCCATGGATTATCTTCGCCGCAGACCCGGGGGATTCTGTGTCGTTCACAAGGTCCTGTAGGGTAGCAACGATTCTCTTTTTTGCATCCGAGCCATCCTCGCATGAGAGATCGAGGGAGATGAAAGACGACATGGCACCTGTACAGTGACAACCTAATATCAAGAAAATAACTTAAATTTCATGCATAAAGCACTTCTTATCTCATAACTCTACAAAAACTACCTGAAGTTGACACAAGGTCGCCGGTGCCTAGAAGCCAAGAATGGAGATCGTAGCGGTTAGCAGCGGGGTTAATGCGGCTGTTGCTTACGTACGGTATTTATACGCTTGAATTCGTGCTATTCAGCATTAGATCCTCAATAGGTTTATAAATCTAGACATGGTCTAGAAGATCTTATTCACATAAATACCCAAGGTAAATAATAAGTAATAATATATTTTTAATTAATACAAACAACAAGTCTAAGATCAATGCGATTTCCATTATGACCTTTTCCATGTTACAATATTTGGTGAGAAGGCACCTGGTAAACGTAGGAGTTATAAATGTCAACAACATACAAAAAGTATATGTTGGTTGAGGAAGAGAGATATTAGTTGTTGTTGTTGTTGTTGTTGTCTAAAGTTGAGTGGGCTAGTTTTGTTAACCTATCTCATAAGTCATAAATGCCATTACTTAATATATGCGACAGTACCTCGGTAGGCTTGCGTATTAAGACTAAAAGGTTCTAGGTACCACTTAAATACTCGCCTACTACATATTGCGTATAAATGAGATAGATAGTAAATATCCAAGCTTATGTATATTATATGAGACCTATTAACGATACTTGGCCAAAGCTACAATAAACCGGGAAATCGGCCAAGTTTATCACATTAGCGGAAGCCAGCCGGTGTTCCGGGATCTCGGTATTGCATCATGTTACAGATTTAGCTACACTACATCATCCGCCTTGGTGGAAACCATCTACATCTACATCTACATCTACATCTACATCTACATCTCGCATTAGAATTTCAGTTAAGGTTTTTGGGTAATGGTTGGTGGGTACATGTACCCATCTTGCATAGCCATTAGGGGAGCTTGTGAAAGCTTATGATGTCCGTTAACACAAGCTATCTTGGAGAGCTTGTTTTTGATTGGCCTATTAATCTACCGACTCGGAGTCCGGAAAACCTTCCTACCCAAAAGAGAACCCAAGGCTTAGGTCCAAGGCTTAGGTCCAAAGCTTAATAACTTATTAATCTTTGACCAAGGCATGAAAATCGACGGCGCTTTGCTGGTCCGACCCGATTCGTAGGTACCTAAAGTTATGCTTTTCGCGAGATAGCCGGCATAAACTTTCAAAGGGAACACGTTCCTGGCGCTGGTCCTGGTGTTGGCGCCGACATTCCCCAAGCTTATCATTCTTTTTACTTTTTACCCCAAAAACATACCCAGTCTGCATTAATATGCAGTCATGACTCGTCGGCAACGCTCGTCGGCAACATCAACAGTAACAACTCAGATACGTCGGATAACCAGCTTCCAAGCTCTTTTGTGGGGGTCAGATAATGTCACCATCAATGTCACCATCCTATCCCGCCTACTGGATGCTGCGCGGACCGCTGGCGGGTTCGAGCTTTCACCGCGGACCTTTCTGAATTCCCTCATTTGCTCGACTAGCCGACGACTAGGCTAATACGACTGCTTCCCCGCGAACTATGGCACACCAGATAGGAATCTTTTTCGTCGATGTGCGCCAACGTAGGGCATGATTGAGTGCGTGGCTAGGGTTAGGCAACCTTTCGTATTGGGTAGAATAGCAAGTACACAACAGCGTTTTACGAACGGGGCCGAATTATGTTGTGAGCTATATATGCTAGGCTCGCATTCGACGCCGCGAACCCACGTCCGTCAAGGGATGACGGAATCCACACCGCGCATACCTGTATACATGTGCTAAAAGTGTTAGCCACCAATTTGATCTGCGGTTCGACCTGCTGGCTTGTACCTCAAAATTCGGGACGAGGAGGTTGTACTGCGTGATGATGTCGACGCGCATCCTGCATGATGATAAAAAAGGACCCTGATCGTCGCATTTTGGCTGAATTGGATAATTCAGGATCATGTTCGGACCAACCATAGCTTGCCAACTTCTATGACATATGCTTAGGGCACCTGTTCCTATGCGCGCATGTGCTCACAGGGAATGTTCAACGATGGGAGGGTTGCAGTGTCCCCTCAGACGGAGAGCTGCCGAACCTTTTATTTGAACGAGCAGGATTTAGGGATCTGCTGGAGTCGTGGCTTGGCATGTATGGTTGAAGACGGCTATCATGGTGTCGCAGTGCAGTTATGCAGATAGCTAAGTTACTTCACATGTCGAGCTCATGTAGTTGGAATAAGCACGGCATGAGGATTACTCGTCGACCTCTTAAGCTCTGACCCGCGGCTGTTACTAGCATAGTAGGATGAAGTTGAGCTGAGATAGAGCTCCCTGACCTATAGGAGATCAAGGAGAGAAGCAGGGTCCAATAACGGTCATGGCTATTGCAGCTAAGCTCTCTGATAGACCCGACTGTACGACGCTATAGTAAGTTAATATATGACTGGTCTCTTGGTAGCATCTTGCATCAAGGTGTTTGGTAAGACATAGCTATCACGATGCCAATCTACCTCATAGCTACCCTACCCATTACAACCACATGGCAAAAGAGATTATCTTGTGTGCCTAAGTGATAGGCATGGCATGTGAGATATAATATTGCAATTTTAGGGATATGGAGTTAATTCAAGCGTATAAGCTAGATGCCTCGGTTAGTATCCAAGTGAAAAGGGGCGCGCTACCGATGGTATCATAGACTTCCCTATGCCAAAGCTAGAAACAACCGTCGAGTATTCGTTGCGCACCGTCCTTCCTATAGTACGACACTAGTCTCCTGCCAGCTCCCTTCTAATCTGGAGTGCGGCATCTAGTGCCCGCTTCCTAGGCCGGTTGTATCATGTATCATATATCATACGCGTAAATGAATGCGTGTACGTACGCGGCAGTATTATGGACTGCGACGGCTTGGGCGGAATTATTAAACACGCATATACTTATACACGTATACACGTAAGCTGTATGTACATTACGCATATGGTCAGGTCAGGTCGAGGTCTTGTAGTTAAGTTGATAATGTAGATCGAGAGAGAGCCTCACTTATTCGATTCGGTATAGTGGCAGTTAGGAGATTAGAAAACCGGTTGGCACCAAGTAGTCCCACTTGTACTTATCCTATCCTGCAATTTAGAATGCATCTTTACTAGCTTGGAAAACCCCAGTTAATTTTCAAATCCTTTATATTGGTCAAGTACCTATGTTTAATCAAGTCACAGATAAAACTGTACAGGGAAGTAAATCGTGAGAAGACAATATATCAATCATTTGAATTATATCAGAATATAGTAATAAAAATGCCACCTAGTGTAGGTCCCCCTTATGGTTTTCCATTCCAAATACCCCCCCAAAGCCATTATGCCCTTCGTGTATTCACCCGCCCCGCGTGTCGATACCCTAGATGCCTCCCAATTCATATGCCCGAGGTCTATTGGTACCCACACCTCATGCCCAACCCTAGTTCCCCAATTGGACGCCGTGAAAAAAGCAAGAAGCAAAGTACATGAAAATGAACCCAAACCAATGCAACCCGACCGACATGTTTACCACCAAACCCGCCAAGATAAAACTGGGGGAAAGGCGGAGGGGGTATCGAACATCCACTCATTCAATTTATGCGAAACGGAATAAAATATCACGGTAACCAGGATAGCCCATCCGAAAGCGCTCGATAGAGCGACATGGGGACGGGATACGAAAAAGCAGCCAGCCCAATCAACACGAGCTTTTGTGGTTTTTTTTTTTTTTTTTCGTTTTTTTGCTTTTTTGAGGGGGGAAAGGAAGCGAAGCGAATTAGTTCGCGGGGCAGGAATGCTGTCGACAGCAACGTGCCAGTAGAAGAGGGGATCGACTATACATGGACCTGCAAGGGCCGAGTTAGGGTATGTAATTCCGCAGTCGCCGACTCGAGGAATGTCCTCCCCCCTCCCCATGCTGCACGCGCACGTAAACAGGAGAGGTCAAACGGTCGGACGCAAGCAGACCGCCAGCTGCACGTGCGTCTTCCGAAGCGAACCTCCCCCTACAAAGGCACATACATACATGGGAAGATGGGGGAAATTGAAATAGATTGATTCATTGAATGATATATTGCACGCGCGCGAGCAAAAGACCACATGTGTGTGGTTGCATAGCGTTCGCCGCAGCGCCGGAGCCATTGGTGGGAGTTAGAAGCAAGAAAACGTCACAGGAACGCAGACGGACCGGGGTTCGGTAGTATTTGCCGGGGCTAGAGCCGGGTTGCGGACCGGTGATTGGCTAGACGATGAGATAGGAGCCCACCGTAGAGACCATTGAAGACTTGGGATTGGCCCGGCTTATTTGGGTCGAGATGCGTATGACGTGTGAAGGCCCCATCGAGAAGGACTCGAAACAAGCCGGGGTTAAGAGGGGCACATGCTAGTGCCTCCATTCCAAGTCCTCCGCTCTCGTGTTGGCTTTGCTTGGGCAAAGGGAAAAACGAAGTGATGATGATTGCGTGGTGTTGTGGCAAGGTAAGCCTCTTCGTCGCCCGACAAATAGAGCCCAAGGCTTCAAGCACATCGAGCTCGTCTATACCTGATTGTTGGTTGGCTAACAAGACGATGCTGTGCCTGTGCTTGTGTTTGTGCATGTGCATGTGTTTGTGTTTGTGTTTGTGTTTGTGTTTACATCTGTGCCTGGCAACCAAAAAAACTCGGATTCAGCGGCTGGTCGCATCCTGGGCGTATGCGCCTCGATGCCGCGTATCCCGTAGATAAAATATCATGGTGGGAACATGCAATTCTCCAAATTGCATGGAATCTAAATCTGTTCGTAATATGGATATGGGAGAGGGGAGAGGGGAAAGACCCGATCCGAAACCCATTACTCTTCAGATTTCAGATCTGCTGGGTGGCGGGAGATATGCGAGATAGCCGGGAGAGAGGTCCGCTAAGATCCCGTGTTGCCATGCAAGATACAATACATCAGAGCGAGCGAATTCGCTATGTTTCGTAGTTCCCTGTCAGTCGTATGTATTGGGATAAGGTCGACCTGCTGCGACCCAAAGCTTGGGGTCGGCGGTGGCGAAAATGAATAATTTGGGAATTTTATAAGAAAAATACCCCCACTTGGCTTAGAGTAGGTAGAGTAGGTAGAGTAGGTAGAATAAAGGGAGGAAAATATAAAATCCCTGCGAAGCTGTCTGGCTGTGCGTTGGTAGGTAGATAGATATGCACCTTTCGCTGAATGTAGACATATCTTGGAGAATTATATCCATGCAGATGCAGCGGAGCGTCGTAAGCGTGTGTCTGGCTGATTTCTCCTTTTTGCGCAGAGCGCATGACCGTAGCAAAGCGTTGCGGGATGCCATTTGTCGGCTTCCTTCTCATGGAGGTCTGAAAAATGCGATTTGTTCAAAAATCCATATTCTTTCTGGCGAAAACCCATGGTGAATGTTGTTTGGCTCAGGTTAGAATGTCGTTGAGTTGTTGTAGTCTTGTAGGAAAATCTGTCGTCGAAAAATAGTCGACCTCTCTCTCTCTCTCTCCCTCTCTCGCTCTCATTCTCGCTCACGCTCACGCTCACGCTCATCATACCCATTGGCTACGTGTTCATTTGTATCCAACTGCTGTCGCACACTTTTGGCAATAGTAGAGGTTGAATCCAACTCGAATCATTCCTGTCGATGCAGGGTCGTCGGTCGATGTAGCCTCGACATGGCGATGGCAGCGTAGGCAGCGCATCACCTCGACCGACGCAACGGGTTGGACGTCCATACTGATTCGGATAGAGAGGTCGGTGTCGGACGACGATGGTGAGCTGCTATCTGAGTCTATGGACGAAGAGCTAGCGTAATGTGGTTTCTGAGGACGAGTTGACATGTTGAAGAGTGGCAAAGCGGCGTAGACTAGCGTATATGTATCTGTGTGCAGGGAGGGGGAATGAGGATGTTGGCAGCTTATATGGAAGCTTTTCAAAAAGTCGGGAATGCAATGTGAGGCGTGGAGCTTTCTGGGGGGGTCTTGTTTCGGAATGTTTGGCGTAGGCTCAAGCCGAGAGATCCAGTTCTTATTATTCCACAGTTGGTTGTCAAGAGGTAGGGGGGGTAGGAAAACAAGAGCTCCGCAAGGGTGGTCCTCTTCTTTTTGTATGTAGTAGGGTTATGTAGATTACATATGTAGAGGCCTAACCAAGTCCCGGAAAAGACAGGCTCTAGTCTTGGTTGCTATATATGTAGCTAGGTTGTAAGAGGTAGTACACAGGGACAAGTATCATGTACCTATGTATGTATGTATGTATGTATGTATGTATGTATGTATAACCGTATAAGAACGCAGTAATATGGCGCAAGTATCCAAGTGGGGAACTGACGGGGAGCAGGCCAGCAGGTGTCCAGTTTGTGCCTGGTCTATTCGTGACCAGGTTGTAACCTATGGACAAGCAGGGCAAGGTAGGGAGGTAGGGGTATAATAGTGCCAGAAGAAAAAAAGAAAAAAAGATGGAAGGACCTCAATAGCGTGCTGCCTGAAATCCCGATAACCTCGGTGTTTCGCGTTTCCTTCTATCTAGCGGATCCGTCGGGCTCGAACGAGAGCTTCAGTCGTACGTTGAATACTTCCGACTATGGCTTTTTTTCTTCTATGACACGATGTACTTTGAAACCATATATGTATACATATATGTAGAGGGCGTAACGATGAACCTTCGGTCTGGCGCTTTGTTATATGTATGTATGTGCTTAGGTACACTTATGCGATATTTCCAGATTAATCCCGGGGGTGGTTGATTCAGGGCGATAGAGTGGACAGCTATACCATGGATCTGCTTGCGACAAGATAAGAGATTAATAAACTGTGGATGTATTTAAGTCGAAAACAGAGCCTCGGGAATTAACAAAGCTCAATTCGATATTTTATTGACCGTCTAGTTTTACGTTATGCTGTGTCCTGTAACTAGAGTTATATCATATAGTTAATGAATTGTGGCTTAACAGTATCGAGATCCATAAATGCGCTTTATTAATCCATCGAATATGTAAATTGTACGCAATGTCGTAGGACTCTACTATTACTTTATTGCCCTGAGCTACGTAAGTAGTTGGCGTAGCATGTTTACTCCAAGATGGAGGGAAGATGCTGTCATCTATTGCGTGTGCACCAGTGTTATGAATCGGATGAAAATCCGGCGTTACGCACTGTTCGAATTACTCTACCTAGTAATAAATAGGGATGACCTCCGAGCCTCCTGTATTAATCTCTAAAACGTTCCGAGACTTGTTATATGTATTTATTCTCCATTATAATATAGTCCTGTACCACACAGGCTATTGATGAAATATGGTTAATGCTGTTCTGATATTGACCATACTCTAAAGCAGCAGCAAGCGATGACCACGAAGAACCACGATGGCTGAGACTTACTGATACTTGGCCTGCATTATTCCTTGGCATATTATTCGTTGGATAGACCTCTTACACGTGCTACTATTGGGGGTTTAATTTCTACTGCTTTTATCACTTGCAGATGCAAACCTTTGGTGAATTGTCACGATCCGATCTATGAAGGATGTCATTACCTTAGAAACAAATAGCTGGCTCGATATAACTATGTAAGCTATTCAGCGGTTTAAAAGTGCGCAGGCTTGGTATTCTCTACAAGGCTCTCTCAGTCGAGACTCCATAGAAAGAAGAAAATCCGATTGAGTAACGATTGAGATAATGGCGCTTTTTACACCAATCTTTTCCACTCCAAAAGATCGTGAGCTGGCCGAGCCCTTGCCTTGAGCCCCGATGAATCTGCTAAGTCTCGATCCAGACCCTTCTCCCGCTAGACCTGGTGACGATCACTAACGGTAGGGATCCTCCAGATCCCACACTACAGTCAACCCGCTAGAAGCCCCAACTTTCCAGGGAAAAAAACGTATTTGCCACTCGCACAAGAATAACATCATAATTATAGCACGGCGCGTTTGTTTCAAAATGGTTCACAAATAAAGTTGGAACTACATAGGTAAACTCGATAGAAAAGATCCGATACCAAGCCTAATGCCCTTGTCCCGGATTGTATGCCTCCTCGCGCAGTCGCGACCCGACTCTCTGTCGACTCCAGTTTTACCCTCACGACGGTTCTATGTATGTATGAATGGATCTAACTATCTGATCTTGCAGATCCACTTTCAGGGTGGACTTGTGGGGGGCTACGAAACTTGGAGAACAATCATGAAGTCTCGCGACGGTGTACCTTAAGGTTAGGGGCCGACGATGGACTTTCGATACAGCAATTGACCTTGCGTAGTCAATCTAGCTGAATCTTCGATAGCTTTACGTACAACCGTGTAACCGGTCAGATGTTAACATCCAAGAGTGGTTGAGTAAAAACGCCGACAGGACGCCTACATGCAAGCCAGAAAACCACAACCGCAAGCCTCTATGTGAAAAGCAGGTCACATCGCTGACCTTGACCACTAAGATAATTTCCGTATATGCGTTGAATCTTTCAGTATCTGGATGCATCACTCGGTATTCTCTTTGACGAGCTGAGAAGTTGACCGGCAAAGACGGATTCGTGGCCGGCTATTCTTGAATCTTCTATGAAGCGTCTCAGTCCCACTCTAGACTTGAGATAACTGTATGTAGATAATAGAGCCTCACGTAATAATACATACAAGTCGCTAGGATGCTGAATGTTATTTGGTGGAGATGTTGCTTGAAGCAGTTAAATAAGTATTCTGCTGCTTCATTTATATGGCAAAATACAAGACCCTTAGAAGATTCTGGCTTGATCTTTACTTAAACAGGCAATTTTAGATAATTTTTATCATTCCGAAAATACGAGGCATGTATTTTTCCATAATATTTTGAATGTCCTGATACTTCGCTCTTTTAAGTAACATTTCCACTAAATAACATTCAACATCCTAGCGACTTGTACTACGTAACTTTTCGTCATCTAGATTCTTTGGCCCCATCCAGATGATTCTATCAAGAGAATCTTTGATACCAACAACATACGACCGATTATGTTACCCGGGCTTAGAATCTCGACCCAGACAGAACAAACGATCGACAAAGAGGATCGAAGATTCCCGTTGCCGAGCCCTGCCCCAGTAATGTGGCACATAGATGGGAACGGTGGGGTCCTAGGGCGTTCCAGATCCAGTCTTCATTCATTGTCATTTTCTGTATACGGAATTATACATATGTCGAGGTACATAATAGAGGTAGGTATGTAATACAATTAGGTTTACATTTTACGTACAGCATACTACTCAGGAGAAAGCAAATTGAAGATATTATCACACCGGCTAGATTAAGATTGGAAATGGGTAGCATCGCAATGTCGTAGAAATAGGTAACCCGCTTCGAATTGGAATTTTCTACGTTATTCCGTACCATTGAGACTACGCAAAATTCTCCGGGGCAATACTATGTACTACTACTGTATGCTGTGTGAGGCTAGTCGCGAGCTCGTGCTCCTCATTCTAAGCTTATGCTTTAATTCGGCCAGGACTATCTTTGCGAACTATTGGCAAGTTAGTTATGGCATATGCCCCTTTACTAGGGATATAATGTGATAGATCACAAATGTTCATTAGACAACAAGTTTCAGCTAACCACTGATCGAGATCGAAAAGTCGATCCGTGTCGAGTGTTTTCCCCATTGCTTCGAAATCGGATTCTTTTGCATAAATCATGCCCTCTCCCCCGCTCTTCTTCATTGTCCACATTGTCCACGCGCGATTCTTGTGCACGGGATCGATTTTAGGGTATTTTCTTCTCGAAGTAAAAAAAATATGGTCCTACATACTACCTACCTACCTACCCAACCTAGGTAGCTTACACAAAGTGTATGGACTTGTACTATGAATCATTACATACAATCTTTCTCATCCCCTGTCGATCTTTGTGTAAATTCGCGACTCGAGCACAAGGAAACAGGGACAAGCTTAGCTCCCCCCTCTCCCCTCCCCCCCAATCTCTCGCGCATAATTTCCCTAAATGCTAGTACCCGTTTCTGTACTTTTCCGCAAAAAATATAGGATTCACTCAGCTCCCCGAGACAAACCCAAAATTGCCTTCCCAAGGTTATTGCTGGATCAGCCTCGCCGAAGATAGAACCCAATCCAGTCCACCACACAAAGGTTTAAGGACCCTCGCGACTTCGGAGATAATTTTCGTGGAGCCCACAGCCTTTGTTGGCTTCACCGCAAGGTCAGACTTGGCCGCTAAGCCTTGGTGCCGAGTCTTCCGTTTCTATCATGGGATGCCGTCCGGGTTGGTATTTTCCGAATAAGGGGTTTCTCATTGCCCGTCTCTGAGTTGACTGCGTGCCCGTTAAGACCGTGCGCAGACAACTGAGTCATTTTATTTAATATATTATTTTACTAGGCTACCTACGTATGGTATGCGCGTGATATGATTTCTGTACACGTACAGCGTACGTAGACGCTTAGACCGCTGTTTATTTAGTAAGCGTATAATTCATGTATGTGGCATAGGGAAGGATGCCTTAATCCTGACCGGTCTGTAATCCTCGAGTAAGCCACTTTAGGTATTTAACGTTTTCTACGTACATACATATTGCGGATGGGCTATGCCGAGGGATCGTTCCACCACCCTCGGGGTTCGGCTCAGTCGGGTGTAGAATATAGGAGGGTAAGCTCCGTAACGCCGTGTCTTTCCTCCCGGACACACACGGGTGTCTACAGTCCCCTTTCTATATCCACCACCCGGCTTAGAGGAATGTTCGTGTATTGATGACTGCAGGGAGGAGATGCAACCGAGAACATGCATGCAGCAGTCATCCTGATTTTATACTTACCTAGGTACCTACCTACATATTTTGTTAAATCGCTCTTCGACCTGCATTTAATCACGATATTACTCTAGGTAGTATAGCATGTTATATCACCTCGTAGTCCACCATACCAACGCCTGCGTGAGCCGACAGGACTCAACCCTTGACCAGCTTATCGGAAGGCGTACCTGGCGATCCTTTGCATTAGGTACCTTAGTTGATACATCCTGTTTTCCGGTAATATAGTTCGGTGTTCTAGAGCCTCGTCTATCTACAACCGGGGAATATGTACCCAATGTCGACCCTGGATCCTAGACAGAATTAAGGGTCTGTCACTTCATAGCTGCCACAATATGCACGCCATATATGCTTTTTTGAGCGGTATACTCGACTGTGTATCTAATATCAACAAGCCTCGAGGTTTGATTGTTGTACAAGCTGAATTGGCGTTTATTAGCTGTAGTGTGACCTGTTGATGTCCGATGTCTTAAATCTCGTCAGGAAATAGTCATTGCATAGACTATTATCTTCATTCATTGATATGCATATGTATATCAGCCCGTGGCTTTCTGCCATGTAATGGACGCAGTGAAACATTATCGAATTGTGCCCTACTATCGAAAAACACCACAACGCCCCATCCGAGTTTCTTGCGCACCCAACGTGGCCCTGAGGGAAATTCGTGAATAATGCATACGTTCCATCCCAATCAAATCATATAACGCTAGTGCCATGAAGGAATATACACATCAACTAGAATCCCTCCATTTTGACATCGTCCCCATTATTGGACTTTTCCAGATTCTTTAACAAGTAACTCCTCTCGAAATACTTGTTTGGATGGACGATCGTCTCGAGCTGGGCAACGGTCATAATGCCCTCATCTTTAGCCTTCTTGAGTTCATTCTTATGCACGTATTCGAACACACTACACCAATTAATTAATCTGGGTCCAATGCTTCACAATGCCACAGAATTGGGCAGACTTACCGATTACAAGCCATGTGGAATTTCTGATTTTCTTTATCTTCCTTGACTCCTTGTAAGACAGACCGGTCAGAGACACCTACTTGTTGGAGTAGGGAAGTTAGATTCTCTAGGTTGAAATGCCGATATGGGCACCCGTGGGCTTCTCCAGGGCCAGGTGGGTGTTCCGTTAAAATCTTCTGGCACGAGAACGGCGAGTAGCCACCCGCGCGCCTATTTGAATCCCCACCGACGTCGCCATATGTGTGTCTTACGTTGTATCTGTACTCCTTATTGAAAGTATCGTCTGTGATCTTGTGGAAGGAAGTGCGCCAGAAGATTAGACATTCTTCTAAGTTCAAGCCGATACCCTTTAAGAAAAGCGTGTATTGTAGACGGCCAAAATGTTTCAAATGCGCATCCCGGCGCAGCGATCGGTGAAGGTGCTGCATACATAGAGGGAAATGAGAGGATAGATTATCGACATTCCGCGCCGTGATTTCGGCGCCGGGGACGGCAGAACTGGTGCTGGTATAGGCCGCATCAGGGGTGACGAAATTCTTGGAGAGGTGATCGAGGATCGGTGTAAGTCGATCGTCTTCGTCAAGACGTGGCAGTGCACGCGCCGTAAGCTGTAACAACTTAGGTTAACCTACCTAGGCACACATCTCGTCTGAGAGAAGACTTACCTCTAGCGATCGGTCTAGTCTCTTCGTAAACTCAGCAGTGACCATACTTGGTAGCTCTTTTGAAGGAACATAGGCTTTGCCGGCCTTTAATAATACCCTCCTAGTTTCAACCAAATCGGGTACACGCTCCCAATCAACTTTATACCAAGCTGTCTCTTCGTCCCCCTTTCTAGAGCCAATGGTCGCCGTTAATTCGTCAAAGTACTTGTTCCTCTCGCTTTCGGCTACAGGTTCCCAATCCAAGTTCAAACCCTGTATAAAGGCATTTCGCTCGCGCGCACTGTCCTCGGCCAATCGTAGACGGAAGAGCGTTGTCTCGACGCGACTAAATCTTCGGCGTAGGTCCTCGGTTGATGCGAATGCAAGTCGGAGGATGAAATGGCTGTAATGGTCTTTCTGCCTCTCAGCCGAGAGCTTGGATGAAGAAGATGAGTTAGAATCGAGTGGGAGGTATTTTTCGAGCAACGGCTTCATATGTGCGGCGGTCTCGGCAGGGGATTTATTGCGGAATGAGCATGTTTCCAGTTCGGCGAGGACTATGATGGTGCCGTCGTCAGTTTATCATGTAGATTTACAAAAGTACCTAACAGACTTGATTCATACCCCGAAGCCTGTCGATAGCCCATTGCTCAAATTGCTCCAAGGTGATATCTGCCGTCGGGGGCGTCTCGTAAAAATTCAGACGATGAGGATATTGAGTTTCCTTATAGGTAGGCTCGGCAAATTGTTTCTTGCGGTGGTCGACGACATTTCGTCTTTTGGGGTCTATACGATTAATATCTTGCCTCAACATCGTGACGGGTTACAGATCTTAAACAGCATATAGCGTATGGCGTATGGCGTATAGCATATAGCATATAGCATATAGCATATGTTATGGGGTATCAATGCTAGATCGTGAAGGTTTACATGGAGACTTTTCGTCACATTATGGAATTTTGGGCGACGCGACTTTACTAAGGAAAACGCGTCTTAATGGGTGGAGCGCGACTGTCAATTAAAGAGAGCCAATCATGGAAGTTACATTAAAAGTAACACCCACATAACCCCACTACATGTACCTAATGTACCTATGTACCAAGTAGGTACGAAGTACATAATTACAACTTGCCCCACATCCCCAACCCTCCAAAACCTCCAAAACCTCCAAGACTTCGGCCCCACCTCTTCTTACGCTTTCTTCTCACAATCACATACACGGAATTCAGTACTACTTGATTATCCGTGTATAAGACTCAATCTAGATCTCTCTACCGGACCTTTTATGGATGTCTTAGCTCGCACAATGTTGCCAGATGCCTACCGTATTCTGTTGGACCAGCAACATGATCATCGCCCACTAATCATCGCCCACTATCAAAAAGCAGCGAGCGGCAACGAGCTCGTGAAGGCACATGATACTTTTTGACGGCCCTGTAATTACCGAAGTCGGGTTGATGAGACTTCAGCCAGCGTGCCAGTTGTCAGAAATGGATCGTGGTTCCTAGGAATCCTAGGAATAGAGGTGTACTTCAGATTTCCGAAGCATTCAAGTACCCAATGGAGATATTAGTTATCCGAACCCCGGCTCTTTTTCAGCTGCCTTTGAGCCCCCACCGACCTTCTTTCAGCCCATATGGCTCCTCTAGAGAGGATCTTGCAGGTAACCTTTACCGTCATTGGCTAAACCCTTGTTCGCCTAACCAATCAGCATCGAGGCGAGATGTAATGCGATCCCGCCTTACGGATGTGCTCGTACCGTATGTTGCTGATGCCTTAAGCCTCGCCTTGGTTTCGAACGCATAGTATAAATCAGCGGGAAAACTATGGGTAGTCTTTTGTCGGAGGCCTCTGGATTTGAACATTTTGATTCGGACTTAGTCATTATGAAATATGGATACACCAGACTCGCACCATACTACGACTCAAGATTGGGCTCGATTACAAGATGTTATCACGAAATTGTACCTTGACCAAGATAAGACCCTCGAAGAGGTCAAGTCGTATATGGAGGAGCACCATGAATTTTACTCTACGTATGGACTTACTTGACGGGACTAGACGGTTTAGCTAATATTAGATAGTGTTCCCATGTATAAGAAGAAACTTGCAGCATGGGGTGCATTCAAAAACCTCCGATTTGATGAGGTCCTTCAGATACTCTATCTAAAGAAGCATCGCGATAAAGCGCACAAACCATCTACGTTTTATATTAGGAGCCGAGAGGTAGACCATGGTAGCCTTCAGTTGTATCTGTCTCGAAACCCCTCCGTCTTCGCGAAGCTCGAGGCCGGGGCAGCGCCCAGCCCGGAAGCAATTCGAGACGTGACTTGCCGAACCCCTCCTTTAGGTTCGTCTATGTCAAGTCATAAACGTCTTTCGCCACGGCCAAAATGTCCAACCCCGGTAGGACGGCGTAGCCCACTTTCCTCTTTCCCCGAGGATATGTTTCGGGCGCTTCATATTTACTTGGACAAATCTTTTGAGACGGGCTTCTGGTCTTGGTCAGATACCCATTGTTGGAATACCCATGGCCGATGTGGACCTTCAGGACTCTTAAGTTCACTACTTGATAGGTGCGTAACCGCAGGCCTATCAGTGTCTCGTCAAGCACAGCCAGGTGCAGTTAGGAAAGCTCTCGATACCCCATTTTCAATGCTGTCGAGGGTATTTAGGAATCCTCCGCCAATTCTCATACCCAAAATACTATCAACTGCTACTCATTTAAATCGAATCGGGCGCGAAGAGGTACGCGGTTTACTACTTCAATTTTGTCAGGATCTCAGCATGGAAATCTATGGTCAGAACAGTCCGCTCGCGAGGTTCTGGAGAAGTTTCGTATCAATCCCTTACATCGAACAGCGGGATGCCACGGAGCGTGTCTTAGCACTTTGTGTATCAGAATATGGTACGCGGCTAGGATCGACTCACCCCTTAACTATCGAGACATATCTCAAATATTTCGACGCCGTAGAAAGGGAGAAGGATCCTAGAGTTCAATTGCAAAGTCTCCAATACCACTTGTCTAAGATCCGCGACAATTTTGCTGACTGGTCCTTACTCGGTTTGCTTAAATTGGAGCATGCATTAGCGACTTGCAAATTGAATTTGAATCAAGGATTCCTGGACAAAGCCGAAGAAGCTTTATCTTGCCTAAGTCCTAGTTCCCTGGCGGCTAGGGATGAATCCTTTCGTTGTGTCTGGCTTGGGTATATCAAATGCATCAAAAGGGACTTCCGTCAGGCCGAGAACTTTTATAGGAACTCGGTGTTTGTAGCAAGACTTACTGGCTCTCGCGATTTCATCCTTGAATCTCTATTCCAACTTGAGAGCTTCTTATTACATATAAAGAAACCAGATGAAGCCGAGCGAATTCGCGCAGAGCGATTTCGAATGTTTCGCAGATTGGATTCCCTTGTCTGGGCTGATCATAGTGAGCCACATCCTAGAGACAACACTCCCGGTCCTACGATCACGATCGTACATATCGGTTCCACTAAAAATCCTTCCAAATGGAGGCCTTCTGCCTTTAATGAGGTCACTGAGTACATTAATGCATCGGACTCCCAGTCATAATAAGTCCGTGTATTCTGGAATTTCACAGTAGAAGGATTTTTGCTAGGTTAGTTAAATATGGATTCGCTCATTCTTATCCCGTACAGTAATGACATAAAGAAAAGAACTGGTTTTCAAACTATCTAGGCTAGCTTGGTGTTCTATCTATAAACAACCCGGCAGCTTCTCTAAATGGTGGATGTTCCAATTCTCTCTCATTGTCTTGTGGGTGTTATGCTCGTTTGTGGTCTCGCGAGGAAACAGTTTGGATAGCTGAAGGCCTCCCTTATCTGCATCCATCTTGTTGAAGATCTTCATGATGTTTTGCTTCTGGTAGAAAGGCTGAATGTCTTTGTCTTTTAAATCCTTATTGTATGTGCGAAGGAGAAGAAGGGCCAAGGAAGCGATGCCTGCCGCAAGGGCGGTAGCAACGGATGAACCCGATACAGTCGGAAGGACAGAACCAATGTATGCGGGACCAACTGCCTCAGTGTTCTCTCCTGGTATCTGGATATTGACAGCTTTTGAACCGTGTGTCCTTGCTGTGAGATGTCCCCACTGATCCGTTGCACTTACCCTCACAACGTGCCTCTCGTAGTCAGCAGGGTAGACGGCATCTGAATATAGCCCTTCATCGGCTGTCGAACAAAACATGAGGGTTGCACGTCCCTCTGTGCTATTTGCTGCCTCCGATATGGCACTTTCAAGTTCGGGCTCATCCTTCTTCGTAGTCCAGCTCATAGATATTATATCAACCTTTTGATCGAGAGCCCATTTGACCGCCTATGATGAAGACGTATGAAGTTAGTAATTTGCTCATGTCTAAGAGCTCTATGCGTTGTCGAGAAGCTGAAATAAGTGGCTAGCCTTTAATATTAGGTACCTTACTTACCTTTGCTGCGTTTTTGGGATCTATGTCGCTACGTCCTTTGCCAACGCGAGCAATGTATAGGCGACAGTAAGGATTGATCTGGCCGATCAGCGATGCCATTTGTGTCCCATGAGCATCGGACACCATCCACCAAGGGAGTGGCTTATCCGATCCAAACAAATCCGCAGTAACGTATGAAACACCTTTAGCAATCATTTCTCCTATACTCGATCTGATCCTATCGGCCCCGTTGTCAATTATAGCTACTTTGATTCTCTTGTCTGGCCTATCCCTCGCCGGCGCAGATGTGTACTTGTGAAAGTTCTCAATACACCACGAGAAATCTTCATTGCCTTCCGAGGCCTGTTGGTTGCTAATATTGGATAATCTATTCTCGCTGCTTCTGATTGCATTGTAGGTGGGAGATCTGGACTCCCCTTTCAATTCATCAAGGAACTTTTGGCAAGGACCTAATTGTCCTGTGAATTGGTGCCTGGGTAAGTACATCGTCGTTAGCCCTCAGTTGATACTTTTCGGATCCTATTACATTGAGACATACATTGGTACGCGTGTAGTAGGTTCTTCCGGCTCTTGGGATGGGGGAGGATAGTGCCATTTTGCGTTCAACCTCACATCCAATTTATAGTTGAAATTTATGTTCATGTTACTCTCGTATTGTGTCTTGTTTTGAAGGTGATAGCTCTCTAAAAGGCTCTTGTACAGCTCAGAGAGGTTTCGGTGACGCTCATGGATGTTCTTGTCATGTACTCCCTGGTGTTCGATTCATAGTTTAGTTAAAGCAATGGGGATTTCAATATTTATAATCACCTACATCAGCAAGATCTAGGTGTACAATCTCAATTCGTACTTTCTGTAGCTATTTTCCGGGAATATTATATTAATAACATAATCTACTATTAAGAGCTTGGTACTCACATTTGCGACTTTTGCTAAACCATCCTTGCTGATCCAATGATAAAGAACACTCCAATTTCCGCTTGAGTACAGAGTGAGCTCCCTCAGCGACAGTCGTGTTTGAGGGATTGGCAATGTGTTGGCTTGAAAATCCAGTGTATTTTCCATACTAGTGCTTCCAGTTAAGATATCCAGGTTCATATCCAACGTTCGCCAATCGAGGGCCTGTATTTCGAATTTATCTAGAATATGCTGTTCGAAGAAGACTGGATTCATAGGATTTATTGTATTGTCTGGTATGGTGAGCTTTCTAATAACCTCGACGTGCTTCTTATCCCTCAGCCATTCGAACAACATTCGCAGAGTTTCATGGGGGCAAGGTTGTTTTACATAATTCAGATCTGGCAGATGAACGAAGAAGAGTGTGTCTTCGAACTGTAGTGTACTATCGTCTTCTAGATCCACCCCCTCATCCTCGTCATCAATGCTAGTCAACTTCTCGACAAATTTCTCAAAGTTATGGGATGACTGGTTGAAGTCGGACATATCTAAGCAAAGTTCCTTAACTGCGAAGTAAGTTAGATATTATTGCATGCATCGTAGGCGTTTGAATGGCTTATACGCTTACCATTTCCGGATGTACCGTATAACGCCTTACTGACATTTGGAATTCCTCTTATCTTCTGGAAAATGAGTGTCTTGAAGCTTCTCTTGAATTGGAACTCCCCACAAGGGCCTTTATAATATCTGTATTTGTCTAGGTTTTCTTGATACGGCGATCTCCCTTTATTGTTGGTAGTAGTTAAGATGTCCCGGAGAATATTGTCGGCATCCTTCCTCCGTTCTATTTCCTCTAAAACATGCGGTGGTGTGAACTTATTGTCCCAATGGGGTAGAGGGCTGTTCTCTTCTCCTGGATTCATGGCCGGTTGTGGCGGGATTAAGCACTCCGTATTCGCCATCACCATATTCATAGCTCGGTGCAATGGGGTATAACCTTCGCTATCTATCTGTGTGAGCGCTTTGGCGGAGCAAACAGCGACCATGAAGGGTGCAAACGGCAAACAGCTCTTCATTGCAAAATGAATACAGTTCATTTTTGAGGGCCCCTCAGCATACTCGAATATTCGATCTGGCTCTTGGTCGAAGTTTTGATTTAATAGGCCTTGACCTAGCTTGAAATCATAGCAGATCTTGAAAAGGCATGCTAGGAAGTAGTATGCCTTATTCTCAATGGCAAAATGAATGGGCAACCTCCCAGATAGTTCATCTTCACCGCTGGAGCTCTCTTCTGGCTGCTTGACGAAAAGCTGTGCTAGTTGCGGATCCTTTAGCATCCAAATGAGTAATAATCGTCCAGTATCATCTGCCCATATGCTTTCGGGAGAATCCGAGTTCTTGTTTGTATGTTTAATAAGTCGCAGAAGGGATTTATCTCCTTCGGTGCCAAAGGAGGCCTTACTTGTGATATAACCCTTTATAGGGTCCGTAGATGTAGAATCACCCCATCCCTCTCCCATACCCTTGACCATCTGCAAAAGTTCCTGTACCGTAACTTTTGGATCCTCAAGATACTCCGGATCTGTGGTCTGCGTCCGAGTCTGCGTCGTTGCCTTTCGATTTGTTCCTGGTCCCTTTTTATTACTATACTGACTGCCGTAGGCACGGGAGTGATGGGAGGCCATGGTATCTAACGTCTCTGAGAAACTTGATTAGGTACCTAATGCTTGATTTACGTGGAAGCCGTTGCGAGAATCTGAATTCTTCGTGATAACCAATTTTTTATAATATCTACAAGATCACTGTCAGGCTCTCGTTGCCAAGGAAAAGGTATCTAAGACGGCGAGATGTAAACATAGACGGGGGAAGCTAGGCGGCTATCGGGTATTATAGAAAATGCAACAATATCGCAAGTTGTTACTGGAAATTGATCCCCCCACCTTCTATGGACTACCACACCAGCCAGTAAGATTGGTTTTTTATCAAGCCTGCTTCTCTACCTTGTCAATATAGGCTCTTTCTGCATCCATGAGGTGCTCCCTAGCTTCTTCTCGGTGCAGTTCTGCAAGACGTTCATACAATGCTGCCATTTTATGAAGGCGCTCTACCCGAGCTATTGAGAATGGTGTTGTCATTGGTGGATTCTCGCCTAACAACGAGCCTTTGGATTCTCGAATGCGCTGATACCCAGACTTTTCTGTACCAGTTTCTTTTGTAGCAACGTGGCTTATGTCGTTATCCCTGTCACTGTTGCTACTTACCTCGACAGGCTCTAGGGCAGTCTGCATATCCAGGGGTCCACAATCTTCCAATTCGGAGTTGATAGTCGTGATTTCTAGTCATACATACCTGTTAGCGAATCTTGGAGGAGGGGGTGACTGACAAGGTTATCATACCTTCTTCAAATCTTACTGGTCGCCTTTGTTCTGGGAGATGTAACCCGACTTCTTCGATCCTCTGCATTATATTTTCTGTCGAGGCAGCGTGCAGATTATGCACATCGATGTCTTTAGGAATTTTCTGGTCCTTTATATTCCCTGCCGGACCGAATATGTCTAGAAGCTTGTCTTCGTTCTTACTCCAAAAACCGGTTGCCACGTACTTGACCTTTTCTTTGAACGTGCCGATCTCCCCGTCTGTATGAGCTTCGAGGCGAAACTTGGATCCTCTGGGGCGTTTAATTAGTAAGGCCACTGTGAAGCTATCACCGATCCCATCTTCTTTTTTGGCTGCTTCGAGTGTCCACCATACTCTATTAACCTTCTTCCTCGACAATGCCTTAACGGTGCGCTGCGTACCTGACTTTACTTTAAGTAGATGGTGCGTTTTGAACTCAGACTTTGATGTGTTGGAACCCTCTAAACCTGCTGTAGCTCCATATATTTGGGCTTGTATGCTTCCCTTTACTGCACGTTCTGGAGTTTCATTGGTTGTGAAAACATCAACAAATTGGGTACCACGGGATGCAGGCTCGATTGACTCAATAAGTGGAATGCTTTCGTCATCTTCTGATTCCTTACTGCTATCTGTCCAATCTTGGGCAATAGTTAGAGTGACCTTGAACCAACCGAACTGCCGGGTATGATTGTGAGCTTTTGGAAGGATCCTGATGACTAAAAGGCTGGCATTGTCTTTATCGCCCTTATTGTAGTCCCCGTGAACCTCGTAGATAAGTTGAAACTCAACTTCAAACTCAGATCGAGTAATAGTTCCAAGCTTAGGTGCTATATCGTCCCTTACTTGACCTCCGTCGGGGACATAATTTTCCAAGGACAGGGTCTTGATAGTTTTGTTGATTTGCCGAGTTTGAGACATGATGTAGGAACTTGAAGTTCGCTTTGCTAATTATGAAAAGTTGTTGGAAAGTTGTAACTAAATTATGATACAGCTTGATTAGTGAATCGAGTGCATTATTTATACCTACCTAGGTACCTAGGTAGGCAGTGTTTAGATGGGCTTAAGCTATTTTACAATGTTAATTCATTAGTCCAGCCCCTATTTTGTGGACTGTTAATAGACCACAAAATGCCTATTTATTCCTGCTAATGTAACGTATCCTGGTCAAATGTAATAGAATGGATCTGCAAGCTGCTGTTACCACATTTAAGGACCTACTACTCGGCCTACATACTATTAAATTTTAGATTTTATTGGCTAAAAAACCGCTCATAGAAATATTTGAGATCGATGAAGTTATGTCTACGAATTCCATGAAAAGATCGGATATCGGATAAATCTCTGATTGTTACATGGAGAATCCTTGAATAATTTTATATCTACTCCAATCGTTCACAGAAATTTAATAATAATCCTATTCTTTGGCCCATGTATAAGCTACCAAGTTGGGCAAATTATGTTTAACTTTCTAGGTGAACTTTTTACAGTTGATGGCTTGCGTCTGATACGGGGACCTCAGATATCAAATTCTTCGGCGTACAAGTAAGCGAGCGCCTGTATCCCTGCATATAACAGTGCTCATTTGATAAACAGTGTTATAGCAATTCACGGGATTGGAGATATTGAAGCCCAAGGCTTGAGCTGGACTTGCGAGCGGGACAAAGATCAGGCATCATGGCTGACGTCGTTCCTCCCAGACCACATACATTGCTATAGTGTGATGGCGTTTAATTACCACTGTGAACGCTTTGATGAGGGTATTTCGATTGCCGACCTTAGAAAGTTGGCAAATATGCTGCTTGATCAGTTATTGAGCCTGTTGCCCAAGGAAAATGTGAGTATTTGTAGTAGTAGTTAAACTATCAACCCTGCTGATGATATATTCATTTCAGGCTGGACCTATCGTATTCATTGCTCAAGATATCGGTGGCTTAATAGTGAAGGAGGTAAGTCCGTATTTATATTTTGATATGAATCTTATATGGCTTGTACTTTCTTTATATAGGTACTTAATATGAACTCCAGTATTGACGACCCATCCTATCCTCTATTAGGTTCTTTCCATTGCGATGAGATGTAGCAAGTATCATCTCGTTGCTGGGAATACTTCACTTCTAGTATTCTTCAATACGCCGCATCGAGTCTCAAATTCGAGGTCTTGGGAAAGTATAGCTAATTGGCTTTTAATCATATCCGGAAGAGACAGATCTTACAACACTTCATGGATCATAAAAACTTCAGACACGCTGAAGAGAATAAATGAAGCCTTCGATACATATAAATATGTGTATCTGGCCATCAACATATATTATCAACAGGCGAGCACCTGTTCGGAACCAGTAACCGATCCCCCAATGTGGCAGGTAAGCCACCTATTCACTATCTATAATTAGTTAACATATAATATTAGAACAATATTGAATTGGAATCTAACTTTATGTTTCTAGGCCCTAGATCCATACTCATCCACCATGAATACCCCCAAGGAACTAAGAATTGGCCGCGATGCGCCCCATAGTGAACTTCCCAAGTTCTCCAAGGACGATGATGAAACCTTTAAGTTGATTTATGAGAGGTTACGCCAATCCAAAGGTTGGTATAAACACTACCTAAATCACTTGTGTTTCCCCGGCGTTCCACTAAAGCCAAGCAACACATAGGATGTTTTCGGCTAATGAATAGTTTAGGCCCAGGTATTACGTTCGTAAGGTGTGTAGCATCCTTATCAGATTTAGTTGGTCGGAACTATTCTGCCAAAGCAAGATCAGCAATATGGGAACCAAGAAATACCGCTTCTGATGTCTTGCGTCAACTGGAAGCTCACAAATTCTATAAGCTATGGCTACAGCGCCCTGGTGGCACTTTACATATCCATGGATATCCCGGAATTGTCACCCCTGATTTGTTCTTAGAACGTGAAGCGTTAAAGAATGCTAGCATTGTGTCTTTCAGATGCACGTTAGAAGATGACCGGTTAGACTCGACTCGACTGCTGGCTTCACTTTGCCACCAGATTCTATGCCAACGGCCTCATCTCTTCAAGCAAGTATCGGCCCTCTATAAAATTTATTCGAAAGAAACAGAATGGCGACTAAATTGGCTTCGAGTTTTCTTCTTCTCATTACTTGGCTCTTCTGGCGAAGAATGTACTCTCTGCCTAATTCAGGATCAACGTCGAATGCAGAGACCAACAAAAATATTGGATGATCTCGTTGCTTTGGCCGACGGTGAATTATCCAATGTCAAAGTGGTTATTGAAACCTCTGGAAATCTGGAAATCCAAGGTTCCCGACAGCCGCACAATACTATCCTTCTTGACAAGCCAGAACGAAATTTTGAGGCTATCGTAAGCTCTGAAGCAGACAATCTTGTTCTCAGACGTTCTGGGCTGAGTTCAATGAGAGATGTTATTAAGGAGATACTGCGCGGCAAGTATGAAGAGAACGGAGACATAGAAATGCTCCCAGAATCTTCTATCGTTTGTGTCATCAAAGTCTGGCTTATACTTTTGGTTGAACGCTCGGATCCTCTCACGAGGTTATCTATTGAATCGGTGGCGCAGCTCATACCAATTCAAACGAATGAATTATTCCATAAATTAATACTTCGGATCCAAGGTCGTCACTCCATGAAGTCACGAAACACGCTGACCTGGATAATTCGTGCATTTCGGCCCCTAAATATATCTGAGCTTGCTGTCGCCGCTGAAATTCACCTGAACAGGGGAACCCTCACCAGTATCGAAGACAACATGTCTATCGACCTCGCACGAGATATCATGACTTGGTTTGGAGATCTCATCCAAATTGAAGATAATCAAGTCCTGTGTGTGTATGAGTCTTTCAAAGACTTCGTCTTACAGAATGAGTATTACAACGCAGGATATCATCAGCCTTATTGTGATCCTCATCTTTTTATTGCGTGGCAATGCCTTCAATATATCTCAATATTACAAGGCGAAGGCCTAGCTCATCTACCAACGACTAGTAGTCACTGCGATCTTCTACAATACACTATCCGCCACTGGCCAGATCATTATGCTGAAAGCAAGAAGGAATCGATGTCCGACTTCAATCTTAAGCTCTATTTATTGCACCAATTCGAGAAATTCTTTAACAACATTCATTTGATGGAAATATGGGCTGGATTGTACTTTGACTTGAATATTCCAGGCCTATCATTAGTTTCGGGGCATCCACTATGTGTCTCGGTTGAAGTTGGCTGCTGTGATCTAACCAAAGCCCTACTGGAGCGGTCACAATATGATCCAGAGCTTCTGACGACCGCCGTTGAAATAGCCATCAAGAGGGGAAATGAGGAAATCGTTCGCTTATTGCTGGCATTTGGAGCTACAAATAAATTTGCACTGCACGTTATAGGAAGATCAGGACAAGTTAGCTTACTTCCTCTGTTCTATAAGTCCAGAGAAGACCTGCAGGTTGAAGATATTCGAGGTCTCACTGCACTCCATTATGCATGTCAGAGCGGCGACCTGTCAACGGTAACGGCGCTTCTTGACATTGGATCAGATGCAAGAGCGAAAAGTAAAGAGGATGGACGAACCCCACTACATGTTGCTTGCCAGTTCGGGCACATAGAAATCATCAAACTCCTTCTTGAGAAAGACGTCGACCCTAACGAAACTGATGATCTGGGGCTTACTCCTCTACACGTAGCATGCAAGTGGCAGCAGGCAGAATCTGTTCGCTCACTTTTTACTATGAAAGGACAACGCATACCAAGGTTAGATGTCAAGACTAACGATTCAGCCACAGCATGGCACTTGGCCGCTGAGTCTGGTAGAGTTGATATCATTAAGATCCTTTTTGACCATCACAAGCTTCGGTACAATAGCATCCACAACCCTAAGGGATTCGATGTTTTAGAGTGGGCGAACAAAGATGGCTCAGCGCCATTACATTTAGCAGCTGCAGGGGGACATAGTGAAGTTGTAAGAGAATTGTTGTGCCTTGACGAGACACAAGACCCTCCTGCTATTCTTCAGCAAGATTCAAAAGGCCGTATTCCTCTATTTGATGCCATTGAAAGTGGTTCCTTGGAAACCGTCCGGCATTTTGTAAACTGCCAAAAGTTCACTAGACGTCAAATCATGTCGAGACAGAAGAATAAGTATATAGGCGGGCTGCCGATTCATTTGGCAGTCTCTTATGGCTACTATGATATTATCGAACTGCTCTGCAGAATTCACAGAGAAGTCAGCTTTACCCTCAACGTTTACTGTTGGCTTTTTTTCTCAACACCGCTACATAAGGCCGTCGAGAATGGTGAAATCGATATCGTCGACCTTCTTCTTCGCAATAATGCTACAACTAACATTGCAGATTTGTATGAGGATACACCGCTACTAATTGCTAGCCGTCAAGGAGATCACCGAATAGTTAGGATACTCCTTGAGAATGGCGCTGATCCAAGCGAAGAGAACAATAACCATGATTCCCCCGTATCAGAAGCAATTTACAGGCATTATCCGAGAGTCTTGGAACTGATTCTAGACAAGGATGCCACCTTAAGTTCTAAAAAGGTTAAAGGCTTGTCTCCTTTGATGACCGCAGCAGGGTGTGGACATGTGGACAATGTTGCTATGCTACTTCGTAAAGGTGGCAGTGTTGACTTGAATGTCCAAGATAACACAGGCCTTTCCCCTTTAATGCTAGCTTCCAAAGAGGGCCATGTGGGCGTTATCGAGCTGCTTCTGCAGGAGAATGTCGATTTTGATGCAAGCGATTCCGAAGGACGTGGAGCATTACATTTTTCCGCTGAGCGTGGTATTCTCAATGTCGTTCAGTTACTACTCGATAAAAGTACATCTAGACTCAATGTCACGGACTTAAAGAGGCGGACTCCTTTATACTTCGCGGTAAAAAACGAAAATCTAGACGTCGTCATGGAACTGTTTAGGCGTGGTGCTGATGCAACAATCTCAGACCAAAATGGCCTCTCCATGTATCACCTGGCGGCAAGGAATGGAGATATGGGAACTATAGAATTGCTGATCAATCAATCGATCCCCGGGTTTAATTCAATAGATGATATGAGTCGTACCCCAACGTCTCACGCTGCGGAAAATGGCCATCTTACCGCTGTCAAGCGTCTTACAGAATTAGCTCCGGAAAGTTTAACACATGTCGATAACAGAGAAAAGACGCCTATATTCTATGCCGTGGAGAATTCTCAAGTGGAAGTAACCGAGTATCTTCTGACGCATCCACAAGTTGCTAATAATGTAAATATGGCGGATATCGACGGTCGGACACTTCTGTCGCTTTCTGCGCGTACGGGGTGCGAACCAATCGTGCGAGCCCTTCTGCGACATAACCCTGATATAAATGCCGCAGACAAGGAGGATCGCCTAGTACCACTACATTACGCGGCTATCGGAGGCCACGTAGAGATTGTTCAACTTCTTTTAAGATCCGGCGCCTCGAGAGACATCAGAGACAAAGATGGAAAGACCCCGTACTTCCAAGCAGCGTTTTCGGGAAATAAGGAAGTTGTTCTGAAATTTATTGCTGAGGGGGCTGTCGATATACCCTCTAACGATGGCTGGCAGGTATTACATGCCGCCTATGACAGCCCTCAAATTCTTAGCCTACTTCTCGAAGAGGGCCATGCGGATGTGAATGTGACTACCAAGCTTGGAGGAACTGCACTTCACTATGCTACGACTGACTGCTGTATTGATTCAATAGTCGAGTTGTTAAAATACGGCGCCGATCCTCTACGGCAAGATAAAGATGGCATCACCCCATTACATCTGGCGGCAACATATTGCAACGATAGTGATGTTATTGACGGCCTATTGAGAAAATCTGGGAATAGCCTGGAAGTTAAAGATAAAGACGGTCGTTCCGCACTAATGGCAGCCATTGAGAATGGCAATAGACTAGCCGTTGAATCTTTGATAAAGACTGGTAAATTCGACCTCGAGGGAAAATATAACGACGGGAAAACCCTCATTGATGCTGCTGTGGAAATTTCCAATCCTGCAATTATCACTTTGATCCTCCTTCATGAAAACCCAAGTCTTTCCACAGCTGGCATCGAGAAAATTTTGGCTTGGGCTGTGGAAAAGGAAGAGACAATCGTCGAAGAGCAAGCTAAACAACTAATCCGCAAGAGGGGTCCTCGAAGATTAGCCAAAGTCGACACACTATTAAACCTCGCCCGGGATAAAGATAACATTCCTCTCGCCGAGTTTCTGTTGGAATTTGGGTTAGATCCCGACCAGAGAGATGAGCATGGATGGTCCCTTAAACAGACTATTATAGCCTCCCAATTACATCCGAAGGGCGAGGCCTCCATGTTGGGCTCGGACTCCCGACACCTTCGGCCTTCCTGTTGGAGCATGCTTCATAGTTCGGGTGGAATAAAGTTCTTAGAAGATGGAACTCTCGAGCTCCTATTCGACGACCCTCCAGACGCCGAACGAGGGAAACAACAGCTCGCCCGCACAGATCACCCCGTTCCTTTCTTAACTCGATACTGTTTTGAAGTGGAGGTGATTCAGGGGCAGCCAACTAGGTAAGTTGGATCGTCTAGGCGAAACGAACGAATCTAATACGCTTTTCTAGTTTATGCATTGGGTTCGGTCATAATAACATTCCGAAAGAAAACATCCCGGGCTGGGATGAGAATACGTGGGGATTCCATGGAGATAACGGCGGTCTGTATCACGCGCATGGACTCCGACGTATTCGAAATAGAGACTGGGAATACAGCACTGGCGATATTATCGGCTGCTTCATCGATACGATCGAGCGGAAGGCTTTCTTCACCAAAAATGGAAACGTGGTTGGTAAGTTAGGTAGTTTGGGGGCTCAATAATGTTCGTCTCTTGAAGCTAACATAATTCATCTTAGATGTATGTTTCGTAAACATTTGCGGTCGCTTGTTTCCGATGGTTGCTGCTAAACCTGGTGTACGACTTCTGGCCAACTTTGGAACGGACCTTGTATCAACTCCTTTCAAATATTTCAGAGGTTTCCCTGGAAACTACTGTTTCGAAAAACAGATTGACGAAGATGGGAAGGTGTCGTAATTAGCGAGTTAAAATCTGGTCTGACAGCTCTGAACACGCAGATTAAATGTTGGGCCTTTTCTATCTTCTTTGGAACTTGTCTATAAACAAGTGATATGATATGGGCACCTAAGAACTAAAACACCAAGGGAGAAAAAGAATATTTCAGACTGCTCCAGCGGAATGATAAATGAAGCATATGTCCCTGATCACGGTGGTGGGATCTTATAGGGCTAGTATACTACCTTCTCCTGTTGCCACCGCTGCCGCATTGCCATTTTTGCATTCTGGGTGAATAGATATCGCATGACATGTCCCCATCGGGACCTCTCGCGTGTAAGCATAGGTACCTACCTAGGTAAGTAAGTTATCATTTGTTCATTAACCACATTAAAGATACTATATTTAGCAACAATTATAACTAGAGCCAACTGTTAGAATAGTGACCTTAGCTTCCCTACATCGGTTATATTACGAATAGTCGTGAAAGCGTTGTATGCTTTCTCTGCCCTCACACTTCCGATTTGGCGCGAGGCTTGGTCCATGAACTTCGTCTTTAGATCCTCCACGGTCAGGGGATTCTCCAAGCTGCCAATTGCGTGCTCGACGTAATTTTCCTTAGTGCTATTGTCGTCGAAGGTTATGGAAGTGTATGCTTGGTCTTCGCCTACAGTGTTGTCCGTAGTGACATTGACTATCTTCCGCATGCTTGTGACTGTCTCGTTCTGTACAACTTGATCTGTAAATTGCGCGGGAGTTGCTTGGCCGTATAACAGTGCAACGGCGGCGGCGTGGTATATGCTGAACTTGCCTTCAAGCCCTGTCTGCGGGTCTGTCTGACCAGTGAGTACCAGTACTTCCGGATTTACGCGCAGGTTGATGCTCTTAATCGATTCAATCGACTTTCCCTCGTCTAGTATTTGGTTATGTAGTTGGATGCACCCATCGATAGTAGGATGCATGACGATGCCGCATGGAAACGGCTTGAACGTGTTCCTCTCGATCTCCCAAGTTCCCTTTCCTAGTTGCTCGAAGTTGGCCGATGCATTCTCGCGCGTGCTGACTACATGTAACCAGCCGTATTTATCTTCTAGGGCTGTGAGTGAACTTGTATATCCCTTCTGTGCTAGGAGCGCGGCTAGCATGCCCCCTTGCGTCGCGCGCCCGATGTGGAACGACTTGGTCATTGAGCCGAAGAACGCCTGCATCCCGATGACTTGTGTAGAAGCGATTCCTATCGCGTGCTGAAGGTGCTCGGTATCCAGCCCTAGTAGCTTGCCAACTGCGACAGCCGCGCCGACAGAACCTGTCGTGCTTGTAATGTGCCACCCTACGTCGTAGTGTTCTGGGTAGACCGATAATCCAAGCTTAAGCTCAGCCTCGATGCCGGCGACGAAAGCGGTTAGGAAGTCCGTGCCAGACACTACTCCCGCCGCGCGATTTCCGTCCCCCTGAGATCGGGACTCAGCTTCAGCGATGGCAAATAACGCACTAGCCACCACCCCTGTAGGGTGGATAATACTCGCAAGATGTGTGTCATCGTAGTCATCAACGTGCGACGCGATGCCGTTGACAAATGCGGCGACTTGCGCGTCCGCAAACCCCGGTTCTATCCCGAACCCCAACTCATTTCCGTTTACTGAGCCGTTCAAGCCGAGGATACTAGACGTCGGCGGCCCGCCAAAACCTGTAGATAATGACGTGTTGAGCGCGATCTGTGGTGCAGCTTGCGCGAAGCCACCGATAGCGCAGCCGGCCCAGTTGTAGATACTCTTGACGGCTGCATCGACTACAGACGCAGTAAGGTTAGTGTAGGTTAGGTTTGTGGCCCACGATGCTAACGCGAAGGTTGCCATAATCGTTGGTGCGCTATCCGAATAGAAATTATAGCCCCGAGGACTTAGGATGCCGCTTCTTGGTATATGAGATAAATTAAACGAAACAAAACAGGTCCTTTATTGAGTTGCAGAGATGATGTCAGAATACGCTTTCATAGTAACAGTCTCCAAGTAGCCTTCCTAGGTAGCTTCGGGAATAGAATGGGCTTGCCATAGTATGTGAGTTGGTGAGGGGTTGGATTCGGGAGTGATTTATAGCAGAGAGTATAACTACAACCTAGCATATAACCGGGCTTAAGATTCCATGACTATGGCGTTGTTATATGTAGAAGATTATCGAGTATACAGTCGATGAATAGGAAGATTCACATTTGTTACTTTTAAATCTCAAAATAGTTGTTTTTCAATATTGGTCACTATTGATTATGAAAAATCATCTATCTATGTTTTCTCTACCTTACATTAATTTAGTATTGCATTTTTAATTAGGTTAGAAATTCTTGCAATATCCATCGCAAGACACGCGTTGATAGGTAGAGATTCATACACATGTTTGGAAAGGGGGCTACCAAGTAGTAATGAATAGTCTAAGTCTTACTTATAAATAACCTGTTCGCCTGACAGGTAGAGATATACCCACAAGGAAAGCTTAGTTAAAACTGAGAGCTAATCGAATGTTCAAGTGACGATCTTTAATCAGCGGCTTTATTTGCAAGCTTTTTAAGTTTACCTAGGTAGGCTAATAATAGTACAGGTTGACATTACGAACAGGCCATGCTTCCCATGGCTGGACCACTAGTGTTATATAAAGTGAATAATAAACTAACTACTCGAATACTTACTAAATCTTCGTTTACAGTGTTAAATCAAACAATGTAGTAAAACCTTTACTTACGATTGAAAAGACTAGGTGATAGAAATATTACTATAGACAAGCCGCAATATCATTAATTATAGTCTATGATAAATCCATCCTGCTTCTTCATATTCATATGAGACTCTGGTAGTAATTGTGACCTAGTAAGCCTAGTTTTCACCAGAAACGCGAGAGTTGCTTTAACACCGAACGGATAGTGGTATAGTTTACTTCTTTTCCCTTGTATTTTCACATTTAACTGTAAATACCATAGTTACTACTTCATTCATATTAATTCATAACATGTACCTAAAGATAGAGTATTACTTTAAGAAATTACTGTGCCTTGACCAAAACTGATACTTTAGCGAGGCTATAAATATTTAACTGGTCTAAAGTGTGAGAACCCGCTAAGCCTTATTGAAACTGTGTAATTCGACACTGTATGATCACAGAAATTACAATCTTCTTCATCTTTCCTATTATTATAGTTAATATTTTCAGTCGAATAATGTTACCAAATTGGCAGCAGAACGATAAGTAACCTTGTTAGACCCGATACCGTCAGGTGTGCCGGCTACCGAGTTATTAACATGGGTACCGACCGGATCGGCAGTAGCTCAGCTAGAAGTGGCAAACGGGACTTCGGCGCAGTTCATGCACCTGACTCGACTGCGGTTAATAGTTCAATATAAGTGATCTTCGTTGCGACTGTGGCGGCTAAATTGCAGTTTCATATTCGACTTTAATGATACTGTAGGTGTCCAGGTAGATACTTACCTGCAGCTATCACTGTAGATATATACGTGCATAATAAAACTAACGTATATTACGCCTATGTGCGGTATACCGTCAATAATTTAGGGGTTAAGTAAGAGTTCTGATAGACCCTAGCACTAGCACAGATTTAAGTATTTATTCAATGAAAAATAACACGTTAGAAAGAGGTATAGCTAACACTTTGCGATAAACTTGAACATAGAAGCTCTCCAAACTAGAATTGTGATGGGGGCAATCCTGCATGTCTGATTATCACGTTTCTCAATTATTAATAATGACTATTGTGGTTAAAACAATCAGTCTTAGTTGAAGACGTCTCAAACACATAGCAATGCATTAGGAACTTAGGGCTTTAAAGTACCCAGTCTTGTAATAGTTAGTGACTATTTCCAATACACTTCTCGCAAACTTACAGTGTGTACTACTTACAGTGTGTACTCAACACTCATTATAATCGGTATGGGGATGGCTGTCCGCCTAGCTAAAAACAGCTTTAACAGCTCTTTTCGTATATCCTTTCACACCGGTGGGCTTCGCTTTTTCAACATCATTCTTGTAGAACCTTCGTCCCTCGTCGAGCATGATATGGTCGAGGTTCACCCACCATCTTCCACGGTAATAGATTCTGGCGCCAATCCATAGTACAACGATGACAATGACCGAGATGTAGTTTGCAAAGAAGGTTGTAGCACTCTGCTCTTCTTTAAGTGGCCAGACAGCGAGGTAGAACTGGACTATGATGAGGAGGATGCACATGATCAAACCCCACCAGGGACCAACTGGGTAGATCCAAGACTTCCAGGGAAGCTCCTCAGCTGTACGTCCCTGTCTTGCCCAAGCGAGACGAAAACGGATGTGTGAGAGACAAATCATTCCCCAACCGAAGAGAGTGAAGAGAGAGGTGAGGGTTGAAAACCAATTGAAGACGCTAGCACCCGATTCACTGACATTGAGGTAGGCAAGCCCACCACCAAGAACGAACGTAGGGACTAGACCCCACCAAGGGCGTCCAGTCCTGTCGGCTTTGGTGAACACTTTGGGTGCCATGTCCAGGTACGCCAGCCCCATTGCCGTACGGGAACCGCCGTATCCTGAGATAGATCCAGTTGAGACGACCGATATGAGGATAACTGCGTTCATCATGTGAGCCAGAACCGGAATGCCTGCGTCGCTATAGGCAATGACGAACGGCGAAGAACCAGTCCCGCCGGCACCATCAGCACCGAAAAGGCGATCGTTGTTAGGATTAACATTGATAGTAACCATGAGTGATCCAACTAAGTAGAAAAGGGCGAGGCGAAGCCATATAGATCCGACAGCGCGAGGTATTGACTTTTTCGGGTTGGCTGTCTCAGCAGCAACCAAGCCTGAGTTCTCAGATCCAGACATGGCAAATATACAAGTAGGCATTACGGCGAGAAAGCCTTTGAAACCGTGCGTAAATGGGATCTCGTTCCAGTACCGGAAACCCACCGCGTCGTAACCTGCTCCTCCGGCTGACATGACGATCATGGAGATAATAACAACGAAGATCCAGCCAAATTTAATCGTACTAGCGACGACTTCGATTTCACCGAAGAGGGTAACGGCACCAATATTTATCAGGATGATGATAACTAGCCATATGCTGATCCATGCTGCAATCGGCACACGGGTTGTCCAATACGTGATGACAGTATTTGCTGATGCCAACTCGTTCGCGATCGTGATACTACGAGATTAGTAGTTGTCAGTAATTGGCATCCTAAGATATTGAGTGTCACCTACCAGTAACCGAACCAATAAGACCAGCCGAGGGCAAAAGCAGCAGCTGGATCGACAAATTTTCCTTTGATATAATATTTATTAGTTGAAGCCGTCTATAGGAATTTTGTTTATGGGGTTTCCACATACCAGTCCACTGCACGAAGGCAGATGGCAGAGGATACACACACGCCATCTCGCCGATAGAATGATTGACACACCAAATCATAGAGCCGGCGAGACAGTATCCAATGAAGATAGCAGCGGGACCACCATTGGCCAAAGAAGTACCGCTACCAAGCCATAAACCCATACCGATACTGGAACCAAGTGCTATCATCGTCAAGTGACGCGTGCTCAAAGAGCGTTTCAACTCGGTGTCGGCGCCATGATCGTCATTATTCTCGCTGTAAGGATCACCAACGAACGAAGGATTCTTATCGTGAAGATCCCCGCTGCCGTCGTAGACAGCTGAAGGACTGGGAGAATCGTCGCCCGCCATTAATTGTTGCGACATACTGCGGCACGAGAGGGATGATTGGAATCGGGGTTGATAAGAACCTGAGAGTAGAAAATGGAGAAGATCTCCTGGAGGAGTTAAAATAGGTACCTACCAGGTAGTAATAGAAGGTGGAAGGTGGAAGGTGGAAGGTGGAAGGCGGAAGGCGGAAGGCGGAAGACGCGCACGTTGTTACTTATCAACTCTAAGTTGCGATGCCCCTTGCCAGTGCCACGTGAAACAACCGGTTGTAGTTAACTCTGGAAGGAGGATTCGATAAGAGAGAGACGAGGAAGCCACATCTCCTAATTTGATAGGAACATTAGATGAAAGGTACCTTAGGTTATGTACCTAATCACTTCTCTCCAAGTCCTTAGCTGAATGATTCAGCTGAATAGAAAACTAACAACAACAGATTACAGTCCGAAGACGAGTTTGGCAAGGTTGACGAGGTTGACAAAGCAAGCCTCGGGCGTAGCATTACTTTGCTTATTCGAGGACGGCTGAATTGTGAGTTGGTTTTTGTTGATTTACTGACTGTGTTCTGGCTGTTTCCTGGAACTGATAAGAACACGACTCTGGAATGTCTTAGACTGCATGGCAAATGAGAGACAGTGCGGTATCTGATGCACAGGGTTGCGAGATCGACGACGAGACTTACATCGCATCCTACAACTCAAAGGTCAAGCTTCCGAGCTGATCGGGAAGTTGTATAACACGCGTCCTTCGATTTACCTTAGGCACCTAAACACCAGAAATACCAACTATCAAAACTACCCGTCTTGTATATTGGCTACTGTAGGTAACCATACGACATATGAGTCTAGGTATATCTGCAAATCGAAAATGCTCAGGATACATACCTACACATCGTACCGGAGTCAGCTGTGGTACCACAAGCATCAAGACTCTATCATGTACAACACCAACCACTATGCACACGACACTCCTACGATGCGGTGTGACCCATCAGCCTCTAGCCATGGGCAGCACCAGCAGCCAGTCAAATACCTAGCTGGAAAGCCACTTATTTTAATTCATTTTAATTGAAAGATCGCTAGGCGTCGTGGCTGAACGCAGCATCCTACGTCCTTATCATAGCGAATCAACAACCTCGCTTTCCGTCTATTGACTGCTTGATTTGACAGAAGGTTGCACATAAGGCATGTTTTACCTTGCTTTACCTTGATCGCCTGACTTATCAGAGCTATGTTGCCACTTAGGCGTTTTCTCAAAGATCCACGCAGCTCTAGATACCCTACACCGAGCCTAGACAGACGCACATCGGGTATCCCGTAGCTGCGGTAAAGACCTGTTTCACTCATCTCCAGGCCGTATACTATATCAGGCGTATCTGCATTTTCTGGGTGCGCAGTCTTATCTCGAGGTGATACGTCGGAAGGCCACGCTCGGGTATCCAATCATGATTGTCCTATTCACGAGATAAGTATATACATATGTTTGGTTCCCGATACACCAACGCCGCGGTATCTCGCGAAATACCGTTAGATTCGTATGATTCTTAGTAAGTTATAAGGTAAGAAGCGCGAGAAGACCACGAGAAAAGACCCGTACGAGTAACGAGATACATATGATGGTACGGTAGAATTCCATAAACTTCGTACTCACTATTCGGATCCGATACCAGGGACCAGGTAGCCAATGAGACTCCCCATCCATATTCGCATTGATTAGATCTGTACCAAAACCTATTAGTAATCGGTAGTGATCCTTATCGACTCTGGATGGACTTATCAGAGTAATTAATAATTTTTACCTCATCCATCGTCTTTCTTGAATTCTCATAAATGCCGACATATAGTGACATATAGTGGATGTCTACTATTAATAACGTTTTATTACGTACATAAATAGGTCAAGTTACAGCCTTGCGGAAATAAGCTACCAATCTGAGAATCTTCTCAATGCTCATGTTCGTGTTCTGCCGACGATCCTCTACCCCACCTCTCATCGCTACTATGATTCGCTAATATTTTAAGCGGTCTGGCTCATAAGGGGCTTGCCCCTTTTTGCTTGCTCCGTAGTCCCATCTATTCTCAAAGGGAGCTTTGAGGAATTGAGAAATAAAGTCACAACGAGATGTTTTGGTGGTATAATGACAGTTTCTGACTCGTAAGCTCTTATATGCCGAGGAGCAAATAGACGGACAAATATTTCACGACTATGGCTAATTTGAAAGGCGAGGATCTCTTAACTGCTTGGCGTGGGTATTTCGAGCCAACGGTATTGTTGAATGATTGCACGGGTCTGTTTCGACTAAGATCTACACAGGGGTGGGCTCCGATGAGCCCCTGACAGGTAACGACTTTCAATAATTTTTCGACTATATTAAAGCGGAAGAGACGATGATGGCCTGTCTTGGAGTTCTTGGCTGGTATCCCTCTCAGCAAAAACGACAAGTCCAACTCCTCCAGGATGAGATCCTGTTATCTTCTCGCTACTTCGTTAGCTGCGAGCGCGACTACAGCTGCATTGGAAGTTGACTTGCCAATTTCAGCACAAACCGGCGAGGTTGAGTCGGACTCAATAGCCGTGTTCTACGATGATTCACAGCCCCTCATCGTTGGCAATGATGGTGGTGCTAGCACTGGGGGTCTCCGCCTCTTCACTTTGGACGGCGAAACCCCGTTGACAGAAACGGCCCACGAGACTCCTGGTCGAACAAAGCTTGTAACAGCCGTTCACGTGGTTGGCGAGAAGAACCTTGTCGTGACCATTGCTCAACCTGATTCCTTCTTTCGACTCTACGACGCAAGAACCGCCGAGGAAGTTGGTGAACCTCTAGCACGTACTATAGGGGACTGGTCAGCTCTCTGCTCTTGGAAGAGTCAAAACAGCGGAGAGCAGTATCTCTACTTGTTTGGCAAGAAGCAAACTGTGCAGCATCTTTTGAGGGAAAATAATGGAACTTATGAAATTGTCGAGATCCAAACCTTCGAAAACCCAATCGAGGCGACGTCGTGCGCCGTCTCTTTGTCTGCCGGGACTGTATATTTCGCGACGGATGCCGGTCCTGAGATTTACACATTTCCAGCTGCGGAGACAACTTCGGCGCCGCAAATCAGCGTTCTAGGAAAGGCTGAAGATGATGTTACGGCACTTGCCGCTTACATTGGCCTTAACTCGGACTACATCTTGGTTGCTGAGAACGATGTCATAGCGGTCTATAATAGTTCCTTCACGCAGTTGGGCTCTATGAAGCTTACTACGGATGAGGACATCGAAATTAAGGGCCTGAACGTCTACCAAGCGCCGACAAAGAAATACCCAGCTGGCGCAGTAACCTATGCCACGAAAAGTGATTCTGGAAAGGGATTTGCTGTTAGTTCCTTGGAAGCAGCATTCAGTGACCTAGGTCTAGATCTGAACACATCTTACGACCCTCGCGAGAATACAAGCAGTTCTAGCTCTGTTTGCTCCGAATGCGGCTTCAACGGCTTTTGTCAAAATGGCACCAGCGACGCGGGTGGACTTTCGTGCTCATGCTTTGCAGGATTCGACGGCGAGGACTGCGCGAAGATCACTTGCCGTAATGACTGTTCGACGCATGGCGAATGTGTTGGAGCGAATATATGCCAATGCGAAGATGGGTGGGGTGGCTTGTACTGCGCGTTCAAGGTAGTGCAGCCCGTTGCTGAAACAGATGCTCACGGCGGCGATGGAGATGATCCTGCGATATGGATATCGCCTACTGACAAGGCCGAATCGAGGATTATTACTACTACGAAATCAGAAGAAGGCTCTGGACTTAGCGTTTTCGATCTCAGTGGGAAGCTATTGCAGAGCATAGACGCCGGGGAGCCAGATAACGTCGACGTAATATACAATTTCCAAGCTGGAAATAGGACTATTGATTTGGCATATGCTGCTTGTCGAACTGACAATACCTTATGGTAAGTCTCCTTGTAACTCATTTCGGTCTCCAACTAACCAACCACCTTAGCCTCTTTGAGATCACTACCAACGGCACTCTACAGACCATAGCTGGTGGCTCGCAGCCAACTAAAGACGGCTATAAGGTCTATGGTAGCTGCGTATATCATTCGCGTAAAAGTGGCAAGCAGTATCTATTCGTCAACGCCAAGTCGGCTGAGTATATTCAGTATGAACTCTCATGGGCTGACGACGCATTGCAAACTACTTTGGTGCGTAATTTCACTGGCGGAACTGGCGGTCAAGTAGAGGGATGTGTCTCAGACGACGCAAATGGATGGATCATCATCGGCGAGGAACCCCGTGCTCTCTGGCGTTATGGTGCTGAACCAGATGATGATTCTAGCGAAGGATTCCTTATTGGAGAAGTTGGCGATGGTAATATGTACGCAGACGTTGAGGGTGTGACCTTGGTTGAAGGTCCATCGGCGGACAAGGGTTTCATACTCGTCAGCCAGCAAGGTGTTAGCGCGTACAATGTGTACCGTCGGGCTGCTCCTCATGATTTTGTCGAAACCTTCACGATATACGAGAACTCGGAGAAAGGCATAGATGGTGTAACCAACACCGATGGACTTGCCGCTGTGGGCGCAGCCCTCGGAGACGCATTCCCCAGCGGATTGATAGTTACGCATGACGATGCTAACCAACTACCAGAAGGAGGCACAAGTAATGAAGCGAGCTACAAACTAGTTAATCTCGGAGATGTACTTGGGGAAGAGTTGATGAAGGAGGTCGATGCCAACTGGGATCCTAGAGCTTAGCCGTTGAGAAGAGCTTCATTGACTATGATCATAGCGAGACAAATCACAACGAAACAGGCAAAAGTGCAATGTAATAACAATCTATGAATTGCCAATGATATACCTATACTACGTAAGAAAATATTATCATCCTGTTACAGCCAACTAAAAAACAACCCAGAAAACTCGGGGGAGAACTTGTATACAGTGATAATTCTAGACGTCATGTTACCAAACAACCCCGGACTAAAATAGACAACCAATGTCAATGATGATGATGATGATGGTGATGATGATAAATAAAATGAAAAGAAAGAAGAAAACCCCCTGAGCTCCTCCATCCTCCAAAGTCATTCATTCTAATCGTTGCATTCAATTGTGTAGGTACCTAACCTAGGTAGGTAGGTAGGTTAAGTACTTGAGGTATATATGTATGTCTTCCACATCTAGAAGTTAACCAACTTGCTCTTGACGCAGACGGCCTTGGACAGCGTCTGAATGGAGCCGCTAGACAGTAACTCGAGGACCTGCAGCGTGGCCTCGAACTCGCGGGTGATGAAGTTGCGGATCTCGATGGCGACGAGCGAGTCGAGCGGGTAGTGCGATAGCGAGCGCGTCACGTCGAGGTCTTCGAGCTCCATCATCATGACCGCAGCTAGCTTGTGCACTAGGCCGTCGCAGACGACCGCCTCGGCTTCCTCGAGCGTCTTGGCCGCCTTCACAGCCGCGTTGTACGAGATCGCCTTGGTGCTGCCCGAGGCGGCGGCGTCGGCGGCTGCGGCGGCTTCCATGGCCTCGCGCAGGTGCTTGCACTTCGCGTCGGGGGTCCAGAAGGGTTGCATGCTGGGGGTAATGCGCATGCCGGTGATGGTGTGGTTGTTGCAGGCGGTGGCTAAGTTGCCGTTGATAGCGGCGCCAACGAGGGCGAGGACTTCGGCTTCGCAGATGGTGTCGCTGCCGAGGTTCTTGGCGACTTCGGCGGCCTTCTCGAGATCCTCGGCGAGGTAGCCCGAGTCGGAGATAGCTGTCAAGTCCAATGACGACGCGGGTAGGCCTTGGGCGAGTCGGTATTGGACAAAGGCGTTTAGGAAGCAGTTGGCGGCGGCGTAGGCGGCTTGGCCTCGGTTGCCGACGGCGCCGGCGACGGATGAGATGGCGACGAAGAAGTCTAGGGGTGTGCCGGAGAGGGCGTTGTGGAAGTTCCAGGCTCCTTGGACCTTGGACTCGATGACGGTGGTGTATTGGTCGTAGGTCATCTTCTCGAATAGAACATCCTACTTTTTGTTAGTTGATTCATCTAGAGCAGCACGGGAGTTGAAAAGACTTACGTTAAGGACCATAGCACCATGGATTACACCCCTAACAGGAGGCAAGCCCTCTAGACCGTGCTGGATTAACTCTTCAACAGATGCAGGGTTGGCCACATCAGCACGGCGTACCACGATCTCGGCACCAACCGAAGCAACTTCTTCAATCAATTCCTTGACCTTGCCGGTTGCGCTGCCACTTCGTGAGACTAGCACTAGATGCCGGGCACCTCGGCTGACCATCCATCGGGCCATGCTTCGACCAAGCCCACCGGTACCGCCGATGAGGATGTAAGAAGCATCAGCCTTAAGCAGCTGCGCGGGTTTGCGGGGAGGCGTAGCCTTGACGACATCATGTGCATGTGGTACCACGACGAGCTTGCCGTGGGCCTTGGCGCCCTGGAGCGTCTTGAATGCGGACTCTACCTCGGAGATGGGGAATACGGTGACGGGGGAGATAGGGCGGATCTTGTTGTATCGCATCAACTTGGATACATCGGAGAGGAGTCTTTGCAGCAGCTTTGGTCGCTCAGCAGCGATTGCCATGATATCGACAGTCATGAAGCTGGCGTTGTTGTCGAACTGGGTCATCTCGAGTCTTGTGCTGGTGTTGGTGTCTCGGGCCCCGATGTCGATCAAACGACCGAACTTATTGAGGCTGCTCCAGCTCTCGCGGAGGCCGTCACCGGTGAGGCAGTTCAGTACCACGTCAACGCCGACGTTACCTGTGGCTTGGCGGATAGCGTTGCCGAACGACAGGTTCCTGCTGTAGAAGATGTGGTCTTCAGGTACGTTGTACTCCTTGATGAGGAATTCCTTCTTCTCAGTGCTGCCTACAGTAGCAAATACCTTGGCGCCGACCATCTGAGCGAGCGCGATAGCAGCTTGGCCAACGGCACCGGCGGCGGCGTGGATTAGAACAGTCTCGTCCTCAGCCAGTCGTCCGAGTTCGATAAGAGAATAGTAGGCGGTGCTGTAAGCGAGAGGGAGGGTTGCGCCCTCTTCGAACTGCATATCCGATGGAAGCTTGAAGGCAAATGTAGCCTTGGTACGGGTCGACGTAGCAAAGGCGCCCTTGGTAATAGCTGCAACTCGGTCGCCAACCTGTATTTTCTTGACGTCCTTGCCTACAGCGGTGACTACACCACTAGCTTCCACGCCAAAGTCGTGCGTTGCGAGTTTGCCGTGGGCAGCTGTGAGATCCCTGTGGTTAACACTGACGGCGTGGACCTTGAACTCGATGTCTTCGCCATTGAGGGGTGCCTCGGCGACTAGGTCGTCGATAAAGTGAAGCGTTTCAAGTGCGCTAGCATCTGTGATGGCCATCTTTAGTTGTCGGTCTGTCTCGCCGAATGGTGTTTGCTGAAGAGCGGAGGGTTTAGTTTCTCTGTGGACGATCTCGTTCATCACCGGGTCGTTGATGATTCGAGGGGTGAAGAACGACCCATTTCTCTCCTGGAACTCGAGCTCGCCATTCAAGGCGCTGCTCTTGCCGAAGACTGCGGTGAAGATCTTGAGAACGGCTTCGGTCACCTGCTCGGCGGAGAGTTGGTTCCGTCCGTCGAGGTCTAATGTAGAGAAGGGCAGTAGAGTCTCTGAGCGGATTGTTCGGCTGAGACCAAGAATCATGTTCAGATCTGGTGAAGTCGAGTTGTCATAAGCGCCACGAACAACCCACAAAGCACCTTGCACGGAGATGAGCATCTTTTGGAGAGCGGTGAATTCATCGGCTTTCAGCTGCGATAAGAGCGGCTTGTCGATCTCAGAGAGGAAGATGAGAAGTTTATTCTCAGCCTGTGCCTCTAGAAGAGTACTCGTGGTAGGCAACTTGCCGGTGATTCGTTGCAAGGCCTCAGCTAAACTGGAGGCTATCTGAGTTTGAAGGCTACCCTCTCCGTATACGATTTCAATGTCTGAGTCGGGTAGTTGGCAGTCTTCTACAGGTACCCATTCCGACGATGAGCTGTCAGAGTCCACTGATACGGGGTCAAGGATTGGTTCCCAATCCAGCTTATAGCACAGCTCACGGTGAGCCTCCTGGTCAGTCTCTCCGTCGCGCTCTAGTATAGGGGCAATGGTAAGACCATCCAGCTTGATTATGGGCTCCGACGCATTAGGGCCGGCAATGAACATGTTCATCTTTGTTGGCCTGGGGCTATCTGACGGTAGGGATCCAAGACAGTAGGCTTTGACGGCTTGGCCAGGTGTCTTGCCAATATCGATTACTTCCGTCGAGATCGATACGCTTGAGACTGATGAGGGTAGGTATATGGTGTCTGGAGAAGAATTCTTCGAGCTAGCAATTGGCCAGTACATGGAGACGAGGGATTCAAGAAATGAGGGTTGAATGACGGTGTCGGTTAGGTAGTGATTAGGCATCTCCTTTGCCACGTCGGGAACAAGGAGGTCGGCTTGCGAGCAAGAGTGAGAGGCCTTGCAATTGGTTACTCCTTGGAAGGTCGGGCCATAAGCAACACCAACCTCAGAGAGGCTTTCGTACAGCTTTTCCATTTCAATAGACGAGGACGCGGCTGCGTTGATGTCAGAAATGGTTGACTGGAGATGAATTCGCGATGCCAAATTCTGTCTAGCATCATCCACACCGTTTGACTCGTGGGTTTGAACGGCAATTAATCCCTTGCAGTTTTCTTTCCACCCCTTGCTCTTTGTCCATGAGCATATGCGGAACTCATCCCACACCTCCGAAGAGACCAAAGTACCCTCTTGATGTGGCCTGAGAGTAGTCGTCATCTCGACATCCTCATCAGGGATAACTAATGGTGCAAGAACAGACACATCACGGAGCTCAAACTTATCAAAGTGTACGTTGGCACCCTTTGCTCGCTGAGCTGCCGCTTCGACAGCCATTGAGACATAGCCTGAAAAGGGGAAGATTGTCAGAGACTGGATCCTGTGGTGCTGGAGCCAAGGTAGGTCATCAAGACGAACGATATTCCTCCATGTGGGTTCCAGGTCGTTGGAGTAGTTGGCGAGAGTGCCGAGAATATCGTTACGGGGAGCGGTCCTGTTCTTGTGTAGGTCCGTCATGCGAGATTCGTGCCAGTACTTGGACGAGTAGTTCCAGGGGTAACGAGGTAAGTCGCTTAATAACATTGGCGGCTTACCCTGCTTGGGGAAGTTAATAGCTTCAAAATCGATTGGAGCACCCTTAGCAAAGAGGGTGGCAGCAACGTCTAGTGCCGTCTCCACAGCATCCTTCTTTCTTGCGAGGGCAGAAGCGTAAGGGATCTTAGCCGCATCGCCACCTACTGTCTTGAGGATCTGCTTAAGGGGTCCCTGGAGCGCAGAGTGGGGTCCAAGTTCAACGAGCATGTTGACGCCGGTTTTATGACCATCAATAGGCTCAAGCATGCTCTGTACAGCCTCATCAAACCTGACTGGGCAAGTAAGGTTCTGTACCCAGTAGGATGCTTCGAGTTCAGTGCCGTCAATACGACGGCCTAAGAGCGATGAGTGGAACCTAACATCCGTTGAAATCGGTCCTTCAAGCTCGTCGATTGATGCTTGGTACTCCTTCGCGAGGAGGTTCATGTGGTGGGAGTGATAAGCAGTGTCGACGAAAAGTTTCCTGTTAAAGAGTTGCTTCTCTTCAACAACCTTCTTCAACTCATCAATACCAGCCTCGTCACCCGAGATGGTGAGACTGCTAGGGCTGTTATAACACGCAATCTTGACTTCACCATCCTTAAGATTTGAAAGTAGAGGCTCAAACTCTTCTTTGCTACCTCCGACTGCCATCATGGAGCCCCTCAGATCAGGGTATCGCTCTTTCAAGACAGGGATGAGACGGCCCCTGTGGTAAGCGATTGAGACACATGCCTCGAAGGTCAGAATACCCGCAGCATAAGCTGCACCGATTTCTCCACTGGAATGACCAGCCACTGCGGTCGGTAGAATACCCCACGATCGCATGAGATCAACTAAGGCTAATTGAATGGCGGTGCAAGACGGCTGGCTGATATGAGCAGCTCCGACGGCAGAAGTCTTCTCATCCTTGCTCAATTCTTCCACGAGAGACCAGGAAGCACCCAGTGTGCTCAAGCAAGCATCCGCGTAGTCAATTGCGTGTGCAAACACGGGATATTGGTCGTAGAGCTCGCGGCCCATACCGTACCACTGCGCACCTTGTCCAGTAAAGATGAATCCGATCCTTAACGGATCGACCTCCTTGCCAGGTGTGATCTTCTGGTTGTTGATAGCATCGATGAAGTCAAAAGATCTAAGCGCGGGAATTGCCACCCGATATTGTAGCAGAGATCGCCGTTGACCCAGAGTGTAAGCAACGTCTGACATCAAGTCCTTTTGGAACATTTCAGGTCTTTGCTCCAAGTAGATAATGAGACTCTTGAGAACGGCCTCTAGCGCGTTCTTGTCGTTCGCAGTAACTGGGAAGAGTTTCCTTCCAGGGTTGTCGTTCTTGAGATCGGCATCGTTTTTAGAGCCCTTTTGCGTGAAGGGGACTTTTTCAAGGACGACGTGGGCATTAGTACCACCAAATCCAAAGTTGTTGACACTGATGTACTTCTTATTCCGCGGCCAAGGGCGTTGGTTAACGGGGACCTATACCAAGGTAAGCAAATGTCGTCTGGATTATCGCGCTTAGTATAGGGGATGAACAAACCTTGAAATTCCACTCCTTCCAAGGAATCTTCTCATTGGGGTATTTGAAGTCATAATTAGGCAAAATGAACCCTCGCTCTAGCATGAGAGCGGACTTGATAATGGCTACAATTCCAGAAGCGCCCTCAAGATGGCCGATATTAGATTTCACAGATCCGATGAAAAGGGGATCTCTCGGGGACCTCCCGGCACCCAATACATTATGAATTGCAGTGGCCTCAATTGGGTCCCCAACTCGGGTTCCTGTTCCGTGTGCCTCCACGAAGCCACAATCGGCGGGGTCGAGTCCAGCATTAGTATATACTTGACGCATTAATGTTTCTAAGACGTTGTATTAGTTATATTATTCTGTGCTTCGAAGAGTCTCTTTGCAACCTTACCTTGCGCCTCGCCAGAGGGCATAGTGATACCAGGCGTCTTTCCATCCTGGTTGATCCCGCTTCCGACAATGATTGCTCTGATTTGATCGTTGTCTCTACGGGCCTGGTCGAGCGGCTTGAGGATCACCATACCACACCCCTCACCACGACCAAACCCTGTACCCCTACTATCGAACGAAAATGATCGACCTGAATCCGAAAAGAGTCTAATGATGTGATTAGTGTGATTGGTATTAAATCTGAAACTGGGATCGGAATCCCTCACCTCGATTTAGAGAAGGATATCCAGAACTCTGGGAGCATGTTCAAATGACAACCACCGACTATCGCCATGCCCGACTCGCCCGCACGTAAGCTCTGACAAGCCACATGCAGTGCAACAAGACTAGAGGAACATGCCGTATCTGTGGTAAAACTTGGCCCGCGAAGATCAAAGAAATGCGATAATCTGTTAGATTGCATGGCGTACGCGCAACCTGGCAACGTCATCAGCGGGAGCAAATATTTCAATATTCCTTGGTCAACTTACCGGTAGCTTGATGCATGGGAATAGTGTCCGAATCTCTAAACAAGTGAGATTCGTATTCGGGGAACGACCCGCCAACAAAGACCCCGACGTCCTTGCCAATGATCTTGTGCTTGGGAATACCCGCGTTTTCGAGCGCTTCGAACGTGCATTCCAAGAGCAGCCGTTGTTGCGGGTCCATAGAGATGGCCTCCTTTTCCGTCAAGCTGAAAAAGGGGGCGTCGAATGCTTGTAGGTCTGTGTTCAGAAAGTGGCCCCCAACCGGGTTGTGGGAGCCAGCTTTCCCCGGGTTCGGGTGATAGAAGCTGGCGGTGTTAAACCGTTCCTTGGGTATCTCTGAATAGCCACTTCGAGCTCTAGCACATAGCTCCCAGAACTCAGCTGGACTGGCTACGCTGCCCGGTAGCCTACAAGACATGCCAACAATGGCAATAGGCATCACCTTCTCTTTAGGTTGTGAAGTATGGCTCCCATTCACGCCGTTTGAGTGTCCATTGCTGAGGCCGTTGCTGAGGCCGTTGCTGAGGCCGTTATTGAGGCCATTGGTCTGACCAACTCGGTGACCGTTGGTCTGTCCGAAGGGTTGAGCATGATGCCCATTTAGCTCAGAGGTGTCATTGCTGTGTGAAGAGCCATTGGTGAATCCGTTGGTGTGCCCATTGGTGTGCCCATTGGTATGCCCATTGGTATGCCCGTTGGTGTATCCGTTAGTAGGAGCTCTCGAATCCTCGTGGGCTCCGTTGGATGTGCCATATGCACTGCCGTTTGTGGCTGACGGGGCCATGACTACGGATTTCGTTGCGACGGTACTATAGAGCCCAAGAGTACTCTAAGGAAAGACTGGCAAAAATAGCATTTGAGTCGAGACTGTGGTTTATATTTCTGTCTCAATGAGAAAAGTCCGAACGCGTAATAAGTCGTGTCCCGTCCGGGGTCTCAAGTGGGCTGTCGTAAGTCACAATAATAAAGCCTGATATTCGGAGGATAGGAAAATCTTTCCACCCTTAGCACGGAACCTCGTGGATGCAACTTTAGGCAAGTAGCTCTTCTATAGATCTGGAGGCGTATATCGGAAACGTTTACACGGGAATGGTAGGATCCAATAGTCAAGTTGGCCCAGTTGTACCATTTGTCATCCCTGACTATCACGGCTACCACGATGCCGATCATATTGACAATCTGTCTTAGACATTTCACGCCAATTTCCTACCCTCTTGCAGGAGCCCAGAACCTAGAAGCTCCTGCAGGGGTCAAGATACTGGATCAAGACACCCACAGAGAGACTTCATCTGTGTGAGTCACCCCTGCAGGAGTAACCATTCATCTACGGTAGGAGGATGATCAGGGTCCTCGTAGCTTACGACTTGCTTACACGACGACATCAGTATAACAGGTACTGACGTGCTCCTTTGCCGATATCACCGGGAGGGTCCTCGTAACCTCGTAACGAGTCGAGATACTCGATGAGGAAGCTGTCATGAACTACGTATGGTCGAGCTGGCGTGGAAAGATAATGCCGATCCATTTATCATTTATTGACAATGCCTGCATCAAAGCTAACCGAATTCTGGATCATAAGGGTTAAGATTGTTTGCTTAGTTCCGATCATAGGAAATTGATTCCCGAGGTTTTACACGACCAAAGGGGTTAAGGTAGATAGAGATTGAGACATAGATATTGCGATGTGACAGGGAATTAATGTGGCAGCAGCCAGATAAGGATGCGTTCAAGGCTCACGTCCCTGGCATATACTCCACATACGTTGTAGGCGTACGTAGCAGATACTACTTACCTACTAGCCACCACTACGAACGAGATAGAATCCTTGACGGCGCCCAATATGGATAGATTGTATAGTCCCACCCCGCGCGGCTTGGCACCCGGCACTTTGATCTCCTATAGCTCCATTGGAGGTCGTGGCGCGAGTGGGGGCACTTACCGGCAACGAGAGCACAGCAGTCAGTCTACTACGTAGTAGGCTTAGTAGGCTGTTATCATGTCCAATGACGGCAGCCCAGGATAACTTATACCGTAACTTATACTATTATTCCCTACAGTTATACACACTAGTGGCGTCTTTACCCGGGTGGCGCCGAGGCCTTACCCAAAACAACAAAGATCTTATAACATAGACCTTAGACCAAAGCTCTGTGGACCCAAATGGAGTTTATAGACCTCGAAAATCCCGTGAAAATGTCTCGAGGTATACATAGAGCCTCAGCTCGTATGTTACAAGACCGATGGCAGGGATGGTGCTATCCATGCTATGTTACTCCGTCTGATGTGTAGGAGTTGGCGGATGTTGCCACTGCATGAGGTCCTGCAGCAGTTTTTGCCAAGATCTACCTTGCTGAGGATCCAATGTATCTCAAACGCGCATATTAGTCTCCGGACTCTTCCTACGGACACCCCCGGAGGGGAACCGGGACGGTAGAGTCTCAGTTCCAAACAGGAATATCAAGTAACTTATACGTAAACTAACACGTAAGCTTTATCCCATGTTTTTTTACTCTTCAATACGCGCCATCACTCATTCTGCTGCATTTCTTGCCTCCCCATGCTTGTTTTTTATGGCTACGAATCTCCTTTTCTCATATCCAATTCTGTGTAACTAGCTGTATGAGTTTGAGAGACTACCTCGAATCCTACAACATGAAGTTCCTGTGTCTACCCGGCGCATATGGAAGCGCTGATGTAAGTCTTGGTATTCATGGACCATAAGATACTCCACTGACATACGGTTTAGAAATTCCAAGTCCAACTAGGTACTTCATTCGCTGTGTATCGTATACACTTACGCACTTGCTGACCAAGTTTAGCACCTCTCGTCAACGAACTGTTGTCTGATGATACCGCCCAGTTTCGGTTTGTCGATGCGCCATGTGAGGCAGTGCCTCCGGAGGGGTTTGAAGATTTCTTCGGAAAACCTCCTTACTACCGCTTCATCGAACCAGATGAGAAGGGCACTGATGATACTGATGTCTTGTCTCGAATTCGAGATTTCCCTGAATGCGACACGGCCGAAGACACGATGCGGGAACTCATGAAAGAGGGCGTTGCAAGCAGTGTTCGAAGTACGAATAGGGCGATTGAGTACCTATTTGAAATCATGGAAAAGGAAGGCCCCTTTGAAGGGATTATTGGTTACTCTGAGGGGGCTACTGTCGCTTCAACCTTTTGCCTCGCTGAGCAGAGACGGTTCGAAGAAACCGGAAGGAAACCACAGATCAAATGCGGTGTCTTCTTCGCCGGCTGGCCACCTCTAGACCCCACTACGTTCGCCATGGTGCTCGCGGATGAGTCTGATCTAATGATTAACATTCACACCTGTCACATCAGTAAGGCTTCAAACATACGACCTCAGCAACATGAAGATGCTAACTACGATTCCAGTCGGCTCCCTCGATCCTTACGTTGCGGGCTCAATGGCTCTGTATAACACGTGCGAACCCGACACAGCTTACATCTTTGATCATGGCAAGGGTCATACGCTTCCAAGAGAAAAAGGTGTCATTAAGGAGCTTGGAGACGTCATCCGTAACATGATCGCAGAGGCCTCAGGATAGAATTACATGATAGAAACACATTATAGATTGCCGCAGCAGTTTAGCTTATTTTCCCATGTAGGTATAGAAATTTTCCATGAAGGAATTATTGTAGAAGCAATATAATAGGTACGCATACTAGGTATACTCGATTTTTGTGTACAGAAACTCCGTAACAGTGTTCATTTAGGATTGGAATTTTCCATGCATGATGTAACCTCGCTCCATTTTGGCGGCAGCATTGCCTATAACAAAAGAAAATGCAGCTAATTAGCCACCTACCACATGCGGGAGTTGCTCCTGGCACCCAAGCTTTCAGGTAATATCCCGTACGTAGCTATTGGAAATATTGGAAAAAGGTTGCTTATATTGAAGGCGATCTGCAGCTAAGGAGCTAAAGACACAGCACCAAGGGAGACCGTCCAATACTCCCGAGACATGCAGACGGATAAGGCATGACAAGGGGGCCCTGCCAATGGGGTATATCGGCTCGTTTATTTTGATTGATGCTTAATTTTCTCAGATTCTACTTAGCGGAGCATGCCTCCGCCACATAACGCGTTTACCCACGACCCTTGATGGGGCCATATGGTAAGGGTCCCTTTCACATGGTAATACTAGTAGTGTAGTTCTTGTCTTTTCTCTGATGCTTTGGATTTCTTGAACTCTCCGATTTATCCTAGCCCCAACCACTAGCTTCGTCCTTTTCTTGTTGGAGCCCCTGTTGGATAGTTGCTGCATAGGATTCCGTATTGCGCCTTGCGCACACGTAATATGGAGGAAAGAAACACCGACGTGGAAGAAGCATCTAAGAGGCCACACGATGGTGCTTCTACCAATGGACCAAGCCCGGTTAATCAAGAAATCCCGATACTAGATGTGGTACAGGGAAGTAACACCACACCGGAATTCCCCAGGGGAGATACTTCGGTGTCAATCCCGATAGAATCAAACCCCCCTTCACCCTCTATTATGAGAGAGACCTCGACTATGGACCTTCTATCAGCATCTGCTCCACCTGGCAGGACGGCCTCGATAACCTCAGCGTCTTCAACAGCCTCGCTGTCGAACCCTGGGAGTCCCCCATTGTCTACTAACCCACGCCCTACAATAAACTTGAAGCCGTCGCTATCATCACTCGCTAAGCCTCCGGAGTCGCAAGCTGGAGGAACAGCTCTCTCACCAGTCCCATCGGCGTCCCCTGGAAACAGTGTTGAGCCAGGTTCGCCAGTCAACGTGCCTCAGCCCGCCGCTGCTACACCCGTTGCTGCTACACCCGTTGCTGCTACACCATCACCCCCTAATCCCAAGGCTACCACGCCGTCCGAAACGGAAAAGCTTAAGAAAACAAGTTCAACCTTCTTCGTAAGTTTCTTCAACGGCAATCCATATTCATACTAACAAGGAAACAGAGGATCTTTAGCTATACGACATGGCGCGACAGGGTGATGTTATCAGCTTCGGTGGTGGCCTCGATGGGAGCTGGTGTTGCTTTCCCCCTAATGACCCTCGTGTTTGGTGCGATAACCTAGAGCCCTAATAGCATTGAATTAAGACTTACTAATTTCTCAGGTCAACTCGTTGGAAGTATCGCAAGTACCAGAGCTGATCTAAACGCCGAGGGTTCTAAGAATCACTATTCCCAGCTCATAAACGAATACGTGTAAGTGTCATAACAACTTATATTGAAGCGTAGCTAAACATGGATTTGTGCAGTCTTTTTATGGTATACCTCTTCATTGGGAGGTTTGTATTGGGGTATATTGGAACTGTAAGTGGACTCCCCGTTTAAATATAAAATATAAAATATCACATGTTAATAGACCCCAAGCTAGGATTCCGCATGATGGGTTTCCGTATCTCTTCGGCGATGCGGCTAGCCTATTTCAAAGCTCTGCTAAGCCTGCCAGTATCGCTGTTAGACCTTCAGCCCCCTGGACAAGTGGCTGCTATCATAACAACTACAGCAAACACGCTTCAAAATGGGATTTCCGAGAGACTGGCGGCAATTATTCAAAACTTGTCCATGTTTATCTCCTCGATTGTCATTGCCTTCACCCGCAGTTGGAAATTGAGTTTGGTTACTAGCAGCGGCATGTTTGTGATCACGATATGTTACTGCGTCACCATCCCCTTCGTCGTGAAGAACATGAAGCAAGTTGAAGAAGCAAACATTAAGGGGTCCGCAGTCGCAAGTGAAAGCTTCAGCTCCATCAGAATGATTGCTGCATACGGCGCG